ATCCTCGTCATCGTCGTTTGAGTCCACTCACTCGCCCGTGAACTCCCATCCGAGCGAGTCATGGCTCTACAATCTCACGATATTACGTAGATTAGACGGGGCAAGGCAACATGGCGCGCGGGGAAACGCTGCTCATGCATCAGTTCAACCGCTATCTCCAGCGTGCGCCCTAGTACATGGAACGGCGAGTGGGACGGGACAGGACTGGTGTCCCATGCTCGCTTGGTGGGCACACCTGCGCACTTGGTGGTGGGTAGCAGATTGAAGAGATTGCATAGAAATTGATATGTGATTTCGAGAAAAGCTTGGCGGGACGGACGCGGAATTATGATAACGCGGGAACTTATACTCAAGATCCTGCGGGGTCGAGGTGGGCGAGCGGATTCGAGAGAAGAAGGCAGCAGGAAATATATTACCACCCAACCTCCGGGGGAGGCAGTAATCAGCTCACCACAGGTCTAACCTATCCAAACGACATTCTGCAAAGCCGATTTAGTAGCCTCGAAACCAGATGCCTCTAGACGACGGAAGAAGGGCGGAGCGGTGGCGCACTGGGATCTGCAGGCAGCCAGCGCCAGATCGCATCGCACTTCCTTATCGCGAGTGACTAGGACGTTCTAGGTGTTGACCTAAGTATGAGCAAAGGAACTCCTCTGCGGTATTTGTTGCCGGGGGCATGCTGTTGCACGATGTTTCTGCGCGTCATAGCATAGGCATAGTAGTGTAACAATCAGGGCTATGTCTGGGGCCGTACCCCTCAAAATCCGCACGCTCCTCGCCGTTTGATTGAGGACGATGGACTCTGAGAGCAGCAGGCTGGGGACGAAGCTAGACGACCTTTGGCCACTTATACCTGCTGTGGAGGCGTGCCATCTCCGTCAGTGGCAGGCAAGCTCCCTTTGGGAGGGGTCGTGGAACTCATGAGTTGGTTTGTGACACTGACACGGAGGCTACCGCATTGAATAAGGGCCGTTAGAGGACCAGTTCCCGGTGTAATAGGGAATCGAGAAAAGAGAAAAGAGGGTGGAAGGGTTGGCATTACCCATCCCAATGGCTGTTTTTCTTCGTTAGCCGTTAGCCGTTAGCTGTGGCCTTGTTTGCCGGCATACATCAACGGCAGGTGCTTGCATATATGAAGTCGGTCGTCGTCGTTCAAATGCTCGAGGATAGCCGACGATTCGTCAGCAAACTTATTAAGGATATACAAGTATGGAGTGCTCCATGCAACATCAATGGGTTGATGGTTCGACCAAGTTCAATGTTCCCATTGTTGACGCTGGCACATGGGGAACATGCTTGAGCTTATCTCATCACACCCCACCTGCACCACTGGCTCAAAAGTAGTGTAGGTCAAGGGCATGTGGATACCAGCAAATGCTTGCCCTCTTCTTCACCTGCTGCCTGGTCCAGTCACCCTATCGAGCACAGCATCTGCGTCGTCTCATTCTCCATCTGACCTTGGACTTGACGGCAGCATCCGGCCTGCGCCCTTTCTTCCGTGCTCGCGCAGTTTCCATCCCCCGTCTCACTCGGTTTTCTCGCCGTGCTATCATTCCAAAAACAACACCAAAACTGCTTGACACTCCACTGCTTGCCCCTCTCCTTCTCCGCCTCCACCAACTTCAGCCGTGGCTGTGGCTAGCTCGCATACTGTACCACCTTTCACGGCCTGCACCTCTCATCGCCGTTACTGAGAGGCCGTGCAACCCCGCCAACATCAACTCCCCTCACTTTGAGAGAGAATAGCAGGTAGCAGGGCCCTCAACTAGGGTCTCCCAAGTCCTTCCAACACCCCTCGCCTTGTGTTTCTCGTTTTGGCGAGCCTACCTTTACATCATGGCACCCTCATCGAATGCTTCAGGTCCAGACACCAATTCAGAGATAAAGCCCCTACCGATCCTACAGCTTCTTCAGCCTTTGTTGCAAGTGAGATGAAACGGGTAGGTTTTCAAGCACCTCTTTGTTTAGATTATCATCAGTCCCCCACCACATCCTCGTATCACAGCCCCCTCGTATCACCGTCCCCGGTAGAAGAAGGAGAAAGGAGAAAAACCAAGTGCAGACCCAGATCCTTGATTATTTAGCCAATAACGAACGGCCTTTTCCAACTTCCGTCCTGGCTGGCGGGACTGGCTGTTCGTAGTTGACGATAATATTCTTGACCGAGCTTCCAGTTTTATTACCTGTTACCTGAATGCTTGAGGCCTTGCCACCTATGTTGCCACCGCGCACGGGTCTAGACCCCGGACTCCTCCAACTCCCATGTACTAACCCTGAGATTTTTTGTTTGAGCATACAGGCTTTTGAGGATCTTGCAAGGTATGGACAAGCTTGCCTTTCTTTTTGCCCTTTCAACCCAGCTGAATAATTCATGTCCCCATCTCCCCATCTCCCATCTGATCCTGCCTGCACCGGCGACCGACCCCCGCCCTCCTTTTTCTTCCCTCTCTTTCCTTTTCCCATGCCAAGGGCCCCAAAAACACAAGATAGGCAGAAGCACAAACCCAAGCCTGTCTAAAGATGACGATGCCAAGGAGCCTCTTAGCCCTACATTGGCTGGTGCGCGCTCCCTGCACTCCTTGTCAACTCGAGCCTCAACAGCCTTCTCCGATTCGAGACCTCGTTTCGTGGGGGTTCGTATCCTCCGTGGCCCTGCTGGACCTGCATATCGGACGAACATCCATGGCTTGGACTGCCCCTCCAGAATTCAAATTTATCATCCTCGTCTAGTCACAACAAACACAAGCTCTCTTTCTCTCGCATTTCATAATGTTTAACTAGACTGCATCCTGAATTCTTTTCTTCTTGCTTGCACAGACTAAGGAGGGGGAGAGTGCCAATGGGTCGACTTGACTAACACGATTTTTGGTGTGATTTTGCACAATATTACAGGGGCGAAGAGACGGCAACCTTGCTTGAAGCGAGTTTAACTGCCCTCGAATCCAAGCTTGACGCCATCCTTGCCAGCATCGACGCCGCCGACGCCGCTGACGCAGGGGAAGGTGACAAGGGTGGTGAGGCCAAGTCTAAACCTGCCTGATACAGCAGAAGAGGGAAGGTGGAAGGAATACTTCGGCCCCTTGACATAATAACTCGCACACTGAATCGATCATCTCTTCCCTATGCTACCTTGGTTGCTTTTTGTTGCCTTTTTGCTTCTTCCTTGGGGTTGCACTTCCGCCCAGCATGTTTCCCCTCCTGCCTCCTAAGTAAACTTGGGGATTTTGACCGAGGACTCACTTATGGATCCTTTCCTTGTCACCTTTGGACTTGGATTTCGGGACGATGGCCGTGACCCTGAATGACGATGTGCTATTAAAAGGCGTGACTCTACCCTCATCAGTTGATCACAATTTCATTTAAAACCTACGGCATAAGTGATGACCCCGATACGAATGTGCCGGGGTAGAGAATGGAAACCTGGATAGAAAAGAAGGAAGAAGAAGGAACAGAAGAGAGGGGAAAAAAAAATTCTGAAGGAGATTACAGAGGCTGTTTACAAGAAGCCGAGATACACATCTAGAAAACAAAAAGTAATGACAAGAAAGAAGACGGAACCAAGGCTTTTTGTCTCCCAGTCCAACATCTTGGGACCGAACACCAATCCGCTGTGCGCCTCGCTGAAGCGAAGACGCTTCCCCCACTCGAAAGTGAGAGCAAGCCATCGGCTTACATATATGCATCGTGCTTCTTCGTGCTTCTTCCTTTACCGATTCGTCGATTCTCCGCATAAATGAGCTCTTGGTTTTGTCAACCGGGAGAATCTCCTTTGTGTGAACAAAATCGATGCCAAACCCCCTTTCTTCACCGGCTCCGGATTCATATTCGCATGCTTTTCTTTTCGATACCCAAGGCTTAAGTGGCTATGAGAGGGCCCTGTACCAAGGTATAGGCCAGAGTACAATGCCAAGTCTTTGCTTTTGTCTTCTTCATACGGAAGCCAAGCGGACACGTGCGCCCAATCTTTTTCACATTGCTTCGAGATGGACTTAGTTCGACGAGAGGCTGACGTACATGGGTGGTTCGACACCAGATATGAGACAAGGAAAAATATCGAAAAGAACAAGAGGCCGTGTAGGCAACAATACCCTCTGCGTATGCTCTGGAGGCGAAATACATCCTACTATGGCTGCTGGGAGGAACAAGCACAACAATATGGCAGCCAACATGTGAATAACCAAGTAACAGAACAAACAGGATGAATTAATTGTTTCATTCCAAGCCAATTTCCCATCTTGACCAAGAAAAAGATCCTCGAGTGATATAACGAAAACATAAAGTCAACAGCCAAAACACCATATCCACCACACCTAGCCCAAATCCGTATAACAGTAGGAATAGCAGAATCGCTAGTCTCCTAAGAGATAGCGGGCATATAAAACAGAAATTTCAAAAGAAGAATGCTCTGGCTCCTTGTTTGCTTGCGGTGATACCTTTATATCCCATAGATGTAAATGGCAATCTCGACGAGCAACGAGACGAGGCTCGCCCTGATCATTCCGGCTCAAAAGAGAGAACACGCGCGCGCCCCCGAAAACCTCAACTTGAAGACGCAAGGATATGTGTGCAACCCAAAAGAGTAAAGAAGGGGGGGATAAAGGCAGACATGGACCGTTGTTATATGCAGAGAGCAATGAAAGAGATATAGCCAAACAAAACCGAGTACAGAGACGTCTAGAACGCTTCAAACCAGACCGTCATCCACCGAGAAACCCATCGCACTAGTCACCGGCGGACATGACGATCTGGGCCAGGTGATGATCGCTGCCTCCTAAGTTCGCAACGCAAGGCTATAATGGCCATAAGATGAAATAAAAATAAAAATAAAAAATAAAATAAAAAGGACAAGCATGTTTGGGAGGGAGTAGAGGGAGTAGAGGGAGAAGAGGGGTATCGTAATAGCTGAAAATGTTGATTGTAATTAGACCGTGAGCCAGTCAGAGCAAAGGCCAGGGAGAGTATTTCAGATATGGCTGGTTGCGACAAGGCTAGATTTCCCTTCACCTGCTGTGGGACCTCATGAAGTGCTAGAAACCGCGTCAATTACCGCGCGCGGTCAACGTGGGCTTGTCAAGGTGGTGCCACATACCCTAGTCAAGGCATCATCGGAAGGGGCTGCAGCTGCCGCGGGTCCTTTACTGAGAGTCTCAGTCGAAGTAAAAGCTCGAGACTCGAGAGCGGGACGGTGCGGAAGACCTGCTTGCTTCGCCGCCTCCACTGTCTCAACTTGGCGGTTCAGCTCACGCTCTCGATTCTTTTCCAGAAGCTCACAGCCAAGGGTGGCACACTTGAAAATGGTTTGGATCAAGTGGTTTGGCTGGAGAGGCTTCGAAAGGTATTCGTCCATCTGCGCCTGGATGCACTTTTCGCGGTCACCCATCATAGCATGCGCCGTCAAGGCGATAATGGGAGTGCGGTAGTCGCCGCGCTGTTTTTCGTACTCTCGGATCTTCTCCGTCGCTTCAAATCCGCCCTGTTTGAAGGTTAGTTTACATACGACGCAATATGATGAAGGTAGAGAAGCAGGCAGTGTAGTATGTGCGTGTGTGTGTGTGTGTATGTGTGTGCGAGCGGGAGTTAGGTTTGGGGGGGTCATACCATGATAGGCATCTGAACATCCATGAGGATGACATCAAACCTCTTGACTTTGATGGCCTCGACAGCTTCAAGACCGTTGCCCACCACAGTAACGACATGGTGGTAGTTCTCCAAAATCTTGACCGCGAGACGCTGGTTAACGGTGTTATCCTCGGCTAGCAAAATCTCAAACGACTTGGTAGTGTCTGCGAGCGAAGGAGTGGCCCGATTCTCCAGGGCAGGGACCATGGCGTTGCCTAGATCCGTTGTCGTGCATGGAGTCGTCATGTACGAGGTAATTCCAAGGTCCAAACACGATTTCAAGCTGACGTGTACGATGGGCGCAAGGAGAACGATGGGCAAGTACTTGAAGTCGTCAACCGCCCTCAAAAGACGAGCTGTCTCAATCGAGTCGACTAGGATCACGTCATATGGCAAGTTCGACTGGTCCTTAAGCGAGGCAATTGACTTGCTCTCCTCCGACTTCACCACGATAGGCACCAGCTCCATCTCTTCAAGCATAGTCTTGATCCTAGGCCCGAAGTTGGTTTGCGCCTTGTCAATGAAAAGGACCTGGTGTCCTCTGTACTGGCTGAAGTCCATTCTTGGAACGACGTCCTCGGGGGCCACCCTGACTCGGCAGGTAAAGTGGAACTCGCTACCAGTGCCGAACTTGCTGTTTACCCATAGGTCGCCGCCCATGAGGTTGACCAGGCGTTTCGAAATAGAGAGACCAAGACCAGTGCCGCCAAACTTGCGCGTCATGGAGCCATCAGCTTGCTGGAAGGTATCGAAAATGAGGTCCAACTTATCGGGGGCAATGCCAATGCCAGTGTCTGTCACGACGAACTCAATTGTGTACTCGCCCTCGGTGGTGTCCGCGCCGAATTTCTTGATTGTTAGGCTGACCTCGCCATTTTCGGTGAACTTGATGGCATTTCCAACAAGGTTGAGAATGACTTGACGGAGACGGAAGGAGTCACCAATCAAGTGGTCCGGAACGGAGCTGTCTACTTTATAAGTGAGATCCAGGACCTTCTCGTTGGCTTTGACGGCGAGTGTTTTTAAGGCGTTGAAAACCGTGCCGCGGAGGGTGAAGGGAATCTCTTCTAGCACCATCCTCCGCGCTTCAATCTTGGAAAGATCCAAAATGTCATCGATGATTGTCAGTAAACTATTGGCCAGGTTATGGACGATATTCAGCATCTCTCGTTGATACTGCGTGAGATCGGTATCCAGGGTCAGTTGAGTCATGCCGATGATGCCATTCATCGGAGTTCGAATCTCGTGGGACATGTTCGCCAGGAACTCGGATTTTGTCTTGTTGGCAAGCTCGGCGGCTTCCCTAGCTTGGGTGTTACGGTGGATACTGTCCCGGAGGTTCGAAACCATGAGGTTGATTTTCCGTTTCAGCTCATCCATTTCTCCAGATGCTTCAACATCCACGAGTTTGGTGAAATCGCCATCGGTGGCTAGATTTGTGATGTCGGAGAAGGCACGCACTTGGGTTGTCTACAGAGGACGTTAGCTCAGGAACCGAGAGCTCGTTTGTGCGGTCTTTGCCAATGTTTAAGCTTACCAGATTGCTCGCCATAGTGTTCACGTCGGTAGTGATCTCCTTCCAACGCCCCTCTAGGCCGACTATATTCGCTTGGGCGCCCATCTTACCGTCCACTCCGACATCCTTGGCAACCCTTTGCACCTCGTTGCAGAAGTTGGAGAGGCGATCAACCATGTCATTGATCGTCTGTTTGAGTACTAGTATTTCTCCCTTGGCCTCGACCTTGATCTTGCGGCTCATATCACCATTGGCAATGGCTTGTGTGACCTCGGAAATGCTTCGGACCTGAGGAAAACCACACCCCCGTTAGCTCATGACACCCGCCCGGCCCCTGCGGGACGAGGACTTGGGGTATACATACCTGAACCGTCAAGTTGGAGGCCATTGTGTTGACATTCTCCGTGAGGTCCTTCCATTTGCCTTCAACGTTTGCGACTTGGGCCTGGCCGCCAAGCGTACCGTCTGTGCCGACTTCCCTGGCGACCTTGCTCACCTCAAAGGCAAAGGTACCAAGGCGATCCACCATGGTGTTAATGGTATTCTTGAGATCAAGAATCTCTCCCTTTACTGGAACTGAAATCTTTTTCGAGAGATCGCCCTTGGCAACGGCGGACGTGACATTGGCAATTTCACGCACTTGTGTTGTAAGGTTCATAGCCATGCCGTTCACATTTTCGGTGAGGTCTCGCCAGGTTCCCTCAACATCGTGGACGGTCGCCTGTCCACCAAGCCGGCCCTCAGTGCCGACCTCTCTTGCAATCTTTGTGACTTCGCGTGCAAACTGTTGGAGCTGGTCTACCATTGAATTGATGGTTGATTTGAGTTCGAGGATTTCGCCCCGGCAGTCGGCCTGCACCTTCTGGGTCAAGTCGCCCTTAGCGACGGCCGTCGTGACATTGATGATATCTCGTACTTGGGTAGTCAGGTTGTTGGCCATGGCGTTGACATTGACGGTGAGATCATTCCACATGCCCTTGACACCCTCGACGTCCGCTTGGCCTCCAAGGATACCCTCGGTACCGACATCACGGGCAACGCGAGTCACTTCAGCAGCGAATGTTCTAAGTTGGTCTACCATGGTGTTAATAGTCTGTTGCAGTTGGAGGATCTCGCCCTTTGCCGGACGTTCGATCTTCTTCGTGAGGTCACCGTGGGCGACAGCCGTGGTAACCGATGCAATTTCGCGCACTATGATAAGTAGAGCACCACTCGTTAGCTTCAAAACAATGGGACGAAGGGGATTGGCAATAATGTTCAAAAGGGTATTTAGGCTAGGTACCTTGATCCGTGAGGTTCTGGGCCATGACGTTGACTAATTGACACGAGTTAGCATGATAGGTTTTGGGTTGGAGGAACGCCACGAGGGGACGTCGGGCATGCATACCGTTATCCGTCAGCTCTTTCCAAGTTCCGTCAACACCGTCGATGCGAGCCTGACCGCCGAGCAACCCTTCGGTTCCGACCTCTCGGGCAACCCTGGAGACTTCGCTAGCGAAAACTTGCAGCTGGTCCATCATGGTATTGATGGTGCGTTTGAAGGTGGTAATCTCGGGGTCCATCTCAACAGAGTTCATGCGAACCTTCTTGGAGAGATCGCCACGCGCTACAGCGGTTACGATTTCACCAATCTCTCGAAGTGCCTTTTGGAAAGCCTCATTCGCCTTCTGATGTTTCCAAAGCTCGCGTTCGAGTGCTGCGACGCGCTCTCGCTCGATGGCAGCGATTGCCTTTTCGGTCATTTGTCTCTGCTCGGATAATTTGGCATCTATGCCGTCGAGTTCTTGCCGTTGGTGAAGTATCAATTTGGACTGGTCCTTGACATGCGCTTGCAAGCCTTGCAAGCCTTCTCGAGCATCTTCGGTCAGCTGTCCAGCCAAAAAGAGTGGATCGTCCGAGCTACCTTGTTTGCAGTTAACTGGCTTCTCCTTGGAGGATGGCCGACTATTCGTTGACAAAGAGGATCCTGAATCGTCGCCAAAAACCGAGTCGGAAGTCTCGTTTGGGGTTTCGGGAAATGCGGAAACGGGGTGGGTTCGGTTTTCGAGCTGGTGAATCCTGATAGCGACCTTGGCAAGTTCTTGCTCGAGAGCACGCTTGCCTGGCGTATCGCGCCCGGGGAGTTTGAAGTCGTACTCATAGTCGGATGGGAGGGGGTCGTGGTGATTGCCGTCAATAGCTAGAGATTGTATGAAGGCCGCTGCGGCGGCCAGGGCGCCGTCGTCGACCATGGCGCCGAAAAGATTCGGCACGCGGATTCAATCAAAGAGCAAGAAATCGTCTGAAATAAATGTATTGGGGGACCCAAAAGAGGGGGTTGCTGAACAAGGTCAGGGGATTGAAAAGAAGGGGAAGGAAGAAGGAAGGAGAAAAGTTGAAAACACGACGAGTTGCAAAGGGTCAGCAGCGAGCCGTGTGAGGTCGTGGGCTGGAGATCAAGTTTGCTCGATCAGAGGGGAGCAGGATTAAATCTCGCTCCCGTTTCAACACGAGCGAAAGATCGAACCAGGCGACATAATATCACCAGTGCGGAGAAGAGAGGGGAATGAGACCGCCCAGTTGAATGAGTTCGATTTGGGCAGGACAAAATAAAGCAGTGCAGGTTCTCGGTAGCGGGGAGGAGATGCAAAAGGGGGGTGAGGTGATGCGAAAGCGAAAGGTCGATAGTAGTTGCCGCCTAGAGGCGGAAGCGGTTTGATGGGGGTCTCTGTCTGGTTGGATAATGGAGAGGTCTGCTTGGGGGCAGATGAGGAGTGCAGGGAAAGGGGACAATAAGGCGAAGGGGGAAGGGCAGGTCAAGGGATCAATGGGACGCTAATAGGTGACTGTGGAGGAACAGGGAAAGGGGACCAATGGTTTTCGAGGGCCTGAGGAGAGAAGCGAAGACGCGAAGAAAAAAGAGAGAAAAGAAGAAAAGAAAAAGAAAAAGAAAAGACAAAAAGAGCCATGGGGCTCGAGGCCGGAAGGACGGCGCTCCAGCTCCCAAGCCAGTACGCTCAACCCTTCTAGTCCCGGCTCCCAACTTGAAATATTAGTATTACAGCTTGATCGCATCCCCTAACTCGGCCGTGTATGTATTTGTAGCTACTTTGATGGAATGCTTAACGCTTCATTCTCCATGGCAGCAGCAGTGTTCAACAGCCGATGGAGTTACGAAGTACACAGCTACCATTGTAGCAAGCTGGGAAGCCAAGACCAGCTCTGTGCCCTGTCTAAATACTGGTCAATTTGAATGTGGAATTATCGCCAGACCAGCCAGACGGCCAGACAGGAGACCACCTGGATAAAGCTGGGGGAAGGGGGACTGAGGGGCGAGGCTTCAAGGGAGCCAGCTAATGGCACTTCGACTCCATACACCCACCTCCTTCGAATGGGGGAGGAGGCGAACTTGCGCCTGGGCTTGGGGGTACCTCAGCAGTCACTTTGAGACGAGAGGCAATGCCATCCCCGCACCTCGCTCGCGGTACTCGGGTAGAGGAACCTTGACCTTTGCCCTTCGCTATCTTTTTCCCACGGACTTCTGGATTCTACAAGTAGACGCCACCTTGAATATGCACTGGACGCGAGGGTGGATGAGGCGCCCATTCCCTGACCGCAAAACCGCCTTGTGGATGGACGGTTCACTTCCTACAACCAAAAATAAGACTCTTTCCCGTGTTTGAGGTGGGGAAGGCAAACGTCTTCGCTCCTGACTGACCAAGTAGCTCCGCCTATCCTCATGTCACCCCTCCCAAGATTTCCCATCGATCGATAGATGACATGTGGGACAGCGGCACTGGTAACCCTCTCTAACAAGGAAGCTGCTTGGCTGGCTTGGCTGGGAAGGTTGACCATAGGCACATCCATGGATGGATTGATCAATTGGCGAAGCACCAGCCTAGCCATGGTGAAGATAAGTGGGTGTGCCAGTACAGTACAACCTAGAAACATCCAGTCCAGTGATCACTTGTGTACAAGCAGAACCGACAGCCCATCCCGCCGCCACCAGTTGTCGATTGTGGAAGTATTGATCCTGGATGCAGCGGTTTTTTTCCCTTGTTCTTTTTTCTTCTTTTGGGGGAGTTAAGTGGGAAGGCCATCTCTTTTGAGGTTCCACCAACGAGCTCGCGGCTGGTGTATCGCGAGTCCATGGCAGAGAAGCCGCCGCTGGGCCCATTTTCTCCTGCGGCGTAACAACGACATAGTTATAATACCTTCAGGTTGACGAATAAGAAGGGCAGTTCAACCAAAGAAGCGCTAGCTACGCCCCAGCGCAACATGGCACATTTTCCCTTGATGTGCAAGGCTCCGGCGAGTGCAGATGCTCTATCACTAACTTATTAGGCACAAAAGAGAAAAATGGTTGACTCAAGTGAACGTGCAGGATTGATCACGGCTGCCCGGGCTCCAGGTTCCAGGTTCAAGCAACCAAAAAAGGAACAGGCGGTGGGCGATATGGACAATCCAAAATCAACATGATGCCTGATGTCTGGCCTGTCGCCTCTCGGCAGCACACTCTGGACCGGATGAGTTTCTGCCCAGGCGTCACGAGGTCCCCTGGTGCTCGAGTTACAGAATACAGATGATGCTCGCTGCGGAAGAGACAAAAAGGTCCCATTATGAGTCCGTCCCCTAATACGGCTATCATCATATTTCACACTGTAAGAGCCAGCACACAAGCGAGGCATCGATAGGAGCTTTCTCTCCTCCTCTCCTCTCCTTTCCTGCTCCCCTCGCCACTTCTTCTTTTTTTTCTTTTTAAAAAAAAAAAGCATTCGGACTTGTGCAATGAGGAATCTTGATCGTATCCAACCTGTTGCACATGAAAAGCATTAAGCCTCATATTCCAACCACCCTCGGTCTCCTCCCCTTGTCATTTTCCCAAGAGAAGACGATCTTTGCGTCAAAAAAGCAACATGGCGAGTTGGCTCTTGGGAGTGAATGCCAAGTACGCGGTCGGTTTCCTGTTTCTAGGTCCCTCTTTCTACTTGGCTCCCCGATCTCGTGCTGTCAGGCCCTCTAATACATTCAACCTCAGCCTGCTGCCCCAGGTGGTTTGATGGAACTCGAACCCTGTGGTGACGAGCTTGGGCTCCACAAGACTTTTAGCAGGCCGCTAGTGGGGACGGGTTGTCACTGCAACAGATACTTGTACCTCAAGGCCAGCGTTTCTGGGAGAGTTCTATTTTCCTTCCATCCCATGACTACTACTAGCCCATGACCCTGGGTCTAGACTCGGATCCTAGAGTGTGGGCCTAGGGGCCAAGTCAAACCGGGTGGTCTTTGTATTTCTACAAAGACAGTATCGATGATACGTGCAGCTCCCGATGCGCGGATCGCTTCGAAGGGCGAGATAATAACACCCTCAACCTTCCGCCAGCCCTCCCTCAAATCTGAGCTGGCCTCCTCCCTGCACGTCGCGCATCTCAAAAGCCCAAAACTCCAAAGGTGCCCGCTAAAGCCCGGCTCTAGGCTTCACGCCGTGCCGGGAAAGAAGCAGGATGAGACAATCGGGGAGCGAGAAATCTGCGATGGCACCTCAAGGGCATCATCGGACAGGAGCAGGAAATAAGGTCAAGGAGGGGAGCAAAGAAGCGTAGATATTCTCTCAGCTAGATTGTGATCTATAATATAAGATCCTCTCGCGGACAGCTATGAGTGGTGATTCGCAGTAGGGAACTCGGAGGCAGAGACATAGCGATACGACCTTGCTCGCGATGCGACGGGATTGACCAAACCACCATGCCTTCAATCTGAAGGCGGGGATCAGGAGGCCAGTACTTGAACTATTCGATTGATTACGGGTTGAACTAATAAGTAGCAGGTTCAAAATGGAATAATCTATCCTCCACCCATCTCTTTAGCTGCGGATGGGTTTCGGTGCCTGTTGGCAGATTAGTGCCGCTGAGCCCGAGGGGTTGAGAGAACCCCCGTCTATGCAGTAAAATCACAATAAAATGGATCTATATCAGACTGGAGCACTCGCGGCACTGTACTTGTACGAAAGCCCCGCTTATTAGGAGATCAAGCTGGAGCTAGTCCTCCGAAAATGGCGGTGATGAGGCAGATCCAAGGATGAATTGACCCAAGAAAAAGGAGGAAAAAGAGAAACCCCCCGACCAAAGAAAGGGAGGGACATAAGAATGGTTAGGCTTATCCATGACTGGTAGTGAAAGCTCAAAACCAAGAGTTGAGAACAGTGAGAATCTACAAACAGTGGGACCAGACGGCGTCCAGAGCCCGCAGACGAACTCGTACACAGTACGAAGACGAGGCGTGGACCTTAGTCCCCTTGCCCCGGACGGTCGGCAATCATGTCCCAAAATATCAGTGAAGAGTGGATTCCCTTTCCTTCCAGCTTGACGCTAACTGGCTCCTTGCAATCCCACTGGTGCAACGGCCAGTGCCACTGACGTCACCGAGAGGAGAGTCAAGTCTTGGGGGATTCTGCGGTGGGCGTGACGAGTTCTCTGCATTGGGGCCAGGTGGATCAAAAAGCTTTGAACGTTCTCCCTAGACACGGAGCTGCCCGATGAGGAGAAGAAAGAAGAAGAAGAAAAAAAAAAAAAAAGAGTCGAGGGTGAAGCGCGGGACTTCCTTTCGATGCTTGTTAACCTATGGGAGCCTTGCAAGCGGAAACGGCTGTGTTGGGAGCGCCGGGTTTGATTGAAGGTATGAGCTCGGCAGAGCGAGATCGCCACCAAACCCCCTTCAATTTGCAACCTTGATTCGCCTCGATCGATCCATCCAGCCATCATGTGCCAGGTTGCCAGCCCAAGACCAAGGGTCCCAATCGGAAAAAAGGCCCGCTGAGTCAAAAGGGAGAAGAAGAAGAAAAAGGTCCCTGGGAGACTGTCAAGTTTCATGCTGTTACTGTGGGTGGGAAACCGGGAACTGGGACGATTCAACGGACAAGAGCAAAACCTCGCCGTGCCAGCCCAAGGGAAGGAGGGGGAAAAGTGATCTTTGGCGCCCTAGGCCGATGTCCGTGATTCAAACTTTGGCCAAGCGACCCACGTCCTCCAAAGTAGATACAATGGATCCATAGATCGATGGATCCGTACATATGCATCTCTAGATGTACCTTGGGCCTTCAGAGATAGTCCTTTGGGAAACTGACAAACCGAATCAACAAAGGCTCACTTTCTTTCAATGGCGAACCCGCTTTGGCGGCTTCCAGAAGACATCCATTAGAGGCATTACGCGAGCTACTAGTGTACTTCTAGATGTTCTTGCCGCCGCCTCCAACGGCAAAACGACAGTATATACATGTATGGGAAGAAGCTTTTTCCTACCTTGACTTCAGAGGCAACAAGGGAGAGAGCAGAAGAGAAGGAAGCTCGGACAAAACCGACGGGCGACTCGTCGTTGGTTCAACCACGCAGCCCTTTTGGCGAAAGCAGAGGTTCGGCGAGACGGCGGCATTGACAGCCTGGGGGTCGTGATTGTATCCCAGTTGCGCTGCGCTCCGAGGAAGAACGCTGGTGACGCCGACGACCCGCCGGCTGGTCCCAGACCTGACAGGACTCAGGGAAGGACCCTGAGATAGAACAGCCGGACCTGAAGCGGGTCACGGCTTGAGCTGATCCAAGGTCGGAGTGTAGCCTGTTGTTCTGTGGAGAATGCAAAGATGGTACTGGAACGGCGGATTGTTGGCTACAATACGGCCTATGTTCGAACGCTGATACATCCATACATCATGGATGGATCAGGACGGGGATAGGCGTATACTCCAAGTCGGCTGAAGGCGCGATCAGTGGGTCTTTGCCGATTCCGCAATTAAAAGTGAGGGTACTTTTCGCAAGATCAACAACCTGGTCTCTATCTAGCGCCCACGGTAGGATCCTCTCGGTGATGCGTGTTTTCTTTTCGCCGCCCTCGCACCTTTTTTTTCGGGTGGTGGAAAGGGGGATCTTCTACATTGTACCGGCCTTCACACCGTGATACGAAGGCGAACTGAGCGGGCTCACCTATCAACCCTAACGCCGAATCCCCATATCCCGAGGGAGAAAGGGGTCAAGTTCTAGCGATCCTTCCTTTTCCGACCCTTTTCAGAGCAGCGTGGAATATAAGCCAGCTAGCTTGTTAGTGGCTCCTCTCCCCTGCCTCCCTCCTTGTTCTGGCTTGCTGCCCGGAGCGCAAGGCAGAGAGCAATTGAAAGCTCGTGGCCGGCGACTTCCAACATTCTTTTTCCCATCCGATGCTCGAGGTATTATAGAGACAGCTCCTTGTACGATATGATCGAGAGGCGAGGAAGCACAAACAGCCTTCTTCAACAGTGCGCGTGTCTCGCAGTAGTGGCAAAAAAAAAAAAAAATACCCCCGCCCCATGGCCTTGATAGAGATGGGAAAGACGGCTGCCCACCTTCAAAAATCGCTGCTTCTGTGCGAGGGATATGATATGGATGCTGAAGCGGCTACCCCGGCATGCAGATTGGGAGGGATGGCGTCGTGCCCAGGCGCCATCGCCGCGCCCCAACCATCCAACGGCCCACACCAAGTCACCCACAATCCCACCCACCTCGCGCCCACCACGCTCGAAGTTTTTGAAGACTCGTCGAGCGGTAGCTCGCCAAGGCCCCACGAGCAACTTTCTCCGGTGCCAGGACGCACTGGCACGCGCTAGTGTGGGGACCTGTAAACGAGGCGGATCCGACCTTTTTTTTTTTTTTTTTTTGTGGTCGAGCCGTGGGTTTTGTTCCCGATGGTGATGGGCATAATGAGGGTCTAGATCCTAGAAAGGACCCCTTCGACACGAGGTTTCGAGGGCATTGACTGTGACGAGGGGTTGGTTCCCGAGCTGGCGCGAAATCTGGCGGGACACCCCAAAATAGAAAAACAAAGCTCTCACCTCTCTCTAGTTTCTAGATTTCAAGAAGAAAAATAAAAGAGAAGGAAAACAAACAATCTCGTATAAGGGAAAAGGGCGATAAAAACGGACGGCCCTCTGGGGAATGTATGGTCATCGTAGGATATCACTAGTAGATCGTGCGCTCAAGGGCTCACAACATGGTTCTTTCCCCTTCCCCTCAGGTGGGAGAGGCCGCCCGCGTCTCCTCAATGGTGAACATATCCATCCACCATCTGGATGGTTAGTCTCGAAAAGGCAAAAGGAAGAACCCAGTGAAGAACCCCCTGTCCCGCGTTCTTCTTGCCTAAGCCTTCTATGTAAGGGGCTGCTTGTAGTTCCACGCGCAGTCCCACAATTACGAATGGCAAGTTGCTAAAGCACTCTAAATCGATGCTTTTCAAGCCCTCGACGAGGAGAGTTTGCCTTTGTTGGATGGCAACTTGAGGGTACGGTCCTTCCCTGTGGCCTAGACCGGGGCGGTAAGAACAGACGGCGTGCGCCACCTTTCGAGGGCTCAAACGGAAGTAGAAGTCACCGGGCTATCTAATAACATAGACTACCTACCAATCCGATGGCGTGTGGCGGCAGACCTGGACCTGGTAGTTCTCCTTTGGTCATCAAATTCACTTCTTCACCGCGCACTCTACCTCGGTAGGCAAGGGGGAATCATAGCAATATTCATCGGTACTCAGAAGTTGAATGGTCTGCATCTTACATTAACAGCTAGTCCTTCTCCACGCCAATGACAACGGGTTAGGGGCGGAGCGTAGAATGAGAATCTCGTCAAAAGGAACGCCGAGGGTTTTGCCTCCGTCTTCAACATAACAATGGTAGAATTCGAGCGATGCATTGGAAGTTCGAATATTGCCATTCAAGAGGGTATCCGTAGTCATTAATTCGTGTGAGAGCAATAAGTTTGATGACCAAGTCATCGCTTCCAATACCCCGATCTCGAAAGCCTTTAGCCGATCCCCAAAACGATTAGGTGAGCTTCGCATCGTAGTCCCGAAAGGGGAGAAGGAAGAGGTGGGGTGGGCAGCTACATGGGGAGTTGAAGGCACAGGCAAAGGGCAGACAGGAAAGGGAACGTGGAGGGAGGCAGAAAGAACAAGGGGAAATAATAAGGCAAGACTGAACCGCCAAGGGGCTAAAGGAAGCGAAGGAGCTCCGAAAGTAGTAAAATAAGGCCCAGAGGGAAAAAAAAAAAAGTAATAAAAAAGAAAAGTAAAACAAGAGATGAGGATCCCCATATATAAGGTAGCACCGATGCTACGGCGCCCGTGATACTGTTCCAACGCTCCAAAACGTGATGTTTCAGCGAAGAGGAAGGTTGTTCCGTCCAAAGCTGGAGGACTGGTTAACACTGTTCCGGACAATGAGCGCCGCCGCCGCCGCAGCCGCCTGCCGTTCCTTTTGCCTGTGCCGGTCCTTGAGGTAGCCCGCCGCCTCGGGCCGCATACGTAAGATCCGGAGTATCATATCGTCGTTCGGATCAGCCTGCGCGTCCTTCCGCTTTTCTTCTTTGGCTTTGCGCATCGTACCAAGATTGCGACTCATCATGATGCTTTTGCCTCGGCGAATGGTGCCCATACTGGCGAAAGCCCCAGCTCCGCCCAGCGATGCGCCAAACGCCGCTGGCGCTGAGAGTCTATGGTTGTTCGGCTGCGCCGCCTGCTGGCGTAGCATAGCTTGAGCTCGCTGGGCCGTGGACGCCGCCATCCTCTCCGACTCCCGAATTAGATTGTTCGTTTCCTCGTTGTAGAAGAAATTAAGCGAGGCCAGCTCGTGCCACTTGGCCGACTTCAGAACATCCATCGGAACACCCAGCTGTTCCCCGCTGTGCGCGTCCCGGGCGTTGAAAAACTCGAGGAGTATCTGGAGCCACTGATAGACGATGTCGAGCTCCCTTTGTGTCAACGGCTTCTGCGTCGATGGCTTGTCCGAGAGGGTGGCACAAGAAGACCTTCAATGGCCATGAGCACTTCTTTCCACAGTCTAGTCATGACTGCGAGCATAGTCGCGTCCGTGAGGGTTAGCTTCATGATTGCGAAGTTATCGTTGAAATATTCCAGAAGCATCTCTAGAGCCCCCTCAATATCTTCCCGCCGTAGGGCTGGTGCTTCGGATACGCGCTTCTTCCAGAGGCTCGTCACCGATGCCCCGATACCTCCGGTCTTGGCCAGGTTGCGAAGAGTCTCCCGAGAGAGGGTTGCATCGATATACGACGTAAGCTGCAAAAGCCAGATTTTGGGTTAGCCTCGAGTAAAGAGAAGACCGACGGGTATGGTCTAGCGGAAGCACCGATGGACGGTTGTGACATTACCTTGCCAGTGATCTTGCGGACCATGTCGCGCTCTGTCCTCTTAAGATGCCGGAAAGCCTTTCCAAAAGAGAATTGAATATCATCTCTCTCGCCCTCCATGCTGGCACGCACGAGAAGGCGGCCTTGCGTATCGAGGTCCAGCCAGAACTCCCGGGGCAGGTAGTCGCTGAAGTGGAGAGGGTCAAGCTTCAAGGAGGTCCTGCCCACAAAGTCATGGTCGCCAAACGTATCATAGTCCCAGATTGTAGCGATGAGGTTCAGGGTCCTTGAACTGTAATGTCGACGGACTCGTCCCAGCGCGGATTCAGGTTCCTGTAAATGATTCTGGTCTTGGCGAGCCGCTTCTGGTACTCATCGCCGAGCACAACATACGGATCACTGTAGCCGTTCGGGTCGCATGCTTTGAGATCCTCTGCCTCAATAATCTTCACCGTGAACACGTACTTCGTTGGCTTACGAAGGTGCCTTTTAGGCCCGTCCACTCGTTCAAGGAGCGTGGCGCAACGTTCCACATCCATGGACTTTTCAAGCTTGTCCAGCTCCTGCATAGCAAATTCGATGTTGTTAAGTTTAACAAAGGACTAGGAAGTACGAGTTCTCAAGTTAGCCAGGTGTTGCCAGTCAGGAAGTCTGTTGGCGCTACCACAGGGAGACACGGGAGGGAAAGAAAAAAAAAGATGTATTTGGCACCGGGAAGCAATGCTCGAATAGCTTACCTCAGGGTAAAACTGGAAAGGCTCGATCCTTTCCTTATTGTTCCACGCGTCTTTTGCGTACTGGAAGAACTTTTCCTGCGCTGTCATGTTGGCGACCGCGGTTTCATGGGCACTGGGCCGGTCCATCTCCTTGGCGAACTGCTCCCAGACCACCTCACAGTACCGGCCAATGCCGTTTGCGAATACCCGTGCCAAGGCGGTCATGAATCGAGCGTAGTGAACTTCGTGATTCCATTCCAGCTGGAAAATCTGGTCGGCTGTTTGGTTGAACAGGGTAAACGCGTCCGTTATAGACAAGCTGTGCCGCTGAGAATCCAACGCCATTTGCCCGGGTTTGTCCGGTCTGACTTGAAATTTGTCCTGCTTGATGGCCTCCTCGATATGCCCTTCAACGCTTGCACTTATGACATCGATCCACCTCCAAACAAATGTGACCAGCAGGTCTTCCACGTCAAAGGCAAATGGCTGAGACGGGAGGGTTTCGGTGTGAATGCGACGGAGATCAACAAGCTCCCTATACAAAAGGAACCCTTCATCAATTGGAATCTCCTTATCCTGCTCCTTTGCGCAGGCCATGATCTGCTCTATGATGGCTTTCGCGTCCGCTTGAAAGCTCGGCAGAACCGTCTCCACTAAGGCTTTCTGAGGATTGGCGCCCATGATCTCCGGCGTCTTCTTGTAACGTTTCTTGATCTTTTCGGAGAGCTTTATGACAGCTTGACCAAGCCGTACCACGTGTCCGAAATCCCATTCATCCCTATTGGAAGGTAGTTCGTGGTCCAGAAACGATCTATATACATCGGCGGCCTTTCTCCGGAGCCCGCCGACCAACACCTCGGCGAATTGCTCGTCTTCCTCGGGCGTCCTAGAAAAGTTGGGATCGGGGAGGACGTGGTTAAAGAGGACGCCCATGACGAGGGCAATCGAAGGTGGCTTTGGATCATAACACTGAACTAGCTGGTTGTAAAGATCGCGAAGGAGGGTTTCGTGAAGTGCTTGAAGTGCACGTTGAAATACTGAGCGGTCGTGTACGGTCCAGCGAGAGGGTCCAACGCCGTCAAGGGGGCGGCGTAGTTGGTGATGTAAGGGCCCTTCTTCAATTCCTGGCCCTCAGATTTGACCAAATCCAGCACGGCGTCTAAATCTTCGAGGTTGATCTCCCCGTCATTATATCTCTTGACGGAAATTTCAACGAGGGTGATGAGTCTTGAAGACTGCGGTATGCGCCAGTAGACTGCCAGTTCCATGAGCAGCTCTTGCGAGTGTTTTGATAGGGGGTATAGGGAGCCGATGGGTCCGCCAACGACTGATCGTTGATGATGGCCTGTTGCAGGACGGCCTTGTAGAACGCCCGAGGGTCGTAGGGGATGAAGGTATAATTTGCTTCGTCCACGCTACGAATACTACCAGGATCTTCCGGAGGAGCACGCCCATACTGAGAGACCCGTCGAAACCGAACATGGGAGTCTCGTCGCTGCCCGAGATGAGGCGCGCCAGGTCCGCGTAGGCTTGGTCTTCCTCGTAGCTCGCCGATGGGATGGGAAGTGGTTTATCGAGGATGTTGTCGGTCGTGGACGTTTTCGCCAGCTCTGGTCGAGCGGTAAGGATGTCGAGCATGATGCGTGAGAGGTGCGGGGCTTCGGACTTTTTCCAATCTTCGAAAGCCTCCTCGGCGCTGAAATCGCCGCTGCAAAGCGCACCGGTTATGTTGGAGTTGAGCCGATGCTGATAGCTCTTGAGGTCTCGGAGAGCAGCCTCCTCCGTCCAGTTGGGTTTGTTGTTGTGGATTTCTGCCTGGGCGTGGGAGTCGGGGTAGCCAAAAATTTTGGCGACAGTCTGTACCAATGGCATATCTTTGACGTCGTAGCTAAAGGGCACCACAACCTCGATGGTCTTACCTGTGCTGCCCTGGCTACCAGAGTCTATGAGGTTCTGGTCGTTGGTCAACAGCTTATTCTCCAGCGTGGTAAGTTTATTCAAGAGCTCAGGCCTATCACGGTCCTGGCCTTGGTCTCGAAGGATCTTGATCGTGAGGCGAATGAAGAGCGCAACGTGACGGTCTGGAAGCAGTCTCCAGGACTCGTCTCCCGGCGCCGCAGCCTTCTGGGCGGCTTTGGTTGCGGACGAGAAGAAGATGAGGACGAGGGGTTCAATCTTGCGCTCCTTGTCCATTGTTTTTGGAAGCTCTTTTCGGTGAAAGCAGTGTAGGCTTCGGCGAAGCATCGTTTAACAGCGGCATCGTTAAACCCGGGCATCCTTTCAATGCCCCGAAGGACTCCTGCATCCGGTCCAAAAGTGCGCCGCGGAAGCTGTGGGGCAGCTTCATGCTGCCGCCCGTGTTGCCAGTCGAGACAAAGTCTTGCACAAGATGTCCCATGCTCGAGTGCGAGCGATTGTGTAAAGGTTTTGGTGGGGCGTTGACATATTGCTTCCGTCGGGCGCGAGGTTGGAGGAGGTGGTAGAGAAAGGCGGTTCGGAGGGCATAGGTGAAGGCCTCATCGCGATCAACGACAGCAGCCCGCTGAGCCCTAGAGGCCGCTCGGGGCCTTCTAGGCATGCGATTGCTGCTGAGGTGACGACTCGGTTGATACGACCGGTTTGAGGCAGTCGACATGGTGGCGGTGATGGGCCAGGTCGGGACTCGCTATCACGGGTCAAAAGGTCAAAAGGAGGGGTTCGCGGGATGGTGGAACACGAGCCGGACGTCAGAACAAAAGGGATCACAGTCAGCAGAACAGCAGGATTTGCATTCTGGAGACCGTGAGCCCCAAATGAAAGTAGGAAGAGGAGAAAAGGAGAGGGAGGACAAAGGAGGAAGCAGGGACTAGTCGGGGCCCTTGGCGAAGCTCACAGCATGGAAGGTTGCTTGGGCGGCTTAAAAGAGTGAGAGGAGATATGGGGGTAGAAGACCCAGGGGCGGAGCGAGTTGGTGACGAAGCGCTGTCCGAGCTCAGGGATTCCGGGGTAAAAGGAGCAAGTAAGGCTGACGCTCAAAGGGCTTTCATAAGAATTGTGATGACAAAAATGAGCAAAAAGGAAGAGAAGAAGAAAGGCGGGCTCCGTGTCCTTGGAGTGCGGTGGGTGAGGATAATGGATTGAGCCAGACCTTGCTCAGACCTAGTGTATGTGATGCTCAACTCAATGTCCACATTTCAAAGGTTCAATGTTCTATGCTCAGTCTTGAAACGAAAGGCGGCGAGGCCTAGCGGGGTTCCGGCCCTGGAGCATTGGGTAGCAGCGACTGCAAGATTAAACGTCATTGCTGGTGGCCAGCCACAGAGACACCAAACAAGCACTGAGCCAGCCGGTATGATCCAATAGATCCATCATCAATTTTCAGCTCCACATACCATCTACGCTGGGTGGGCTAGCGGCTGGCGCTGCCATTGAGCCAATCCCTTGGGTGTGTGTTGGATGGGTCAACGCGCAGTATGTGCATCCGCGACGGCTTTTCAGGAGACAACTTGAATCAACGACATATCAGATCAATCTGGTGGTGTAACATCAATCGCCTCGAATGTGAACAGAGTTGATAGTCTAGCACTAAAGGCCCCGCGTGTATTAGGGTCTCAGGGTCTCAGGGTTTCAGGGTCCTCGATACGGATCATTTGAAGATATCGCGATTCAATCCCCACTCCCGAGGTATTCCACTTCAGGGACCCTGGGTTGAGGCCATTTGATGGGCCGATTTCACCCAGCGTCCACGAGACTCTGTCCACAAATTTAACATCGTATCAATTATTAGCAGCGCCACCGATATTGGTCCCTGCCCAGGGCGGCTAGAGCCTGTTGCGTTGAACAATGGACTCCGTATTTGACCATCTCATTTCACCCATTGCACATGAGCTATGACCCGATATTCCTAGCATGGGCAATGATGACTACGCGTATTCCATCACATCCACTAATTAATACAGTAGAGCTCCGAGGTGAGAGTTGCTTACATGAGGGTTGGGAACACCAAAGTGGCAAAAGGCAGTTGAGAAAGCCGGTCGGATCCCCAACTTGAATTATTAGACTCCAGTGAAGTGCCCTTTCCTCGTTCTCTTGGAGGTACATGGAGCCAAAATCATGGAGGGTAATATAAGGAATGGAAACTTGAAATGGATCAATGATCATTCTGCTATCTGAACCCACTCAGAGACCTACCTCTGTTACCATGCATGATTTAGATTTGTAAACTCATTCTTACTTGCTCAGCGGAAAGGTTCTCAAGACCAGGGAAGAAGTGCCCCATGGCAAGGGTCTGTTGCGTCTGATCAGAAATAAATTGATGGGCTACGCCATGCAAGTAGCCCTATCCTCTTGTTTGCTTTTTCCCATTTCTCTTTTTCTTTTCTTTTCACCCGTTTCCCCAGGATATGATATGCCTCTCGTAGCCTCTCTCATGCCACGGGCATGACAGGCAGTAGCGAGGTAGTACATGTAAGGAATCGAAATCCCCCAAGGCGAACATCTAAACGTCCCGCCAGCCAAAATTATCAAAGGCCCAGGGACTTCCACAAGATGAGACAGGGCCTTTATTGTGGCTGTCGGGCCCAACCGACACAGACAACAACACACGCTTCGGACACCTTTCTGTAAGTTGAAAGAACCTTGCTTTGAACAAAAGCACAGAAAATGTCCGATCTTAGGCCAACCGTTGGTATTGGACGAAAGTGGTCTGTGATCAATCAAAGGCAACAATAGATCTCTCTGATGACACTCGCGAACAATCGCCCTAGGGCCGGAGCTACATTTGCGATGGCTAAAACTTGCTGCATCGACCGTAAATAATGGAATTGGATCGCATGGAGTTGGGAAGGATTGAAGAGCTGGCCCATAGATGTCATTGAATGAATGGATGTTTAAACTAAGTAGTCGATCACGCGTGTCGGTCGTGTGGCTCCCTTCAAGTTGCCACACATCTCTGGTGATCAAGGCAGCTGGGCTGGACTACGCACCCACGACCAGCGAGGCAGAGGAAACCGCCTTCTCTCCTCTAGGGGTCAAGACAGAGGTCTTCAGTCGGGCCTATTTCAAGCGACAGTGAGGTGTTTCAATGATTTGTTTTACTCGCGTGGGTGAGGTGGAAGGAAACCGCACCGAAACACACATTGATGCTGGTGGGCGAGATGAGACGGGGACGGGCCTTCTTGTTCACGCGCCCACTTTTGTCTCTAATGCGATCTTCTACGCTGAGAATGCTGAGCAAAGAGAGCACTTGGGAGGTGGATTGCAAGTGCACCCAAGGACTTCAAGTTCTTGAATATTAGCTCCAGTGTCGGGTGGATCTATTCATCCCCCGGTACCCTCTCAGTCTCCACAAGAGGAATTGTGCGAGGAACCATCAATCAATAGCACTCTCCGAAAATTTGATACAGTTGAGCACGCATAGATGAAGGAAATGAGTCTTTGGGTCATAAACTTGCACGAGTCCCCTTGGTGGCACCGAGAGGGCCTGTTGGCAAAGGGCTCGAATGAAACTGCTCAACCCGCGGACACATTCTTTTTGATCTCGAGACACCGACGGGTACATGTACTCTGAGTCATCAACAAGACCTCAAGCTCGAGGTAATCATGGCAAGCATGGGTGGGCAAGGTGGGCAATGGGGAATAATGGACCTGTGAAGTATACACACACACAGATACACCGTCGCCGATGTGGCACCCATTCTTGCCATTGTCCCACAGATTCTCTCATTTGTCAGGTGAGGCACACAGTACGCATAAAGGGAAAGCACAAGACGAGAACACGAGGGAAAAGTTATCATCACTCCATGGCCTCTTGAACATTTCGATACGCACTCGGAATTCCCTGCCTCATGGAACTGACCTCACCGCAAGCGGTGGGTCACCCATCATAGAGGCATCTATCACTGGGTTCGAGGGCAGAGGGCAGCCAAGACCCGCCTCAAACCACCCATCAATATATGTGCCGCCAGACAAGAGGTGCAAGTCCTCCAAGTCGGACTGGGTCCAGGGGACTTCTGCTCTGAGGTTTAGCAAAACGATTTATTATACCTTGGTAGATCCACATATCTATTGTTGTTTGTTCCTTGCCGGCAGTGGCTGGGGGAAGCAGGAGGGTCCCCTTCCCCGTTTTGGCACGGTTCGCAAGTTTCTCCAGAGTGATCAATTGGGAGCGCGAGGGGTTCCAAGGGATCGACCCTATTGTCTGTAGCGGCAGTGTCTGCAATGTGCTAGTGTTTGATGTCCCTCGTGTCTGATTTCTTTTGGACTGATCCGATATTGATCCATCCCATCCATACACTACATCCATATCTGGCTCTATTGTATCCCTGAATGGATTGATCAATCCCCTTCAATGTTAACAGCCGACCTTTGATCAATTGTAGGCGTGTTGTGCGTCCACGTAATCCAAGAATGGGGCCCATTGAATCAATCCTTTAGACAGATTCCCCTGCTCAAGACTCTGGTGCCTTTTATTAATATGTAACAGGACCTATCAGTTGATTCATGTACCCTCCTGCGAGACCGTTCAGATGTGCTAGAGATTCCGGCAGGGGATCCTTTTGACGTAGCCCTAACCTCGCGCAGTGCTCCTTGCAGTCATTATGGGTCAATGGCCGTGCAACTCTCGTGTTCCCGCATATCGAAAACTAGCCGCGCCGCACGGTACCCTCGCCAAATTCTGCTCTGCGGGTCTGAAGTAGGTTCGCATGCCCTCCCCTGCAACTTGGGGCCCGGCTTTGCTTCCTCTCCTCAATGCCATTGAACAGAGCCCACCGCCACACACCGCCCTGGGGAAGGTCGGGGAGCGGCCACTGAAAGCCCGCAAAAATCAACCAAAACCCGTCCGGTGCCAGTTGGGACTGGAGAACATTGAATTGATCCAACTTGCAACCGTCCCCGCCTCCACCCGCCTCCGCCAATACTTTTTCAATCTACTCAGGCAGCTTCAGAGTTCTGCCCCGCGCCATTTGAAATTGACCCCCATCGATCGTTGGCCAGTGTAACGGTGTGCTTCTCCATGAGTGCGACGGTTCACTCTTCAAATGGTCAATACCACTGCCAATCTTCTCCCTCTGCTAAACCGGCCGAAAAATTTCCTTGATCGGGCTTGAATCACCTCCTCCAAGTGCACCAGTCTAGCCTACGCAGGTGTAGTTCGGATCCCCCCCTCCCTTCCTTCCATCACCCCTCGCACAGGCTCCCAGGTCGTGGGCATTCTGGCACACTCCTAATACAAACCTCCCCTCCTCCAGCGACCAACGTCGAACATTGATTGTTCCCGTGTCCGATATACCGCTTCAAGCCACAGTGGTTTTAAGCCGAATCGCGTTGTCCACTCCCTAAGCTGGCGCCTAGACGATAAAATCTCTTTTGCTCTACACCATCGTTGCCTTCTTTTTTTTTATTCTTTATTATTACATCGGCTAGGCGCGCGCAAGATCTGTTTCATGTAGCCTCCCCACCTCCACCCCTCGCTTTCTCTCCCACCTCTTGTCCCTCCCTTGATACCAATCTCGAAGCTTTGCTTTGTGCCTCGCCATGGGTAATATCGCGAGCAGACCTGACGAGGGTGGCGCCCTCTACCTCAGAGATCAAAATCGCCGTAAGTTGGCCTCTTCCTTGCCCCAGTCTTGGACCACTGCATGCAAAGCATGTGCTGCCGGGGAGCCCTAGTTTTTGAGAGCTACTGCTCCGCCGTGGCTGCCTTCGCCCTGCCTGTGGCCGACCGGGAGTATAATCGTCGCACATTACTCACAGATACCTTCTCTACAGTAACCATCTCCTCGCTTGTCATATCCAACCGCCGACGTTCCTCTACGCTCAATGTCGTCCCACATGGCTTCCCCGCCTCCCGACTCTCTGTCAGTCGCTCGGCAGGAGACAGTAGCCCTGTCGAGTTTGTTCAAGTGCGAATCGACCCTTCTTCCCTACTCATAGATGCCTACCCCCTCCCCTCTTGGCGGCTGCTCCTTTTGCCGCGTCTCACCGGGGCTCTGGCCCAGCTAATAGTTCTTCATGAATGCTAACATCCTCGTTCTCGGCGAAATAGGATCCCGAACCTGCTAACGGGGCACCTGATTTCCTGCTCAAGGTTGTAAACGACGACGAACTCATATTTACCTTCACTTTCATTCTTCGACGATCGCCCACCACCCCCTCAGAAGCCGCCGCGCAGGCGCCAGATACACGTATCAACGCGCTTACCTATGTCTATGCCTCGACCCCAAAGGAGGTAGAGAACTTGGTCACACGCGAATTCAATGCCGATCCAAATCTTCACAGGAACTCCAATGTTGCCCTAGTTGGAGACTACGCGACAGAGGGGAACTCATCCGTCACGTTTGTGTGGAAGTGGAAGTGGAAGCCTCCTCGGCTCAGCGATGATCGTAGTAATGGGTGGAGGAATTCGTGCAGCGTATGGCATGGCCCCGTTGGCATTTCCCTTAGCTCCATTGGCTGACCCTGCTCTAGTTTGTCGAGTATAACCCACACGCCAACTGCTTCAATACCCTAGCAAGCTTCTCCTACTGGGTATCGAGTAAGTTCTTTCTACGCAGGCTCCTACTATTACTCCTCAGCTCTAATCAAAACGTCTCCTCAAGGTCCCCCATGTCTCTGAGCAACCCTTCCTCCCCGATACCCCCGTTGCTCTTGGCATCACCCCTAAGCCTAGAGCTGTCTCGTCGCAAACTGTCGACTCCCACATCAGCGCCATGGACCAGGATGAGCCTGTGTCGCCTCTGGCGCCAATCTATGAGCCGGGGATCGGCGGCTTTCCGCCCATGTCTCTAGCGCAGGCTGGTGGTCCTGTGCAACCCGGCCCGCCTCCGACCGTGCGAGAGCCCGTAAAAGTCGACGTAGCGTGTCCTAAGCCTACGGATGATGTGACGGTAGCAGACGACGGCCCCTTATTCCGAGCCACCATCAAGGCACTGGAGCAGAAAACGGGCAACATGCGTGTCAAGCTGAAACGAGTCCTCAAGCAAGCCGAGCGAGCGTATAACGCTCAGATGGAAGCCAACGACGCGCTCGCCAACTTCACGGAGTCGTTGCGGGGTGCATCCAATACTAACGCCAACGCTGTACAGCCCGTCATTGACCATTACTTTGACAAGATCGCCAGGGAGATTCTATACTACGAGCGCCAGAATACGATAAACCTGCAGAAAATCATCATTGAGCCCTTGAACAAACTCTACATTCACGATATTAAACAAGCGGATTCCAAAAGAGGGATTTTGAGGAGGAGAGCAAAGATTACTACAGCTACGTTTCTCGATATCTAGGTCAGCGGCACGACTCCGTCAAGGCTAAGAAGCTTGCCGAGAGTGACAGCAAATACCAGACAAAACGACGGAACTTCGAGTTAAAGAGGTTCGATTACTCTAGCTTTATGCAGGACCTCCACGGTGGCCGCAAAGAGCAAGAGGTCCTCTCGCATCTCACCAAATACGCCGACGCCCAGACGCAGGGTTTTCTAACCGCGGCCCGAAAGATTGATTCTCTCTTGCCCCAACTCGAGGCCCTTTCGAGCGAAGTGCAAGAGGCTGATAAGGAATACCAATACCAACGTCGGGAGAGGGAAGAGAAGCGTAGGCTTCTAGAAAAGAGCAATCTCTCTTACGTAGAGCCGGAACCAGTGCCTGTAAATTTTCCACCTCCGCCCCCACGGCCTCGAATGGCGGGGGCTACCAGTCTCATTCCGATACGGAACTTGGCCGCGCCGACAGCACCGGCTCTCAGTGGAGGCCTGCCAACCCTAGTCCCGCCGGGCCTGGCGTATCGTCTAGTGCGGCAGAGCTATCGAGGTCTCCTGGCAGCCTCTCACAAGCCACTGCCTCGGTTGCAGCGCAGAATGCCAAGTTCAAGGGAATTCGCGATCTCGAAGAGCGCGACTACGGCCAGTTGAATAGCGGTGGTCGGTCGATATCTCAGAGAAAGGAGGGCTTGCTCTGGGCTCTGAGTCGCCCCGGAAGCCATGTTGATCCCAGGGCCCAGCTCAAGGCTGGCTGGCACAAGTAAGTCAAGCAATGGGCTCTGCCCGGGGTAGGATGCTTGGATGATGCCGCAGGCGGCTAACCAATGACTTGATTTAGATTCTGGATCGTCCTGGACCAAGGGAAGCTTTCCGAGTACAGCAACTGGAAACAGAGACTAGACTTGCACATGGACCCTATAGACTTGCGGATGGCGTCTGTCAGGGAAGCGCGCAACGCCGAACGTCGGTTTTGCTTCGAGGTCATCACCCCGAATTTCAAGCGCGTTTACCAAGCCACCTCTGAAGAAGACATGAACTCGTGGATCATGTCGATCAACAATGCGCTCCAAAGCGCTGTGGAAGGACGCGGGCTCCGAGAAAAGCCGGAACCGACCACTCCAGTTGTCGAATCTAGCGGCAATTCCTTCAAGCGTGACATCACGTCCATCCTCACCGGCAAGAGCCCACACCACCACCACATCGTGCCGTATAACCCCACAGTGGCTCCTCGGGAATTCCCTCGCGGCGCACGACCGTGGCGAGTAGGCCCTCGACGAATCGAACCGTCAGCTCCAATTTTGAAGATGACCCCGACAGATTGCTTCAAATGTTGCGCGACAACGACAAAGGCAACAATTGGTGCGCCGACTGCGGCTCTGGGTCCAAGGTTGAATGGGTTTCAATCAACCTAGCCATCATTCTCTGCATCGAGTGCAGCGGTATTCACAGATCTTTGGGCACGCACATTAGCAAAGTCCGCTCCTTGACGCTAGACATCACGTCTTTCACGCCCGATATCGTCGAGCTTCTCCTTCTTGTGGGCAACCGCGTCTCAAATATGGTATGGGAGGCGAGGCTAGATCCCTCCCTAAAGCCGGCCCCGCAGGCAACGAGAGAGCAGCGGCTCAAGTTTATCACAGCCAAGTATGTCGACCGCGCATACATAGAACCCATTTCGCCAACGCTCTCCCGTTATGGTACTCCGGATGAGACGTTGTTAGCGGCCATCAAGAAAAACGACGTGCAGCAGATCTTGTACGCTCTCGCTTTAAGAGCGAGCCCCAACGTCACAGACAAGTCTAGGGAAGCCACTCAGTCTACTTGGCCTTGGCTGCCGCTGACCCCGCTTCGCCGGCCCCGGCAACGGCAACGCCAGGGCAGGGCAGCCCAGATCGCGCCCCCGAGCCTAGCTACAAGCCAGTGCCTTTCCCCATTGCCGAGCTTCTCATCCAAAACGGGGCGGAAATCCCCGTGGCTCTGCCTGCCTTCCCGCTCGGCCGTAGCGCCGCTCAGTACATTGAAGCGAAGCGATCACGGGCCGCAGGCATGTCGGGAGAGGGACTCATGCCCCACTCCAATAGTGTTAGCCTGAGCCAGGAGCAAAAGCTGCAGCGGGACAAGGAGGCGCGCCTTCAAAAGCGTGTCAGCGCCGGCGGCCGGCTTGCCAAGTCGCCCATTCCCGAGAAGTAGGGAACTACATGGTTGGATATACTTGGCAAGCTGAGCCTCTGCTGTTCCGTATCGTGCCGCAACGACAGCGATTGGCATTTCCCGTGCCGCTTAGACGAGGAGCGTGTTGCAGCTGCTACAAGCTGACAAGAAAGGCTCTCTACCGCCCTCGTCGCTTTATATCTCTACTGTTCTCGCGTTTTATTTTACTGTTTCTTTCCATTTATTAGCTCTCTTTTTGTATCAAGGAGGAACGCTGTAATGACGAGTCTAACGAGGAGTGTAATGATAACGGAGATGCGACCACGGTTGTTTGGGGCTCTCTCCTTGCGCTTCATTTCTTCACTGGGGCCCGGGGAGTTTTAGGAGGTATCTATATCTTGCTACGTCGTATGGTTAGGAATAAGAAGGGATCGTAGGCCCGACGTACTCGTGGTCGCCTTTTGTCCCACTTTGCTAATGCTCAATCTTCTACTTGGCGGCTACCGTCTGCCCCATCTCGTTGGTTCCTGTGACTTGGGGATTCTATACAATCATTGTAATATGTGTTTGCCAGGACGTACCACGGTCGCCCTAGTCACACGCCCGTCCACTAGTTCGCTATCGGAGAGAGACAGCATCGGTGTTGACTACCTCTTGGCCCACCTTGCCTTCTTATTTTTCCTAACGTATCTTCTGCTCCCTATGCCGCACAGTCGGGGTAGCTTGTAGCTTGGGCTTTGCGTCCTTCGGGGACCTCTCCTCCAATCCATACGTCCCTCCGTACATAAGCCAAAGCTAAACACCAAACTTTCACATCTTGCCTTGAATACTCTAGGATACGGTTTTAACATCAAAATCCCTAAGAAGAGTACTCTTGTATTCGACCGTGCCCGGAGAGATGAACCCCACAGATATATCGCGTCTCGGTCTTGTTTGGCCACACACCTTGTGCAATGGCAAGCAGCCTCGTCTCCCACGTCTCCCACGTCTCTATCCCCGCCTGTTGCCCCATGCCTAGCCAAACGTACGTCCGTCATTTTTAAAAAGAGCTTTTTCTGAATTGAACTAGCCCCTGATTTCCATAAAGTATGCACCGCGCAAGAAATGAAAAGATCCATCATATTCCAACCCCGTACATGCGATTATACACTTGCCAAAATCTTTGCCCCGAGACCCGTCAACTCAAATTTTGTTCCGCCTATGCCACCGCTGTATCGATTTCCAGTCCGTGGTTTCCCCGAACGCCGGAATATGGTGTCAAAGACCAAGAAGGAAGCGTGCGGACACTCCGTTGAAACAGCAGCCACCTCCTCGTGCATCGGAAAAGAAGCGTGGTAGTGGAGGAGAATGACAATGGTCGAGCGATTGTTCGAAATGAGGCCAAGGAAAGGGGGAGGAGAGGAAGGAGGCAGCAATAGCATGAGAGGGAAGAAAATGACCCCAAGGCAAAAAAAGAAAGAGCAGACAGAAAATGACAACTAGCTCCAAATCCCATTCCCACTCTCGAACCCTTTTTTCCTCCAAGAACGAGTTCTGTTATAGATGTGCCTGAATAAGGGAAAAGAACCCAAAGAAAAGGTTATAGGAAAATGAAAAAGGTCAGAACAAAGATGGTAAGGAAATGGAGTGGGAGAATAAACATCATGATGTATCAACGCCGTGTGACCCATCGCAAGAATACATGTTTAACCCACAGTACCTCCGCTAGAGGCAAAAAAAGAACATGGAATGGATGCATCCATAGCAACAACTCTGCCCGTCTTAATGCCTCCTTGCAGCAATGTCAGCACCGGGGTATATGCTGTTGTCCTCATTCCCATACAGTGGCTGGTCACCCCTGCCCCTAACTCAATGAAGTCGCCGGTATCGCGCTCGTGTGCAGGATCGACCTCTCTATTCCCAGCGTTCACCAAGTTGTTGTGTTCGTTCTTGGCAAACACCGAGACAGGCACCGTCTTCTCTCCCCCAGCATATCTCTTGGCTACTTGGACAGTGTTGAGGGAGCTGAGGAGGGTTCGCTCACGTGTGACGCCCCGGCGGTTGACGTCGAGCCCGGCAATGCCCCCACGAGCCCCCAGTGCTATCATTGACACCGGGCATGGTTTGAGTCATCCAAGGATGGTTCAAGCACTGGTCAATGGTAAACCTTCGCTCAGGGTCGACTACAAGCATGCTATCAATGAGATCAACTACACATCGCCATATACAGTCAGTATTGGTTTCATGGTGGCCTCTTGGTGGGGGTGGGGGATAAGGGGGCAGGTAATTCGGGGAAGGGTATGACTCACGGGCCGGGTCGCCAACCGAGTCCCAATAAGGTGATGGATACTCGAAGCGACCACTCCTTATTTGTTGCCGTAGATTGAAGGGGAAGTCCTTGGAGCACAATTCGTCGGAGAAAGGTGGGAAACCGCACAAGCAGATGTAGAGAACGACACCGAGAGACCAAACATCCACTGCCTTGGTATACTTTCGCTGCCTTGCGTCTGCTAGAATCTCAGGAGCGACATAGCTGGGTGTGCCACAAAGAGTTGTCGTGAATGACTCCTCGCCGATGATCTTGGCCAATCCAAAATCGGCAAGTTTGACGTGTAGCTCTTTGTCCACCATGAGGATATTTTCAGGCTTGATATCACGGTGAACGATGTTACGGTCATGCTAAGAGTATGTATACGTTAGCCATCAAGAGGGCAAGAGGGCAAGAGGGCAAGACGGGGGAACCGATGCCGCAAGCCAAGGTGCTTACCAGATATTTGATGCCATTGAAAAGTTGGACAAACAGCTTTCGGGTCTCATCCTCGCTCAGCTTTTGCTTAGAGACGATGAAGTTGAAAAGTTCTCCTTCGGCAGCGAGCTCAAGCACTAGGTACACCGCTTTCTTCTCGTTGAAAGTATCTTTGAGGCAGAGCACGTTAGGGTGATTAACGCCCATGAGGACCGCAATCTCTTGTTGAAGGCCCTCCGTCGTCGTCTTGTCTTCTTGCCCTTGGTGCTTCGCAAACACCTTGACAGCATAGCGATGGCCGGTCGACTTTTCGGTGCAGAGGTACACTTCCGCAAAGTGCCCTTTACCAAGCTTCTGTTGCAGCGTGTACTGCTGAGAAAATGCGCTCGACTGGCGCGTCTTGGGGTACCTAAAAATGAACCGAGCCTTATCTAGGACTGCAATCTCGTCATGCTCCTCAAGCTCTCTCCGGCGATTCCGGCCAATAATGGCTTCGTTGACAAAGGTTCCGTTGCTGGAGAGGTCTTCGAGAACGACGATAGTATCCGTCGCCTTGTGTTCGGTAAAAAAGAGACAGTGTCGGTTTGATACGATGGGGTCATCGATGACGATATCTACAGCCAACTTAGTCTCGCGGTCTCTCTTTTCTCTCTCTACTATGTCCATAGTCTTTGGACAAAGTATTTGGGGTGATAAGGAGCGATAACCTACCACATTCGGGATGGCGCCCTATTAGGTAGCCTCCAGATGTGCATTTTGAATCCTGGGGCTTCAGCGATTTGTCCTTGCTTCCGTCGGATGGCGAAGCGCAGATCGGTCGTTTCTTCATGACAAGGCATCTGCCGCCGTAGCGGGTATCAAGCGGGAATAGATATCCCCAAACACCTTCTTTGACCTCATCGTCAACCTCTTCAGAAAGCGCAAGCTGTGCCTCAATTTGTTGCGTGGAAACGGCTTGTGTGTCTTGGAGGGGGCGACGAGTAGGCGTTGGTTTGGGAATACCGGTCCTCGGGATCGCGATGGGAAACCTGGCTCGGGCCGCCCCCAGGCGGCGTGGCCGTTTCCTCCTTGCGAAGCTCTATCGAGTCATCCGCAACCGTTGCTGGGGTAGGGAGCTGCTGTTGCTGAACCTGTTTGTTTTGCTTTTTGGTTTGGGGAGCGTCCTGCTCGGCTTCGGATGAGTCGTCTTGCCTCTCCTCTCGGCGAGTTCTCTTAGGGTCAAGATCGTTCTCGGGAAGCGAGCCCTTGATGAACCAAGCACGGTTAGGGCGGAGGATCCAGATCCAGACGCAACACATTGGGAATATGGGGTCGCGAAGTGCCAGGCAAGGTGTTGACAAGAGAAGAGGGTAAATCAGAACTTACTCGGGGGCGCTTCAATTGGCTCTTTTCAGAGTTTGGGGCCATGCTGCTGGAGGTTATAGCCTCGGGACCAGCAGAGACCTATGACGACAGCAAGGGTATATGACCCGCGGGAAAGGGAACTTTCTGTCAGGGAAGCGGATTGTCTTTGGCGGGTGATGAAGCGTGGGAGCTTGAACTCGGCGTGTGTGACGGTTAAGTTCAGGGTTGGAGCTGGTCATGCGAAGCGTGGTCGACTCACTGGGGGCAGGCGTGATCAAAAGGACGAGTCGATGGTGTGGAGAGGCAGCCCGTAAGCGAAGAGTCGGCGGCCAGAGCGAAGGCTTGGGAGAGGCCTCTAGGGGCGATTGTCTGTCTGATGAACCCTAAAAGAAGATGGCGGATGGCACAGCCTGGCGGATTGATGGCGATGATCCGTCGTGGTCAGGATTTATCATTCAACCAAGATGCTGGGAGTTTTAGACGAGAAAGATGGAGAGCAAAAGCGCAGCTCCCAGTTCGAGTAATAAGACTGGCTCAAGCCTTGGGGAAGCGACCGGGGTCTGGTCTGCCTAGAACAGTCAGAGACACACAGAGGGGCCGCCCACCCAGTGACAGGCCGGCTCTGAGAGAAAGCAAGAAAGCTGTACCCCAGGACCAAAGCTACTTCGCTAAACCGCCTGGCTCATCGCCCTCGTCCGTTCCCGACCACCCACCCTAGTTGCTCGGATCAACTTTGACGGAGGCGGTGATATTAATCCATGTATGAATCCTAGGGGATATTATTTACTATTCTCCAGGTGAAAGCGGCTTGCCACTCTTTGGGAGCCCTCTCTTGATGATGGGTAGAAGGGAAAAGATTCATTCCAAGATTCCAGTGCTGCATCAGTCTCGTCCACGCACAGACGAATCCTTGTACCTACAGTCAGGAGATACCTCGATGGAGACAAACACCGTGAGAAGGGCATCTAGTCATCAGCACCCGCAATCGAGTCTTCGCTATTATTGCTGGCCATGAATTGATCCTAGATAGATCAATGTCTCTCCAGGGCTTCGGGGCGCCCAGAGGGCACCTCCCACATGGTGCGAAGTGGGCGTTTGTTACTGGGCAAGCGCCGCACTCTCCCCGGTGCTATTTGTAATCTCAGGGCTCCAGACATACCACCCATTCCAGTGAATGCACATCAATTGATGAGAAATGCTTTGAGCCATGCCTCGAGAGCTCTTGGAAAGGAGAAGCAGACAAGTAAACTCCGATTGTCACAGGGTGGATGTGACCAGCCTGAGGCATTGGCCTTGAGGATCCGCCACCCGGGCTGCGCCATCAGAACACACAACTTTCAAACGACATGGACCCATCGATATCTGAGGGCTCCAGTGTGGCAGTGGAACAAACTTGGCAGGTTTGGCAGCACTTTGTCACGACTCCCCCACTGACCCTGGAGTGTGCTCCGTAGATGACGATAGTGAGAGAGCATTAGGAAGCAACTTGTCTTCAGCCACATTTAGTCTGGGACTGGCTTGCAAATTTTCAAGATCCCTAGGCGTTTTGGTTAAGAGAGAGAGAGCGCCTGACGATTCTTGATTTTTTTTTCATTGTCCGAGGGTGGTGATAAGCTTGGCCGGTCCTGGTCCAACTTTCTCCCTCCTAGGCAGCAGCAGGTCATCTCAGCTGGAAGCAAAAGCAGTTGGCTGGTTGTCACGAGTGAGCGCATCTTCCAAGAGTTTCGCCCACCATATGGGCGAGGCTCCTCATGTGACACCAACCCCAGTGTCCCTACCCTGGCAAGCGAGGCTTCATCTGGCGAACGCACAGCACAGTGACTAGTCGACTTTCCATTAGATTCTAGTAGTACTTATCCCATTCTCCGGGTAGATAGAGAGCCGCCTGCACGAGTGAAATGATCCTAGCGGGGTAGTCATAGAGCCAGTGGCCAAGGAGGGATCTTGGATGCAGCTGGACCAGCAAATGGCTTCGAAATCGGGAGAGAGGGCGGCAGAGAGAGAGAGAGAGAGAAAGAGAGAGAGAGAAGGGGAGGCACAAAGAGAGGCAGGTTGAAGACGAGGTTGGACCAAGAATTCCGAAAGAGTCACCACCCTCTTTGACGCAAGGATCACGATAGCTTTCCCTCGCACTTACATGCTGGGAAACAGCGGCTAGGGCTAGCCAGTAACAAGCAAGATGGGCATCGCAGCGATATCCTGCCTCCTGCTATGATTGAACATGTTGATCAATTGATGCATGGGTCGAGAGCCAGCGTTTTGTAGGCGTTGGCTGCCTGGACCATCTTGCATGTCTCCCTCCCCAAACCCCAACTTGCCTCTTGAGCCCCAAGATCCCTGCCAACGGCCGTTGTCAGGTGGCAAAAATCCTTGACCAACTCTCCGTGCCACCACGCCAACTTCAAAATTACCCTAACCGTCACTCACACCCAATTGTCGAGCAGCGAAGTTTGCGAACCCCACCAAAATCCACTAAATGCGCACCCCTCCTTCCGTGCCAGACAATTTTCCACAGACTGGAATCGATAATTTTGCCCTCGCGAACATCGAAAGCGACAAACCGATTCGTCCCTGAATTTCCGCCCCCTTCCCCCTCAATAGCAACCCACCCACCCCCTCGACACCTCTTCACGGCCCAGTTTCCGGTCTTCTACCTTTCCGAACCCATTCATCGCGACCATGGCCGTCACTGCCCAGCAGCAGGCCGCCGGCCAGCCTCAGCTGGTCTTCCTCGATGGCTCCTTTGAGGAGCTCGCCCTCGAGATGGCGGAGTATCTCAACATCGCCAGCGATATCCAGCCCCTCATCGAAAAGGACCAGAAGGAAGAGATTCTTGCAAAGTTGGCCCAGGCCTCGGGTAGTCTCAATACCGTCCAAGAAAAGGAATATACGGCTGCGTCAAACTTGATGATCTACCTCGTACTTCAGTCGCAAGACCCTCGACGATACCTCCCCGCTCTCTGCAACACCTTCGCCAAGCCCATCTCCACGTCTCCTCACAACGGCGTCGCCCTAAGCCTCAATGCCTTGACGACCGTCTTCAACCTTCTCCCCGCCGAAAATCCCATCCGAGCCCGTGTGCTGATGGAGATCCTCAAATTTTTGAAGCGTCATGCCATGTTCGATGCGCTAAGGCCCTACCTGCCCCACCTTGAGCAGTGGAACGAGACCTGGGGCACCGACGAAGAGTTCCAGAGGACCATGTATGAGGAGGTCGCCGAGATCGCGTCCGAGGCCGGTTACCCGGAGTAAGCATTCCCTCTCGCCCCTTGTCTATCAAAGAGCGTACCCTACGGAATCAAAGAGAAATGCAGCTTTGACCATGCTAACCCTTCATTCTTTTCACCCATCAGAGAGAGCCACCGATACATCATCAAAGCCCTCCGGTCATTCGACTCGGATGACAAGGAAGACCTCTCGTCCGAGGAAGCACAGAAGCTCGCCCTCCGCGCTCTCCGTAACGCCCTGACCTCGTCATCTCAGTACCTCTTCCAGGATCTCCGAGGCATTCCTTGCGTTGAGGCTCTCAGCGACTCCAGCCCAGTATACTACCAGCTCCTTGAAATCTTTGCCGAGCAAGACCTTGAAGATTTCACCGATTTCAATGACGAGCACGATGGCTGGATTGAGAAGGAGAACTTGGACTATGAGAAGCTCTACAGGAAGATGCGTCTATTGACCTTTGCCAGTCTTGCCGCTGCCACGCCCAGCCGCGAAATTTCCTACAACAGCATCGTCAAGGCTCTCAGGATCCCCGAGGAGGAGGTCGAGATGTGGACCATCGATGCCATCCGCGCCGGCCTCGTTGAGGGCAAGCTTTCGCAACAGCGCAAGACTTTCCTCGTGCACAAGGTTACCTACCGCGTCTTTGGTACCAAGCAGTGGCAGGAGCTGTCCACCCGCGTCGATAACTGGAAGACTACTCTGACGACCGTGCTCGAGACCCTTCTTCAGGGACGGGCGGACGCCAAGACCCAACAAGAGAGGGATGCCCAGGAAATCGAGAGGAAACTAGCCCAGGCGAGCCTCGGTGGTGGTCAGCAAGGACAAGGAGGCCGCCGTCGTCACGACCAAGGCAAGCAGCAGAAGGAGAGGCCGGCTGAGAATGCCGATTAAGGAAGATGTGTGTTTTTACCAAAGGAATTCAAAAGAAAGAACAAAAAGAAACACTCGGGGAGTCCGCCCGATTCACCCAAGTCTCTTGTCTCTTGTTCTTCTTCTCTTTCTCATCGATTTCACACACTCATCCTTTTCCCCGAGGCCTACCAAGGTACAATGTTGTTTGCGCCCACCCTCCCATCTGACTGGAGAGATGTTGGGAACTGTGTTATTATAAAATCCCATCAAGAGCATCGGCGATGGGAAATGGATTGTTAGTAAGGTCTCGCGGCGACGACGAGGCGGTCGCCACATTGCACAGGGGAGAACAAACTGGAAGAAGAGGCCTGGAAAGGAAAAAAAGTCTCAGGGATATACAAAAGGGGTTGGCCGATAGAGTTGAAACGGCCTGCTGGGTTTTTTTGCCTCTTTAGTTTCCCATGCCTCGTTCGGGTTCTCATTTTTCGCTCTTTCTTTTCTTTTTCACCCATTCCTTGTCTTTTCCTCCCCACATCTATCTATCCTCTTTTTATTGTTCAAACCCTTCTCTCTTTTTAGTTTTCACGCATAATGACGGGGTTCTCATCACGCTTAAGCCGACTGAGGACAAAGAGGGTATCACACGTAGTTTCCGAGGAGCAAATGGAATGTCATTAAGAGAAGAAGAAGAAGAAGAACAAGCTAGACAAGTGAATCCTGCATTCTAGAGGAAGACTGGAGGCTCAGAGCGCCAACTTTCAACAGTAGATAGAGCATCATTCTCGCCAGAAACTCAGTATCGTCACGTGAAGTTAAAGTTACAGCACAACATCGGAAGGCACGGCTGGGCATGATATTAAGGGGGTTTAGTTTTCTTGATTACATCTATAAGACAGATAGAGGTCTGATAAAGTCAAAACGCGTCTAAGTGTACAAGGATCTAAAGAATCTCTATCGGCTTTGGCAGCTCAACCTCATCTCCTAGGGCGACTCAAGACGGTGGCCTCTAGAGAGAGGGAGACGGGACTAACAGCAAGGAAATACGTCGTGGAGACACAGGGCAGTTACTATGATAAGCTGAGTTATATAGGAAAATGCAGGAGAAAGGAACTCGGGCCAGAGTTCGGCTGGGAACTCTGCATGGCAGGGCGCAACAATGAAGAGCGCATACGACCGATGAATTATGCGCGACTATCAGAACTAGACGGCAACGGGGTCCTTGTTCAAGCGGGATGTAAGCTGGTCAGAGGTGACCTGGAAGACGACATCCGGGGTAGGGCTAGCGTCAACCTTGATGACACGGCCCTCCTTCTCGTAGCGGTCGACGACGGGCATGCTGGTCTCGATAAAAGTCTTGAACCTCTTCTTGATGCTCTCAGTGTTGTCGTCGGCTCTACCACTCGTCTTGCCTCGCTCGAGGAGTCTAGCCTCCATGACGGCTTCGGGGCAATCATAAAGAGAACGGCGCGAGCGCGGCACACAGTCTCCTCAAACTTCTCGGCTTGGTCCATCTTGCGGGGAAGCCATCGATGAGGAATCGACCCTTTGTGGTGCCCTTGCTCTTCATCGCCTCACTCATAGCGTTCTCGAGGAGCTTGACGGTGACCTCCATAGGGACAATGGCGCCGTTCCTGATGCAGTCGTCGATGAGGGCGCCAAACTCGCTCCCGGGGCGGGTCTGTTCAGCACGGAGCAGATCACCGGCGGAGAGGTGAATGAAGCCGTATTTCTCCACCAGACGGGCGCACTGCGTGCCCTTTCCGGCACCGGGGCCGCCGAGGACGAAGATGACGGTTACATCCGAGTCGTCGAACCGGGGAGACGCAGGGATGGTCTTAGGCTGGGGAGCCGGGAAGCTAGTCTTGACGCGGGTATTCATCTCTGCGGGGAGAGGGAGTCTCAAGTTAGCCTTCGGGCACCTATTGACTGTGAAAGAGGAAAGAAAAAAAAGGCGCATAAATTGCCCTTGCCTGTGGCAGCCCCTCCACTAGTGACATGCCGGCGACGAGTGGGAGAAAAGAAAAGGCCAAGCTTGGTATGATGTCACAGGATGCATGGGAAGAATGAGGGGAGAAAAAAAGTAAGAGCAAAGAGAGAACAGTCCGAGATAGCCAGCAGAGAACCCAGCCCACTCAAGACGGGCCTTTCCGCAAGAGTCCAGGCCCAACTGCTAGGAAAAAAGGGGGATGGGAAATTTTCAAGAGTATGGAAATGCACGAAAAGGGAGGAGGATTCGCAGGGCAGAAAACGTACCGTGGCGTTTATTGACAAGGAGCATCCAGGCACCAAAGGAGATACCGATCAGGGCGGCAAAGGGCCAAAAAGCGACTCGGTAGGGGTTCTTCTTTTGGATCGAGATGAATCCGACTCCTGCTCGGAGTTGGGCGGGGAGGGGAGGTTGCGACGGGTTGTGTGACGAGTACTGGCGAGCCGCCGAGAAGGGCGCCTGCTGCAGGCTGGGGACGCAGGAGGGGGTGATGAGCTGTCGAGGGCGGAAATGCTGGTTGAGGCCAGGTACGGGAGCTGCAGCAGAGCGGTACAGGATGCGTGTCGAGGGGTTGGAGGTTTGCCTCGCGGCAAGACGCAGAAAGGGGGCGGTCATCGTTCTTTATTGATCTATGATGCGTCGGTCGATACTAAAACGGAGGGATAGAAGGGGCCAAGGCAAGAGAAAAGTTGGTGACCTTGGATTGACGAGTGACGTTGATGTTGCGCCGCGCGCGCGCTCGTGATTGATGTCAAGAAAGGAGCAACACAGGCTTGCCAGCTTGCACCAGATGGTCCCTTGAGCTCGATGCAGACTCGCCGTGCACGCTCTCTCTGGGTCGCTGTTGGCCTGTGATCGGAGGGGATGGGAGATCTTGACTCTCTCGCAATCGATTAATTGATCTGAGTGTGGTCAGATGGCGAAGGGGGTTTTCAAAACTTGAGACATGGTCCGATCCAAAATCGGAAATTTTTCAGTCGTCGAGCACTTGGTTCACACACTTCCAGCGTTCTCGTGGCTGCAACCAACCACAGCAACGCCGACTTGAACCACTATAAAAACGTCAAGTGGCGACCGAGTACGGCACTAGGACGGCAATGGTCGCAACATAAGGCGCGAGCTCAGTGCTCATTGAACTTGTCCAACAACACGAACATTAAAAGACTTCGATAGAACCTTAAACCCAGCCAAGTTAAAAATATGGGCAGTTTCCCTAGACGTACTTCATTCAATTCCGCAAACTTCAATATAGGAGCACGTCAAGGAAGTTCTATCAAGAGATCAATTTCCCCTTCGATAAATGCGAGTGGACATGGGATGGGTACTTTTCCAGTTTGTGTCCTTCGGATGGTTTACTACGAGCCAGAGTGATGAAACGGCCGTTCTCACTCCCGCCAGCCAGCGAAAGTGATCAGTGGTCTGAATGTGATGAACAACCAACAATGAACACAATGGATCCGCCCATGTTCGCCAAATCCAGTCACAAACTACATGTAGACAATGCGTACATGTAAATGGCAACTGATTCGATGGACTGCCGCTGACTTGGAAGCGGCCCACCAAAGGCCAGATCCCGAACGTGAAGTGACTCAAAATAGTGATCCACGTGGTCTGCTCGCCATGATGCTCATCCCACATGGTTCCAACTTCACTTTGTCCGTCGAATTCGAGGCTACGAACTATTACTTGAACTTTTTATTCTTTTTAACCACTTCAAGCCTCCCATCAATCTCTTGCCCTGGCGGACGGGTCCTGCCACGAGTTGTACTCTGACTTCCTTGGCGACCTTCCACCTCCTATCTGTACATGTATTATTACACATAGGAACCCAAGTCACAAGAAAACACACTCTCATATCTTGAGAGGCGAGGGAAGAGCAATTTCGAAATAAAGAAGAATAATGTAAATTTAGGTTCTTCGATCCGTTATTTGTACAAAAAGAATCTGTCGTAATTATCTGTTATATACCCTCTCGAAACGGGGTTTCTCAACATCACCCATCTTCTGGGTAAAACAGGGCCAGTCGAATCCGTAAGAACGGGCGATGAGAGCGCTGATTCCCAACCCTTCCAGAACGCCATTACCCAAGGACAAAAAGATGGTATAGCTGACAAGAAATCCGGGAGTCAAGGCGTGCTCCGCCGCATGTTGTAAAAAAAAAAAGATAGAGAGAAGAAAAAAAGGGGGAGAGAAGAAAAGTGAACAAAGGAAATTGATATAAGGGGCTGTCCTTCGAAGAACAGGAGAAGAAAGAAAAGAAGAGTTGACCACCACCCGGAGACATGTCCTCCCGCCATGCAATTTTCTGTTTAAAACTCGTGCCAACCCTGCACAACTCTCGAAGAAGCAAGAGGATGGTGCAAGGGGAGAAGAGGAGGAAGCCGAAAACTTCCTTTTACCTCGCGTGACCGAATGACGTCTGGTGAGGTGGCGGGCTCTTGACAGCGGCGTCGGCGTAGGCGCCAGGAATGGGAACAGCCTCGTACACCGGCTCCGCCGCGGAGATGGGAGCATGCTCGCGGTGGGTAGGCTCGGGTGGCGTGGGAGCTCGGGGCTCGATGGGGCTCGCGCTGAAACCTCCAGTCTGCGACCTGGGAGTGGCAGAAGGCGCCTTGGTTGGGGGTGCTTGGAGCTTAAAGGTTGATTGAGACTTCTCGGAAAAGGCGGAGCTGGGCTCGGCGTACGCGTTGCCTGGGGTGAAGGGAGACTCTTCGATATCAGACAAGTTGCGGTAGGCCGAGGGCGGGAAGCGCGGCGAAAGAGCATATTGGCTGAATGCCGGGGACTTGGGACCAAAGCCGGGCGTGTTGGGGGCCGACTGGGTTCGGAGCTGGGCAAGGTAAAGATCGGAGCGGGCCTTGTCTCGGGAGTTCATGGACTTGTGGAGTCGGCGCTTGGTGTAGTATCGGTAAAAGACGATGCTGTAGAGGGTGATGCAGATGACCTCAATGACAACCTCGATGATGATGCAAATGAGAGTCCAGTTCTAAAATCGTGACGACTGCTGTTAGCGACACTGGTTTTCTTTCGAGCGGGGAGGAAAGGGAGGCGGGGACGGAGGCTTACCTGAAGTCTGCAGACAAGAGCGTAGTCGACTTTATCAGAGTACACATCGGAGCGTTTATTATCCAGGCAAGACCATCCCCACATGTCTTTATTATTGTTGCTTGTCCTCGAGTGCTGGAAGAGAGCGGCGGTGACTGCCCACAAAATCATGGAGAGGATGAACCAGCCAATCGCAAACATGGTGTAGTACGTCGAAACCTTTTCCGCTCGTCGATGCCCGCCGCGGCAGTAGGCGAGGAAAACAAAGATACAAGCAAGAAGGGAGACACAGGCCATGGCCAAGACAAGTTTCTGGGGCCAGGTGTTGGTGTTCTTGGCCCACGACGGCATTCCGCTCTGAGAAGGCAGAGCCTTGGTCGCGTTGAAGATGGTGAAGGACGCTGAAAGCATGGACAAGATGATCAAACTGCAGCTGAAGTTGACGCCTCGGAGGGCAAACTTGGCTAAGCGGACCCTGGCCTTGATTCTCTGTTTACGAACAAAACACGGCGCGGTTAGCCCTCAAAAGAGTTCTTCACAGCAGAAAGCGGACAAGACAGAAAAAGAAAACCACACGGGGGCGAAAGACGGCTTACCAAGTCTCTTTTTGTTCCTTGTCGGTCTTGGCCTCTCTCTTCTCCAGCCTTCCTCCTCGCGGAAAGTAGGGCTCAGGGGTTTTCGAGCGCCCTGGCTGGGGTACCGGGAACCCTCATCGCGCTCTTGAGGGGAGATCGAGGAGACAGAGGAGGAGCGCTAACCTCCTGGGTGGCGATGTAGCCGAATCCGACATCTGCGACCTGAGGCTTCGTGGTGGAAACGGGGTCGGCGAAGGGCGAGGACCGTCGACGGGCGAGTGGACAGACGTGGCTTCGGCGAAGCGGGGCGTCCGCGGAGGCTTCAAAGAGGAGTCGGAAGAAGAAGATCCAGAAGACCCGGAGCGTTGGGGTGTTAGGTTTAGGGCGGTAGGGCGCCGCCTCTCATCCAAATGAGCCATCTTAGCTGTTTCTCTCGTTTGCTGAGAGGAGTTCGGTGGCCTAGTGGGGAGAGAGAAAAGGTATACGACAGAGAGGACGACGAGATCGAAGAACAAAGAAGGATAAGATGGCTGCGCCGGCAAGTAGCTGGGGCAGCTCTGTCAAGAGAAGTTTCTCAAAGAGGGAGAGACTCGATAGTGAAGAGAATAAGTGAGTGAGAAAGAAAAAAATTGGAGAATGGATAGGCCAGCTTCCGTGGAGGAGAAGAAGGTCCAGGAGACGGGTCGCAGGGTGTAAGCGGGTGGGAAGTGCAGTGGTTTTGTGTTGGAGGGTGCCGTGCCGTCAAAGACTTTTTAGACGCTGGGAGCGGCGCAAGCCAATTTGCGGATTGGCAAAATCGATCTACTCTGGATCAGCGTTAATCCAAGGAACCCACAGGACCGGTGGTGTCAAAGGAAGTACGAGGGGAGAGTCGGAATCGCGAAGGGAAGAAGGGGGTGTGGGAGGGTCCAGGGCAAAAAAGGCATCCAGGTCACATACAGGATACTTGAGGGGACCCTTGGGATGAGGGGAGCCGCTCTTTCTGATAGGTAGAACAAGAGGCTGCTCACTCACGATTGGAGTGCAGATAGACGCCGGGCCTAATGGGACGTGGTCAAGCCAGCTTCCGGTTGGTCAAGCGGACATGTGGTGACCTAGAAGGGGCCCCGTCGAAAGAGCAATATAGCCGTCTGAGAAAGCGCCGGCAGGGAATTGTCAAACAGGCCGGGGCGTTGGTCAAGAATTTGATGTGGAGAAGGATGAAATGTGATTCCTCTCTCGATGCCCGGTTCAAGCTTGGAAAGATCAAGATCAGGCCAAGTCTACGAAACAGGATGCGAACGGGAAGGAGGGGATTTGCGCGGCGCCGTGGCAAATGCGTGTGGATTAAAGGAAGAGGAGGAGGGGGTTAAAAGAAACGAGGCGGAGGGCGCGAGGTGGTGGTGCGTGAGAGTCAGATATGACAAGACCCGGGTGGCCCCCAAAAAAGAAAAAAACTGCTCTCCTCTCTCTCCGTCCGCCCACCGGCTTGCAAGGGACGAACTAATATTACTGAACTGGGTGATGGCGGGAAGAGTGGTTGGGTTGGCATCCCATCCTAGCACCGGCGTCTGCAAGTCGATGAGGAGTGATTCCCCTCCCCAAGCTCTAGTCCAGGCCTTGTCCTCTGCTAGAACTGCACGCATGGCCCCGGAACCAAACACCAGACCACAGGCGCCCGCCCTTTTGCGGATGTCAGTGTGCATCTACACAGGGACAATCGAGTGTACATTGCTGCTACCCTGTGCTGCCACCAAGCCCCCAGCATCCTCCCGCCTCTGCTCTTCCTACCCGCTCGCTCGCCATCCCATCCCGCGCTTCCCCCATTCTTCCACGACACCCATGCTCCCGTCCATCTTTGCACCGGCGAAAGAGGGCAGAAGGGCGGAAAGGGCGGACACGAACCCCTTCACGGCAAGAGACGAGAAGTACAGTACGTGCATGTCTCTTGATATTAGAGAGTACGACGCCCTCTCAGAGGAGATGTCTTCTACCCTCCTCGAGTGCCTTCTCCTCAGCGTGAACGCAAGAGATGATAAACCCGAGAGTTTGGGGGAGGTTCCGGCGCCCTTGTCACCCTCGTCGCCCTCATCGCCCTCAGAGACCGGGGTGGCTGGACCGAGGACGAGCGCAGTGGCCAAGATGCGGGATCATCGTTCATCGATGTGGTTGGCGGCTCGACACACCCCTGCGCAGGGCATCCCATTTGTTTCCTTGCATCCCCGGCGCCAATAGAAGCCCTGAGCACACTCTTAAAGATGTCGAATCGCGTGAGCTGCGCCTTCCATTGGCTGACCACCCCACCAAGGTACAGGGGTACAACAAAGCTCGACCAGCTTTGAAAATCTTCCTTGGCCAATCACAGCGCTGATCGACGTGATTCCCGCTAAACGCCTGCATCCAAGGGCGGCAAGAACAACCATGCCAGAGGTCAAATGGACGTGTTGGCGCTGAGAGCAAGGTGTGTTTGTCCATCCATGCGCCCGACAGCATTCCATTGATCAATGGCCGTCCTACCTTGTTCTTTTGAGCTGTGCTCAATCATCAATCAATCATCAATGCTGGCAAGCTGGCTTGAGCCCCCGCTGCAAGTTCGTACCGCTCTATGATCTCTCTACCCTTGTTCTTTTTGTTCTTGGAGACTTCTCGTTTCGTCGTCTCTTCGATTTTTTGGGCTTTTGGGGGAACTGAGGACTTATACTTATGGTCAGGTCTCGGGAATCTTCAATCTCTCTCCCGCCTCTGCATACAATGGATGTATCATGATTTTAACAAGTGCGGGTAACCGTCTGTGTGAGCTCTTTACGGTGCCCGGAGAGGGACAACGATCCATCAATGCCAAGGAACTGTTGTATCCCACCCGCAGTCCTGCTCACCTCCCCACCTCAGTGCTGCAACCCTCAAAGGACTTGGAAGGCGGGCCTTTTCTGGCCCGTGTAACCTTTTTTCCCATGAGATTCTTCTAATATAGGTGCGTCTACTTGTACCTCGTACAACCCTATTGTTTCCCAGTGGGCCTTGACAATCACCGTACTTCGGCAGGCCCCGCCAAATTCGATCGGTTGGAAGAAAAGTTTCTTTCTCCTCAAAGCGAAGAAGAAATTCAACACATTTGATGCGGGGACCGCTCTGTGGCTGTTTTTCATGCGGGAGAGGCATAGGATTGAATGAGGATCCGACTGCGCAAATCCATCTCAGCCCGCCAAACGCTTATTGCTGGTACATGTCCACCAAAGGAATAGACATCTAGAGTGGCTTTGGGGGCCCTGAACAGGCTTCCTCTTCTCCCTCGGTATACGATGCACTACTTTGTGCACTCTACGACCTGTACTGAACAAAGTATCTCATGTGCGTCGTGTTTGGTGTCTTGCTGCATCAATTTTGACAGTTTGCCCACCATGGAGAGATCCAGTGCGTGTGCGAACTTTTGTGGCCTATCTCGTCTACTAGTTGGGCGGACAAGACCCGCTTCAATCCGATTCCCAGAGGGTTTTATCCTTTAGAAATTGACTGCAGGCGAAATTCTCATGACGAACGAGGCAGCGTCGTGGCCCAGGTCTCTCGGTGGCTGGCCCCTCGTCTATTGACCCACGGCACGCGGCCGATCCGGCCGCTGAAGAAATCCACCCGGGCTCGATTGCCGGCTTGTTATCGAGCATAGCCCGGATTTAATATCCATCTTCTCATGGAAGAAGTCGCTATCTTCCTTTTACATGAGAACGCCTGATAACGCAATCGGCTAGGCTCGGGGAGGAGAGGTTCATTAGGGAGGAGACGAAAGACAAGCGTAAACGAACCAGCCCTCTCAAGTTGACTGGCTATCGCGTATATCATCCAGGTGGAGGTATCTGACCACCCTCTCGTGTCGTCGTCCGCTCTCACGGGTATTCAGCCGGAAGAGGCTTGCGCGATGCACGTGGTCCTCGCCCTTTTGCGCCAGTGCCCACTAACACAAAGAACGGCCGGGCAGGTTCTGTGCCACGTTTCTTCATGATCCGGGCTTTCCATCTTCTGGTATTTTTGGAAAAGAGACCTTGCACTGGGACGCGGAGAATTGGAGAAGCATCCTCGCAGATACTCGCTTTGGGTTCCCTGTCCGACCTGTCTGAGAGCGCGATTACGTGCGTTGTTTCTCACATCCATGGAGCTTTGCCATGGTTGCTAGCGCCGAAAAGGTTGATGAGAGATAGTGCGCCTGCTGCTGGACCAGCACGAGAGCTTTGACACTCTTGACCAGGTTCAAGGCCCATCCTCGATCTCACTCATCAAGGAAGCTCAAGAAGCTATTTTTATCATTGCCACCACAGCTGTGCACGAGCTATGCACTAGCTATCAATGCTACTTGAATCTCGCTCAATCCGACTTTTGACGGTGTCAATCAAGCACGGCCAATGCTTTCCTGAGCCAGTGCTCACGCGAGAATTTCTTCCTTCGCCTGCTACCCGACACACTGACTTTTCTCATCAGCAGAAACGGGGAGAAGACCCCTCACTTTACTTGCCGCCTCTGCAGGCCCGCACGAAGATTTGAGGTAGTTGAGATTTTGGGAAGCAAGCGGGACATATAACGCTTGCTCCTATGTTTGAAATAAATTAGGTGGATATCTTTCTCGCTGCCGTCTTCAAGTTGCACCTCACTTATAGTTACACATGCGCTTACTTGTAGTGCAGAATGACTCTCTGTTTGTACGAAGCTTTGGGGATGGAGGAGGGTTTGCCAGCGTGAACGAGTTTTCTGTCAGGGAGCAACCAACACACCTTGGAAGACCCTCTGGCGCACCCGAAACACTCGAAAACTCGTAGAAAGGGCCTGAATAAAAAAACCGTTGATGTGAATCCTCTCTCCCGTTGTTGGGGCACGACTATATTATAAGCGCAGCTCCATTGAAATATTGGAGTTAAAAAAATTTTGGGTGAGAGGAGAAGAAAATGCGTGAAAGGAAAAGCAAAAGAGGACCGAGCGTGGATCGAACACGCGACCTAAGGATATTCGCAGTGGGACTGCAATCCTTCGCTCTACCACTGAGCTATCTGTCCCTCGATGCGATTCGACTCGCGTATTGTTGCATTTATTCCCCTGGAATACAGCGTGAGATACTGCTGCCGAAGTTTACCCTTCGGGCCCAGTACAGCACGAACGACAGCACTGGTGGTACGGGAAACCTGATTCGAGATCAGGGGTCATCACAGCTCGCCTCTGGTCAAAGAACCGCCCTTTTTGTCCCAGGTTAACCTAGGCACAGCTAGATATCCTCCTCCTCGTGCAAGCCAAGGGAATGATAACCTGAAACTTATTGAGATCCAGGCCATAGCGCCGAGCAATAACCAACACTTTGAACAACGCTCGCACCAAAAATACAAGCTCATTTTCACATATCATGGCTACTACTCCGGACAAGCTTGCTCCGCCAAGAAAGACGGATGATGCTGACCCTGGAGCTCATGACTTAGGTGCATATGACGCGCTACTTCTCCAAGTACTGTACTGCTAGTACTCTTACTGACGCAGCGCATTAGAAACCTCGGACTCGGAAGACCACTTCTCTGATGCCAAATCAGCACCTGCAAGCCCTGCACGCAACTCGCCGATTCCCAAGACCCGGGTGGAGAAGGTTACCACCGAGCCCGCGTATGGCGAGACGCCGGGCACTGAGGCCTACCGCAAGCGGGAGAACGATGCCGAACCGGATGAGATAGCCATTATTCCAGAGGAATCGTCAGATCCGTCGCCCTCTCATCCTCCCTCATCTCACTCGCCCGAGATCCCTACAACGGTTGTGATTGAGTCCGCTGGCACCACTGGCCCCCACTCTCCGAGATTTGAAGAAAGATTACGGGAAGAGCAGAAAGCAGATGCGAAGCCTGACGTGGTATTGAAGCCAGATGAGGAAGAACAAGACATGGGCTCAAGTGGTGAATCTGGTACGGTTGGAGTTCAACCCATTTGACGAGTCGCGAGCTGAGCCAGGATAACTTTTCATTAACGTCGTTTTGTTTCTGGTAGATACGTCAATACCATCACCGAACCTAAAGCCTCTTCACTCACCCGAGCTCACTCGGAATCTGTCTTCGCAGTCAGTGGCCAGCACATCTTCTTCGGCCCAAGACCGTGATCCTAAAGAGCATAGCGATGAAGAAAAGGATGACGAAGAGGAGCAAGAAGACGAAGAAGAAGAGGAAGCAGGAGAAGAAGGAGAACAAGATGACGAGGATGGTGACGATGATTTTGGAGACGATTTTGACGATTTTGAGGAAGGAGCTGAAGATGCCGACTTCGATGATTTCGAGGACGGCTTTCAACAGCCTGAACCTGTCCCCTCGCCCGCTCCCGCTGCCCCCACTGCCACTGCTGTCCCTGTGCCCAGCCTTCCCTTCGTAAGCCTCAAAATCCTTCCCAAGCATGGGCGACGCCATCCCGCTAACACCCCTTGGTCTTGCAGTCCATACCCGATTTTGAAGGATTAGAGCCCGATGAGGTGACCGACGCCCTCGATCCTTACATACACTACCTCTTCCCACCAGAGAATCACGACACCACACACCTCCCTCCTGTGTCCAAAGACCAGCCAGTCTTCCTCACCGCTAGGAGTGCCTCGTTGTGGTCCCAGCTAGTCGCCCCTCCCCCTATCTCCTCCGGATTGGATCCGGTCTCGTATCCGTCGACTGTTTCTTGTTTCTCTCGGTGTGCCCGTCGACCTAGATGAGATCCTTCCAGCTTCTAAGCAGAAGAAACTCGTATTACCCTCGCTCAACCTCCAGCCCGGGTCCTCAGTATCTCCAAGACCATCTACAGAGTCACGATCAGTTAATCGCCTGAAGCAGGGCAGCAACAACGCGTCGTCTACCTCTGTTGACTCTCAGGGCCCATCCGCCTCGCAGCGGCGCAAAGGTCCGCCGCCCGAGCCCAACCTTAACCTAGTATCAGCAAAGCAGCTCTGTACGACGACAGACGAGGCCCTCGATGGCATGACGAACGGTGAGCTTAAATCCCATTTGGACAGCCTGACGCAACTCCAGGCAAGAGCCAAGGAGGCGTTAGACTACTGGCAGAAGCGAACAGATGAAAAGATTGGCGATAGGGAAGCGTTCGAAGGCGTTATAGAAAACTTGGTCAAGCATGCTAGAAAAGTCAGGAAATAAGGAACGGGCGTTAAAAGTTTTTGTTTCTTTTTTGGTACAGCATTTGATGATCCCCGTTATCACGCACGGTCGATGATGGACGGAATGGGGATGATCAACACCATGGAGTTTTGGTCTTTACTCGGGGTTGAACAAGACATGGATCACGCCGATTCCCGCCACCCATATATATACACACATGGGACTAATACCAAGATGAATGAATTGAACGACCTTCCATTTCCTTTTACTTCGTCAGATGAAACATGCAAGCCATCCTCTCCCTCGATGCGGGGGTATTCAACCTATGCGCCAAATACTGCCATGACCTGATCGACAGGATTTAAAAAGAAAAAGAGAAAAAAAGGGGGAAAGGCAGAAAGGACACTGAACAGGGCAGTAAGTAGGAGGAAGACGGCAGCCTCAGACTGGAAGCCGAGTGACCTCACTGTCTCGATGGCTAGCCTGATGTTAGAGCCCTGATGCTGACGGGCCATGGACTGCTCACGATATCGGAGGCGTTTCCTCCCACCATGGGCCAGCTCGGGGAGGTATAAGTCACGTGCCACAACCCACTGTGAGGGAAAGTTTTGGTGCCCCACGTCCCATCGCCACTAGTAATGCGAGAGGAAGACTCATCCGGCTCACGACCCCAGATTCAACTATTGCCCCTTCGCGAAATAAATTCACCCTTTCATCCCGGATCTGAGGTTAGTTCGGCGTCTTAACAGCTTCTTTGTTTACTAGGGCTGAAATTTTTCCATCTTCATCCTGCCAAATATTGATTGCTAACATCAGTCGCGCACCCCAGAGCCTAACGCACACCAAGCCCTCATACTTCGAAAATTGCCCCGCCATCCATCGCAGGAAAAAAATAAGAGTCATAATGTCGGCCAACGGCGACAAGTACGATCCCGATATCGAGTCGGATTCTGACTCCGAGTCCGTCGACGATACCGGGGCCCCCGAAGCGCCTCTCAAGCCCGCCTTGAAGAAGTCTTCTAACCCCATGACGTCTACCGACCCCACCATTCAGCGACCGCCTCTTCCCCTCAGACAGATCCCAAGGATCTGGACGTCGGCACCCTCAGCCCTCTCACCCCAGAAATTATCGCCAGGCAAGCGACTATAAACATTGGAACTATCGGCCACGTCGCTCACGGAAAGTCAACTGTGGTCAAGGCCATCTCGGGAGTCCAGACCGTCCGTTTCAAGAACGAGCTGATTCGCAACATTACCATCAAGCTTGGTTACGCCAATGCCAAGATTTACCAGTGTGATAACAAGGCCTGCCCCCGGCCTACTTGCTACAGGAGCTACAAGAGCGACAAGGAGGTTGATCCTCCCTGTGAGCGGGAAGGATGCAGCGGTACTTATAGGTTGCTGCGTCACGTCTCGTAAGTGCCCTCCGCTGCCACGCTCGCGAAATTCCCCTTCGCGGGGGTATTCGCGCATGGATCCCGCCTTAGGCTAACTAACTGATGCAGGTTCGTCGACTGCCCTGGTCACGATATTCTGATGAGTACTATGTTGTCTGGTGCCGCGGTCATGGACGCCGCCCTTCTCCTTATCGCCGGAAACGAATCGTGCCCTCAACCCCAGACCTCTGAGCACTTGGCAGCTATCGAAATTATGAAGCTGGATAAGATCATCATTCTTCAGAACAAGGTTGATCTCATGCGGCAAGAAGCCGCCGAGCAACACTACCAGTCCATCCTCAAGTTCATCAGGGGTACCGTAGCTGGCAAGTCGCCCATCATTCCCATCTCTGCTCAGCTCAAGTTCAACATTGATTCCGTCCTCGATTCCATCGTCAATACCATCCCCATCCCCCACGAGACTTCACGCTGGATCCCTACATGATTGTCATTCGATCTTTTGACGTCAACAAGCCTGGTGCTGAGATCCACGAGCTTAAGGGTGGTGTCGCCGGTGGCAGTATTCTCCACGGTGTGCTAAAGTTGGGTGACGAGGTCGAGATCCGACCCGGTATCGTCACTCGTGACGACAAGGGTGCACTTCAGTGCAAGCCAATCTTCAGTCGCATCGTCACCCTGAACTCTGAGGCCAACGATCTCAAGTATGCCGTCCCCGGTGGTCTGATTGGTGTCGGTACCCGCATCGATCCCACTCTCTGTCGAGCCGATCGCCTCGTCGGCCACGTCTTGGGCCTGAAAGGCCGTCTTCCCGAGATCTACAGCGAAATCGAAATCAACTTCTACCTCCTCCGCCGTCTCCTCGGTGTCCGCACAGCCGATGGCAAGCAGGCCAAGGTTGCGAAGCTCTCCAAGAACGAAGTCATCATGGTCAACATTGGTTCCACATCCACCGGTGCCAAGATTTCTGCCCACAAGAACGACGCTGCGAAGCTTGTCCTCACCACCCCAGCTTGCACCAACATTGGCGAGAAGGTTGCTCTCAGCCGTCGTATCGAGAAGCACTGGCGGTTGATCGGATGGGCTACCATTGTTGCGTAAGTGTCCTTACTTTCCTGATTTCCCCTTCCCCCAACTCTACTAACTTTTTCACTACTTTAGTGGTGTCACGCTCGAGCCTACCACGAGCTAAGGTCGGGGAAAAAAGAAAAAAGGTCTCGTTGGCCCAAAACATTTCTTCCTCTCAGGACAATTGAAGAGAATATCGGAACTAGAGGAAGGGCGAGGAAACCGATTGTATGTAGAAGTAGTCGCGTCGCAGCCTTGCCTTTGACAGCTACCCACCCACCTGAGGGGCAAGACTCTAGGATAGGGATTTGGAGGCGCCCTGTTTTCAAAGTCCTCTGGGACACGAGTGATGAAAAAAGCAGAATGATCAGCATGGTTGACGAAAAGGAAGGGAGAAGAAAAATATTCAGACAAAAGGACCCTCAGTTCGACTTGGACCACATTTCAGCCGAGAGGAGATATAGATGAAATCCTTCTTTTTATTTTTATTTCTTACGAACTTCAGTTTAGCAACGCTTATCTACGCAAACTCCGCGAGCGAAGATGCCACCATTACCCAACCCCGACGAGTGGTTTAAACAAAAAAGACTATAACAGTGATTGATTCCTCCCGAGGTAGGCCCTACGCACGGCATGCAATTTTTGTAGTTCCTTCATTCTTTTAGTGGCCTCTCTCCTTTTCGGGTTTACACGCTAGCCCTTCCTTGATCCGATGTTCCATCATCGAAGAAGGGTAGGGACGTGATCGGACGGATTGATGAGCAGGTTTAGTCTCTGGCTATTAGAGCCGTTCTCTTTTTCATTATCAGAGATTAGACAACCTAAACAGCGAAGTGAAGGAAAAGCCAGCCACGCTCTAATTCCTCTGGCTCCCCGTGCATTGCAGGTTCATGCCATCAACGCCAGTACGGTACAAGTAGCCACTTTACGCCTGGTAGGTGGAGGCAGAGACGTTGCCACCACGGCCAGTCCAGTTGACGTGGATGTCTTGGCCCTCGGGGTACTTGGCGCTGGCAGCCTCCGGCTTGATGCGGAAGGTGTGGGCGCCGAAGTAGTCGCGCTGGGCCTGAAGAAGGTTGGCAGGCAGGTCCTTGGTCCTGTATCCGTCAAACCACGAGAGGGCAGTGGAGAAGGCGGGGGTGGGAATGCCAAGAAGTGCGGACTTGGCGACGACGTCTCGCCAGCCGGGCTGAGCCTCGTGGATAGCCTTGTTGAAGAAATCATCGAAGAGAAGGTTCTGGAGATCAGGGTTCTTGCGGTAGGCAGCGGTGATATCCTTGAGGAAGACGGAGCGGATGATGCAACCACCACGCCACATGAGGGCGATAGAAGGCTTGTTGAGCTTCCAGCCGTACTCCTTGGCGGCCTCCTGCATGAGCATGAAACCCTGAGCATACGAGATGATCTTGGACGCGTAGAGAGCCTGCTCGAGATCCTCAAGGAACTGTTCCTTGTTACCCTCAAAGGTGTTGACACGACCAACGTACTCGAGCTTAGTGGACGCGATAGAGCGCTCCTCCTTGATGCCCGACAAGCAGCGGGAAAGCACGGCCTCGGCAATGAGGGTGACGGGCATGCCCAAGTCAAGAGCGTTGACGGAAGTCCACTTGCCAGTTCCCTTCTGGCCGGCCTTGTCAAGAATCTTCTCGACAAGAGGAGTGCCATCCTCATCATTATAGTAAAGAATATCCCTGGTGATCTCAATCAGGAAGGAGTCGAGGACGCCCTTGTTCCACTTGGCGAATGTGTCACCAATCTCCTTGCCGGTCATACCAAGACCTCGCTTCATGATGTCGTACGCCTGTTATTCTCGCCGTATTAGCAAATAGGGGATTCCGACCAATTTCTGCAGTTATATACCGCGCAGGGCTCCTTGAGCGTGGGGAGGGGTTAGGGGCACCTACCTCGCAGATAAGCTGCATGTCACCGTACTCAATACCGTTGTGGACCATCTTGACGTAGTGACCGGCACCCTCGTCACCGACCCACTCACAGCAGGCCTCGCCGTCACTCTTGGCGGCAATGGACTGGAAGATGTCCTTGATGAAGGGCCAGGCCTCCTCGTTACCACCGGGCATCATGGAGGGGCCGAATCGAGCGCCCTCCTCACCACCGGAAACACCGGAGCCGACAAAGCGGATGCCCTTGGCAGAGAGGTATCGGGTCCTGCGGTTGGAGTCGGGGAAATGAGAGTTACCACCATCGATGATGATGTCACCACGCTCAAGAAGAGGGAGGAGGCTCTCGATCCAGTCATCCACGGCCTTTCCGGCCTGCACAAGAAGCATGACCCTGCGGGGCTTCTTGAGCTTGGAGATGAACTCCTGAGGGTGTGGGCGCCTACAATGGGCTTGCCCTTGGCCTCATTGGCGAGGAAGCGGTCGACCTTGGAGATGGTTCGGTTGAAGGCGCAGATGGTAAATCCGTGGTCGGCCATGTTCAGAATCAAATTCTGGCCCCTAGATACTGCGTGTTAGATTCCATTCCGTCGCACGAGCCATCACAAGTTTCCTGCCAACAAAGGCGGGAGCTCGATTCGGCATGTTGCAGCTAGGGATTGGGAGACGACTTACATGACGGCAAGGCCAATAAGGCCAAGATCAGCGCTTTCGAAAGAGTCAGCATTCTCGACGTTCGCGGTTTCGGAAGGAGACTGTCTTGCCCGACCGCCCACTTGAGAGTTCAAGCTGGCAAGACGAGCTCTGGGATTGGGGATGGCATGATTAGGTGTCCAAAGTTAGATGGTGGGGCAAGGCCTTGACTCTCAGCTCCATCGTCTCAAGAGATAAGCGATGAAGAAGAGATGCGCGACGCTTGGAAACAGGTTGATGTTTTGGGATAAAAAGCAGGCAATAAAAATGGAATGGGATCGGTTGGTTGAAGGGTTCGCGATGCCGGCTAGGATCGAGGCCTTCAAGGTAGAGGAAGCAAACAAAACTGGGCGGGAGGGGTTGGCTGGCTCTGAAGCAACGAGGGATGGCGGGGTAATTTTTTTCTGCTTCGCTTCGCACAGGCCAATGTTGTCGTCACAACACGCGGTCGAACTTGAACGAAAGGGTTCAGCGACTTACACAGCACCAGACATGTTGGCGGTTTGTAGAGATCGTGGCAATTGAGCACGAAGGAGTAGGAAAAAGTCTGCAATTGAGGCACCAGCAAGAAGGTGGCTGGAGCTGTGGTTTTGGCGTGGGATATAGCAGAAACAGATGTGGAGGGGGAGAGATGAGGGGCTAGCTCTCGAGGGAAAGGAAAGAAGGATGGAAGAGAAGCAATGTTGAAGAGGCGAGATGATCAACCCCGATCAGGTTACTGTTGAGGAATAAAAGGGAGATTAGGTTTGGGAAGAAGTTCGAAAAGGGAACAATTCACCCAACAGGATTTAAAGCGGATGTTTTTTTAACCCTCGAGTCACCATTCCTCTGACCGGACCGGTTGCGGGGCTTACTCAGGCAAGGTGTTTGCAACAAGCTCCGAGATTGCGCTCCCCGTGCAGAGTGTGTGAGAGAGTGTGTGTGATCTTGGACCTTGACTTGCTTGGCCATGTACACTCTGGCGATGCACTAGAGTGCCGGTTGTACCAGGGCCCGCCTCATCTCTTCCGACAGAAAACGGGCCATTCTTCCCCATCGCGGTCCCTATGATCGTGCAGGGCCATTTCTCTTAGAAAAAGCTCTTCGTCCATATCTAGCATGCCATACTTCATCCGCGGGTGCTTCGCATCTGGACGGATGCTGGCCATCGGAGCCTTCACGTTCCTTCGAACGTCTCCACTAGAGGTCCATCCCATCAATTGAGATGTCTTGTTCTATACATGTCGAAAATGCGGGCGTTTAGTGAGCCGGATTGGATGAGACCTGCAAAAGTGTCACCAATGGCCAATGATGCAGAATCGTCCGGTACCAGCCAACCTGGGGGAACCTGCCGTCTGGTATCATTTTCTGCAGCTTGAGCTCGATGGCTTGAAAACCCAAACAGCTCTCAAACCTTCCGAGGGGCAACTGGCACGACCATCAATGTATCTCCACTCCCTCGACGTCTTTGCACTCTCTTGAATCTCTCTGCTTGCAGGTCGATTGTGATGCATCTCCTGGTCGAAAGAGTAGGAGCACCGTCAACCCTCTCTTTATCCACCCCACCCGAGATCGATACTAGAGCTACCCTCTTCAGAGCTCCGTACCACCCGCGAGAGGGGGCAGTATGTATCCAGGGGGTTACGTGTTTTGAAGCGTTGACGGATCCTACGCATTATTGCCCTTTTCGTTGTGGCGGGTAACATCCATTTTAGTTTTAGTCTTGGTTCCGTATTACCTACATCTCTCGGTCGATACACCCCCAAAGGCGAATGGACTGATGTCGCGTTGATCTTTGACCCCGTATATTTCCATGTAGATACCGTAGCAGGCCTCGCCTTCGTTCATTCAGAGCCCTCCCATTAGGCTAGGCTATTTCGTAACCAATATTCGTCCTCAACAGCTCCAACATACTGTTCCCCCAAAACGTAGCTGACCTAGAGGCTCGCGATTTGAAATATTGTTTCCCATAGATGTCTTCCTTTCCTCCCTTTTCGACCTCTACACGAATGTCTAATCTCCACTCCTCGGGCCCTCTCTGGCTTTTAAAAGGCCCGGGTAAGGATCAATGCTTGCACGGATGTCCGGGTAATTCTGCCGCTGGGATACAATTGAGCGCAACCTGATCGACTTTTAGTTACCCACCTCGAGAGACAGTAGAGAGGAGTCTGTATGGTATGTCCAACGGCTTTCCCGAGCTATGGGAAGGGACACCCGGCAATTCGATCTTGGACTTGGGGGAGGAGTGGGAGAAGAGGGGGAGGGCAAAAAAAAAAAAAAAACTGAACAAAAAGCAAGGTAGAAAGCGAAGAAAGAAAGGCCTCATGTGAAACCTTTGATCCGTTGCTTGGTGCTCGAGCAAACCTCCCTTCTGAGGCCCCTCATCACAGCGGCAAATGATAAGTTGCACCGCCGATTGAGGCGAGCAAGAGCAACAAGCCCTCCAATGGTTCTTTGTTGCCCCACGCTACCTTGTGTTTAAAGGGTTCCGAACCTGACGAATGGAGCATAGTCTGCAGGCCCCATCCTCTCAGAGGAGCTATGGTGGGGTTTCTTTTGCTTCCGACAAAATGGGGCGGGGAGCTTTGATGGTGGGGGTTTCCCACGCAAGAGGCGGCATGTTTGTCCGATTGAGGGGAGGGGAAAATTGATGGGTTGGGCAAAAGAGGCAAGGCAAAGCGCCAGAAAATATCTCAGTGCCATGCGGCTTGTGGAAGCAGAAAAAGCCTGTAAACATGAACCTAGCCGGCTGAATTCAATAACCCCCTCCCGCAAATACCCTTAGATGCTTGGGACCACTGATTTTTTTCCCTCTTCGTGAATCGAGGTGCGGCCACTATCTGTTTGGCCAGCGCTTGGCAAGGCAAGCTTCACGAACGGCAACTTTTTCTCCTACATAATCTTCATGAGATGACTCAATGGTGGCAACGGGAGTCCGGAGCACCTGAACCAACAAGAAGATGCATTAAGTGATATCTCGCGGACAGAAGAGGAAGAATATAGGAGTGTTTGACCTGTCGCTTCACATGGACGTAGGCAGAGCGCCGAACAACACCCCGCCGTAGCCCACCATTACTCATACGTGGGAACTGACCAACATCTCCCAAACCTGGAATTGGATTGTAGCATTACGTTATTATCAAAATCTTCAAATCACGAGCTGTGTTGATCGTGCCAATGGTTGTCCGCAACCTTGCCCTCATAGCCAGGCTAAGAGGCATGAAACGGACGGACAACCCCACCACAGAAGATATGTTGACCTGCCCCTCAACCCTTCCACCGAGGACCGGAGGAGCTAAAACATACCAGCAACACTAGACTCGTAATAGGCGATGGTCAGCGATGATGTATGATTATTCAGCGGGGCCCAGGTCTGGTCCTTGGCACAAATGATGTGAGCCTTTGGGGGATAATAATACCTCCCAATTTTACTGGGAGTTACGAAGTACACATGGCAAGGTAGGCACTCACTCCCATCAAGGATGTCGCCGGCTGCTGGTGCCACAGTTCTATCACGTGTTTTACCACGTGGTATGCATATTGTGGAACTCAAGCTTAATGCTGACCTAATATCGTAGATTCTGGAGGTAAGAGCTCCAGGAAGTGTGGCGTTGACACCCAGCGCACGGCCACGAAACTACCTGGCGCGCCTCCTCTCGCGTCCAGCTTTGGGGCGTGGCTAGAGGCAGCAAGAAAATTCATGGTTTATTGACAAAGCGACTGGCATATCGAGGCGAAGGTCCCCATCGCGAAGCACAATCGACTTCCCCCGAACACCCACATATCACGTTCAAACAGGCGAGCATTGATTTTTAATTTATCTTCGCACTGTTTTCCAGCTCGCTGGAAAATTTCCTTCGAGCTCCACGGTGTCTGCCAGACCAAGCCAAACCCGGGATCCTTCCTTTTCGAGTGCTGTCGACTGGCAATCCATTTGGCTTTCAGCTCAGAGCCCGCCGAGCACACCAAGCCCGACAGCATCTCATATCCCATCTACCTTGCTACCGTCTCGAACAAGCCCCTTTAGACCTTCGCTTTTGCGCGTCGACACCATGGCCTTCAACTTCGGTACTGGCTCAAAACCGGGTACAACCCCTTCCACATCTGCTCCTGCCGCAGCTCCAGGTGGTTTATTTGGAGCTACAGCCGGGACGCCAACATTCTCCTTTGGTAATCTAGGCGGTGGATCTGGTGCATCTACTCCGGCGGCGGCGACATCATCTTTGTTTGGAGCTGCCACACCAGCGGAAGCCCCGAGGGCTGGAGGTTTGTTTGGCAGCACCCCGGCCAGCCAACCAAACACATCGGCTGCTGGAGGCCTGTTTGGGGAGGCGCGACGGCGCCCGGAGCTGGAGGGCTTTTGGGTAACAGCTCTGCGACGCCTACCCCCGGAGCGAACAGGCCAAGCGGGGGCCTATTTGGAGGTGCCACGAGCAGTGCTGCCCCCGGCAACAGTCTCTTCGGCAAGCCTGCAGGTGCGGCATCCCCAGCAACTTCTAGTATCTTTGGTGGTGGTTCAAGCACTCCTGCTCCTTCTGGAGCTGCCGGCGGGTTGTTCGGTGGAGGTGCTGCCGGCGGGACGGACAAGGGCCCGGCCCAGGCTAGCGCCGGTGCTCCAGCCGGGGGTTCGCTGTTTGGCGCGGCTGCCACAGCCCAGGCAACTCCTGCCAAACCGCTCTTCGGCGCCCTGCCATCCACCACACCAGCTGGCGCGCCATCACTCGGACTCGGAGGATCCCAACCTTCCCAAGCCTCGACAAGTCAATCACTATTCGGAAGCGCTGCTCCCAAGACGAGCACGGCCGCCGCTCCTACGGCCCAGCCATCAACAGCCACTTCGTCGTCTCTTTTCGGACAAGCCGCATCCTCAACGCCAAAGCCAGCTCCAGCGGCCACTGGTGGCCTCTTCGGGCAGACACCTGCAACCGCAGCCACCTCCTCCACCACACCTGGCTTGTTTGGCGGTGGTGCGACGCAAGCCTCTACTACTGCTACCGCCGCCAGCTCTGGCACACCTGCCTTCGGTGGCGGACTGTTCGGCCAAAAGGCCCCCGCTACCTCTGCTCCCGCACCCAGTGCTCCCGCTGCTTCGACAACTCCTGCGGCTGGAGGTCTATTTGGAGCCGCCGGTAGTTCATCCACCACCCCGGCGCCAGCGGCTGCGGGAGGTCTCTTTGGAAAGCCTGCTGCCACCGTAGCCGGTGCAGCTACTACCCCCGCATCTAACTCCGCCGGTGCCGCCTTTGGGAAGCCTGCAGCCACAACAGCAGCTGCCACTGCCACGGCGACTCCTGCTGTATCCGCTCCCAGCTCCGGATTGCTTGGTGGAGCCAAACCTGGAGGCTTCCTGTTTGGCGGCGCTGGCGCAGCAGCTACATCGCAGCCAGCTGCTTCTGCTGCGACAACCACTAGCTCCACCGCTCCGACTGCCGCACCTGCCGCGAGCGCACCGGCAGCCAATGCTGCAGGTGCAGGTTCTAGCTTGTTTGGTGCCAAGCCGACTGCTAGCGGAGCCGCCCCAGCGACAAGCACCCCTACGAATGCCCTCGGCGCCTCCACGTCGGGGCCTCCTTCTCAACTTCCCCGGCTTAAGAACAAAAGTATGGATGATATCATCACGCGCTGGGCATCGGACTTGTCAAAGTACCAGAAGGAGTTCAAAGATCAGGCGAATAAGGTGGCGGAGTGGGATCGCCTTCTTGTGGAAAACGGCGAAAAATCCAGAAGCTCTATCTCAACACCTACGAGGCCGAGCGCGCGAGTAATGAGATTGAGAAGCAGCTCATGGCCGTGGAGAGCCAACAGGATGAGCTGGAGGCCTGGCTTAACCGCTACGAGGCGGATGTCAACGAGATGATTACGAAACAGGTTGGTCAGGGTGGCGACCAACTTGGCGGCCATGACCAGGAGCGCGAGAGAACCTATAAGCTCGCGGAGAAGCTTTCGCAGCATCTAGACGAGAAGAGCCGGGACCTGGCCACCATGGTCAAGGAGATAAATGACGTGTCAGCTACCCTTAGCAAGAGCACCCGTTCGGAAGATCCAGTAAGTCCCACCACCTCCTCCCTTGTATCCCAAAAACTGGCAGACTCCCGGCACTAACAATAATGATAGGTGAGCCAGATTGTTCGTGTACTCAACGGACATCTAACACAATTACAATGGATTGACACCAACACTGCTGCACTACAAGCCAAAATTACTGCGGCACAAAAAGCGAACGGGACCTTGGGTAGTCAACAGGGTGTGTCAGAAAACGATGCCGCGGAGAGTTTCTACCGGTCGTATATGGGGCGTAAGTAGTCATTGAGGAGCCGGGTTATAATTGGCACTGCTGCGAGGGGTTTATTTCTAGAGTTTACGAATTGGTCGGAGCTTGATGGTGATAGGGAACAGTTCCGATATCCAGAAGGAGAGAGTAGCTCGTAGGCCGTTCTATGTTATATGCCAGTGTATTTGTACGGAAGGCTCCAAAGTAGTTTGAGGATAATACACAAAGAGGATACAGATATGATTTGGCAGCAGCTTGCCTAACCGCCATGTAATGCTAGGCCCGTCGTTGAACAATGGGCCGGCCCATCACTTGATGTCAGGCAAAAACCTCGATTTGACTAGATAATCGTCCTCCTCGAAGAGGAGTTTAGTTTTGCTCGCCACCCTGGTTCTTGGTGATTTCGTCACTGGGCACACGAGCGGTATATTAGTCAATGTTCCCCAAGAGATAGGAATTATCAAGAACGAGGCGATTAACGACTCACATATGATCAGCGAGCTTCTTGATGTGAACCTGCTGCTCATCAAGCTTCTTCCTGAGCTCGAGGAGCTTCTCCTTCTCGCGCTGGCGGATAGCATAATCCTCGGACGCCTTCTCGCGGCGTTGGAAGGCATCACTACAATTGCGCAAGGGGCAATGAGTTAGTAAGGAGACATGGCACCATCAATCTCTTTCATCTCAACACCTCCAGGAAACCGCGCATTGGCAGAGCTCTTGATAGCTCCAAGACTCCCAAGAGGGGCCATACCCGCAATGCGGGAAGGCCAACCAGCCTCAAGGGCCACGATAGAACAGGGTAAAAGTGCTGGGACAAGTCAAAGGGTGCAGCTAAACATACCCAGAACCTCCGGTCTTGGGAGGAGCTCCAGTTGCGCCTTCGGTCATGGCTCTGGCAGTTGTGCTGAACGCGGCTCGGGGAGCAAGAGCGAGCCGAGGGGCCTTTGCAATAGTAGCCCGAAACATGGTGAGGGAAAATCAAAGTGAAAGTGTCGGAAAAGATGGCGTCGAAGTTGACGAAGAAGGTGTGGTGTGGTGTGGTGAGTGATTCGTTCGTTGCAAGTTATGTGTGACCAACGAGATTTTGTCTGTTGCTGGGAATCTTCGGCAATACTGGTACGATGATCTGATGGGGCCAGGGTGTGATCGAATTGGGGAGGGGGCTGGATAAGAGTCTACCACACAATTCCTAGTATCCTGGTCAGAAATACATGTCCCTCGATAACGTTGCTTTATCCACAGTGTCTGGGCAAGGATAATTCCACCACGCTCCTCAAAACACGCCAACCAGTGCCTTTGGCAGGTAGTTTCATGGAGAGGCGTTGATGTCATGATCACGAATCCGTTATCCTCCGATTCCTGCCTGTCTGCCTCATTCTATGTTCTCAGCCTTTATCTCCTATGGTAATGGGATTGTTTATTTTATTTTATTTTCAGGAAAATAAATCGTGGAAAATATATCTCTCGTCCCTAGGTTCCCTTCACTTAATTGCAGATGTTTTCCCGAGACTCATAAAGACCCTGCCTCAGGACTGAGTTCCCTCGAGTGACGAATGATGAGGGTGTCGCGAGCCTCGCCCATCCTTCTCCCGTTAAAGATTCATACCGAGCCTAGAGGCTCGGCGTGATTCCCGGATCTAGGGTAGGTTCCGTTCCACTAGGCGATTTGTGTATCACCAGTGGGACATGGGCTAGCTACTAACAAACACCACTAGACATTCACAATTTCGGGCTTCGGGACATTTCGCAGGCGTGAGCGTCTCGAGATATACTCCTTACAAGACTGAAGAATCTTTGTTCACCAAAGAATCAAGCCAGAAGTCACAACACGGGTAGCATATAGAAACGTATGCCGTTGAAATATTGTGGGTGTCAAGCTGGTCCAGGCGTGGAGACGATGGCCTCCACCGTCCTTCATTGAAGGTGGTTGAAGGTATTCCCCTCGGTGCCCCCGTTGTTTCAAATTCGAGGCCAAAGGGTCATCTGTAGTGTAAATAGAGTAGAACTAGTAAACTGTTAGGTATGCTTGCATCGCATCGGAGACGCAGAGACGTGCGACAGTATGGTCTCAACGTTTCTCTTGATCCCAACGGTTATGTTCTTCTGGTGAAGAGATTATTTTGGAAACAGTCGCTTGTCGAGGGGCATCTTGAGAGACAAGCATGGCGGGAGCAATGAAGAAAGCCCCGGGGCGATGCCTGCTACCATCGCCGGTTTCATCGCGCGCGTTGATAACCGCCCACAATCACCCACCTTAAATCGTCATCGAGCATGGGGCACCACTGCCAAGGTATCAACTACGAGTGTGACTTCATCAGGGTGTGAGTTGACTTGGTTGAGAGGGCTGTAAGTGGTACAAGTACCATACAGTATGAACAGCCGCTGATCGCCGTTTGTTGATCCAAAATACCTGTTCCTGCTGGCCTCACTTCCCAGCCGCCCGCCTTTCTTCCTCGGCCAGCAGGTTGCCAAGTTGCTTTGCCAGGCGGGAGTCAGTTGTTGCCAAATCTTGCAATGGCGGGACGAGAGTTGGCTAATTGATCCATCGATTGGTCGATTATTACACTGTTAGTACTTGTCACCTCTCCGAAGGAGTGGCTTTTCACTAGAATTCCTACGTGTAGAGATCAATGCCCATCTATGGGCACTGCAGCGCGTCGTTGAAGAAACCCCAATTCGCTTTGATCAAGCGCAGGACAATTCAGAGCCAGTCAGTCCGTCCACCAGTGTCAGCTTCACTCTGGAGATGGGCGGTCCTGGCGCCTGATGACCAGCCTCCACTGTGTGGCGGTGGCCAGCCCAGACTATGTAGGAACTTTGAACATTGAAGTAAGCGTCTGGTAGTTGAGGAGCCACCTAGGCGGCCAGCCCGGTTTGTGGCCACTGGCACTCTCTCACCCCCAACTGTAATTAGAGGCCCGCCGTCTGGTCCAACTCTTTGATTGATCCTGCCCCCTCTCCCACGTCAACGTGCTGTGCTCCTCCTCCCATATTTCGCCCTGCAGAAAATCCATCCCCCAGGCCCTTTACCTCACGCGCTCCTTGTTTTCCCTACCTCCCCTCACCTTCTCCCCTGAACAACAACTCTCCACCATCTCGCATCGAATTTCTCCCACGAACGGTTTATCCCCTCGCCCCAACACCGAAATCTTCGCATCACCGCGATCCCAATACCAATCCTATATTTCCATCCCGCTTGCATATTTCCTCTAGGTATGTTGAAACTCACGTCTCGCGATGCGTCCGCTTTTCCCCTCCCGCCCTCTGTCGTCATCGCTACATGGCCTGTCCACCTAAGGGCCTACAACTTTGGCCCTCTTTCCATCGGGAGTCTGTCGTTCGGACAATTGTCTAGATTGCGCCTTCCTTTGCACTCCGGAAAAGACTCGTCAGCTCCTTCCTTGGCCTGCCGGTCCTGGTGGCCAGCGTTATCCTGGCGCTCCCCAAACCCCACCACGAGCGGGGATCCCATCAGCCTTAACTCCATCTTCCTGCACCTACCTCCCACCTCTTTTCTTACCCAAGAAGCCACACATTCTGTCCATTTCTCCCCACGATCCTCTGCTTCAGTCGCGAGTTGCAATAGAAAATACGCTTTCTCGGCATGCGCTAGCCCATCTGGTTCTTTTCCCATTGCACAACATCCCTTCCCCACCTTGACTCTGACTGGAGCTCTGTGCGCCTCACCCCAATTTCCGCCTTTTCAACCACTTGTAGCGACTCGATCGATAATCGCGGACGCCTGCACTCTCTGGTTCACCGCTAATATAATTTGCATCGTAGCCAAATACGTCTTTCGAAAATCAATCCATCATGGGTAACGAAGATGCTGTCTATCTCGCCAAGCTCGCTGAGCAGGCTGAGCGGTACGAGGGTAAGCAACGCCCGCCATCCTACAACAACCAATCCAAAAGTCATTGGAATCGCTAACCATGCCCGAAAACCCGACAGAGATGGTTGATAACATGAAGATTGTCGCTTCTGAGGATCGTGACCTTACTGTCGAGGAGCGCAATCTCCTTTCCGTTGCCTACAAGAACGTCATCGGTGCTCGCCGTGCGTCGTGGCGAATCGTCACCTCTATTGAGCAAAAGGAGGAGTCTAAGGGGAACTCGTCCCAGGTCACTCTGATCAAGGACTACCGACTCAAGATTGAGGCCGAGCTTGCCAAGATTTGCGACGATATCCTCGAGGTCCTCGACAAGCACCTAATCCCCTCGGCCACCTCCGGCGAGTCCAAGGTGTTTTACCACAAGATGTATGTTGACACTTTGACTATCCCCTCTTGCCTGCATTTATTGAATGTGCCTTTTACGAGTTTCCGGATTGTGGGTCTTGATGTCTAATGCGCTTTGGAAAATAGGAAGGGTGATTACCACCGCTACTTGGCCGAGTTCGCCGTTGGCGACACCCGCAAGAACGCCGCCGACAAGTCCCTCGAAGCCTACAAGGCCGCTACTGAGGTTGCCCAGACCGAGCTTCCCCTACCCACCCCATTCGTCTTGGTCTTGCCCTCAACTTCTCGGTCTTCTACTACGAGATCCTCAATGCTCCCGACCAGGCCTGCCACCTCGCTAAGCAGGCCTTTGATGATGCTATTGCCGGTCAGTACCAGAAGTCTTGAAATACATCCACTGGGAGAAGAATCCCTTTACTGACTTGACTATTCTTGCAGAGCTGGACACCTTGAGCGAGGAAAGCTACAAGGATTCTACTCTGATCATGCAGCTTCTCCGCGACAACCTGGTAAGTCTCCCTTTCCCTAGGCGGACCGTGCAATGCTACGCTCAAAGCATCACTTACTAACACCGCGATAGACGCTCTGGACATCCTCCGAGGCCGACAATGCCGGTGCCACTGAGGCCGCTCCCAAGGAGGAGGTTCCTTCTAACGACGCGCCCGCCGCCGCCGCCACCGAGGCCGCCGCCCCTGAGGAAGATAAGAAGGCTGCCGAATAAATCGGCCATCATGCAACCTATGTTCACTTGCGGTCTTAGTCGGGTAAAAGGGCGGACCGGTGTCTACGGAGTGTGGACTTTGAGTTCCCTTGTTTTGTAAGCTTCGGCATCGATTAGGCAAAATACACAGACACGTTTTCTTCGGCGAGGTTGTCGTTTTTCGTTACCTACACGGAAACTGGTAGGAGCGGCTACGGAGGGGCATATTTGGAGGCCAAATTCAAAGGGTGCTTATCTCTTAGATGACTCTTGATCCTTAATCCGTCTGGACAAAAATAAAACAAAGATACAGCGAGGACGCCCCTCATGGGCATTATACCGTCATCGCTCATTACGCATACTCTTGTCCCCTCCCCATGAACCACATCTAGTGAAGCCTGATCAGTCATGCCGTGCACTTATCCTCTCTCCACCCTTTCCCTTTTCCCGCACCACAAGGCTCCCTTCCCAACTAGACTGCCTTGGTCTTTGACATGTCGTACCCGTTCCAGTTGCCACCTCACAAGCGCTTGTCTTGCACATACTTCGACCACTCAGAACACTCGTAGTTGGACCTGTAGGTGCATAATCCTTGTGCAGAGGGCATATGCGATTACGCCTCGAGGACTGCAAAGTACACCCGTAGCCATAAACTGCAGTCGCTGCAGCCTACGACGAGCTCACTAACTTCTGAAGCTTCCTCTAAGTCCAACTCCCCAAACGTGAACCCTTTCTCATTGCCACATCGGCAAGTCCTAGACCATGTCGCGCTGTTTTCATCGTAGTTGAGATCATCTAGGTCAACAGATTCGACGCCAGTGCGGAAGACAGCATCAGGATCTCCTTCTATGCCAGACCCGCCAATCACGGCGGGGTTATTAGAGAGGCGGAGGGCTGCATCATATGCGGACCGAGCTGTGGGATCGGACAGGGTTCGGTACGCGGCTGAGATCTGGTCTATGGTGTAGGCGCAGGCAGCCTCGGCTCGTTTTCTGTCCTTGTCTGGATGGTTATGTAGGAGGGCACGATGGTAGGCTTGTTTGAGGAGCGAAGTGGGGTTGGCCGCTGATGTGAGGAGGGTGGGAGAGATGGCCAGGACAACATAATGAGATGGGAGCAAGGGTAGTGAGCCTTGCGGAGACGAGTCCATGGGAAAGAATGAGAAAGCCTGCTATGCAGCAGGCTGCTGAAGATGCACAGCTTATTCCGGGTCGGGCGTTGATATTTTATAGTGGGGTATTTTGTGGTGTTTTTGGCGATGCTGCACCTCAGATGTATTTCAAAGTTGGTCGGTACCTAGTATCCCCCGCGTCATAGACCATTCTGCGAAGTGGCAAGGCTTTCAATGATAGTACCGAATTTCGCGCTCTGCCTACGGCTACAATATTCGATTCCGTGAATGGGAGGGGGTTGAGTGTAAGGAGGACTGCTGTACAGTTTTTATCGTGTCGTGTGGACTCATTTACGTTTAGTATACCAAGTAAGTAGGCTTTGCACCAAAAGGCTAGATCTTTCAACCCAACTCGCAATGCCTCATAAATACCTTGTTTCAACCTCGCGCACGCGCTCAAACCTAGCAATCCTTCCTTTTACGAGATAACTGTACACAACTGAAGGTTTAAGGACGAGGCGAAGGCGGCTGGGGTGACCGGGGGAGAGTGCTAGCTGTGTCATACGCTCGTCGCCATGCTTTTCACGCACGTAATCTCCTGAGGCCTAGATTCTTCGCTACGGGGCAAGGGGACGCGTCTTTTGAAATGAGAAAGAACGCTTTGCTTTATGGTCGCTTCCTAGCCAGGTGATCCTTGGGCTTGAATGACCTGCCAGTGGATACTGGATGTACGCACTTAGTCTCAATGGCACCATTGCGAGTATCTCAGTTTCATCACCTCCCTAGCATGACTTTTCAAGAGGAACCCGCGAGCGGAACGAGATGCATCTCGCACTAGGAATATAGAAAATGTTGATAATATTGGCACATGAAAGGGTTTAATATCTGAGGGTATGGAATGGTCTAGTGGGAACAGGAATGTTGTACAAGACTCATGGTAAGTGAGTTGCAGTAGGAGTCCAAGCATGAAAAATTTATTTGGGGAACTTTTTCCAATTTCGCGCGCCAACCTAGGAAAAGGTTAGCATATATCTCTTGCTTCGTTTCGAACATCAGTGAACTTACCCGTTTCCATTCCCGCACAAGCTTGGGCATCTCCAACATCGCGTCTCTCCTCTTCTGCATCCTGCATCAGGGTTAGTACTTTAAGCGCCAACACGGAATATAGCTTAGTAGCAGCGCTTTGGGAAACATACTTAGTTAACATGTGTCGTTCGTGGGAGTGACCCTTGACCCTCTGTCCAACACCAGTACCCTTGACCCGAAGACCGAATTCCACCCTCTTCGCGAGCTTCGTTTCTGTGCCCTTGGAGGTCTCGGGAAGAAGTTCCTCAACTCCATTTTCCCGCGCCATCTTGACGAGCTCCGCCTGCCGCCGCAAGGAGTAGACCGGATCGTGCCATTTGCCCGTCACAGGGTGCTTCCAGAATTTGAATGGGTCGGGTCGCGAGAGCTGGTAGGACGTTTTTGAGGCTTCGGCGCCCTCTACTGTCGGCGGAAGTATCGCAGCAGGTGGGTACCTAGCAAAGAAGCGCTTCAGTTGAGAAGGAAGCCCCTTTGCAAGGCTGACAAGCTCCTTGGATGCCATCGTCGCGAACGTGATGCGGCTTCGTGATAGGTGGTCAGGTCGGGTGAATTTCGACGGCGGCGAGTGGTCTGCAAGAGACGATAACAATGCCCCGAGCTTGGGCGTTGGGATTTGGGCTAACGCAAAGAGATGCTCGTCTTCACCCGGTACAGTATCTTCCAACCGTGGAAGACAGCATTGGGGATCACTTCAAGAAATGCGGAATGGTCCTTCCTTTCGCAAGGGTGCTTAAGGAAAAAAATTGGCTGATGGAAATCTTGATTATGTAATATGAGCTTGCTTGCTTGTCTGCGTTGGCAGCTGTCGCTTGACACAGTAATGAATCGCACTGTATGCCATCAGTCGCCAGCATTATAATCCTCGAAATTCTAAGGAGCCTTCCATCTCGAACGCAACGTACAACGTACTATTCTCTGCCTGCCCCGAGACTTAGGGCCGTACTTTGGTCTTTCCCCTTTGCCACCAGGTCCAGGCAGAAATAGTGGCGCTTTGCGACACGCGCCGTGCCTTGCTGAGAAGCTCAGAATCAAAAGGTTTAGAGTGGCTCGCGTGCCTTGCTCTAACAACTATCTCTCTAAAGTACGAGGCGCAAGTCTAGGCATCACCTCCACCACTACCTTGCTAGGTCCACGATCGATCGAAAACTCACAAACATGGACGGGCCACCGAAGCTTCGCTTCATCCCAAAGCGTGAACGGGAGAAAATGGACCAAGAGAAAAAGAACGGGAAGGGAAAGAAAAGCTCGACCGCGAGCGGAAGAGGGCCGAAGAACGTGAAAGACAGCGAAGGAAACGAGAAGAGGAAGACAAGGTCAACGATAATATTGCAGAACGTTTTCGGCGACCTGTGAAGAAGCCTGGGCAGAAGCTTACAGCCGACGACATCGACCAGCTCAACTTTGTGACGCGGTATCTCGGGCCCGAAATCAACAAGAACTCGACATTTGCGCCGCGGAAGCGAAGAAGAGGTGCCAAGGAGTTCAACTTTGATTGGGATCCTCTTGACGATACCTCGAGACCCGAAGAGGGAGAAGAGATGAGAGACGGGGAAACCGGAGGAGGGATAAAGGGGCGGACACACAGTGGCCCCTTGGCTGGGGTGCAGACGCAGAGGCCAAGGCTCTCAAGCAGGCGGATGTTCTTAAAAATATGCATGGACAAGAACGGGCGGAGGAGCATATGCGCAAGTTTTACGAAGAGCGACAGCGACGCAAGACGGCCGACGATCGCCTGCTTGGCCGTATGAAGACATGGGTTCAAAAGTCTCGTGAGGAGATGACGGATCGCGACTGGCGACTCTTCAAGGACAAAGCGGGCATCGCGATCAAAGGCGCGGGCCTTCCAAATCCAATGCGCAACTGGCAGGAGTCAAACCTACCCCCTCTATCCTGGATACGCTGAGAAGACGCAATTTCCAAGACCCCACACCTATTCAGCAGGCTGCGATCCCCATCGCATTATCGTCCCGGGACATCATTGGTGTCGCGAAAACCGGTTCCGGAAAAACGCTTGCGTTTGTCCTTCCTCTCCTCGTATACATCTTACAGCTGCCTCCGCTCACGGAATACAACATGAGCGATGGCCCCTACGCACTCATTCTTGCGCCAACTCGTGAATTGGCACAGCAGATTGAGAAGGAAGCCAAGGCATTTGCTGATCCTCTCGGCTTCAGCGTCGTGTGTATCGTCGGTGGGCACTCGCTTGAGCAACAAGCATTGGCCCTTCAAGCCGGAGCCCACATTATAGTAGCCACGCCCGGTCGTCTAGTTGACTGCATTGAAAACCAGTTTGTTGTTTTCCATCGCTGCAGCTACTTGGTCATGGACGAAGCCGATCGAATGATTGATATGGGTTTTGAGGAGCCGGTAAACCGCATCCTTAGTGCGCTGCCCTCAGTCGAGAGAACTGACCCCGGAGACGGGGTGGACCTTCCGGGGTGGTCGATGCCGCTGGCGGTCAGAGGCGGAGCGAGACAGACGATGATGTTTACAGCTACCATGTCGCCTCGCGTGGAGAAAATTGCGGCCAAGTATATGCGACAGCCAGCAGTGGTGACCATTGGCAGCTCGGACGAGGCTGTCGACACGGTCGAACAGCGCGTCGAGTTTGTGGCCGGAGAGGCGAAGCGCCTCAACCGCCTTCAAGAAGTCTTGTCGGACCCGAACCTCAAATCGCCCGTCATTATCTTTGTCAACGTCAAACACAACTGCGATGCTGTGGCAAAATCTATTCGCAAAATGGGCTGGAGCACAGCAACTCTACACAGTGGCAAGACGCAGCAACAGCGTGAGGCGGCCCTCAAGGATGCTCGAGAAGGCCGCACCGACGTGCTGGTAGCAACGGATTTGGCCGGACGAGGTATCGACGTTCCAGACGTTTCGCTTGTCATCAATTTCAACATGGCGAACTCGATTGAGAGCTACACGCATCGTATCGGTCGTACCGGTCGTGCAGGTAAAAGCGGTGTCTCCTCACTTTCCTCGGTCCCGAGGATAGCGAGGTGCTGTATGAGCTGAGGCAGATGATCTCCAAGAGCCCTGTGTCAAGGGTGCCAGAGGACCTTGCGAGACATGAGGCCGCCCAGCAACGATCCAGCCGCCGAAGGTAGTAATATTGGGCCGGACAGTGCGGAGCAGGTTAGATTTCATCATGAATTGGAATAATATACTTGAGATTCGTCAACAAGCATAAATATAACCCCGTTACCGATCCTGGTTCACCGGCTGCAGGCAGGGATTCCGTCTGTTCACCAAATCTAATGTAGCATAATCCCAGAATGGCAGGCGGGAGGAGGCGTGGGAGAAAAAGCTTTCCCAACATCCTGTGAAGTTCGTGAATAAGTTTAAAAGCAACATCTTGCACCTCTCGTCGACAGTCGCCAACAGCTCAAAGCGCCCAGGGATGCCGTCGCACCTTAGTTTCCTTTCTTTTTTGTGTTCCCATTGAAGCCCCGCCTGTCTCCCCGGCCGGCATTTTCTTGCGGGTTTTGCCCCGCGAGTGGAGGGAGAGCCGTCGCTTGAATACTATTGAATCATTGCTGATCAATAGGACAAAGGGCTCAAAGGAGAGCCGAGGTATTGTTGACTTCAAAGTTCCTATTGCATGGATCCATACAATCAGTGCCCGTCAAAGAGTACGAATACAAAGGGCGGCCCGGCGCGGACTCAGGGACCGTCAGTTCTATTAAACAAAACGCGAATATTGATCAATACAAGGGGAAGAGGAGGATCTGATAAAAGTAGACGGGTACAAAGAAGGGCAAGCATACAGGGAGTTAGCAGGGGAGACTAAGAGCGATTTCCGGCACTTCCTCGTCTCTCCGTTGTACCGTCTCATCAGATGCAAAGCTGGCCCAATGCTGGACGCTTATTGATCAAAGATAATCTCTCGATCACGGCCCATCATCCTTGGATCGGACGCAAATTTCTCGCTAGTCTGCCTGCCGCGGGGTCTGGCCTCTTGGGAAAGCGCGCGAGGACTTGCCCCGAGGCTTCACTGTTCGATGTTCGTGCTCCGTCTGACCCCACAATTCCCCACTATGTTGCCACGACCGATGACCCTTGGGCCCCTACAGAAGTGGGCGCAAGGGTACGTTTCTAGCACTGTCAAGCGCAAAAGCCCCATGGAAAGTTGGGAAGGTACCTCCGTCCTCGGTGTCACCTGCTGGCGCGAGAAAATGTTTCCTCGCCATCAGATTTTGCATGCATCTCCCCTCGTCAGCGGTTTCGCTCCTCCATCGTGACGTTTGATAATTTTTCAAGCCAAACCTGGCCCTCCTCGTCAAGTCCTACACCCTTGTGCCTTCTTTATTCCCGTTGTCTTTCTCCCTTTTCAACCATGGGGATGGTTAAGTGACTTGTGCTCTTCTTCTCCTTTCACCGTTATCCCACCATAACCCACCGTTCCTTCGGCCCGGATTGGCTGGGGCCTGGCTTTATTATGTGACTCTTTGCATTCAATAGCACTTTAAAGCCCCCAGACCGCCCTTCAGCAAAGCCGAGGGTTCACCCAGCTCTTGGTCCGGCGAGTATCACCCTGCCTTCTCTCAAAAGGCAGAGGTCAATATTATTGTTCCCTCGCTTCAATACGGGGCCTCGTTTGTTCTCAATCTCAATGAGGGCCCGTCTCACTGCCAGATAGCTGGAGCACGTCTTACACACTTCTACGCTCACTATAAAGCCATCATCCGCGTGGCTACCCACTGCTATCCTCCTCTTCAACAGCTTCACTGAAACCCCAGACACCTCCTATCCTCAGAGTTAACCCTCGCGCACTCATCCGGCTTTTTCTTGTTCTTTTCCTATCTTCTCAGCTTCTCTCCTCGCCTTCCGCCTGTTGCCGTCGAGTCTTCACTATGGCAACTGCCCCGCCAACTTTGGATCGGGCTCCAAGCCCCGCGGCGGCCACCCCGCAGGACAGCATCCTTCGACCTCAGGCCGCTGCTCTAGAAGCTGTTGAAGATGTGCTTTATGGATCCGTGAGTTTCATTCTCTGTCAAGAGTCTAAAATTGCTAGTTCAAGCCTTGGATTGCTAACGTTAACCCCTACTAGGTCGCTGGCGTAGTTGGGAAATATATCGAATATCCCTTTGACACCGTCAAGGTCCGGCTTCAGTCGCAGCCAAACACCCTACCACTTCGATATACTGGACCCCTCGATTGCTTTAGCCAGTCTATCAGGGCTGATGGGTTTCTGGGACTTTATAGGGGAATTAGCGCGCCATTGGTAGGGGCGGCACTTGAGAATAGCAGCCTCTTCTTCTTTGAGCGCATTGGCCGCGATCTTGTGTGCGCCTCCGGCTATCTGCCTCAGGACAAGCCACTCCCCTTGTCGGCCCTTTGGTTCACCGGTGCTTTCTCAGGGGCCTTCACCTCTCTCGTCCTTACTCCCGTCGAGCTCGTCAAGTGCAAGATCCAAGTACCCGCCGCTGTCGAAGGCAAAGCGCCCCCACCGCTTCGACCAATCTCCGTCGTCAAGGACATATATCGTCACCACGGGCTACGCGGGTTCTTCCACGGCGGCATAGGTACCCTGATTCGAGAGGCTGGAGGGGGCGCAGCTTGGTTCGGTACCAAGGCCACGATTTCCAGAATGTTCCTTGACCGACGGGCCCAGACCGCCACGACATTTGAGGAACGGGAGGAACTGCTCGCGAAACCCCTTCCTCTCTGGCAACAAGCCTTTGCTGGTGCGTGCGCCGGAATGTCGTACAACTTCCTTTTCTTCCCTGCAGACACGATCAAATCCCGTATGCAGACGGCTCCCATTGGCCAGTCCGTCCAGTCACAGACATTCTTGTCTGAAGGCATTTCCCTCTGGAAGCAGCATGGTCTACGAGGCATGTATAGAGGCTGTGGCATAACCGTTATGCGATCCGCGCCGAGCTCAGCCTTCATTTTTATGGTTTTCGATGGGTTGAAAACCTACTTTCCACTAGGCTAAACCCTCAGTCTTCCCTATCTCTTCTTTCTTCTTTCTTTTTTTCTTTCTCTTTTCCGCGCTGAACGAAACCGGAGTGATATCGGAGCTTCAATAGAAGGGTTGCATAGCCTGGCGTTGGCCGCTTATTCGGCTTATCCTTAGGGGGACCTTCTCCTACCCATTTGCATATACACTACATTTAACACACACACACACACACACACACACACACATAGATAAAAGGACAAATGCATGTCCTTTCGTATGGCGTTGGCGGAATCAATAAGATATTCATTAGCATAGGACTTTTCCCATTATTCGTTTGTTCTTCGTGGAAAAGTTTTAGGGTAGAGACGAAGCTCTACGGACATGGTGGACAACATGTCTAGATAACAAAGTGAACTTGTATGGTACAATTTGGCTCGGGTGTGCACGTTAATTCGACTAGTAATCCTTATCACTAGCCTTCTTGCCCTTGAGGTTCCAGTTGTTCAGGTACCCGGCGCCTGCGCTAAGGTAGGTCGCGAAACCCAACCACGCAACATAGGGAACCATGCACCACCCGGCAACCTCATCAATGCCTCCCCAGAGGTAGGTCAGGTAGGTATTGATACCAAACAACGCGGCAGCATCGATAGTCGCTTCAATCGGGCGTTTGGCTACGAAGAATAGAGGCATCCATGCAAGGTTGAGACCAAGTTGGATGGTGTAGAGGGTGGCGCTGCTCTTTGCATCTTGGTGGGCGGCAGTGGAAGACATAGGGTTTAAGCCAGTGGTGATGGCGCGGTGGGCCGCGTAACCCATGAGCCTTGAATTTCAGTCAGTAATTGCTCCTCCGGCGGAAAGTCATCGAGTAGACGTAAGGCACTGCTTACCCGTAGAGCGCCGTCCATACGGGGGAAGACCTCGCGGGGAGGCCTGTAGGGAGGCTGCTTGATGCCCGCATAAGTTTTTCGGGCTCCGCAGCTAAACACTCGAGTCAGATGACAATAGGAAAGGGGTCTATCTCCAGTAACACTTACGTCGAGTTCCAAATCCGACTGCTGTTCCTAGAGCAATAGGAAGGAGGATACTCGCCGCGGGTTCTCGAACACCGCGTACGGAATAGTAATGGATGGGATAAACGTAGTCATTGTGATGGTCTTTTTCTTCGCTCCTGATGCCTCCTGTAAAAAATGGTGTTAGCTATGTTGGCGATCCTCGAGTTTCAAGTCTCGCACTACGGTCGGGAGCGGTACGGCTTATACGTGGAAAGCAATGCTCTTTCGGAGAAGGCGGGGTTTTCAAACTTACGAGGTGATCAGTGTTCTCGGGTTACAGATGAAGCTTTCACAGTTGTGAGGGAAATGGGAACACGGAATTAATTATTTATGGGAGAGGGAGAGACCTGCTCGGGCTTGAAAGCAGGAACGAGACGCGTGAAGAGCCGACTCTGTCCAGCAACGACGTCATATGATGAAGCTGCTGAGAGTTGAATCCCGGCCCCTGTACCTTCGTACTCCGTGTCCCGGACGGAGCAGTCGCCGGCTTAACATCGCTCACTCTTCAGCATCGATGGAGGAACGCCCGTGTTCAATGTTCAGTTCATCAGAGGGGAAAGGCATAGTAGGTTGCCCTTTCTAGTGAAATAACAATGGAGTAGCATAGACGCGTCTATTCCAACTTTCAATTCTCTCGGAACTCTACAGCTTTCCCTCTTAAAGTCCAATTCCTCTCTCTCAGTAATACAGTGTCAACAACAGTTCGCACCTCGTTTGCTCGAAACTAGCCTAACGACGGGATAATGACTTCATAAATCGACGATGTTCTGTCCACCGGAGGATGACATTTCCGGCCATGGAAGGGCTTCGGATCCTGGAACCAAGTATATGCTGACTTGACTGAGTGAGAATAAAAGGACCGCCGATCGCCTGCTGGGTCAGCGGAGGCCCCTTTACTAACACGAAGCTTGAATGGGTTCCTCTCCTCTCCGACTCAGAAACTGAGCAAGGGAAGGGATAATCAATATTTGGGCCACTGAAGAGAACGCTGTGAACAGGGCTCCTAGCTTGAAGGACTTTTCATCAAACATTTTACCTTAACTATGGTATATATCTAAAGATCTAGGCGCTCGGTGAGCAGTGTATGAGGGACCCGATGAAATGTTTCCATATCGAGGAACCATCGAGCCCTGCTTCTGCTAGGATGTAGGCAGAGCCCTCCCCTCCTCAATATAATCGAGAAAACCAATTGAGAGGACTAACGGATCTAGCGAATGATAAAAGGTACATAATACGATAGAGCGTGAAGAATGCCTTGCTTTGGTCTTTGCACAGTCCTCTGCGCATGGGCCAGTGCAACCTCCGAACAAGCTGCAGTGCCATGTGCCGTTCGGCAAAAACACGTGACGAAAAATGCTGCTCCCAGCTGGCGACAGCTTCGCCTTTCGGTATTCAGGTCAGCCCGAGATGTCTCCAAACCAACTCTTCCCCGAAACCAAGAATCATCACACGCCAGTTCGCCATTATCATTGGGCTTTTCAAGCTCCGCTTCAATTGTCTCCTAAGTCTTTCACTTTCAAAAGTTCGTCTTTCCCTTTTCTTCTACCACCCTAATTTTGGTCTCGGTGGCATCTGCCACGAGCACTTGTTTCTGCCCGGGTCATCTTCTTTTCTCTAGCCTTGTCCCGATCCGCCCAACCTCCTGCTGGTGCGCCCTCAAGTTCGCGACTCCTGTCCCTTCATCATCCTCCGACCTCTCCTCCTATAATCTTCCCCTTTTACGTTGATTCTATCTTTATTATACCCCTAGAGAGCCTGGGCGTTCTACCTCTTTCTGTTTGCCCATTCTCTATTATTCTTATCGGGCGTTCTCCAAAGCCCATTACACTTTTTGTTTCCTCTTCACGGAATGTCTTCTCTAACCACCATCATGTTGCCCATAATTAGGCCTTTGACCTCCTCGAAGCTACCAAGTTACTTAACCTGAAGCCCACGGCTCTGCGGGGACGGCTACCGAGTGGCTATAGATATTAGACACGTCAACAATAGCTCGCGTCGTCTATTAGCCGCCCGCCGATACCATGGACTCCTACTCATATGGCAGGGCTGCCCCAGCCCGATCTCCGACCGAGCGAACGTGGAGCAACCGTGATGCTACGCGCGGCGGCGATGACCGCGACGCCTATCGCTCTCGTTCTCCTGGTGAGTCAATAGCGCTGATCCTCCGTGGTAATTACGCGCCTGGCCTTCGTTGTCATTGTTGTTGCTACCGAAGCGTGATGTGTGTACCACTTCTCGGCGACCTACTTACAGATAGCCTTGCCTCTAGGTGTCGACCGTTCGCACTCGCGCCGAAGATCCCGATCTCCCAATGCTACCGACCGGTATGGGCCTAGAGCTCGGAACCGCGATGAGTATTCAGCCCCTCGCGACAGAGGGGATGACCGCTCACGGCGAGTCGGATCCCCGCCGGCCAATATCGACCGATACGTCCCAGGACAAGAACACGCACCGCCCAGTTTTACTACGAACCCGATTATCGACCCTGCAAAGCTCTCGTATCAAGTCGGGTTCTCTTACTTCGGCGAGTGGTGGAGGATGAATGAAAAGTTGAAAGAGGAAAAGGAGCGCGTCAAGAATGGTCGTCGACGGGAGCCAGAGAGACCCCGTGGGCCTCAGCAGATCCAAGAGGAGCGAGAGAAGGAAAAGGTCAAGATCCAGGCCGCCTACGACGCTTATAAAGAGGAACTCCAAGCGAAGATGGCCCGGACATTCGTCGGTGAGCATAAGAAGGAGCAATGGTTCCGGGAGCGTTATGTGCCCGAGGTTCGCGACTCCTTCAGACAACAGCTGAACGAATTCCGAAGAGGGCTATACTCCAGTTGGGAGCAGGAGCTCGATTCGGGCATGTTTGACGACTTCTCACTTGAGGGCCTGCCAAAAGCGAAAGCAATGGAGCTGGTGGCGTGGTCGAAAAGGAGGAAGGGGAGGCCACGGCTTCTAATGAGATCCTGGGCGTTGGCGACCTTGTTCCTGCGAATGGGGCGGATATTCGAGACGATTCATTACTCCTGCCGACCTTGCTCATCAAGACAATTGCGCCCCACGTTAGCCGACAGAACCTAGAGTCTTTCTGCAAAGAGCATCTCGGCGAAGGTGATGGGGGTTTCAGATGGCTATCCCTGTCCGACCCCAACCCCAGCAAGCGTTACCACAGAATCGGGTGGGTCATGCTTCACCCCGGTTCCGAGCCCTCGGCGACAGTGGATCGCCTCGATCCCAAGGATGAAGATGGCGAAATGCCATTGGAGTCCCCGCCCCCGTCTCCACCGCTGAAAAGGCCCTGGATGCGGTGAATGGCAAGACAGTCAAGGACGAGGTCAGAGGAGACTTTGTTTGCCACGTAGGTGTACACAATCCGCCAAAGGAACCGAGGAAGAAGGCGCTCTGGGACCTCTTTTCTGCCCCGGAACGCATCGAGAAGGATCTAGATTTGGCTACTAAGCTCGTCAGCAAGCTTGAGGAAGATTTCGGCTCTGATTTCAAAGCCGTGTTGAAGATTGAGGAGAGAGTGGATGAGCTGAAGCACCTTGGGCGCCTGCAGGCAGCAGCGCCTGTCGCAAAAGCGAAGAAGACGAAGAAGCAGAGGCAACTAGGTATGGACGAAGCGCTCGATGACGAGGGCGAGGAGGAAGAGGGCGCCATGGATGAGGATGAGGAAGAAGAAGGCGCGGTGGACGAGGACGATGATGTCGATGATGAAGATCTCATCATCAAGAAGAAGCAACTTGATCTGCTGATCGAGTACCTCCGCCGCGTGTTCAACTTCTGCTTCTTCTGCGTTTTTGAGTGCGACTCTGTCCACGAACTCACGCGGAAGTGCCTTGGGGGCCACTTGCGGCGCCCGCGCAGCACATTGTCTACCTCGTCAAGGCGGTTGCCCGTGCTACGGTCAACGGGGAACCTTTTCCAGGCAAGAAGCGTAGCGAGGCGCCGGAGGAAGGCGAGGCTGAAGTTCATGAAGGAGACAAAAGTTCCGCACGGCGTCGGCGAAAGCGGAACAACAACTCTTGCGGGCGTACAACTGGGTCAAGACATTTGAGGACAAGATCATGCAGATTCTCGATCCAGAGTCGGTCGACTTGCGTAAGCTAGGGGCCGTCCCATTGAGCAAGCGCTCGATGATGAGCTCGCCAAGTTTGTCAAACAAGAGGATGAACACAAGTGGCGCTGCAAGATACCCGACTGCACAAAACTGTTCAAGGAAGAACACTTTTGGCGGAAGCACGTTGAGAAGAGACACGCGGAATGGCTCGATGGCCTAACCGGAGAGGTACGGTCATGACGTCCCCAAAATCCGTTCAGAGGCGAGATTAACTAACTTACAAACAACAGTTTGAACTGATCAACGCCTACGTTTTGGACCCATCCCATATTGCCCCGTCTCGTACGGATGCTAACTCCAACGGGCATTTCCCTCAGGCCAATGGCCAAGGAAACTCTGGAACGCCGCGCGGATTCAACTTGCAAAACTTTGCCATGGGTGGGATGATGAGCATGCCCGGGTTCCCCATGCCAACAGGCCCGTTCCCGCCCTTATTTGTCGGCCATCCCATGCCGGCGGGTAACTGGAACGCGGCGGGAGATGACCGTGGAGGTCAAGGAGGCCAAGGACCAATCCGTCGGGGTGGAATGCATGGCGGACGGGGTGGGGCATATCGTAGCGGACCCTATGACCGCCGGGGAGGAGGTCGCTGGGACGGATCTCATTCTGGTGGCAGGAACCGAGGAGGCGGCGGTCGCTGGGGAGATGGCGCCGCAGGGGCCGCCGTCGGCCCCAGAGAGGCGGTGCAGGGACGCAGCCTGAAGAGTTACGAGGACCTTGACCACGCTGCCGGTGGCGGTGGCGGCGAGCTGAACTACTAGGTGACCACTTGGCCGTTAGACTTAAGACGTACGCCGGTTCAGCATGAAGCAGCACCCTAGGCGAAGGAGCAACAGCGAGGAGGGCTCATTGTATGTTATAGTTAGTACTATCACCATTTTCTGTCATCATGTGTTATCCAGGGCGTGTCTGTGAACAACGATCTGTTTTATCCCTATTATAGCGACAGATTGCGGCGACAAAGATGTAACTCCCAAAAAAAAAAAAAAAAGAACCAAGTATACATTTATGTGCACCTTTGAATACCTCGTTCTTAGTGTTTGGTTTAACCCAGAAGGGACAAACGGACAACGTGCCACCAATGCATTTCCGAGCAAATTGATTGCAGCGTCTACTTAATTGCTCTTCTCCATTTCTCTTCCTCTCTCTTTTCTTTTCTTAAATGTAACATAGCATTGGAAGAGCATTGAGAGAGGGAGAGGAGAGTAAAAAGAATAAAAGCCATCAAGCAATGTTCACGCATGCAGGCCGGGGTGGAAAGACATGTCCCGGGCATCTCCGTCCTCACCCACACTCGTGGTCATACTCCACGCGAAGTACTCGACGGAAAGCAACAGCCAGTTAGTCGGTCGTAGCCGCGGCAATGCGGCAAGCGGTGTCTCGGTACACTTCAAGATTGTTTGTGGTAGCATCTTTCGTTCCTGACCACGCCCTCCCCCGCTCTCCCTGCCTTCCTAATAATGGAAATCGGGGGGGCTGAAATTGGTATGAACTCTTCGAGCTTCTCTGCAAGGGTCCTGTTGACTCAGGGCGGGTTCCGACTTTTGAGGCTAGATCCTGACTCACACCTTGACGTTCCAAACTACCAAGCCTCGGGGAAAGAAAAAAAAAAAAACTCGCTAAGAGGGTGGACCGATTTAGGATGCCGGAAGTTGGGGTCGGGTGAGTGGAAAGTATCCGAGCTTGTCAGAGGGCGCCCTAATGGTCCTGAGGACTCGCAACATCAATCGCATTCGACATAGTCTGTTCAATCGGGAGAGTTACTTGACTTACTACTGGCAAGCAACCCTTGCCACATGTGGTCGGAGGGGCAATATTTTAGCTTGTCCGCCAAAGTACTCCTCCCGCGATTTTCTGTGTGGCGAGTACGGGGATGCGACGACCCCGCGGTTCAATTGCTGTTGTGAGCCAGTCGTAGTCGTGACATGTGTAATCGTCCCTCCTCCTCTCCCCCAAAAGGCAACGAGCTCCTTCTTCCTCCCTCATGTTCTCTAGACCCTTCTCCCATTCTCTCTAGTCGCCCTCGCTTTGCGATATCTCGTCTTCCTCTTGGCGCTCCTTTGCGATATCATTCCGCAACAGGCCTCATCGCCTACGCTTTCCTCGCTCCTACTTCTTAGTGCCTAATAGCTTCCTTCCCTCCCTCCACCTCTATACAAATTCAGAGAAATTCTGGGTGCAACTGGGTTCGACATTTGGACGCGCCAATACTAAAGTCACCATGGCTGTAAGTTGGATTCCGCTGTGGTACGGGCTTTAAGCAAACTCTAATAGCTAGACTAGACCTTCTTCATTGAGAACAAGAACGTTGGAAACCAAGCGGAAAGCGAGGATTGGAGGAGTAAGTTTGGATAGCGATGTTATGTGGCCATTGCTTAGGCTAACCCTACCCGTTACTCGTGGCTAGTTCGCGGATACAATCCTCTTCCTCCTCCCAACCTCCTACAGCACGAGATACCTCAGTCCTCAAAGTCTAAAGAGACTGTGCTACAGGGTCGCACTGAATCGGTTGCTATTGTCACTGGCACGGATCCCAAGGAGAGACTTCTTGTCATCATTGGACCCTGTTCTATTCACGATGCAGATGCCGCTTTGGAATACTGCGACAGGCTGCTGAAGGAAAAGGAGAAGCATAAGGATGAGCTTCTCATTGTCATGCGCTCTTACCTCGAGAAGCCCAGGACAACGGTCGGCTGGAAAGGACTGATCAATGACCCCGATATCGACAACAGCTTCAACATCAACAAGGGCCTCCGACTCTCGCGCCAGCTGTTTGTCAACCTTACCGAGAAAGGCATGCCCATTGCCAGTGAGATGCTCGATACTATCTCGCCCCAGTTCCTTGCAGACGTCCTCTCCGTCGGAGCTGTTGGCGCCCGTACCACTGAGAGCCAGCTTCACCGCGAGTTGGCGAGTGGCCTCAGCTTCCCTGTTGGTTTCAAGAACGGAACCGACGGCTCGCTCCAGGTTGCCGTCGATGCGATTGGGGCTGTCAAGCACCCTCACCACTTCCTTTCCGTCACCAAGCCTGGTGTTGTGTCTATTGTGGGTACCGTGGGAAATGAAGACTGCTTCGTTATTCTCAGGGGAGGTACCAAGGGCACGAACTACGATGCGGCAAGCATTGCAGAGGCCAAGGCCGAGCTCGAGAAGGCGGGTCTGCGCCAGCGTCTCATGGTGGACTGCAGCCACGGCAATTCCCTCAAGAACCATAAGAACCAACCCAAGGTCGCGGCCGTCATCGCAGAGCAGATCGAGAAGGGTGAAACCGCCATCATGGGTGTCATGATCGAGAGCAATATCAATGAGGGTAAGTTCACCGACCACAACCAAAGCCTTCTGAGCCTCCGTTGACCACGCATCCCTCGCTAACCTTTGTTGATTGCAGGAAACCAAAAGGTTCCCAAAGAGGGCAAAGCCGGCCTCAAGTACGGCGTGAGCATCACTGATGCATGCATCCACTGGGAAGATACCATCTCCGTTCTCGACACCCTTGCCAACGCCGTAAAAACACGAAGGAAGGTGCTCGGAAAGGAATAATAGCTCGAGCGTGATTCTAGAGCAGATTAGAAATTGGGTGGACCCGTCGAGGGAGAATTTAAGGAGGCCCAGGCATGGGCTCTCTACATATGGGGAAGAGCAATTTTTGGTTGTAATGATGGCAGGATGAGAGTTCACCTCGCCATATATGTGTGATATCCCTGTGGTGAAAAAAACGTAAAAACAACCGAACGGTGAGGAAGAACCAACGACAACTAGGGGAAATGGAAAAGAAGAAAAGTTTTCTTGTTACCTCGCCTTGGAAATGATCAAAAATTGAACCCAAAAACATATTGAACCTACCTAAACGCTTCAATTCATTCATCCTCTGTGAGAACACTGAGCAGCTATGTGGTGACATGCAAGCGGGCAGTTCCGAGTGCCGGATCCTCTGCGAAGTGCTGTGAGAACCGAGTCTTGGCTGGCCAGCTGGTGGCAGGAGACGAGATTCGAGAGGCTCAAACTCGGCTCAAAAAAGATGTCCACTGGTGATATCCGAGCATCTCCTGGCCAATCAAAGTAGTCTGACCAAGCCGAAAAGTTCATATTTCCACGTGACATGCGGCCAATGGCGTGAGCCAATGAGCATCGGGTGAATTCGGTGCTTCAGCATCAAGCACAGCTCCGGACAGGCGTTTTTAAACCTCTCGAAGTCGACCACCCTGCGATACCCATAATCCTCAGCGAGGCTCTCCCATCACGCCAATTGCCCTCTAATACCCACTCGGGGCCCTTCCCAGGCGACTAGGAATCGACTCTACTTCTCAGTCATGTTCGCGAGGTCCGCCCTGCGCTCTACGCGCACCCTCGCCGGTGCCAGAAATGGCGCGGCCAACGTTTCCAAGGTATGCATGGCATGATTTCCACCCACCCGACAATGGCGAACGATGTCGGCCCCTTCAACGACATACGGAACGAGAGATATCCCTCTCGAGGGACATCTTGGAGGCATCAATTGATGCGTTGATATATACTGCAATTGTTCTGTATCGATCTACCATGCTGATTCAACTTTTTCTTCTTCTTTCTCCGAATGTAGCGTGCCGCGTCGACTTCTGCCCACTCCGACTCTTACGCCGCCCGACTGAACATTGCGGCTATTGCTTCGACTGCTGTTGCCGCGGGCTCCGTCGCCTGGTACTATCATCTCTATGGATCTGAGGCTCACGCCATGACCCCTGCTGAGGAAGGGTTAGTTTTGACCCCTTTGTTCCGTTGACTACGCAAGAGTTGGCCACAAAATAAGAGAATGGTGTCCCGAAAATGGATGGATCAGACAACGATTTCTTTCAACCTCGTCTTGTCTATCGAGTCTGAGGGCCATGGAACTCGGTGGCACTTGCTTGTCCATCCGATTGTGTACCTGGATCGATACCTATTTTCTTGGCCTTTTTTCTTTTCTTTTTCTTTTTCCGGTTTGCCTTCCTGAGTGCTAACATTGTATGATATCGCAGCCTCCATGCTACCAAGTATCCCTGGGTGCATGAGAAGATGACCAAGACCTTCGATCACCAGGCGTGAGTACCCCCAAACCTGATAATTGTTCCCTCCCCTCCGCTGGTGGCGCACCTGGGGACCGTCATATTAACAGTGACCTTTTTCAAACGCTAGTCTCCGCCGAGGTTTCCAGGTTTACCGTGAGGTGTGCGCTTCGTGCCACTCCCTTAGCCGTGTCCCTTACCGCGCCCTTGTTGGTACCGTTCTTACTGTCAACGAGGCCAAGGCTCTTGCCGAGGAGAACGAGTATCCCGACGAGCCCGATGAGCAGGGCGAGATCCCCATGCGTCCCGGTAAGCTGTCGGATTACATGGTCGATCCCTATAAGAACGAGGAAGCCGCCCGATTCGCCAACAACGGTGCCTACCCCCGATCTCAGCTTGATTGTCAAGGCTCGCCACGGTGGCTGCAACTACATCTTCTCTCTCCTCACCGGTTACCCCGATGAGCCCCCGCGGGCGTCAACCTCGCTCCTGGCATGAACTTCAACCCTTACTTCCCGGCACCGGTATCGCCATGGCTCGTGTCCTCTACGACGGCCTCGTTGAGTACGAGGACGAGACTCCGGCTACGACATCGCAGATGGCCAAGGACGTTGTCGAATTCCTGAACTGGGCCGCCGAGCCTGAGATGGACGACCGGAAACGCATGGGTATCAAGGTTCTCGCCGCGACAGCCGTTCTCTTCTCTATCAGCATCTGGGTGAAGCGGTACAAGTGGGCATGGCTCAAGTCGAGAAAGATTGTGTACGACCCTCCCAAGGAGACCAAGGTCACCCGCCCTTACAGGTACTAGAGGGGTTGATCCCGACCCACACTGCACATATTTGTGATACTATACACTTCCTCTCTTATGGAGCAACAAAAGGATCTTGTCGAATCCCCGGTTTCTTTTATGTACGCAGCAGGCTAAGAGGAAGGTGGCTTTTGGGAGACGTTAGAGTGTAAATCAGACAAATCTTTTCCTTTTCTTTCATCATCATCACCATCACCATCATCATTAAAACACGGAGTAGACCTTGGTTTCGTGAATTCTGTTTCCGTATTTGCTTCTTCACAGCTGTCCGCGGTGCCTTTCCTCCCCCTTGATCCCCCACTTTCTCTCGCCACGGCTGAAGGGATGCAGATAGCTATCGCCGCCCTGTATACCTCGGTATCAAGATAACATGCGTGACGTGGTACGGGTGGTGATCGACGAACTCGGAAGACCTCTAATTAACTGCCGGGCTAATCAACGGAAGATCAAGGGAGCAAGGGTCCATCAAGGCCAGGGCCGCCTGCTCCTGGATCCTGCGATGAATTCGGTAGTCTGGTACATGTATGTTCTGGAACAGCACCCTCGTTCTGTAGGCTTGCTAGGCGTATCTACTCGTTGGAGGTCGGAGGTCGGCGCACCTCCATCTACCTCGTACATTGGCAGACTTGAGAGAATCATTTAGGACATGAGACCAGATGCATCCGATAAAGAACAATGTGGTGAGTACGAGAAAGCCCCTTGAGATCCTACTGGGGTATAAGGATATTGAAGATCCATAAGTGTAGGACGCTCTTCCACCTTGGTATATACATGGATGGATCTCTCTCACGTCGTTGGCGAGGGCGACTTACACGCTCTGCATAGATTGATCTCAGGTACCGTGGCTCACAATCACCAGAGGAAAACAACTCGGCAGTAAAGAAGCCTGTCACTACCGAGCCAGAATATCTTACGGATATTGATGATAGACTTGTAGCTCTACCCTGGGCAGCAGTGTCCTCGCCAACCACAATTGAGATGGGCCCCTTGGGCATGGCATGTTCCACCAAGATCTTTTTCGCCATCCATATTGATTTTGTAGAACTTCAAACACATTGAGGCCAAGTCAAAATAGGCGGTACGCATCACTGGAGACACGTTGACACACTCCATCCAATCGACGTCATACCGTGGAGGGAGGGGAGCGAGAGTGTGTGGGTGAGCCCTCAGGCGTCTTGCGGGGAAGGACCAGCTCCTCCCTCACCCGTGCCTGTTAGATATACGCTGAGAGCATGGTTTCCCCCTCTTCCTTCAAGGTACTTGGCGCATTGTCTTAACCCACCTTTTGCCATACCTTGCCATGTCTTCTTTTTGTTCATTTGTATACATATATATATAGTAATAATAATACCTCTTTGCCTACTTGTAGGTTGGCGACGGCTTTACAGAAGGGCAGGGGAAGAGAAGAAGTGGGAAGATGAATGGTGCAGAGACGAAGGCTCACTCCAGGCTTCAACGCTTCCAGCCCGACTGGTTCACTCAACAAAGGGCAACTACCGTGGATTGAACCATCAATATCCACGAATGGATGCTCAGCGGCTGACACTTGTGGGATGGTGGCAGCCGCTCAGGGAAGAACGACAGGTCCAACCTTTGAGCTATTAGGATCTGGATATGGAGTGAGCTGTTATTCCACTGATCCATCCCATCCGTCTTCCCTCCCCGTTTATAATGCGATTCGGCCCGCTGAGGTGGCCGTCAAGGTGAATCAGAGAATCGACGAAGCACTGCGTCGGCGGATGGACCACCAGACTTAGTGAGTGTCTGGATAACAATTTCAAGTCCGCCCTTGATTTGATGGGCCGAAAGGGCCACTCCCAGGAGCGAGTTGCTGGTCTGCGCTAGGCTTGTTTGTGTTGTTTAGGTGGTCACCCGCCAATGAACCGGGAGTTTGCTGGCCGTTTCCCGGCCCATCCCCTCCTAGGTGGCCCCTGCTTAAGGCATCACCCCTGGAAGGTACCGGGTTGATCTGCTGGAACCGGGCATCCACACACACACACACACACACACACACTCCACTACACCGCGCACGACAGCATACCAGCCAACTCGAGGCGAGTCGAGCAACCCCAGCAATCATCCGTGAATGGATCCATAGATCTGTAGTGCACCCGTCCACTCCAACTCACTGGACTGGTAAAACCACGCACCTCCTCCTCCAACATCCTCGACCTCTGCGTGCACATGCTTTCCTACTCCTCACCGACTCAACTCATTTTGGTCTTCTAATCTTCCCTTTCCTTGATTACCAAGACATATCGGCTCACTTCACTCCTGTCCTCGGCCGTGCACACAATTTTTCATTTTTTTTTCCATCTTCCCTTCCAGCGTCCCCTCTTTGAGTGGCCCGACTACCACATCGATCCGTTCTGCAAGTAAACACCAAATCACGACCCCGGCAACCGCCTGGTTTTGGCACGCAACCGCCACCCCCAGTGCCCATTCTCGCGCATTTAGGCTTCTCTACCCCGTCCTTCGACAATCTCGAAATATCTTGGGCTTGGAGTTGGGGTAGCAGAGCCCTCGTCATTCCAGGATGCCATCGGTGACCAGCAGGCGGTCGCCGTTGCCATCCTGCAAAAACGGAGAAGGGAGGACGCCGACTTCGATACCGAGCAGACCGCCCAGACCTGTTCTTCGCGGCCCTTTGCCCTTTTAGAATGTCCCAAGTCGACCTTTGACGTCCTGCAGCACGCACCCGCCCACTCCTCCCTCTTCGCCGCCCTCCCGCCCGAGACATGGCAGCTCGCCACCCGCAAATTCCTTCCCCTCCCGTCTGTCAAACGAGCTCGTGTTGCGTCAGGCGATGCCAGCCCCGAACGAAGTCGACGTACCCCGAAAGCCCCATCGCCACCTCTCGGTGCCTTGGCTGACAGAGATGCAAACGGATCGACCACCACCGCCGCGAGACAGCCGCCCGCCCCTCGGTCGTCCCTCTCGCCATGCCACATCTGTCATAGGCGCCCAACAAAAAGTCGGATCTCGACTCCTTTGCGGATTGTCAAGGGTGTGGGAATAGGACGTGCTTCGTCTGCATACGAGAGTGCGGGGGCTGGCCATCCACACGCCACAACGAAGCGTCCATGCTGGAGGATGCCAGAGGAGTCCTCTCGGAGGACGAGGTTCTCTCTCGATCCTTTCACATGGACGACGTGCCTCCCCAAGGGGGCTATCACCGCGACGGGGAGGTTGCCCACTCCAAGGACGGCTGGGCGGCTAGTGGACACAGAAACGTCGTGTGTAGCCGGTGCTGCGTGGAAATGGGCGCCGACGGCGATATTGCCTGTCTTGGGTGCTTGTCACGCATGGAGGGCTCCTAAGTCCCAAACGATCTTGGGACTGCCCCTTCCGCCCCCTGAGGTGGCCATTTCCTTTGTCTTGCTCGTTCCTTTTTCCTCCATTTTGGCATATTTTTAGCGGAGTCTTCAAGCCTTGCTCCCTCCAAACCTGTTACTTTTCCTCCTTCAGGTCATCTTCATTTAGGCAGTGGTTTGCAATATTGAGTTCTGGGTTATATCATGTAATGGTTAGGGGTTTCTCATGGATGTATGGCATTTGGCAGCTGGCTTCATGGTAGCAAGAGGCCGCAGTTACGACCCCCTCTATTCTTTTTGACTATACTTTCTCTCTTTTTTTTTTTTGGTTTTCTCCTGTCATGCCCTTGCTGGACTTGTTTATATGGGCTCGGAGGGTCTCTTCTTTTACGTCCCTACTTCGAAGAGGCAGGAGGCTTAGCCCGCCCTTGCCTTTCCCTCCACCCCCGACAATGCGTATCGCCGGCTCTTTGGAAGTCCTACTTCTGAGCTGGGCGTGAATACGCCTAGGGCTGGCCTCTTTTAACGGGACGAAGCTGCTCATCATTCTACAATACAGAGCTAGGACGGTCGCATCTTTCTTTCAAAGAATTGGGAAATAGGACTGGGCGTTCACTCTATGCACGCGTAACTATGGGGACTCGGGTATACGGTTTTTAGCGAAGGATTAGGCATGTATTATATTAGGTATCAATAGCAATCAAGTAACATTATAGGAGCTGATTATATTCACTTTGATACGGCCTTCACTTCCTCTCTCAGAAGAAACGAGTAGTAGCATATTTGGTCAGCGGGTAACAGTTGCTACATGTATCCGGCGATTCCGTATCACGTACACACGCATCCACCTACGTAGTTAAGTTGGCTAGGTGCGTCGTCTCGTTCGTGTTGGCCTGCGATACCACCTTGGTGTTGGATGAGGAAATGACCTTTTGGATTTCTATTTCAGCTCGCTCCCTTGCGCCTAGTTGCGTTCAGAGTTCTGCCAGCGAAGCTTTCACCTCCCTTTTGGTTCAAAGACGAGAGGGCAGTTTATAAATGTATTCATACAAGCTCTATGCCTTCCTTCTCTTCCTCTTCCCCTCCTCGACTGTAAATAAAGATGACCCCAGCATCCAAGCCCTCCGTCACGACGCCAACGATGTATGAAACTCGTTTAATTGTACTGCATGTATGACGCTGTTGAGTTGAACTTCAGGTTCCCTTGATCACCTTCTCTACGGCGCTGAGGAAGTCCTTCTCCGTGGCAACCTTCCGCCTAGCTCGGATCGCGAACATGCCCGCTTCGGTGCATACGCTCCTCAATTCGGCACCCGTAGCGTTGGGACAGAGGCGCGAGATGAGCTCCCAACGAATGTCACGCTCCACCGACATACTCTTGGCGTGAATGCGGAGAATATTGGCGCGGCCCTCGAGGTCGGGGAGGGAGAACTCAATCTTTCGGTCGATACGTCCCGGTCGCATGAGGGCGGGATCGAGGGTGGAGGGTCGGTTGGTGGCGAACATGACCTTGATGTTTCCTCGAGCGTCGAAACCGTCCAGTTGCGTGATGAGCTCCAACATGGTCCTCTGCACTTCATTGTCACCACCGGCGCCATCGTCAAATCGGGCTCCGCCGATGGCATCAATCTCGTCAAAGAAGATGATGCACGCTTTCTTGGTCCTGGCCATCTCGAAGAGCTCGCGAACCATGCGTGCACCCTCACCAACGTATTTTTGGACAAGCTCACTGCCGATGACTCGAATGAATGTGGCATCTGTTCTGTTGGCAACGGCTCGGGCGCAGAGGGTCTTGCCGGTACCAGGAGGGCCGTACAGTAGGGCACCCTTGGGAGGGTCGATACCAAGGCTGACGAAGCGCTCGGGGGACAGCAGAGGCATTTCGACAACCTCGCGAAGTTTCTCAACTTGCTCCTTGCATCCTCCGACATCGCCATATGTGACATCGGGCTTCTCTTCAACCGTCATCATCGTCACGCTCGAGTCGATCTTGGGCGGCAGAGGTAGCATGATTTGATACTTGTTGCGATCAACGCCGACACGCATGCCCTCTTCGATGTCGGTAGGGGACACCCTCTCTCCGAGCTGCACGACAAACTTGGCAATTTGTTTCACGTTGATAACGTACTTGCTCTTCGACTCGTCGCCCTTATCGTCGGCAATGATTTTGGTACACCGCGCCACTTGGAGTGGCTGTTCTTCTGACATTCGCTGGCGATCGGCGGCCACATCCCAAAGATGGGGCGGCGCAAGCCCGGTATCTGATTCCTACGACAGTGTCAGCTTCTGTATTTTGGCCATTAAACAGACTTTGCAGCAGCGGGCAGCCTATTACCTTGACTCCAATCTTCTCGTCCACGCTGGCCTGCTTCTCCTTTATTTGTTGCTCGAGCTTCTTGATGGCAGCACCGTAGGGGCGGCGCCATATGTTTTAAGAACTTGGATGTCCCTAATCGATGTAGAAAGTTAATGACTGTTTGGTGAGATCCGGGGGTAACGATCGAACCGGGCAACGAGGGGATGCGTACTCATCGGTGAGAGGCGTGATCTTCTTCTCTTCTATCTCTTCATCATCGAAGTTCTTCTTGTACTTTTCCCAGTTGGCACCCGTTGCCGAAGGCTTCGGAGTTTGTTAGTATCGTGAAATGCAGCGCGGAGGTGGGTTGCAGGCGCGGGGGGCAGGCGAGGTTAGGAACACACCATGGTGGCTGGCTGCTAAGCTTGAAGCTTACGACCTGACGTTGAAGTGAGGAGAGGGTTGGTATGAGAGGGAGAGCTAGAGTCGCTAAGCTCTGTGCAACCGATAAGAGAGAGCTGGTGTAGAGTGTGGTCGAGAATCTACTAGTTGGCGGGAACGCTGGATTCTGGTGCTGTTGTTTGAGATGATGGATTGGGGCGGACAAGGGACAGGTCAAGAGCAACGGTGATGTTCGTAATGTTCTAGCTGCCTTGAAGGTCAAGTGTATGCGAGGCTGATAATGAGCTAGTCTGTATTTGGAAGAAATAGAGTCCCAAGGTGCGGATAAGTCATCGACCGCGTGCCAATCAAAGCGCTGGTTTGTTGGGCGTTGGGTGGGCGATGTCATTAGTAATAACATTGGGCCTGAAGAGATACTCTCCACTCTTAGCTCAGTAATACTGGCACTGCTCTATTTTATTCCTGCTTAGTGACGATTGGTCCAAGCCCACCAACGCACAGGCGGTTCTAGTCATTGAGCTGCCAAAAGGGCAACTGAGAGAAAGCACCAGAACCTTGAACTAATTGAACTGCTGCCCCTCGATGAGCTCGCGCAGTCACGTGGAGGAAGAGGGCCCCGCCGAAGAATTATTTCTGAGCTACTGAAGGAAGGCAACAGCCTTGGGTGCTTTAGGGACAGGGTCAGGATTACTATAATATCGCCAATCTTCTTCTCTCGTCTTAATCGTCCGGCCGTCTTCTTTCCTGCCGTTCCCTCTACGTCATATAAATCTCCCCTTCCCTGAAGAAAAATGTCGGCAGTTACACAATCCGGAGGTGGTGGTGAATCCACTTTCAGGGTGCGTAGAGAACCCCCCGCGCCCCCTTCCCCGCGAAATAGCTACTAATCCTTAGTTACTACCCGTAGGATAAGGAGAAGCCCGTCGCTGTTCGATCTTCTAATATCGTCGCGGCCCGAGGTATATTTCACACCCACCCACCCTTCTCCAGCCAGCGTTGTCACAAATCCTTACTTACACCGGCCCCTTCCTCCCACCAGCTGTTGCCGATGCCATCCGCACCTCTCTCGGCCCTCGTGGCATGGACAAGATGATTCGAAGCGGAAAAGGCGAGACGATTATCACGAACGACGGCAACACCATGCTGAAGAGCATGTCGGTCCTGCACCCCACAGCCAAGATGCTGGTCAACCTCTCCACGGCCCAGGACGTCGAAGCTGGTGACGGAACCACCTCGGTCGTAGTCATTTGCGGAAGTCTTCTCGGCGCTGCTGACAGATTGCTCAACAAGGGCATTCACCCTTCAGTCATCTCAGAATCTTTCCAAAGGGCAGCTGCAGCTTCAGTCGAGATTCTGCATGAGATGTCCCAGCCCATCCAACTCACCGATACTGCCGCCCTCCTCCAAGCCGCCAACACCTCCCTCTCATCCAAGATCGTGTCTCAGTATTCTGGCCTCCTGGGGCCCATGGCCGTGAACTCCGTTGTCAAGACGATAGACCTCAAGACGGCGGATAATGTGGACTTGAAAAACATCCGGATCGTCAAAAGGTTGGCGGTACCATCGAAGACAGCGAGCTCGTCGACGGTCTCGTATTAGAACAGCCTGTTCTAAAGAGCGGTGGTGGCCCCGCGAGGATGGAGAAGGCGAGGATCGGTCTCATCCAGTTCCAGCTCAGCCCTCCCAAGCCCGATGTACGTTGAGGTCCCACTCTTCCCTCCTGTTCTTCGACCAGCTTGACTTGCTCCTTCACGTGCCTCGAGAAAATGCTAATAGTGTGTAGATGGAAAACACTATCGCGGTCAACGATTACAGGCAGATGGACAAGATTGTTAAGGAAGAGCGCCAGTATCTCCTCAACATTGTGAAGAAGATTAAGAAGGCGAAGTGCAATGTCTTGCTTATCCAGAAGTCCATCCTTAGGGACGCTATCAACGATCTCTCTCCACTTTTTGGCTAAGCTGGGCATCCTCGCCGTGAAGGATATTGAACGAGACGAGGTCGAGTTCATCTGCAAGTCTACTGGGTGCAAGCCTATCGCGGACATTGACTCGTTCACCGAAGACAAGCTCGGCAGCGCTGATCTAGTCGAAGAGGTCCAGTCCTCCGGTTCGCGCATGGTCAAGGTCACCGGAACCAGGTCTCTCGGCAAGACGGTATCCGTCGTCGTCCGAGGAGCCAACTCACTGATCCTCGATGAGGCTGAGCGAAGTCTTCACGATGCTCACTGCGTTGTTAGGTGTTTGGTGAAGAAGAAGGCACTGATTGCTGGAGGTGGTGCCCCAGAGATCGAGATCGCGGCCCAACTCTCCAAGCAGGCCAGGACACTTACTGGTGCCGAGGCTATCTGCTTCAAGGCATTCGCCGATGCTCTGGAAGTGATTCCTACCACTCTGGCTGAAAATGCTGGCCTTAATAGCATCAAGGTTGTCACCGAGCTGCGTCACAGGCACGAGATGGGCGAGAAGAATGCGGGTGTCAGTATCAAGTCTGGTGGCGTCAACTCCAATATTGCCAAGGAGAACGTACTCCAACCCCTTTTGGTCAGCACGAGCGCCATTGAGCTGGCGGCTGAAACGGTCAAGATGATTCTGCGCATTGATGATATTGCGCTCAGCAGGTAGAGGACTAAAGGAACCCACAAGAGGACAAAAGGATCCCACAGGGAATGGGGACCCAAAAAAAAAACTAACGAAAAAGGGGGCTCGAAGGACACCGATAGAGGGAGCTGGAGCTGGGGTGTTCATAACTACGGTAGATAGATATCCATGAAAATGCTACGGTAATCTTGTGATAACCCCGAGAGGACCTCCATATAAAGCTTTGAAGTGATAGATGGGTATGAAGGAATCGGATTCATGGATATGAGCGTCATGAGCAACTCGATAGGGTATGATTTCAAAGAAGAATGGAAAAGAAAAGACAATGTACTCGCTATATGGCTTCTTCAACAACAAACAGATCCGCCTTTTTAGTTTGACGACGCAAGAAAATGCTTTGCAGGAGGTCTCCATCGACGCCTGCAGAGTTCGACTCGTTCCCCTCCCCTTCCTTCCCCAAACCCAACTCCCACTCATCCCGCCGAGAAGAAAAAAAAAGAAATGATAAACAACAAGCAGTGCCACAAAGGAGGAGGGACGGGCGTAGCAAATGCAAAAAGGGCGGTGATTTGCCAATGTATGAGCGAGGAATGTAGGAAGCCAGAGAAGGAGCAGTGAGAGGAGAGGAGAGAGGGGGAAGCAAAAGCAGGACAAGAAGATTGAGAGAACGAAAAGGGAGGAAAGGCAGAAAAAGGCGCAGCACCGAATTTGGTGTATCTCGAGAGATAAAAGCCCTTGCTGGCCGGCATGCATGTAAAACAGACGAAACGGAGCGAGGCGCGGTGTGTAGATCAAGGGCGTACAACTCCCCGGTCAACCGATGAACTCATTCTCCATCATAGTTTCCCACGGCCTTTTTCTCTCCAGACCTTCACCATCAGCTCTCGGGCCCTTCGGATCTAGAATTCAGAGGGCGGTTTTCGTCAGCACGCAAAACTTTCTATCAAGATGCGGGGCTCCGGGGCTCCGGGGCTCCCTACCTGTGTCATGCCATTCTTCTCCACAGTCCTAAACCGTTCAAGGATGTGGTCTCTATGTTGCTGATCCTGCGTTTCGCAGCCTGCCGTAAACATGGGGAATAGGATGCCCACTTCGGCGGTCCCGCCTCTCCGAATACGCAAAAGGCACCCCATGATGTTTTCGACGGCCTCTCGGACGCGGGGGTGGCTGGAGGGCATGCCTAGGGCACGTCTATGTAGCTGGACGATGCCCGCCCAGTGGAAGGCCTCATTCGTAGCCCTCATCTCATCCCTGTCGCGGCCGTCAACATTCTCAGGGCGAATATGTTTGCAGGGGTGGGCCTCGCGGGCAACGCTTTTCCGTAGGGCGTCATCGAGGGCAAAGGCTCGTTCGCGGATTTCGTGGTCTGGACGCGAGCTCGGGTCGGCAAAAGCCATGTGCCGGGTGCGCTGGGAATCAACCAGGCGTGCAAGGTCGGCAGTTTGAGCAAGGAGGCGGACGCAGCGGGTTGTGAAGCCTGTGATGCAGTCAATCTCATCGGGGTCGTCCGTGTAGTCAAGAGGCAGTGTAGGCGAGGAGTCTGATTTGCGGGGCCCTCCCGAAAGGCCGCCCAGGACGTCCAGGTAGGCAAACCAGCTCCACAGGAAGGAGCAAACCTGGTCTTCCCGCGAGCTCGAGTGCGAGATCTTGGGTGCGGCGAGGCCGGAGAAACGTTTACGCATGAGGTCCCGGGCGAGGTTGAGGTGTTCCTGCCAGGGGATAGCGTATCCAAAGGCCTTTGGTGAGATGATCTCGAGAGAGGCAAGCATGATGGCAGTGGCAAGGCTCGTGTTGGATATGACGCGGGCATTATCACTGAGAGCTTCGCGAAGTGCGGGGAAGATGTCCTGGACCCATTGAGCCATCCGGACCCCAGGCTCTTTTTGATGAAGCAGCCGGGCGCGGTGGGAGGCTTGATGCGATGAGCGTTAGTTAGTAGGGGGAAAATACGACATCAGGGTTTTAGTATGTAGCGATCCATCATTTCACGTACCGGAATAGGCGAGTAGTAGGCTCAGAAGATGGTCATTCTTAACAGCCATCTGGGGAAGAATGATTCTAAAGGGGTTGGACTGCTGGTCATCATACGGCATGAGAACTGCATGTATGTTAGCAGCCTCGTTTTCTGAGGGATGGGGAAATTGCCATTTGCCATCCCCTTGCAGAAGAAATTCACCATACCTCTGGCAGTGTGGTTGAGAAAGTGATGCTACATTTGCATTAGCTCATATAAGACTTGCTACGATCCGCCATATATTATACTCACAAAGTACTAGCAAGTGTATTAGCAAGGGACTCATTCTTCGGTGCCGCAAAAGGCGCAAAAAGATAGTAAGCGGGGAAAGGACATACCAGAAGATTCATGGGGTTTTCTAGGAGTCTAGAGGTACAAGGTTCCATCGTTAGCCTTTTTTTCTTTTTCGAGGGTACTCAACTTCGGAATACGGGCGCTTACTTTGACGGCAACGGCTCTAGGTTGTACGGGATCTTGATCGCAACGGGGTCCTTGTAGTAGTTGCCGCTCGTGGCGGAACTTCGACCGCTGAGCCGATCACCGAATCTGCCGTCTATGGAGAAGTCGTCGGCGGCGGCGCCATGCGCCATGTCGTGCGCGTGATCATGCGGGGTCTGGGGAGTGGGGGTGAAGAGGCAATGGCGTTGCGGTCGTCGTTTTTGGGAACGTCCTCGTCCCTCTTTCCGAGGTCGTAGCCGTAAAAGCGGGCGTCTTCGGAAAGGTCTAGGTCGTAGTCGAAAGTGGCGCCGAAAGCCGGGCTTGCGCCGTTGTGGATCAGTCCACCATCGCTGCTGTGGTAGATGGGGCCCGGTGGGCCGGAGAGGAGGGAGTTGACGGTGAGTCGTCGGGTATCGGGGAGGCGGGGTTTGAATGAGTGGACTGTGCAGCCATGGTTCCGAATGCACGGGGATCATCGTCGCTGTAAGATGAAGGGGTCATGGGAGTGGGTGGAGAGGCCAGGGCGCTAAGGCTGGCGAGCGGATGGAACCGTAGGAAGAGTGGCGTGCTCGAGTCCTCCCCTGTAGGAGAAACGACGCGGCCTGCAGAGTGGAGGGCGGCGGCCGGGCCAAAGGTATCGAGCATAGTAGCGGTGGGCTCCTGGGGCTGGCGGAAGAGGGAGTGTGTATGGTCGTAGTCCCGAGGTGGGCTGGGCTGGGCCATGGACGTGTCGGGTATGAGGGGAACTGGCGATGGATAAAGGGCGGTGGCTCCTCGCGTCTAGACCCGGGATTCAGCAGGGCTCGGAGGAGCTCTTCCTGTTCCTGGGTTGCGTCATTGCTACCATGTCCGGTGCTTTCGGGACTTAACTGGATCGAGTCTCTTTCGGGGAAGACTTGGTTGCTCGGGCTTGCCGGGGTTTGCTCGCGGGCTGCGTCTCCGATATCATGGGCGTGGATATGATTAGAAGGGCCCTGGGGTTCAAGCCACGTCTCTCCACTTAGACGGCGCTGCAGAGGCAAGGGGACGAGAGGGGCAGGGGTAGCAGTGTAGGTCTGGTGGATGATTGTGAAGGGGCGCTGACTCCGAGTCGGCGACGATAATTGACCATCCCCGGTGCCGTCGTATGAAGCTCGTTTAGTGCGGCGGCCATCCCAATTCAAGCGTATGCTATAGTCACACTGGTGACCGGCTTTCTGGCAACTGAGAGCCGCTCTTTGTTAGATACTCATGGGCGCACAGCAGAAGGGGACGATGTCGCGACGACTAGAACATGACATGGGGTTACGTACTTGACACAAGAGGGGCGCTCCTCTCCACATTTCACCTTTCTACCTTTACATTGCCTAGATTCACCGAGTTAACATCTTCCCCTGCTCGAGTAAGGCGATGATCAAAGAGGAGGGCGGGTTGGTTGTAAGGGGTGGGGGCATCTTGCGCCGCACCTAGGAAGGGTGTCACAAAAGGTGACAGTCCATCGCTAGGCGGCATCAACTCGGCAAAGAAGAAGCGTGAGGGGAGGGAGGGGGAAGCCCAAAAGATAGGACTCACCAACATCCTGTTCTGCTCCGCCGCTTCGGCTCAGGCGCCCCCGGCTTCTTAGGGCGCGGCATCCTCGAACCCGGACCGAGTTGTCCAAGTAGTGGGGCTCCGGCCGGCGGCGGATGATTTAGAGGTTCAGATCACCGGGGAGGATTTCCACCGAGAACACGCGAGAAGTGGCCATTCAATGAAAGAGGGTTAGCGATGGAGCATGCGATGACAATGACGGGGGTGTTGGGAGCATGCTAAGTAAGGTGGTTTCGCGCGAGTTCGTCCGGACTGATAAATCGGAGAGGGATAAAAAACCAAAAGGTGGCCAAGCTACAGTTCGGTTGCCCTAGAGTCTCTTTCTGTACCTTTCCGTGGGTCGTTTTACTGAGTTCTTTCTCCTTCTTCGTCTGATCTCTTTTCTTCACAAAGCGACGAGGCGTTTCTTTCGTTTGGTGATTTTGCTCTTTTAGGTGATCCAAGTTCGCGCAAGTTAAGAAAGGCTCATGATTTCGGCGGCCCCTCTTCTCCCATCTGCTGGTTCCCTCCGGAGGGGCGCGGTTCGGGCCTGCTGCCTTGTTCGTTGGTGGGATCGCAGCCCGATCAAGGGATCGCTGTTATTAGGGTGCAGCAGGTTTGGGGGAGGCGACGTCTTCTGTGGGGTCTCGTTTGTTCAATGCCCCTCCAGTCTCCAGTGCTGGCTCCCTATTCGGGAAGTGATTTTGCCTGCCTTACGTACTTGTACGGTATGGCAAGTTGGGTTCGGGTCGACTCCGTGTTCTGGCGTCTCCTGGTTCGTTTCGCTCCTTTAGCTCTTTTCGTGCTCTAACTGTTCTCTTTGCCCAGGTTCCAGGATTCCCCTCTGTTCTTCCGTCTTCCGTCTTTCGTCTTCCGTCTGCCCTTTCTAGTCCTTGTCCGGCGCACTTGTAAACTTTGGATCCCTCGTGGGTGGGAGAAATGTGGCGGGCGGGGGTTCCTTCTTTTTACATAGGATCGCAAGGATACGGTAGAAGGGGGAGCGGGCTGGAGGATGTAGATGATGTGATGAAAATCGCTTCTTTTTCCCCTAGACTTTTCCTCTGTGTTTGAGGGGGCAAGCGGGCCGTCAAGGTCTTCAACTTTTGGGATTCGGCAAAGGCGGCGGGGGCCGGTTGGGCCTTTGTATGTACGGCCACACGACGATGGTTGCACTTTCACTTTCTGTGGGAGGGTGAGTGTGAGCGTGAGTGTGAGTGAGGAGTGAGTGCTTGTGCGGGTTGCGGGTTGCGGGTGGTGCTGGTCGTGGTGGGGGAGGGGAGTACAGTGAGTACAATTCAGGGCGTGTGTCTACGAGTGGACAGACGAGGAATCAATCATAGCTGTCGCTGCGTAGCTATAGCCGTGGTCACGACAGTTGGAGTAGCAGGCGGGACATGGGTGTTTTTCTTTTTCTTTTTATTGATCTTGATTTCCCTTCTTAGATCTGATTATCACACGAAAAAAAGAAAGAAAAAGAGAAAAAAAAAAAAAGGTGAAAGTCGACAGGGGCGGAGGGACGGGATGGCGAAATGAGCACATGGGAGGGAACTTGAGGGCAAGTACAAGTATCAGGATGGACTGAAGGGGCTTGGCTGGCTGGTCTGTCTGGTCTGGTGGGTAGGGGACATTTGATGCTTGACATGGGGCATGGGCTGGGCCTGGTTTGGCCTGGCCATGGAAGGGGAAGGCAGGATGGGCAGGGCATGGATCGAGGCCAAAGAATCGATTGGATGAGACTGGCAGTCACAGTGACGACCCAGCCCAGTTTCGTTTCTTTTGCCTCTCCGTCGAAAAGATGAAAAAGAAAAATACAAGTAAAATGGGAGTGTCCGCGGCAGATGTGAGTGATGAAAGGCAATGTGCCATCCATCCATCCACCTGGCCCAGGGCGGCCAAGCCTTGAGAAAATCAAATGGAGGGGTCCTTCCCAGATGGAGCATCAAGTCTTGGATGATGATCCAAGAGGATGTTGTGCTGGCAGCACGCGGGGAAGAATGCAGAGAAGAAGGGCATAAGAAAAACGCGCGCTCGCAGGTGGTGGATGGTTTCTCGATAAGTGATATTTCGACTCCGGCGCGTACATGTACGAAGCCAGCAAAGTCGCCAAAGTACGCAGGCTCGCCGGCCGAGGTACCGGTTTCTCTACAAATCAATGTAAATGTGGTGCGGTGCCTTCAGCCAGGGCCTTGGCTTGGGTTGGGCTTCCACAGGTAATAGACGAATGGGTCCAAATGGAATGGATATCAATATCCTCGTGGTCCCCGCCCCCACCCTCGCGCGCACACACAGACACACATACAAGCACATACAAGTACACACACACGTATATACACACCTATATATACACGTACATACACACACATACACATACACACACACAGGCACACGTCGAGTCAACGACATTGCTTTTAGAACGGTACGGTCTAGTACGGTACGGGACGTCGTTCGTCGCGCGGGAACGGAACGATTCGCGGATCCCGTTGGAGAGACGCCCCCTCCTCTCCACGCCCCTCTTTCCCTGGAAAGCTCTTCACGGCGCATGTGGCGGTCCCGCCTCGCCCCGTCACTGATCCAAGCCCACTACCCCCCCAAGCCCCCTTCCCTCCCCCTCAAGCTCCTCGTTACCTTTTCCGCCCACGGGCTGGTCTAGGCTTTCCCCGTGCTGGCTGGCCCGGTGCTGGAGCTGGTGCTGGAGCTGGTGCTGGCGCTGATGCTAGTGGGAGTGGTGCCGGTGGTGGCTGCAGTCAAATCAAATAATATTGATCCCCATTCTCCGCACGAGTAAGAAATCAGTCTCGTGCGTGTCTTGTGTATGTGCGTCTTTGTCTCCTGCACCTCAGAATTGTCGCATGCCCATCCATGTCCGCTCTTTCCCACGAGTCTAGTCTCGTGTCGTGTCGTGTCGTGTACAAGGACTACAAGGACTACAAGGACAACTTGGAAGTCTCTTAATACCCCTAAGGAAGTTCAAAGCACCTTCCTTTTGGTCCCTGGGCTGAATACCCCACCTGCCACTGGCGATGCCATTTCGCGAACGTGACTCTGTGGACCAAGTGGCGGGGATTCAATCCCAAGACCAGATGTGGCGGGGAATGGAAACCATGGCGAAGGCAAGAGAAAAGAAGAACATCCTGGATCGCTGGACTTGATTCCACCTGCAGAGGAAATTTGAGAGGGTCCTTTCCTGACAAGGATCTACCCGCCCCGCCCACCGCCAAAATGGTGATCGGTTGGTGAAGCTCGGGGGTGAAGAATCCTTTCCGCCCTCGGGTACGGACAAGGTCGACCCATCAAGCATTAAAGATGGAAGCTCTTATCCATTGAGTCATCTCTCATTCCAAAGAAAGACGCGAAACTTTGTTTTCCCCCTTCTTCTTCTTCTTCTTGAGCTACGACATACGTGTAGCCTGCCCCGCCTCACTGCTCCCTGTTGCTCGTACAATTCGCAAGGGCTGAACGCGGGGTGCTCAAGTTCAAGTTTGAGGTCAGCGAAGGACCCTGAAGTGGATCACTCGGGCGCTTGTCTCTGTGGAGAATCGGTACGGTTCCGGCCGTGGAAATGTAACCAATTAACCCAATCAGAGCCAAGAGAATCCACCACCGTCACCTAAGCAAGCCAAGTTGCGTCAAAGTTCTGAGCTGGATGAGCCTGCGTGGGGGTCTATGCTCGAGAAGCTCAAAGCCCCCTCGTGGTCTCCATCCTTTACGAGGGCCAAGGGGATGAAATGGAACAACGCACTCAAGACTACGTCCCGGCCACCGGCCACCGACAGCCTAAAAAGGCCAGAAATGAAGAAGGAAGATGAAAGAAGAATAGCAATGGAAAAGAGAGAGAGAGAGAGAGAGAGAGAGAGAGAGAGAGAGAGTGTGTGTGTGTGTGTGCCTGTGTGCATGTGTGCCTGTATAATTCCTCGGAGAGAAGGTAGGAAGGACAAAACAAGACAAAGCCGATTGAAGACGGAGGGGAAAGGGAGAGAGAGAGCGAGGGAAATTGTGGAAATGCCAAAGATGTGTTCGAGGTGGCAACAAAGGGGAGTGAGGGGAATCTGTCGCCCTCTTCACTCTCGTGGCAACAAAGGTACTCTCAACTTGTCAATTGGTGGGAGGGAGGCTGAATGGAAGGAAACTTCTTTGATAGGATGGTGAAGGGCGTATGCTTTCCACTCGAAACCAGAGCAAACTGCTTCCGTTCGGGCCGCCGAAACAACGAGACTACGTGCAGGCAAGAGTAGTTATTCGATCCGGGGACGGAGAAGAGGCAATACCCGCTCTTTTCCTAGCACTTGCACGCACGCACGCACGCACATATACAGATGCAGGCTGGCTTTGAAGAGAACTTATCTCCATGACTTAAGGGGTTGGAAACTCGGAATGGAGTGAACCGAGGGCACACACACACACACACACACACACACACACACACACACACACACACACACACACACGCGCGCGCAGGCGCCATGTCCGGACAGGTTCTCTCTTCGGACCAAGTCTCGTTGCTTTTTTGTCACGGATTTATTCATTATGCTACTCTATATAGCCTCCCTGCACCGAGGAATGGCCATCCTGATCCTGCAATGGGCCCCGGGTCTCGGATTGTAGGGGTACATGCACTACGTTATGTCGATATTCAAAATCTTGATGTCCGACTCGGGCTTTTCCTTGAAGGTACGGGTATTCTCTATCTTGTGGATCACGTCAAACCCTTGCGTTGCGCGTCCAAAAATCGTGTGCTTCCCATCGAGCCAAGGCTACAAACACCAAGAGAAACGAGAAGGAGGGGATCAAGTTAGCACATCCTATCCTCTACGGTGCAGAGTATGACGGCGAGCCGGGGCGGGGGAGGGGAGGGGGAGAGGGAGAGGGAGAGGGAGAAGGAGAGGGAGGGGAGGGGGCTACGTACCGTCTTTTCCGTCGTGATGAAGAATTGGCTCCCGTTCGTGCCCGGCCCAGCGTTGGCCATGCTCACCGTGTAAGGCTTGTCGTGTTTGAGAGCGCTGAATTCATCCTCAAAGGGATGCCCCCAGATGCTATCACCTCCCGTGCCGTCGCCGAGCGGGTCTCCGCACTGAATCATGAATTTGCGAATCACCCTATGGAAGATGGTATTGTTATAATACCCAGATTTGGAAAGCCCAACAAAGTTCTCCACAGCCTTGGGTGCCTCCTTGGGAAACAGCCGGATCTGGATGTCGCCGTAGCTCGTGTGGATGATGGCCCCGGTCCCCGTCAGCGTCTTCTTGGCAGCGGCATCCGCGCCCCCTTTTGGTTGGCGGCTGTCGGTCGTTCGTTTTGCACATCCCTCGTGGACTTGGACACTTCCTCGTCGTTGGTGAACATGTAGAATCGCACCTTTCCGATGCCGGTCGCCGTGAGGATCGGGTCCCTCGCCTCCTGCTCTTGCAACAGCGGGTTGCTTGACGCGCCCATCTCGATCGACGCGACCTTCTTCTTTTGAGGCTGCCCCTGATACAGCGCCAAATGTAATGGGCGAAAGTTTTCGTCTTTGCCAAAATTCTTGACCACCTGGTTCGTGTACGTATTGACCACTTTGATGCCGTGAATGGAGCCATAGAGGATAAAGTGACCGGATTCGTCAAAGATGATATTCGGTTTGTTCCGGAAGGCCGGCGATTCCACCTCCCTCTCGAGCGCAAACCTCCGACCAAACTCCACATTGTCCAGCTTATGGATACCGGATCCGGTTTGGTGCATATCCTCGATCATCTGAAGCGACTCGTCATATGTCCTGTGCAGCTTGGCCGTCGCAAAGTCAAAGAGTCGAATCTTGCGGTCGGGCAGCGAAAACGCTGCGAGCTGCTTCCCATTCGGGCTCACAGTCAGGGACACCACCGACGACTTGGCCTTTTTGAAATCAAACAGATTCGTCGAGCTCTTGTACGCGAAAACGCCGCTCGGCTTCTCGTAGTTGCCGCTCGGCTGCCAGTACTCGACCATGCCTCCTTCGTCGGCGGACACCACACAGTCAAAAGCCTCGTTGAAAACCATGACCGACACTGGCGTCCTGTGGAGCCCCTTTATCGCGTGGATAGGCTCGTTCTTTTCCCCCTCCCGTCGTAGACGTGAACCAGAGGCTTCGCGTCTTCCGCCACGGCCAGCAGCGGCAGCGACGCACCCTTTGATGAACCCAGCAAATACTCCGAGGGAGGTACCCCAGCGGTATCATGGTCAAGAGGTCAAACGTTATTACGTCGAAGATTTTGACCGTTTCGTCCGCCCCGCAGCTCGCGAAGCTTCGGCCGTCTGCGCTCACTGACACGGAGAGAATTTCGCCCTGATGGGCCTTGAACTGCTTGACGAATTCGATCCCCTTGCCAATCTTTTTCCAAAACTTGACGGTGCCGTCCGTCGAGGATGTGATCAAGAACTCGGTCAACGGCGTCATGTTCACAAATGACACTTGCTCCTTGTGCATCAAAGATTTGGAATAGCGCGTCGATTTGGGAGTGCCGCAATGTAGAGCTTCTCGTAGGGTAGGACGCGACGTTTCTTCTTCGGCGCCGCTTCGGTCGGCAGCTGAGGCCCCATATCATCATCGGAAGAGCTGTCTGTCCGCCCAAAATAAGAAAGGAGAGGAGAGGGTTACTATCATTCTCTGAGGCGAGTGTGCGTGGGGTATAGCGAGTACATGAAAGCTTACCGGAAGCATCTTCGGCCATCTCGGAATGGCTCCTTTTGTTTGACTTCGCATCGTCGTCGCTAGTCATCTTCGAAAACAGTGGCGGGGTTGCCCCGGGAGAGTAGGGTCGGGGATCGGGTTGGCGCAATCTTGCTGGGTCAAAGCTACTGAAGCTGCTACCTTGAGGGTCGCGATGAAAAGAAGAAGCCGCCCCGTCGTGTCGCGAATGCCAAGTATAGAGTCTTCGTGCGGTACGAGTGAGTTATTCCTCTAATAAATCCACTAAAAGAAGATCAACAGTCCCAAACCACAAGAGCAAGGGTCGCTTCAGGTACAAGAAGGCAAAAAAGGCAAGGGAGCAAAAAGACATAGCTAGGTGCGCTACCCAGCTGCCTGCAGCAGTTCACAAGCGGGAAATTCTAGTCCCTTTTTTCTTATCTTATCGCAACCCCACTAAAAACTTACTAGCACCGTCTCTTTTTTTGCTTCTTTTTTTTTCGAAAGCACCGCTGGGAGCACGTCAACGGTAGACCTCGATCGTAGCAACACACCCAATCGCCCATATGTCAACAAAACTAAAGAACAAGGGCAATGACCCTCAGTTGTTCTTTTCTTCCGAGTCCGAAGATGAGGTTCAATTCGAGGAAACAGAGGACTCCGACATGGATGAGGAGGTGCCAACTACACGCCTGATGGAGAAGGACTCTGACGAAGAGGAGCTTGAACGACTCGTCTTAGGCAATGCCGAAAGCTTTAAGAAGAGACTTTTCGAAAGGGATATACTGGCAGACCTGGAAAATCTTGAACAGGGCAAAGAGTTGCAACTCGCTGGAGGAAATGATGAGGCTACCTCGGACCTAGAGGGCATGCAAGATTCGGACCTCTTCATGATCGACACTGGCCGATCTTCGGGTCCTCTGTCAAAAGTTGATGGCAAGGAGAAACATGTGGGCGCTCAGTCGGCAGACGTGCCCGCTTGGGCCGACAGTGACGACGAAAGGCTGGCTGTTTCTTTGGCTACCGCCTCGCGGCTGCGCAAACTCCGAATTGCAGAACAGGAGGACGTCGTCACAGGAACAGACTATACCGAGAGGTTGAGAAAGCAATACCTTACGCTAAATCCCCTTCCCAAGTGGGCGCAAGAAGCCCAGGGTCATCGCAGCAAGCGCAGGAGACGGTCGTCGCATGGTAGTGAGTCTTCAAGTGGCTTGAGTGCAGATGAGGACGACCAAGGCGAGATCACGGCACAGCCTCTCAACGAATTCCTACGAGACGCGACACAACTATCTCGCGCGGACAACTCCAAGTCTCAGCGCCTAAAGCCAGAGGTTCTTGACATCCAGCGAACAAGAGATATTCCCGACAAGCATCCTGGCCCCGTCACGACGATAGCCTTCCACCCCAAGTTCCCGATCCTCCTCTCCTCTGGCCCGTCTTCGCTCCTATATCTTCACCACCTGGACGCAACCGCACATCCTACGCCTAACCCAAAGCTCACGTCGGTTCAAACGAGAAATGTCGACATTCGGCGATCGGAATTCCGCCTACCTTTTGGCGACAAAGTTGTGTTCGCCGGTCGTCGGAAGTGGTTCCATACCTGGGACCTCGAAACGGGCCAGGTGCAAAGGATTTCCCAGATCCAAGGCCACCGTCTCGAGCACAGGACGATGGAGCATTTCCGTCTGAGTCCCTGCGGTCAGTACATGGGTGTCATGGGATCTACCAGGAAGGGAGGCGGTGTTGTCAACATCCTCAACGTTGCCACAAGCCAGTGGATAGCGGGGGCAAGACTAGATAGCCGAGGAGGTATTGCCGACTTCGCGTGGTGGAGGAGCGGACAGGGCCTCACGATATTGGGCAAGAATGGTCGAGTGGGCGAATGGAGCCTCGCTACGAGGCGATTCGTCGGTGTGTGGCGTGATGAAGGCTGCATCGGCGGCATCGTCGTTGCGCTTGGCGGGAGCAGAGGGCCGGAACCGATTGGCGAGGACAGGTGGGTCGCCATTGGATCCAACACGGGCATCGTGAACATATATGACCGGACGGATCTTGTGCAGCCGGTGGATGAGAATGGAGGCTACACCCTGAACGAGCACCCTGAACCTAAGCGGCGGTTTGAGCAACTGGTTACACCCATCACAAACATCACGTTCTCCCCCGATGGCCAGCTCATGGCGTTTGCCAGCCGGCCGCAAAAGGATGCGTTTCGGTTGGCGCACTTGCCCAGTTGCACGGTTTACCGCAATTGGCCCACATCGGACACGCCCTTGGGGCGCGTGACCTCTGTCGCTTTTGGGACGAAGAGCAACGTTTTGGCAGTTGGCAACGATGCTGGCAAGATACGGCTATGGGAGATTAGGCATTGATCTAGAGGGATGCATCACTTGGGAGCGAGAATCACCCCTTGTTTTCCACAAATTCTTTTTTGTTTTCTGAGTTGCGAGGAGTAGGTGACGCCCGCTTATGTAGATAATGGACGATAGACGCAGGCACTGATATGATCAAAATATCCGCCTGCACAGAATTTCATGCAGCAACAAACCCTTGGTTAAACAAAACTGGTATTTGGTCCCTCCGACACCTGCCCTGCCATCATGACCCTTGTGCGCAAAAACTCCTGATTCTCGCATCTTAGGCCAGGCACCTCAGCAAGGCGCGGAGTGGGCTACCTTTGGGTATCTTTTTCCTTGGGTAGAAGTAATCTCGCTCTCGGGTGAACATCTCGAGCTCACGTGTGTTCTTGAAGAACCGGACGCCCTCAGGTCGGCTGGAGGCCTCGAGGAACTGGCGGATGTTGACGTTTACACGTCTAAGGGCCTACATGCACCGTTACCACCGGTTAGCAAACGCGTCATTGCCTTCTGCCTTCTGCCTTTTGCCATCTGCCCGTTTTTTCCTCATTCCTCTCTCCAATGAGTATGCCAGAAGCGATAGTGTGGTTCGCCCAACGCTTATTGGCAGAAGGAAGCAGCGTCGTGTCTGTCGGTAGGGCAATAGGATTCGTGAAGAACCCGAGAAGCGGAAGGGGAGGGGGTGTGAGTCGGTTGGGCGGCAGCTAGATTACTCACAATTCGACATTGCCTCTTACTAGGAAGGTCGTCGGGCAGAGCTAGATCCCCACAAAGCCTCTGCCAGTCGGACAAGGCCCCCTCGCCAAAGTAGTTCTCCCAGAGTTCCTGCACCTTGGGCTTTTTCGAACGGGAGGTGGCGACGACCGCCCCGGCTTTCGGGAGTTGTACGCCGTTCTCTGCAGGCTTAACCTTCTGTCTTCTCTTCTTGGCCATCTTGGGGCTACGAGGATACTGTTGTTAAAACCAGAGTGACTCGGCCTTTGCGAGGGCGTGCAGATGCCCAGGGAGGCTAGGGGCTATAGTGGTGACTGGCAAAGTGTCCCTGGAGAAGGGAGTAGGGCTGGGGCGCCGGCAGCTTGATAGAACAAAGAGGACACCAAGATGGAGGATGTGCCTAGGATCTCGATCTCGATTTGCACTCGTCTGCCCATCTAGTCTTTGCAGAAGCCATCTTCTCCTCAGCGTATTTTATACTGGCTTCGTGTCGGGGGCCTCCCTGTGTTTATTTTCCGCGCTCATCCATCGCTTCTACTACTGCTTCATTTGCCATCGATGCCCTTGAGATTCTACAAACGGAGGGCGCAGGAAATGGAAAAACAAGGAGATGAAGAAGAAAGAAGAAAGAAGAAAGAGAAGTAGGAGGACCAACAGTTGGGGGCGGTCGCGTGCCTAGGTCGACCCAGAGGCCGGGAGCCGAAGAGGCGATGCATTTCGAGGCGGCGAGGGGCGACTGGTGACTGGCGACTGGCGACACGGACTGACTGCTAATACGGGTTGGAAATCACGAGCAATCTCTGTTAGATTCTACAGCTCGATCCATCGCTTCTTTATTATCTCCTTTCTTTCCATTGAAGCATCAATCTTCATTTACAATCGGGCTGTTCCTCTCTCACCCTCTTTAAGACAAGGCAAGGCTCTAAGATGTGAAAAGAGAAAAAGAAAGGAAAAAGACGAGCAAGGCATGGAGTCCCGCGACTTCCATGATGATTCTGGAGGTTCCTCGATGTCGATGACGGGGTTGGCCGCTGGCAACCCCTCGGGTCAGGAGGGCTCAAGTTGGGCTCAGCCATGTTGGCCCGGTTGGCCCAAAGCTAGCGAGCCAATGGGATGAAAAGGGAGCCCAAGGGCCGTTGGCGGCGGCCCGGATGGCAGCCTCAACCCGAGGCGGAGACGCGGTGAAAAGCTGCAGGGGTTGAAACCATGCATGGATTTCGTGAACAAGTTTTTAGTCTTTTTTTTTTTTTTTTCACTTCTTCTCTTTCGGGCTGGCAGGTTCTCTTCACCTTTCTTTGCACCAACCTTTGATGGGCCTGGAGTGGACCAAGTACAACACTGCTTGCCTAGATGTGCCTGGCCCATCCTCGTGCCAATCACTGCCAGCCAACACCAATCAAGGCCAAGGATGCTCGTCAATGGACCATTGGATCTTGTTAGCGGTGAGTATCAAAAGGAAAGACGTGGCAATGCTCCATGAATGGGCGGATCTTCGCACTTTCAGGGATAATTATAGTCATGCGACATGGTAACATGTAGGCCTATATCAATATCGGTATAGAAATATATCACAAGAGAGAGAGAAGTACGTGGAAACGGGGAGAGGCAGGCAGCAGGCACCTGTTCTTCCTGTCTTGGACCCTTTCAAGTGTGTTCGGACCCGCGCAGGACCTATCCGCTGCATCCATCATCCATAAATCCCGATGTCGTTTGCATTAGTGGGTATTCTGATGCGTGCGAACAACATTGAACGATTAATTCTCCTCAATCAGCCGTTGCCGCCCGTACCAGGGTCAGTCGATCACTAAATCCAAGAATTGACTCTAGGCTGATTGCAGAGGGTTGAACACAACGTTGACGCCGTGGATTAAGCATGTGAAGGGGCTTTGCCTCAAACTAGCAGATGAGCTTTTACGCCTAAGCCATATCGCAATAGACATGTCGCAATGCAACAACGTGAACGTGGATAGATCATGGCTCAAGGTTGCCAGGTTGGTTGATCGGAGCTTTCAGTGGAGAGCGGCGGTAAATATCCGGTATTTTCGGTGGAGGTCCCCGCCTTGCCCGTCCACCGCCCGGATAGTCACGATGTCTCCGCCCTTCAAGCTCATGCCTCTTTCGGGAATGATCTCTCTTCCTTCGGGCAGAAAGGGAGGGCCATTAAATTTACATGGATTTACGGCGAAGAGACTGCTACCGTTTTGGTGTTTCTCTTTCGGATCTTCGAGGCAGAGAGGAACATGCTCAAGCTCCGAACGGAGTCCTTGGGAATGAACAAGTTCAATGCCGGGCGTCATCGAACATTGCCCGGGCAAGAAATATCGCCATGTGGCGGGCAAACTATGTCGCATGTTTCGTTACCTTCGTACATTCCAAGCCATAAAATCAAGCTTCGGGGCACCCATTGACTTTGCTAACATTGATGATATTGAACTTTGTGCTTTTATCCTTTGCGTCGCTGACCTGACGATCCACGCCGTCTCATTCGTGACCTCGTTCAACACTGAGGTTAGGCACACACGGCTCTGGGCAACTGCTTGTTTCCTCTTGTTGGAAGCTCCCTATGCAAGCTGTGATGCAGCAAGTACTCACCTCGGTAATACTTGTTACATAAAGGCAAAGAAAAAAAGACGAGTATCACTATTAATACTTGGTGCTTATTAGAGTCAAGCTTGTCAAGGTATATCCACTGATCCAGAGATGTGACTAATCAGAATGGGCATAATATTCGAGCCCCAGTCCAACAACGCCGTCAACTTCAAACCCTCCACCCCATGGACACTCAGCGTCCGCCCTGCTGAATTGCTCAATGATTCGTCTAGTATCCATGATCCGTGGATTTCTGCTGGCCAAGGCTCTTCCGCACCCCACCCCTCCAAACTGCCCCCTGTAAGGCAGTTGAACCCCAAACCCGCACGGGCAACTGAAACGGGCCTGTCTGAGGACGACGGGGCGAGGAATGGATATTCACAGCTGAGTCGAGCGCTGGGGGCGTTGCCCTTTGCCACTGTCGAGCTGTGATAGGGCATGATATATGGGGGTGAGCCTGACCAGGCGGGGAGTCATTTCACGCGGCCACCGCTACGAGGACGAAAGCCAATGGCGAATGTCGCTGGATTTGGGCAGCCAGGTCGGATGTGGAAGAGCGACCATCGCTTGGTTATCCGCAGTGGAGCAGTTCCAAGTGTGTGTGACACTTTGGAGAACCGAGTTCCTAAACAAGCCAAGGGAATGAATGAGGCGCCTGCCGCTTATCCACTCTTCTCCAGCGCAGTCTTGGAACACACACACACGCACACAGGCACGCGCACGCACACATACCCACGCAGACGTAGACGCAGACGCACACGAATACTCACTCTTGGTGAGAACTCCTCCAAGTTCCCACAGGGATGGGATGGGGGACAGCCGATGGGGCTGGCATCTCCCATCTCATGCCCTGACTGGGACCACGCAGAGCTTGGATGGACCCATCTCCATCACAGCAGGGGAAAAAGGAACAACTGGAAGCCTTCCATGTGGCACGCTCCCTCTGGGGCTCCACAAATGGTATGCGCCGTCGTCAGCAGGCAAAAACGGCGATCTCTTTTGTGGCTGCCGCCGAGAGAGAAGGAGAGAGAGAGAGAAAAAGAGAGAGAGAGACAGAGCAAGCCAAGACAGGGCAGGGCGGCCTCGGTGTTGATTTGTTGACATTCGCGCTTCCCCAAATCCAAGGCGCCATCCCTACGGTGACTCCACGGCGACTCCAGCCCAGATTCCCTGTCTGGCGAATCTGGTGGCGGATCCGGGTATGCGCCGACTCGACCGCGCGAATGGCCTGATGGGCTGGGCCGCCCATCACTTCCCTTCCCCCAAAAAGCTGGCTCGGAGAATATCAATGTACACTATAGTACTTCGTACTTCTGCGACAAGAAAAAAACTTGGAGAAAATTGATACCACGGCGCACCCAAGCACCGCCTTGGAGGAAGCGTGTTAGGCCTTGTTGGAGCCAATTCCCATGACTTCTCCCCAGGTGCCGAAATAGAAATGGGTTTTCACCCAACTTCGACGTCGTGGCCAGCTCATACTTGGTAGATGGATATATAGTCCGGACTCGAATCCCCTCTGCCTCTGGCCACATTCAAATGGCTCTCCTCTCCAACACCCTCTAGCTCGGCTCGTTTTCGGCCCAGGATCGTGTTATCCAACCCCTCTATCCCCACCCATCACCTGTCTCCGAGAAGAACAGGATCCGCTCCTAGCAGCTCTAGCTCTAGCTCTAGCTCTAGCTCTCCCGATAACCTGGCCTAGACGGCCGGACCAACCACCCACCGACAACCCAATTCCAATCCACCAAGCCCGCGCCTGCGTGCGTGCTTTTCAAAAAGAGAAGAGAAAAAAAACACCCGAAGCTAGGATTCCTTGCTTATCAAGGTGTGCCCTGTGCCCTGTACCCTGGTGCCCTGGTAGCGCGCGTCACGGCATTTCGGTTTCGGGGGTCAATCGACACCCCTCCCTTCCCTCCCCCACCTTTCTTCCCTCTTTGCTTCCCTTCCCCCGAGAAATTCCTTGCATGAGGCTCACTGCCTCGGAGTCTCGCGTCCCAGCTTCTCGGCTCGCAGGGTCGCGTCGCCAGGTTCACCTCCGTTCACAAGGGGCCTGGGAAGTGCCTCTCCTCGACTCTCTGCTCACGCTTCTCTCGTTTCTCTGTCTGCTGGGGTTCCGCTGGATTTCCTTGCCTCTCCCCATCCTTCTTCCGTTGTGGTTTTTGGGCAAGCTTCTGGCCTGTCAATTCCTCAGCGAGCGAGTGTCGGGCAAGGTCAAAATCAAAGCCCAAGCACAAGTGGAAACCCGATTTTTCGACGTGGAGCCACTGGCTGCAGGCCCCACTAACACCCACCACCCGATTGCACCTTCCCCTGCTGCACACACTCGCACCGCCTCTTATAAGTCCCGCCCACAAATCGCAACCCAAATTCCTCCCTCTTCTTCCTCCCGTCCAGCTTCCACCTTTGCCAAGTTTTCCTCCCCCGAGGTTTGGAGGAATTCCTTCTCTCAAGCCCCTTTCCCGAACCCTCAATTCTCGCCTGATGGCCTGGGACGTAAGGGAGCACCACCCGGGTGCCACTGCCCTGGTGGCCTCTGATGAGCCCTATGTCGGCACTCAGAGGCACTTTCGCCTCGTCAACAGCCGCATGTCGGTCCGTGTCTCGGTCCGCTTTGCTGCCCCCATCCATGTTGAATTCTCCCGCCGCTACGACTCGTCACGCACCTTTGAGGCTACCCCCGAGCTGTGTGATACTCTTCTGCGCCGCTTGCAGCACTGCTCCGAGGAGCTTATTTCTCGCAGAGATCCCCAAGCTCTAGAAGCAGCCGTTGACCGCCTCCCGAGGTATGAGATCAAGTATGAGCTCATCAACGCCCCTTGTCCCACCAAGGAAAGGTCCTTTTGGTCCTACCAAAAGCCCTCCCCACTATGGAACAAGCGGGAGATGTCATCGTCGCGACCGATCGCATCATCGGCCTCTTCTTCCTCCGCCACGACGAGCATTTCGAGTGGGTAAGCAGTCCCATCAAAGAATATGCGCCCACCCAGCCTCGTGCCGCCATCGTCTCCGCCCCCGCCTCCGATGCTCTTTCTTGCGTACCCAATGGCACTTTCCAGGAGAACACCCAGACATACGAGTTCGTCCCGGGCTATGAGCTCGAGCTGGCTTTCACCAGCACGTGTCCCACGCGCGACGTTCATCAATTCGCAAAGACCATTCGGATCTCCAGCCATCAATCCTCTCCGCTGAACCTATGTCTGGCCGAGGAGATGCTCTCCGCCGCCTCCAAGGTCTTGGAGATTGGCCTTGATACCCGTAGACGGGCCGTCAAGGGTTTAGGTGGCCTAGCCTAGACGAAGACGCCGTGTCAGTCAGCGTGCACATCAAGAACAACATTGGTCCGGACCACGACCACCTCGACTATAGGATACGCAGCAAGCAGGTCTTGTTCAGCCAACCCGCCGGCGAGGACTGCCTCAAATTCCTCGAGGCCATCGAGGATTCTCTGTGCCGTGTCCGCAACATGACGGATGAGGCCATCGGTCAAGCCAACGAGCTCGAGGTTCGTGTTCTCGAACTCCGCGCACCCAGGTGGTATGCCTTTGACCCTTGGCCATTTCCCTCGATTCGACCGTGACCTATTCGAGACGGACCATCGGCGCCATCCTCGACCGAGTCCAAACCAGCGTCACTGGTGTCCTCCACGGCAACGACCTCTCTCTCACTCTCTCCATCTTCCACAGGGGGCATCTCATTCTGGACAAGATCTTCGTCGCCAGCGAAACCTCGGAGTCTCAGAAGCGGCCCCTCCTTGCCATGACGCCTGAACAGGAGGGCAACGTCGTGCTGTCCAAACTTCGCGATAGGATCCATTCCGATATCATCCTCCTTTGCAAAGATACCTGCTCCCTGGGAGATGAAACCGAGGGCATTCCCAACCTGCACATCATGCAAAAGGGCCACGCTCTACCCCATCGGCCAAGCGTGCAGGAAGCGTCCCTTGAAGCCTCCCGCAAGCCACAGCCTCACCAGGCCTTCTGCACTCCCCTCCTAGCGACAAATCTAGTCCCGTCATGAGCAAGGCGGCCGTGGCCACCAGGGCCCCGAGTCTCCGGAGAGATGCGAGCACCTATAGCGACAGCCTCTACAAGCAGCGCTACCCTGCTGTCGTTGATGTCGAGGACGAGGATCACGATGACAAGCAAGACGAGGTTGACATGACCCCGCCATCCACCCCTAGCCTTATCTATGGGGAGAGCGAAACCCCGCGTGATAGCATCCTCATCACACCTTCGGAATTGAGGCGCTCTGATACAATTGGCGTTCTCACCGGTCGCGTTCTCCGCATTGCCGATGAAGATGGCAACGATACCATGGGCCGCGACTTTTCCTCCTATGAGGAGCACGCAGAGACTGGCTCCAAGCCCTACCAATTTGAGCGGGTCTCCATGACCAAATTTGGTGGCTGCCTTGTCGTTGACCAGGGAATTCCGGAGAGCCCGACCCCGGTCAGGACTGTCGACATCACATTGGACTCGGAAGGCGAACAAGATGCGGCCTCGGTCTTGAACTCGGTCTCGGACTCGGTCTCGGAAGTCAGCGCCGAGGACTCCGAAGACCGCGCTGACGACCCCGAGTCCCTTCCGGTGCCCGAAGTCATGACGCACATTTCCGATGAAACGGCCGAGGAAGAAAACCAGGCAGAGCCAATTATGGAGGGTTGGCTCGAGTACTGTTGCGAGCCTATCGAGCCTACCCCTGAAGACAGCACAGATGACCAAGAGGTTCAGCCGGAGCCCATCATGGAAGGGTGGCTCGAGTACTGCTGCGAGCCTCTTGAGCCTGAGGAGGTGCCGGAGGAGATTTCAATCGAACCCGTCTCATCTACTGCCTTGCCAGAGGAAAATCCTACAGAGAGAACGATGTCCTCGCACCAGGATGAGCAAGTATCGCCCCCTCCACGTGATGAGGCATTCGTCTCCATTGTGGAGGAGCTTCAAAGCCTGATCTCCGCGGCCTTGAGCGACGGGGCAAGCCACACGGCATGCCAAGCATCCACCTCGACTAGAGCTGGCGGTTTACTATTTAGGCTCCTGTCAAACGAGGCAGGCTCGTCTAGCGACCTCGGCGACGATGAGGATAACGTATCCGCAATCATCCAAGCCGTCGAAGTGGACAGCAGCCCCGTCGAATTACCCGCTGTGGTCCCTGTCGAGCTACCTGCTCATGTACCAGAGCAGTGGTTCGTCGATGAAGTCGGCATGGACCCGGTCGAAGTTGCTGCATATGCCGCTTCTGAAGGCCCCGCGCAGATTGCCCCGGAGTTTGTACTTGATGTTCCAACTCTAGCCGATGCAGAGACCGAGACTGGTCCAGATGACCATCCACCTGAAGCGAAGAATCAGGATGAAGCGGTGGATCTTTCCCTGAAACGTCGACGGATGGCCTTGCGGCCATTGTTGATTTTGAGACATCATCTTCCGTGGAAACACTGGTCGAGCTTGTGGACAAGGATATCAAAGCCATTAAAAACCAGGCTTCTGCTGACACCATCGTTGCAATCATCGAAACCTCGGACGGCGAGCATCTTGCCAAGGACAAAGAGGACGGCGAAGTGGACGGTGACTTGGAGGTAGGCCAGGATAAGCCAATGGATGCTGACATTGAAACCTTGCGAGGTGATGAAGTCATTGACCCCATGGGGGCGGCCGAAGAAGCACCGGGAAGTGACCTCACGGTCGCCGAAGATGCCGAAGTCGTTGCCCCCGTCGTTGAAGACAAGATCGCCTTTGAGGAAGTAGATTCTGGCGCCCGCACCGGCGATGACCTGATGCCAAACTTGGGTCCTTTCCCTTGCCAGCCATCTGATGGAGAAATCGCAGCCGCTGAGGGGTGGGAAATCTTGAGTCCGATAGAGGGAGGACGAACCCGGCCAGATGTCGGTGTGAGTGCCGAGATGCCTGAGGATACCCCCAGTATGCGGGCATTGAGATGATCACAGTCGACGAGGAGTCCATTCCCAACTCACTCCGGGTGAAGAAAAGCGGTTCGGTGGCCTCTGGTCGCATCTCTCTCGATGACGATATTGATGAGAGGACCCCGCTCTTGATCTGCGACGTGCCCCCGCCATCAGCCAGCCAATTGATACCGGGCTTGCCACCACCGGCTACGCTTCCGAGGTAGCTGCGCAGCCTCACGAGGGCAAGGACGAAGCAGTCCGCGCTTCCCCTGCACCGCCTGAGCCCGAGCCACTTGAGCTCATCGATGACAACAAAGACGAACCCTTGGAACAAGATGACGCCTCCTGGTACCTCGTTCACTATGACTCTACGATAGTCCGCTCTGACGAGCCCAAGGGTAAAGAAGCCGAGCTTCCGCAGGCCCTTCCCGATGCAGGACTGCCTGTCCCTGCCTTGGCGGGCTCTGCAGAGGAGGAGGCGGTAGCCGCCCTACCTAGTTCGCAGGAACTGCCACTGTCAGCCGAGCCCCCGCCGGCGTATTCGCCTACCACTGTAGAGGTTCCGGAGCTGCCAACCTCGCGCTTCAACACTGCTGTCGTTCTGCGACCGGCATCGAGCATCTTCAACCTTTGCCCCATCCTTGGGGGTTCTGCTGCAGTCGTTGACGATCGCCCAGTCACGGCTGTGCCGTTCTCTCGGCCACAGCATAAGCGAGCGCAGTCGGTTGGAACTACGGGTCTCCTCGGGCTTCACGATGACTACAAGATGCCCCTGCAGACTGCCCTGTTGGGCGCCCGCATGCAACGCTCGGCGTCGGCCTTTGCTACTCCGTCACCCACCGTCAGACCCGTGACGGTCCACGGCCTGCCTGATCCTCCCAAGCGGAAGATCTCGCACGACGTGGAACACGGCGAGTCCGGCGATGAGGAAAGCGGCGCCCGACCCGTTCGCCGCGGGTTCAACGCATTCCCCGGTTTTGTCATATTTGCGGCCGGCGTCACTCTTGCCTCCTCGATTTTCCGACGAGCTCCATAGGTGTGCAGTGCCCAACTATCCAATGATGCCCTTGGTTCTCTTGTCTGTTTCTCTTCAACCATCACCATCACCACCACCACCACCACCCCTGTCTTTTCGATATTGGTTTCCATTTGGCTCCAGTTCTTCCCCAATTTTTCCCCATTTTCATATCTCGTTTTCTGTCACTTTCTATTTCTTTTTTTCTCTGTCTCGTTTCATGACTTCACCATCTGTTCTATTTTTTTCAAGAAGTCAATTACATGTCACTCGCTATACAGCATGAGGACATCCTTACATTCGAGGGGATGTCTACATGTACAACACCAACATTTCTTTGCATGATATATATATGGATTGGGGGCAGGGCCGGCAACGGCACGCGCGCCCATCCATAATGAGGGTCTGGTTTTAGCGAGCATTGCCTGGAGTTTATGATGGTCTGGGATATATTCATAGGACGGGATTATTAGCATACACGCGCATGGGACCATCACTGGTACAAATTGGCTCAATCAGACTCTATACGTACCCACTATTTCACGCTCACTCTTACCATCTCCCTAAATTTCTAAGTGATTGTGTTTTCCAATGTCTCTCGATCCTTCTATCTCTTCTATACGGGGACTGGCGTAGGATTGATGCAATGGGGCAGCAGGACATGAGGGTTGGGGGCAACGAACCCCCTACCTCGTCCACGCTTCCCCGTACCCTTTCAAGATCGAACCCGAACCTTGGCTAGTTTCTACAGATGGATATATAGGCGGAGACAAAGGGCAGTAGCCTCTATTCATGGGTATTCGTCATTAGAAGAAAAAGACAAGAAAAAAGTAAACCCCCTCCCCCTCTCCCAAAACGTGTGTACGCACAAATATGCATCTTCTTCCTTCGTAAATCCTTTCCATACTTTTTTATTTTTGTTCTCATGCATTCCACACTTCATCTGCCAGTCTCCCCAGGTTCCAAGGTAAGGGTTCAAGCGCAGACCCCCTAGGCGGCCCCCACATACTCTTCTAGCCCTTGCTGAACGAAGCCACGAGGTTCCTCGACGGCGTCAAACCAACTCGGCGATGCCATCCTCCACGAGCCGCCTCACACCTTCCCACCGAACAACAAAGACGTCTCCCTCCTTGCCCGCGACGGCGGAATCTTCGTCGGTACCGCGACCCTTGACCTCGGCAGCTCTCAGCAAGCGGACGAAAACAGCTGTGTCCGGGTCGGGCACGTCGACCATGCCAACGTTGCCGGCGGTGTCGTTGAGGTTCCGGAGGGCCGGTGGCAAGGCGGAGAGGAAGGAGGTGAGGTAGTGGTTGTGGAGGAGGGCTTGGTGACGTGTGGCGTAGGCGAGTTCTGTGGGGGAGAGGCGCGCGCGGAGGGTTGGGGTGGACAGGTAGTGGAGGGTGTACTTGTCAATCTTTGCGCGCGGGGAGAGAGGGCGAAGAAAAAGCGGTCCCGACATTTAGCAAATCCGTATATGAAGAGAAAGAGGGAGAGAGAGATAGAGATAGGAGAGCTAGCATAGATATATACCTTGGCGATGCGAGCGCGGAGGTAGCTGCGCACGAGGAACTTGTACCGCTCGAGTTCCGTCTGGATCACAACCAGCGTAAAGTTCGTCTTGGGATCCATGTCCCCGGTCATATCCTCCACCTTTTCGATTTGACGCTTTATGCGCTCGTTCATCCTTTCAAAGAAGCCGGAACGGGGCCACCTAGAGGCGAGGAGGGAGACATTGTAAGCACGGAATTTTTCGCTCCAAGGTAGGCGTGATGATTCTCGTCAAGATGATGGGCAGGGATACGGGGAGAGGTTAGGAAAGCTTGAGGAAATGGAAGAAAGAGGGGGGTTAGAAGTACTCTAAAAGTTCCGGGGAAGACCGCTCGGCGACCCAGAGCCGGGTCAACAGTTGGATGTCGCGCGTTTCCGAACCGACGCCGCCGGTTGACGGGTCAACCTCGCGAAGGATATCGTCGATATCCATCTTTTCTTTCGTTTCTGGGTCACCAACCACTAGTTAAAGAGTCACGTAACGGTAGATGCGGCGGGGATATCGTGAAGATGTCCGCTGGCCCCTCCTCAGCTAAGAGGGAGAGAGTGAGGAAAAGTCAAGAGAAGCCAGGGAATGTGGGGGAGGTGAGGGTCGGTACTGCTATATCGCGGTCATCCCGACGTATCCAAGTTTTTATGTCCTAGTCGATGAGCGGCGAGCAAGGGGGAGGTCAACCAGACAAAAAGGTGGCTAAATGTATAAGTGGTGATGGGAAAGTTGGGAAAGGTCATTCAATTAATTGTTGGAGGGGCAGAGGCGTTCTTGACCAAGCGCGCGCGTGTTGAGTGCGATAGTTTTAGGTGGGGTTGCTACATTGGATGTACCCTTTGAACGGGCGGGAAAGTCAAGGCCACTACTGCTAGTAATACCTTGAGTGTGACCTCACTGTGGGTGAGGGCCTTTCACCACCAACGCACCAAATTGCAAGTCGTGTTGGGCAAGTCCCATTGTTCGAGTCCATGAACGACCCGATAGAGGCACCATAGCTCGTAAAATACCAAGACAAGTGCATTTAAGAATGGACAGAGAAGAAAGCGAGAAATAGATTGATCCATATATTGATGCATTTAATGTTGTATTCCCCAGAAACTCCAGATAGACTTAAAAGAAAGAAAATCACCCTCTTCACAAAGCCACAGCATCCCTCAACTTGCCCTCGAGCCACCCTAGATCCGGGCTCACGGCCTCTCTACTCTTGAGTGTGAGAATGGCCGCCTTTGCGCCACGTCGACCAAGTTCTCCGTCTTCCCACCCTTAGCTAGCCCCGCAATCAGAACCCCGAGGAACGTATCGCCGACGCCATTGACCGAGACGATATCTTGCACCTCCTCCGCTGCCGGGAAGAGCCTCATATAGATGCCCCCACGTGTGCGTGGTCGCCCGAGCTTCGGGTGAGGATATACCGCTCCGAATCGGGATCGCGAAGACGTGGGTCGTCCTTGTGGAGGATGGTAGTCAGGAGAACGCCCTTGGACCCGAGCTTCGTGATGACGGTGGGGATGTACGGAAGAAGCTGTACGCTCTGGACGGGGATGCCTAAGTCCGTCATCTCCGCCGACGTCAGCCGGACGAATCGCTCCCGCGCCCCTCGCATTCCAAAAGCATCAACGACACTAAACCACGCCGGGTTGTCAAAGTAGCCGTTTTCCCTCGCCGCGTTGAACATGGAGAGCAACTCAAAATGGTTGGGCGTCGCAATGTCGATTGCGGCGTTGGGGTATACGCGGAGGTTCGAAAAGTCCTTCTCGGGGCAAAATAGTCGTGTGGCTTTGGCCGTAGACACGGGCTCGAAAGCCACTGAGCAATCCTGCGTTCTGGCCGCTTGGATCCAAGCCCGAATGTCCTTTTCGCTCCAGTTACCATCGACAACCAGCCACTGCGGCTTGGCACCTGCCACGGCCGACTTCCAGTACTCGGGGAAAGAGTGATGCGTAAAGATGCCCATGTCTGCCATGGCCATGACCAAGTTTTTCTGCGCATCATTGACGGCCACATATTGCGCTGTACGACTTGACGAGTGATAGTCCGCCGAGAGCTTTCGGACGTAGCTAGTGTCGAGCCCGCAGGATTGCAAGGTTGATAGAACCGTCTGGCCCGCTCTATAATTTCATTAATACTGTTCCTCGCACATGCACGAATGACCCCGAACCTCTTCTGAAGATGGGGAACACAACAACAAGAGCAAGAGTGAAGAAAGGACAAGGAAGCAAGTGAAAAATGATGAAAGAAAACAAGGAAGAGTGAGTCATCAAACTTACACATCGTCTCCGACCATGCTACAAAGCCTCACTTTCACATCTCCGCTCACTCTGTGCGCGGCTAGGGCGACATTGTGACCTACGCCTCCTACTGACTGGTTGATCCGTGCGGGATTCGACGTATGTGGCTTGGGGATGAGCTCTTCGCCCGTAGCCTCCGTCGCGGGACTCTGTTGAGCGACATAATCGCAGTTCAGGTCAATCGCCACAGCTCCGGCCACCAAGATGTCCGCTTTGAGGTGCTTCTTGCCTTCTACCTTGGGCTCTTTCTTCGTGGAAGCGGCCGGCACGGGGCTACAAGTAAGGTTAGATTAGATTTGGTCAGATAGGGGTGGGGTAGGGGTTCCTCGTCCTAATTTCTCAACCGACCATGCCACTTACTGTGTCTTGAATGTGGAGAAGTCGGATCCCTTTCGCGATAGTTTAGAAAGCTCTCCAGCAATCTTGGCTGCCCTGGCCACGTTGGCGCGCACCAGCCCGACGTTGGCCTCCACGCTCTTCTCATTCGTCAAGCTGCGTATGCGAGACAGAACATAGGGCGTGTTTGTGCTACCGGTGTAGCCCTTTTCTGAGGCTTCCCGCACCGCCGTCTCAATCGCCGCAGCCATCTCGGAGCTGGGAATCGCGTACTTCTCCGGGATGGGGTTGGCAAATAACAGCCCAGACTCGATCCCTAGCCTCTCTTGGGCGAGAATGATGGCTGCCGCTTCCTTTTCATCGTGGACCACCGCTGGACTCTTGGTCCCGCTGTCACGCGCCCAAAAGGCAGGGAAATCCACGGCGCCCTCGCGACCGTCCGCAAAGGTGGCGACAACAGTTCCCTGTGTCTCGAGATACTCTAGGGTGCGCGGGATGTCTAAAAATCCCTTGCAGCCGCTGCTCACCACAGCCACTCGCGTCCTTCCGAGTTCTGTGAGGTCGGCCGAGATATCGAGGGAGTCCTGGCCCCCACGGTGGACTCCTCCCAGGCCCCCGGTACCAAAGACTCGGATACCGGCGATTCTCGCAAGGAGCATGGTGCCCGCGATGGTGGTACCGCCATGTACACCTCGGCTTAAAAGTCCCTACGTAAAAAGAATGTAGTGTGAACATGGTGATCAGATACGCGCAAGCCCCTTTCTTTAGTTTCCGACAAATTATGGTGTCCCCACCAACCAGACAACATTGAAAGATAGAGACAAAGCAACGGGACGAAACAAGGGGAAGAGAGGGACGGTAGATGAATGGCCACGACAATGGCCAGTGAAAGGGGAAGGGGAGTACCGAGGATGGTAGGCACGGGAAGGAATAGTAGATATCAAACAGACAGACTTACCCTTCCGGCGAGAAAGGCGATGTCCCTCCTCGAGGCCTTGACAGGTTTTCCCTCATTGACCATTCGGTCTATCTCATCCGGAGTAAGGCCAACGGTGGGCACGCCGTCAAGAATACCAATCACGGCCGGGACACCTCCATGTTCACGGACAATCTTCTCTAACATGAGATCCTGGGCGAGAGCGCCGTGGGTGTAAATGGTAGACTCTAGGGCCACGACGGGCTGGTTGGAGGCGATGGCATGAGAGACATCATCAGAGATACGCAGGATTTTCCTGAGATTTCCCAAGTTGCCATGGCTCGACGAGCTCATCCATCGCCGACAACCTTGCCGAGGTGTCGGAGACAACAATGCAGGGCAGATCACGTCGGCGCGCGGCCGGCGATGATGACGGGCTAGCAGCGACACCGAACCATGGGTGCTAGAATGATGGTGTAGACGGGACAGCAGAAGCTTATCACGACGAGACAGGCTAGGTAACTGGGTCAATTGGCGGCCTCTGTTCATGGCGGGCTAGACTTGTGCGCTAGACTTGTGCGCGCGCGAAATTATAGAAAGTGAGATTCCCGAGTCCCTAGTTGCGCGCTTGCCACAGTTCGCAACCGTCTGAACCGAGAGTTACGTGCGTGCGAGCTACTGCTTCAATGTAGACTCCTTCTTGGAAGAGATGTGGTCGGGGACGAAACGCCGTCTTGGCAAATCAGAAAGGGAATGGGTGGGGAAGGGGGACGTGTCAAGTCGAGCAAGCTTGATGGGTTCTTCAGTGCAAAGATTCCCCAGTCTGCATGACAACCCACGGGGTGTGAGAGGAAACCGGGCCAGGATCCCTGTTGTTCACGTTTGGGATTCCTGACCGAAAGCCGGAAAGGCTCTCTCACTCGCAGAAGCAAAAAAACCCAAAAGAACAATGCGAAAGGAGTAGGCAGTGGAACCCGGTGGATGGTTGGAATTTAGTGGGGGCTTCCTTCACCTTGGCGAAGAGGGTATTGAAGAGAGTGAATGTTTTCTGGTGTTGGTTTGGCCGGCCGTGATGGGGCGGATACGTTTAGATGTGAGTGGGATGTCCGAGGCACACGCCGAACGGTTGACGCGGTTGAGATTAGCTTCCTCGACTTCGACTTCTGTGCCTTTTTTCCCCTGTCGAGTGAGCCGCTAAGAATAAACAAAGAGGTAATTGGTCCGGTTGAGCTCACTGGGCCCTCGCCAGCACTTGCTACTTGCTAGATCGCTTGATGGTGTACATGTACCTGCGTCGAGAAGATCTCCTCAACAAGTCTCTCAACTTCCCGGTTCACTTGTTGCAATCTCGATTATCGTCGCTTTTGCTGAGAGACCGGAGGTTACCGGCCGAGATGAAGCAGGAAAGCGCGGCCCCCATCATAGAAAATGATTAGCTCGCTCAGTTTAGCAGGCAGGATGCAGCATCATACTCAGTGCTGCACCCACCAACCCCGTGGGGCCCAGAATAATCCACACGTGACCAATCGCCTTGCTTGAAGCTGCGCGCCGAGCCCAACGTGGGGTTACATTCGACTCCATTGATCTGGAAGACACGGAAGGAAGAATCGAGCCTTTTGAATCCCATCAATTCGCACCATCGCCTCGACAGCAATTCCCCTCCAACCCAAGGCCTTTGTTTAAATTAACCAGCTAGTGTAGATTAGCTCTGGAGCCAGTGCCAACGATTCCCACTTTTTACTCCCAAGCCGCGAACCCACCAACGGCGACCTACCCTCCCCCATGCAGCGGACCAGGATTTCCTGTTAGTGATGTGACGTCTTGACACAAGCTCGGTTTCACCCAGATCATCGTCATGGCAGGCCCTCTTCATGCACAAAACAGAGTGAATCTAAGGGTCCAAGAAGCTTTATTGGCTTCCCACCCCTTTCTCTCCTCTACAGTTGGACGCCCTGGGCCCAAAGTGACGGCATTGTGGCATCCGTCTTACCATTGCATAAACTCTTAAACCGTGATCGCGGTGCCATCCACACTCTTCACATCCTAGACCAGCGAGCCCGAGTTCCCTGGCACCTTCATGCCCGCTGCGTTGGCACTCTTGGGGGCCCCCGTCTCACCCGTCCATGATGTTATTAGTTTCTCGGCGAATCCACCGCCCAGCCGAAGGGAAATGAATTGCCATGTTATATCCGTAGCCATGTGCTTTCCCCTGCCCTAGTTAACCTCAAAACAAGAGTGGGAGGGCGTGCTTGGGACCCATCCGCAAATCCACCCACCCTCGTCTCTCGGATCGAGATCCCGTCCCTCGATCAGTCGCCCCCTTTGAAGATCAAGGGCAAATCCCTTCTTCGCCCGCTTTGGCTAAATACCCCTTCTCTCCCCCTTCTCTGCCCCAACCGTCCCGGTCTTGCTCTTGTTTCTCTTTTCCTTTTTCTTCCTGCAAAAATGCCCCATACGAAGGAACAAACGCGACGGTGACCAAACAACCGACTCTCTCGAACTCGCTTCTGTTGTCTCCCTCTCCCTCTGTTTGGGACACCCGCACCCCTTCCTGACTGGGTTGAGCCGCTCTCACCACCACCTAGTTCTGCCTAAATGTTGCCGCTAGCGAAGCTGGCAGCTGTGCTGCCCCTGCTTGCGAGCCATTGCGCCGCGCAGTCGTTTGTTGTTTCTGGAGGCCAAATCTTTACCCCGGGTTTTGCTGTCGTCAACGCCCCACAACCCGGCACGCCGTTGGGAGGAGGTACGTTTGTGTTGTGTTTCCAGGCGATGCTGTCTTTTCGAGGTCCCGTCACGTTTGCCTCGCGGTGGCGGGCGGAGAGGCGAAATCCAACCATTCTGTAAGGGACAGGGGATTAGAGTTGACTAACATGGGCGCGTTGCAGAAACCCTTCACATCTCCTCGATATCACTGCCAACGGCAAGCTTAACATCCCGCCTTATGTCGACGAGAGCCCGAGCCTGATCCACAACATCTCCGTTTTCCTCTATAGCTACAACACCGGGAGGAACTTCACCGTGGTCAACTTGGATGAAGCCCCGGATGGCGACATCATGGCCCAGGAACCGGGCAGCTCGGTCAAGCACATCAACTGGAGGTGGCCCGATTGCTTGGTTGGCGACGGCCAGCCCCGAGATGCGGATAGTGACCGGGGCGTTTACAATGTAAGACAAAGCCCCTCCCTGACCCTAGTCCCTAGTCCCTAGGTCCCGCACGCCTCAGATGTCAGCTTGGAATTTTGAAGTGCGCCCCTCTAAGCCCTAATACGCATGGCTTGGGTATGGTCTGGGAAATTGGAGACGATACAGATCGTGGTTGGCCTTTGGCTACGCAGGGTGTTCCTTTTGGCTGGCTAGCTGACGCCTGGTACAGATTTCCATCCGACAAAGCTTCCGTCTGAACGATGCCGAGCACTACACCGTCTTTGACCTGCCCATCGCGGTCACAAACAACATTCCCCAGATGAACAACCGGCCGGCCTGCGATTCTGTGAGCAATGCCATGATGGCGCCCGAAGATATCGACATGTCTTCAACGCAGGCCGTTGGTGTTTTATTCGCCCCGGGCGATAGCACCGTCGTCGAGGCCGTCCTCCCCGAGGAATTCGACGGCGAGAACGGACTCGGAGGTCAAAAGCCCGAGGCAACGCCCGAGGACGGCATTGGTGCTGCCGGTTCGCTGGACTGGAGGAGTGGGGCCCACTGGCTTTCGCTCCTTTCCTCGCCGTTGCCTTCCTCTAGTCGATGCTCGCCCATCTCTCTCGACGCCACATCCTGCTTTGCTTGGTAAATGCGGCGCGGGGCGTGGCTTATAGCGCACGCCTATCTCTTGCGTGGCCCTCTTTCCTTATACTTCTTTATCCATGATACCCTTCAGATATCACTCCGATGTATTAGTAAACATAATCTTCTAGCATGTATCCCCATCAAGGGCTCAATGCCCACTGTATATACATTAAAGCTCCCTCAGGGAGTCTCTGAAATAGAGGTCAGGTTGCCTTTTCACAATTGATCCCACACACTCTCTCTCTCTTTTAAGCGTGTATAACGTTGCATGCTCTGTGCTTGCTCCGGAGGCTCGCTTCACTCATGTGATGGAAATCCGTTGCAGAAGCTCCGAGCCGAGATGCATGGCGCCCTGTCCGGTCTGCAGATGGACACCCGCAAGATTCCAGCATGCCCGAGACGAGAAAAGGGGAGTTCAATGTGTGCATCAGGAGCGGTCTATTTTACGGATTGTACATGCAATCTTGCGTCCAATTTTGGCCGCACTGATGCCTCTGTTTTTATCCTTTGGGCTATTATCGGTATACCAGAAACATTGGGGCCGGTCAAACGTCCGACAGTTAACGGCGAGCGGATTCACAAGGTCTGCGTGGCACTTGGAAGTGCCAATGATGGGGCTGGCCTAGACGCTAGCGGCTCGACATCGTACGAGCCAGTGCATCCCTAGCGCGAATGGGCAATACCACGTTGAAGACTTTTGCATCCCGGTGGAATATCACTGGTCAAGCCTCAAGGTAAGATCCCGACAGGCTATCCCAGCCAGAGGAGAATGTCCCCAAAGGAGGAAAAGGGAAAAAAGAAAAATAGAAGCAGAAAATTAATTCGTTGGAGCGACCCTACACCCTCGTGCAGGACAGTGTTTGCTCGAACTGGCCACTCTCTGTACAATGGGTGCTTTGATAATATGTGATGCTTGCTGGAGAACACACGAGAGAAGGTCGATTACCAACTTGTTCGAGGCCAAATCCATCGATGGTGGAGCGGGTACGAAACCCCCGCCCTGTTCCTGCATCGGACACCACTCGATCACATTTGTCACCCCGGGGCTAGCCAACACCGGTCTGGGCGGGTATACTGAGGTAGTCAAGAATTATTTGACGTGGCCCAGGGTGCATACTTATCGCCAGTCGTAAGGATATGACACCGATATGGATCGAGGTCGTACGAAATGGGTGCGGTGTGGATGGGTCAATAAGACGAGAAGGCCATGAAATGGTGGGTTGCTGCAATTCAATCCCTTACATCCATCCACCCTATATATATGCCAACGTTTGGCTCGACAGCTTTGCTAGTAGAGGCCTTGGCCATTTCGCCGACCGGCCGAAGCAAACTTGCGTAGCGCTTGAAGAGCCTCAGCGAATGACGGTAGTAGACTGGGCTTGAGGGAACATCGATCGACCGAGCAAGATTTCCCGCTTGAGATCAGAATTGCCGGGGCATTGAGAGAAGGGGAAAAGGTTAGGTCGAATAATACAGTCACTGCTTCTTGCTCTACATGTATCCTTCCTGATCCGGAGTAATCCTGGGATCGTCAAGGCTAGGTCGCAAAGCTCCGGGACTGGCCTGCGACTACTTGTAGTGTGCACCAGAGTCTCCCCCTCTTGGAATGCCTTCGGGAAAACAAAGGAAAAAGAAAAAGAAGACAAAAAGGAGAAAAACACAGCGGGGAGGGATGGAAATGGACTCCGAGCCATCAATGGGGGTTAACAAGTAATATCGGCTTCAATGTATTGAATCCTCGACGTGGACAATTATCAGATGAGTGGCCAGCGAAATGCACAAAGACGCCAGCGATCCGCCGATCGATTGTAGATTGAATGGAATGGATGGATTGGGATAGCTCCGTCCACTGCTCTTGGGTGGGCTTGAGCTCTGCTGTGAAATGGCCGGAGTGCGCCCAAGATAGTGGATAGCCGGCCTCTGAGACACTACATAACCATTGACAACAGCTCGTTCAATGCTGGCAACGCGTAGTGGGGTACATAGATGCCGATCAACGAGCACTGCACCGCAATTCCCAGAACAGAGGTATCGGGTCGAAGCCAATCGATCAGCGAGGTCTCAGGTGAGGGCTTCATGCTAATTTTCCAGATTGTGGTCTAGAAGGTCTAGACTACGAACGGAAACCCAAGACAGCGGCGCTACCCTTCGACTTGCTTAGCTTAAAATCTGTCCAAGACGCCGGCGCGGATTTTGCACTGGGTCGGTTGGAGTTGTGGGAGCAGGACGAAGGACGGGGACGAGGACAGGGCGGGGTGGATGGACATGGACAAGCATCGTCGCACGCACTTGAGGAAACTGGAAGGAAGATATTACGGAATGTGGTAGTGTCCAAGGACACGGCCGGACTCTGATGCAGCTTCCAGACCATCAGCATGGTTGGGCCAATAGGATGACACGTCCCCGAGCGAGGAACTGGCCTCGCAGGGAAGGCATCGGCAAGGATCAGACCATTGTCCCCAGTTGTCGTGCCATTGACGCTCCGGGCATTTTTGCCGGGAGGGACATGTTGAAAGAAGCATAGCAATGACTTGAAATCGGCCGTATTCAACTCTTTCTTGGGATTGTCCTTTTCCTTTCCTTTCCTTTCAATCGTCCTTTTCCTGCAACTCCTCTCGAGCGCCACCTCCAATTCTCTCGTCGACCTGCCTTTGTACCTTTGCCCATGCAATCCCCGTTCTTGTAACCCTTTTCTTGTTTGTTTTTTTCTTCTTCTCTAGATCCAAGGTTTGGAACGAAAAGCCAAAAAGACCGCCAAAGCTCCACTCTTCCAAGGAACAAGAGAGTGTGTGTGCGCGCGTGTACGAGAGGCGGGGAAGAGGAAACTTCCTTTTCTATATCCGCCTCGACGGAAGGTTAGTTAGTATTCCCGTTTCGTGGTGGTGGTGGGGGCGGGACATGGGAAGAAATTCGAAGCTCACTCCCTCTTCTTGTGGTTCTAGACGTCGTTGTCTCCCTGAACGCCTGCGCCAAGGCCATCCAATTATCGTCTGAGACATAACCCACCGTCTGTCGCCAGCTGCAACACGGAAGTCCCCGTTTAGCTTCGTCCCGCGTCCCATTCTCCTCTCCTGATTATACCGTCCGTTCGTTCGAAGGGGAAAAATCAGCTGTAGCCAGCGTCGTCGGCGTTGGATCCCCTTCATAATATTCTCGTCAACATAAACCCGCCCTTTTGCTAGCCTCTCCGTTTTCGCATCCCATCAAGACAACCACGCTGCAGAAACCCACCCGACACCTTTCGACACTCGTCGCCAACATCTTGGATCCAGTTCACCGAATCTACCGCATAGTTTTCTGAGGAAGCTAGGGAAAGCAACGAGGCCGCCCCCATAAAAGTTCCGAACCCAACCTAGGTCAGCTTTTGCGCAACGCCTCCCCACCTTCGAGTTTACCACCCCTCTAGGAAGCCGAAATTCTTTTCTCGCCAGAACCACCTCCGAGGACCACACAACACCGCTGCGCCGGCCGCTGCTGCCACCGACCGAGACAAGGATTTCCATTGGACTCTCTTTTCTAGTCGCCATGGCCCCAGGAGCCCTCCATTCCGACACTGACATGGGGGAGCAGCAGAATGGCGATAACCGCCAGGATGCTGCCCTTGACACAACCATGGACGCTTTAGCAAGGTTTCGCAGCCTTCCACTGCCTCCCTCTGAGTGCCAGGTGTGCATCGTCGGTGCAGGTCCCGCCGGCTTGATGCTGGCTACCAACCTCTCCCGCTTCGGAATCAAAGCCACCGTCATTGACGACAGGGCTGACCAGACGCCCGTTGGAAGGTAAGCTTCGGCTCAACGCTCCTTTTCCTTGGCCCTCATACCATGATCGCTAACCTTGCCCTATCCACAGGGCTGACGGTCTGCAACCAAAGACCATTGAAACCTTTAGACAGATGCGCCTCGCCGATCTATTATTACAACGGGGAGTTCGAGTGTACGATATATCATTCTGGCGCAGCACCCCGAAGAACCCCTCCACAGACTCGGCCGCGAAGTGCATTACCCCCATAATCGACGTACTAGACCCGTATATCCTCCTTGTCCACCAAGGAATGGTGGAAAGCCTCTTCATTGAGGACATGAGGAAGCGCGGCGTAGAGGTCCGACGGAATACCGCATTCGAATCGTACAATGTGCCCGAGGATAAAAGCCGGCCACTGCAGGTGAACTGCCGCACGAATGTTACCCAGGATAGGAGAACAATTCACACACAGTATCTGATCGGATGTAAGGCGCAATACACCGCTACCACTGCACCTACACAGCCCACCCCCGATCCTCATCTACTTGCCACTCTTCTCCCTGCACTCTGCCTTGCCGTGTAATATCGCTGAGAGCATCCCCAAGCTAATGCATGCATGATTTAGGTGACGGCGCGCATTCAAAAGTGCGAAAGAGCATACCAGACGCCCGCCCTGTCGGCATGTCCCAGGCGGCCATCTGGGGCGTACTCGATGGAGAGCTCGTGACTGATTTCCCGGATATCTGGTCCAAGACACTAGTTAACTCCAAGGAGCACGGCTCCATTCTAATCGTCCCACGAGAGCGAAACATGACGAGGTTGTATATTGAGTTGAAGCTAGGACCCAAGTCGGACCGTCGCGAGCTCGGCCAGGAGTTCATCATGCAGCGCGCAAAAAGATTATGGCTCCCTACGAAATCGATTGGAAGTACCTCGAATGGTTCGGACGATACCAGATTGGCCAGCGCGTGGCCAGCCGGTTTTGCGACAACCACCTCCGTGCTTTCCTCGCCGGCGATGCCAGCCACACCCACTCTCCAAAATCAGCTCAAGGTATGAACACGTCGATGCACGATTCGTGGAACCTCGCCTGGAAGCTCAACTTCTCGGTTCGCGGCCTTGCGAAGCCTTGCCTCATGGAGAGCTACGAGCAAGAGCGAAGGAAGATCGCTCTCGATTTGGTAAATTTCGACTACGAACATGCCTACCAGATCGCGGGAGGTGACGCCGTGGCCATTGCCGAGAGCTTCAAGACCAACGTGCGGTTCATGTCGGGCATCGGGGCCGAATATAGCGAGAACCCCATCAACCAGCCGATTAACCAGCTGTGGGCCATGGGCGATGCGAAGCCCGGATGTCTTCTTCCTCCTGCCAAGGTCACTCGTTACATTGACTCCAATCCCGTCGATATCCAACTTGATATACCGATGCTTGGTCAGTTTAGGATTTACCTCTTGATGTGGGATGTCCAACAGGCCGGCCCTTTCCTCGAGACTTTCTGCCAAGCCATTGCGTCGAGGAATTCGTTCATCAGCCAGCTCTCGGCCGCGGCAAGCATTTCCTACGCTACGCAACCCCGTCTCCCGGCGCCCGAGGACATTTACCAGCGACCGGAGCGGTATACCGTCGTGAGCCATCTCTTCACCTTTGCCTTGATCAGTAAGTTTTGACCCACCCCGTCTATGCATACACATCCACGCCCAGCACTGTTTGGGACGAAGAACTAGTGTGTGTGTGTGTGTGTGTGTGTGTGTGTGTGTGATCGAGTGCTAACGGAACCCTAGCTACAATGCCGAAAACGGATGTAGAGATATCCGACCTTCCTGCCTTGCTTCAGGACAGCCGCTGGACGTTCTACCTGGATGATATTCCGGAGCAAGATACCCAGGGAAAGCTGTGCACGAACAAGTGGCTAGGCAGCCTTGGACCCGGCGAGGTGGCTATCGTCAATGTAAGGCCAGACGGCTATGTCGGTTCCGTGGGACGATGGGATACGAGCATGGATGATTCTGGTGAGGAAGCAGCGAAATGGCTGGATGCATACTACGAGGGCTTTTGCAGCTCCCGGCGTAAAGGACTAGAGAGCGGGAGCTTCCTATGCGAGGCATTTGTTGCTGGCCTCCCCATGCGTTGCTCGAAATACCCCAGCCTTGTTTCGGGCCGGGCTAGGAGTTTAGCGACTTGCTAACCCACGTTGTACCATATTTTCGTCACACCCTTCGTCCTCTCAGACATATCCACTGCATGCTGCCTTTGGCATCATCACGACTAGCACCGCGTCTACTTACCACTTTGGCATGATCGCGACGTGAAGACCGCAGACTTCTACTTGTTATATACGTCCTACACGGGAATCCCCTTGCTACCAACGACCATGACGCTTACTATCTTCCTCTTCGGTTCTTTTTTCTCTCCTTCATCTTTTTGGGGTCTCTCGGCCCATGTACTTCTTTTCCTTGGGCCCTTGCTTGGTATGATATGCCAACACATTGGTTTTTCTTTCTTTTTCTTTTTTATCCTTCTCCTTCTTATTTTCCCCTCTTATCACCGTCTACTTTCCAGCTTGTGGGGCACGGCATTCAGGAGCGTGGGGAGTTTGAACGAAATGAAAGCTTTTGGTTTTTTGTTATCTCTTCGTTTAATGCTTTCGTCAACGTTGATGTTTGTTTCCGTGGCTGTTTCCTGTCAATTTTACTACCTCGTTTCTCTTTTCCGTCCCTAGCTCTTGTTGCGTCAGCCTCGGATGAGGCTATTGACCTTTACAAGTCGAGCAAGAGCGGGGTTCAAGGATTGTGGAGAGGCAGAGCACATTATGCTTTATCCATTATTGGTAGAACGGGACTTGGGCGCTCTCTCAGTTAATGTAGTCAAATTATTCCATGTCTTTTTGATGACCGTCTTGGACACCCTCTCCACTGGTGTAGCGGGTGAGAGAGGCAAGCTCACCAGAGTTGACCGTCCTGCATTCGGGCCACCGGAGTCAAACTTTCATTACCTCGGTACGTTAGCATGTGCCGGCACGCATCATGGCCGTCCCACCATTTCACCAGTTAGGTCGTCAAAATGGAGCAGCTCAAGTTCTTGCTATTACAACAATTGTGTAGTATAAAATATAGATGATGGAATAATGCAAGGTCTATCTATAGTCCTTTAGTTACTAGGGCTACCCATCAATGACTGACTCCGGTCTTTTCCGTGACACCCTTGACGAGGTATAAAACCCAGGTCGATAACAGAAACCCTACACGTCCATCCTAGCTAGCCTGGCAGGGACTAGTCGCTAAGCTGATTCCCGAAGCCGGAGCATGCCCCGCCATAAGTTATGAATGGGTGGGCATGGCTACGTCCGCCTTCTTAGAGAGGGCGTCATCCGACCTCCACAACGCAGTGACAGTCTTTTGCTGAGTGTAAAAGTTGACGCCGGGCCTACCGTAGAAAGTGCTTGCGCCACCACCGGCGATGCTTCGCTTGTTGCCGGTAAACGAGAACATGGGGAGGGTACGGGGATGGGCACGTTGATGCCGACCTGGCCGGCCTCGATGCGCCTGCGGAAAGTCTCGGCCGTGGGGCCAGAGCGGGTAAAGATGGCTACGCCGTTGCCGTACTCGTTCTTGTTGATGAGGTCAATGGCGTCGTCGAGGGTATCGACGTTGAGGCAGACGAGGACGGGGCCAAAGATCTCCTCCTTGTAGCAGCGCATCTCGGGGGTGACGTTGGTGATGATGGTGGGGGCGACCCAGTTGCCATTGGGGTAGTTGGCGGGCTTGAAGCCACGTCCGTCGAGCAGGATGGTGGCGCCCTCCTGCTCGGCGCTGGCAATGAGGTCCTCGATGCGGGCCTTGCTCTGCGGGGAGATGACGGGGCCAAGGTCGGCGCCCTGCTCGAAACCGGCGTTGACGCTGAGGGCCTTTGCGCTGGCGGCGAGATCCGGGAGCCAGTCCTTGGTCTCGCCAACGCAGACGAGGGTGCTCAGCGCCATGCAGCGCTGGCCGGCGGCGCCAAAAGCGGCACCGACGACACTGTTGATGAAGTGGTTCTTGTTGCAGTCGGGGAGGGCGGCGGCGTGGTTCTTGGCTCCGAGGTTGGCCTGCACTCGCTTGCCGTTGGCGGAGCCTCGAGAGAAGATGTACTCGCCGGCCTTGTTGCCACCGACGAAGCTGACGGCCTTGATCGTGGGATCGTCAAGGATGAAGTTGACGGCGCGGTGGGCACCGTGGATGACGTTGACAACGCCCGGGGAAGCCCGCCTTGGCGACAAGCTCTGCCAAGATCATGGCAGCACCGGGGTCACGCTCGGAGGGCTTCAGAATGAGGGTGTTGCCGGTGACGGTGGCGATTGGTATGCACCAAAGGGGGATCATGGCGGGAAGTCTTTTAAAGGGGAGGAGGAAGCGCAGTTTATTAGTAAAAAAGAAATTGAGAAACGGGTATTCCCTGCTAGCAAGTAGGGTCGAAGCAGGGGAAGTTTACTTACTGAAAGGGCAAATGGCGGCGACAACACCCAGAGGCTCGCGGTACGACCTGGTCTCCATGTCCTTGGCCACTTCAAGGACTTCTCCCTTGAGCAACTCGGGGGCTGCGCAAGCCGCCTCGGCCACTTGCAAGCCTCTGAGCACGTCACCCTTGGCGTCGGCAAAGGTCTTACCCTGCTCGAGGGTGATGCTGGCCGCCAGCCTGTCCCAGTGCTCGCGAATCAACGCGACGAACTTGAACATGATCTGCTGGCGGGCGAAAACGCTCATGGCCTTCCAGGCCGGGAAAGCCTTCTCGGCGCTCTCGACGGCGGCCTTGAGCTCGGCATCGGTCATCTGAGGTACTCGGGTGACGAGGTTGTTAGTGGCAGGGTCATGGAGATCGATGAACTCGGTCGCCTGGGAGGCCTTGAACTCATTGTCGAGGAAGTAAGGGGTGTCCTCGGGCTTCTCAATCTTGTTGTGGTTGTTGATATAGCTGGTGGGGGTGGAATCGAGGTGGACGGGGATCTGAAAATGTTTCGCGGTGGCGTGGAGCCCACGGCTGGCGAGGGCCGCCTGTGCCGATGACGTTGACGGCGGGCTCATGACTGATCGTGAACAAAGAGGGGACCTCGAAGCTAGGAGTGTGGACTGATAACGCACGCCGCTGGGAAGGCTTCGGAGAGAGAAGCGTCGCATGGTCGGGGTGAGGGAGCGTAACGGGATGGGCTATTAATACGGGGAAGCGGCACTATGGAGAGCTAACCATGGGGCAGCCGCCTGTGTGTGGTCCAATTGGTAGGGGGGGACGGACGCAAGGCGTGGTGGGTTCTGCTTGGAAGAGAGGGACTGGCAAATTACAGAATTGGGCACCACTGCATCGTGAACGGGGAGAAACTAGTAGGAGAACCACACGAATGGTGGCCAGGGGAGAAAGGGCGGACGGTGTAGATAAAAGGGGCGGTCACGACAGCTTGCGTCCGCTACACTAGTGTGTTGGCCCCTCGTCGGAGGTGCGCTTCCTCGAATTCCCCGTCTCCTCGGAGGCGACATTCGAATTGCCGATTGATGCCGGCCAGGGTCAAGAGCCGTCAGATACCGAGACCCCATCAAGTTCCCCCACCTGAAAAAGGTAGCTTCCAGTTTCGCACTAATAACACTCGTCAGCCAACGCCAAACCACGGTCGGAGCTAGGGTGCCATGGCTGTGCTACCCCGCGCGATCATCAATTGATAGCTGTGGGCCATGCCCGCCGAGGCCCGCAGCGCAGCTTTAGCACTGGAGTGGGTTTGGGGAGTCGGGGAAAGAGGGGTTCTATTAAATAAAATCCATCTCCCTTCCAAGCAGAGCGATCAATTGAATTGAATTGATCCGTCCATCCGTCCATGGATAGATGGGTGCAAACCCTGGCCGGGATCTAGGGGTTTTGGGGAAAGGGAGGGACACTGAGGTCATTGATCTTTACCCCGTTTATTGATGGAAAGAGCACGATAACAGACAATTCAAGCAGAGGTATTCCCTTCAAGATTTCAAGTGCAGGGTTAAGGTTATCGGATGTATAAGCACAATACAAGGCTAGAAACGCTATAGATCCGCGGCATTGTTTAACCGATCACTTATTGTAGAGGGATCATGAATCGTGAATAGGCCCTAGGCCTAACGAACTAAGGTTGGCTTCACTGTCATTGCTGACGCTGAAGACAGAAGCAGAGGCAAACCGAAAGCCCCATCGTGCTTACTCAGCACATACTCTGACAGCAGGCCACCACAAGCGGGAAGGCGGCCCATTGTCAAGCCTGGAGCGGACCAAGCCTCTGCCGTCGTGTTTGGTCTGCCCATCGCGACTTGCATATCCTCCAACAATTCTTCAAGATTTCAGCGATGAGATCGGGTCTAGGAAGGCAAATCCGTCAACCACACACTCAATGAGGGACGCCATAACCACATAGCGAATATTCTCTTCGGTACCCTGAAAACGACCTCGAAATTCGTTTGGGCAAGATGATTGGTGTCGTCACATGAATTTTCTTCCACACGACTTGAGCGACCTCAAATTTGTCCACTCATTACCAGCTCTTCGATTCTCCATCTCGAACCGCGTCCTCCTTGACCATCAACGAACAAGCTCTCAGAGCGGCCATCGCCACCTTGCTACCCTGAAATCTTGGATATCTATCTAGCGACAAAGAGACGGGAAAAGGGAACCCCAAGACGTCCCCCATTTAGTCGGAAGCGCGACCAGCTCCCACTTGCCATTTTCCACAGGCTACCTTGGACGATACCACAACCGCCTTTCGAACCTTTATCGGATTCGAACTTTACCAGACACGAGGGCCCAAGCCCAAGAGGAAAATAAGAAGATACAACAGAACGAAACGAACCCCTGCTTTCACCAAAGATGACGACACCACCCGCATTCTACCACGCGCTCCTCCGGCCCGTCGTCCTACAAATCCTCAGACCTACTGGCTACTACGCCTGCCGCCCCGCGGTGCTGGACACCTTTACCGATCTCGCCGCGCGATACCTCTATATGCTAGCCGAGAAGACGGCCCAGCATGCCGAAGACAACGAGCACGCCGAACTTCCTCCATCGTCGACGTCCGCATGGCGCTGCAAGACGTGTCAGCTTTGATACCCGAACGCGTACTGACGGAGCAGCTCTATCTCGATGTTGAGGACACTAGGGGCATGGACGAGTTCTTGGCCTGGTTTTCCGGGCCTAGGAACAAGCTTATTCGGGATTACGCTGCCGTGGATGGTGACCCGGATGCGACAGACTACCTATCCGGTTCGTGCCAAGTCCTAGATCTAACTCTTTTGGAATTTCTAGCTTGTATACTAACGTTTTGCATCGATAGCCCTCAAAAGAAACACAGCAAGACAGGCGAAGATTCAAAATATCATTCGACAATATTAGGCAAGGGCAACGAACAGGGAGAGGTTCTTGTCGAGGGCACAGAAGAACTCACAAGCATAGAAGCTTGGGAGGAGTCAGTCAGGGGGCCATCAAACGATACCGACGCGAATGGGCGTGACGCAGAGCCCGAACCCGATACGCCAAGCTCGATTCTCAGCTCGGTGGGGGATAGAATAGCAGACGTTGAAATGGATCTGTCATAATTTACGAAGGCTGCAATTCCTGGCCATAGGCTTCAACGTCTCGGGCTTAATAACAGCGAGGTTTCGAGAGAATGGGAGGGCTTCTAACTGCATAGCGATTGGCGTTTTTTTTGGTTGGGGCCTACATTAACAGAGGGTCGCGGGCTCTACATGTATTCATGGAGCTGTTTAGCATACCCATTTATTTTATGTACTTGTTAAGAAAAGATTATCATGGAGAGGGCAAAAGAGATCCCTTGAGAAGAACAAGCAAGATAACCCGGAAAATATAACATAGGGCATGGCTGTGGGTTCTGATTTGATATTTCAATTATGCGGGAGCCTCTGGCGAATTTCTACCCCAAATCCAAAATCCAATTCTATGAAAAGGCGACCAGTATACCCCTCCGCCGTCTATGCTATGGGTAATGCGGGGAGTAGTGATGCAATGTTGTAATGTTACAGGGTTGAGTGATGCTATTCGTCAGCCGCAGCCTCGTTATACACGCCCATCTGTTGGGCGGCTTCCTCCAAAAGATGGGTATCGTCGATAAACTCCTGGTCCTCCTCCGATCTCACGGGCGTATAAACCCTGACTAGGTACTCGTACAATTCCTCTCCCCTCTCCTCAGTCGACATCTGCTCCATCTCGTTTGCCGACCCGGAGAACCGCCCCAGCGCCTCCCTCCGGTGCATGATGTCGAGGTCCATGCGCTTCTTCTCCGTGCGGAGCTGCTGCCTGGCCCGCGGCGTGTCCCAGGCCAGGTTCGTCGTGCCAACCACGAGCTCGAGCACCAGGAGCTCCGTGGGTACGAAGCCGTACGTGTTCCTCAACGATGTCAAGGCCGCGAGGAAGCCGTGGTTGTCGTGTAGGCGGCGAAAGGTGTGGAGAATTTTGCGCGCCAGCTGGCCGTCAATGGGCTCCTTGAAGACGTCGACAAACTGCATCATCTCGTGAAAGGTGTTGCGCGCGTTCTCCATCTCGTCGTAATAATGATCTCGGGGACGTGCACGCGGTTGATCTTGAGCATTTTCCAAAGCACCATGAACGTGTGGGGTTCGGCTTCACATGGCCTTCTGAGACTAGGGACTGGTAGAGCTCCATGCCCTCGTCGACCCGGTCGTACTGGAGATACGACTCGAGCAGCTGGTTCATCATGAAAGCGTCGTGGTTGATTTCCGCCTCATTGAACGCCTGCCACAATCGCATCAGTGGGTCATGCTGCTGGCGAAGCCGGTAATTTTCCGCCATCAGCAAAAACGTCTCCGAAGTCGCTCGCGGCCAGGGTGTAGGCGCCGAGGCGTCTCGTGCGGCCTTGCCCCCTCTGCCTCTCCCGCACGAACTGGATGCGGGATTCAATCATCTTCCACGCAACAGCGTCGGCGTATTCGAGGTCCCTTTCTCCGCCAGCTCGCTGCCAGGCGCCAATGAGACCATTGACGTGGATGGGAGCGGGCTGGACGTGCTTCTCCAACATGAATTTGATGACGCTGTAGGCGCCGTCGAGCTCACCGGCGCCGATCAGCCGCTTCAGCCACTTTCCGAAAAAGAACTTGTTGCCGATGGTGGGTGGTAGACGCTTTTGCTTCTTAAGAATCGTGGTACCAGAAGTCATCATGTCGACGAAAGCGTGGAGGGCATTCTCGATTTGGTTCGCCGCTAGAAAGTGCGAGATTACTTGGTCATAGTCCTCGAGCGTCATCCGCCCGCCCAGTAGAGTCCGCAAACGGCCGTAAGCCTCCCAGGCCTTGGTACATCCTTCATCCGTCCCCGCCCGGGAATGCGTACGGACCAGCGTCATGAGGATGCGCGGATCCGAGTTGGCGCTGATCAGTTTCTCTACGGCGCGAGTGGCCTGGCTTATGTCGCCGGTCTCGCAGAACATGCGCGCACCAAGTTCCCAAAACTGTTGGAAAGAGGCCGAGCCCTCAGCGCCAAGCGTCGGAAGACACCTCTTCCAATTCTTGATTGCGTCATTCTCCCAGTTGGCAACAAAGAGCGACTCGATGGTAAGCACCTGCTGAGAGGCGGTCAAGTCCACGCCCGCGGAGCTCATATCCTTGGATAACGTTGCCACGTGCGATAATCGGTTTGGGTTGCCAACAGGATCGTCAAGAGAGAATAATCGCCACAGGAGATCCCACGCGCCGCGAGGGACGGCGTTCCAGCTAAGCGCCAGTGTCTGGCGCGCCGCCACGTACGTCTTCCAGAGGGAAACTAGCGCTCTTTTGGAAGCAGCAGTTTCCCGAGGTTGCACCTTGTCCGCGCGCTCGAGGGCCGTATTCAGCTTCCGGATTAACCTGCGCTGGGCCTCCTTCCGGAACACCTTGTCGCTTATTCGGGGGTTTCGAGGACCGCGACTGAAGCTTGTCTTTCGGGTGCAGCTCCCGCAAGAACACCCTTTGATTCTTCGACTGCTTTGAGAAGTTCGCTTTCTATCTGGGCTCGGAATCGCTCCTCCGTGTTCTTCCCCTCCACAAGGTCCATGATACTTTCGAGGTCATTCTCCAAATCTTGCTGATAGAGCTCGGTCCCGTCGAGGAGCGCGCAAAGTCTTCAGAGTTCTGAAGTTCTTGAATGTTGCCGTCGGATTCTTGTTCGAAGTATCGAATATTCAACGTCTTCTTCGCCTCTTCAAAACTGTCGGGGAAGTCTTTGTCGACATCCTGCGTGGACGAGGACAGGGTCGCGCGTGGGGGTCTGCGGGGGCTTGTTTGAGTTGGCTCTTCCATCTTCTTGCTGGCTGTGAGAGTATGTGAGGGGGTCGGAGGGCGGCGGGCGATGCGGGCTTGTGTGCAATCAGGGAGCACTGCGAACAGACGAACCGAGTCGTATGTCGCAGGCTTTGAAATGCCCGCGAGGACATGGGGTGGGTGAGTCGCGAGGCCAAAGCCACGGCCCCAGCTACATCCAGGCGAAATGAGAAAATCGAAGACTATTCGGGCAGACGTCTTTAGAGATTCGCGAGAGTGCTCGTTGGGGGTTGGTTGTATGTTGAATGTTGACGTTGATGACGAGAGGGCCCGGAATGGCAACGAAGCTCAGCTCAGGAGAGGATAATTGTACCGTGCTACAAGTAATGGAACGCAAACGCGTAGGATGTGCTACTAACAAATTTCAGAGGTACCGCGATGAAATTTTTAGACCCGATAAGCTAAGGCACACTGAGCAGTTCTGCTGAAAGAATCCACACCGCCTTCCACAAGCGTTGGGCAGGAAAGTCCACGTCCGGCAGAAAATTATTATTTTTCACCACAAAGTCCCAACTTCGAGATTCCCCTCCACCACCGCCCATCCGACTAATCACCACCACATCGCCCACCATGGCTTCACCGACAGAGTACCTACGGTTTACCGGCCACCGATCCTTTACCCATAGATTAGTTCTGTCAACGTTGACAGGCCGCCCCATCCACATCTCCAAGATTCGAAGCACTTCGCCCACATCCCCCGGTCTTGCCGCTCATGAGATTTCCTTCCTCCGCCTCCTCGAGGCCGTCACCAATGGCAGCACCATGCAGATTTCCTACACCGGCGCCACGATGACGTTCCACCCCGGTCTCATAACAGGGTCCCAGGAAGGTTTCGGCGCAGGCGAAGGCGGCGTGATTGAGCATTCGCTTCCCGAATCATGCATCCGCGGAGTTACCTACTTCCTTCTCCCCATTTGCCTTCTAGCGCCCTTTGCCAAAACCCACATGAATGTGCGATTCACAGGACCTGGCGTCATCACTTCCGCGACAGAGACTGGAGATATTTCAGTCGACACCTTCAGAACCGCCATTCTCCCGCTATTCGGTTTATTCGGCATTCCACCAACGAGGATAGAGCTCCGCATATTGAACAGGTCCTGCCCCGGGCCCGGTGGGAAAGGTGGCGGTGGTGTTGTGGAGCTGCGATTTGCTAGCCAGGTCAGACTTCCCAAGACCCTTCACTTGAACCGAAGCGCCGGCCGCGTCAGACGGGTTCGTGGAGTTGCCTACAGCACAGGTGTATCTGCTTCCAACAATGCCCGCATGATCCACGCTGTTAGGGAGGTACTCAACCCTCTCGTGCCCGACATTCACATCGCTTCCCAGTACGACCAGGCTCCGCTAGTAGATATCGGTGGCAAGTCCACCGGCAAGAGGCGGAAAGGCATCGGTTTTGGTCTGAGCTTAGTCGCCGAGTCATCCTCCCCAGGCGTCATCTATTCCGCCGATCTACCAGCACCGGCAGATGGCGGCGTGGTTCCAGAAGATATCGGCAGGAGATGCGCATATCAGCTCCTAGAGATTATAGCGCAGGGGGTGCGTCACCACAGTCTCCGCGAGCACTGTTTTGACATTGATGGCCATGGGCTCAGAGGATGTCGGCCGGTTGCGCGTCAGTAAAAACGTACTCGGGACAGAGGAGCTTGTCGGTTTGGCAAGGGACCTGAAAACATTCAACGCAAACAGCTGGGGATTTAGAGATGTGGACGATGATGATTCGGGAGATATAATAGTATCCGTAAAGGGGTCGGGTGTAGGCAACGTTGGAAGGAAGGTCGCGTGAGCGAATAATATATATACCATTGCAAGTTTCCACATAATCGCACGCAATGCTGCCGAAATCACCATCGGCTCTAAAATGGGACCAATCGCCGAACTGTAGGCAGAGAAAGAGCAAGTAAATAACATGCTGCATTCATTACGATATCTATATTCATCCTCTGTCTCTTCCTCGCACGCTGCGCCTACTCGGCCGTATGCTTCTCTCGCTCTCGCGTGATGTCAGGAGCGTGGCAAGAGAAGCCGTGTATCCTAGCGTCCTGATTGAATGCGCAGCCGCCGCAGTATAACCCGTGCTCGCCAGTCGCATGCTTTGCACAAGGTGGAAGTCCCCCACGACAGCATTTCCAGAGGCATATATTTCGGAAAGCTGCTGGCCCGAGTTCGCGGGCGTGGGCTGTTCCGTTATGAGACGGGTTGTCTCATCATCCCGATCTCCGTGCATAGCCTCGTCGCTGCTGATTCCTAGGCCCATCTCCACATCAGGGGGATTCTGACTAGCCGTGGAACCACTCCTATTCCTCTGGCGCCTCTGAGTCCGCTGATCTCCCGTGCGACTCGTTTGCGCTCGAATTTGGCGGCGAAGCTCGGGAAGGAAGTCTATGCTTCCACGGTTGGGTTTGACAGCGCCTCGGAGTGCCTCTCGTTGGGAGTGAACAGCAAGCATGAGAGCCTGCAGTGCGAGGATAAAGATGTCCATGGCGAGAAGAGATAATCTAGACGTCGGGGAGCCTGCCCAATGAAATCGACGATGATTCCACCATGCAGATACCCTCGCGAGGCCTCGGTCCCCGCGGGAGAGTCATGAATATGTGGCAGAGCATGCATACCACGTTTGGGAATAGAATCGAGAATACATGGGCCGGATAGGCCGGGAGCGCTATGGGAAACGACTCGGGTTTGGGGGTGAGGAACGCGTACTGCGCAACGGAACGCAGCATAAATCGGAGAAATGAGCACCTGATAGGGCGAGGTCACGCAAACTACGTCAGCTACCATCGAGAAGGGGAGGGAGCTCCAAAGATGGTACGGGGTACTCACTCTAAATAGTACAAAGCAGCAACCTCGGCGAAAAATAACTGATCAAGGTTCGTAAGGAGATGTGTCATGAATTCGAGCTTCTTAGAGAGCGCAGAGTTGTGTCTCTTATTAGCACGGCGACGCCGCCGTTGCCGCCGGGATGACTCGGCATGGCTGCGAGTGTCCTCGCTCGGAGGGTCGGACTCGTTTCCGGGGTGGCTGCCGTCCTCTCCGTGTGGTGCCGGAGCTGTCGGCGTGGGATCCTCGTTCATGGCCTCATTTGGCAGCAAGAGATGGCGTTTAGATCAGGGAAAGGCCAAGAGATTGCAAGCATCCTGAGCTCAACTGAGATGCGGTTTCTGGCAAACGAGCAACAAGAGAAGATGACTAAGTCGCCTTTGAAGTGTGGTGCTTGCTAGATATGAAAAGGTTCGAGATTGGCAAGATCAGATGACATGGAATTCAGCTCGGGCCCAGAGGAGGAGATGGGTGAGATGATGAGAAAAGAAACATAAGTAGCCGACCAAGAGGTTGAGGCAAAGGTTAAGGACCCATGGGGAGGTCAGACGTTGGAGTCAAGCAAGCGAGGCTTGCGAAGGTGCCTCTCGGGTTCAGGTTGAGCACGAGGTAGCATGACGCCACACCCTCCATTTAAAAGGAGACGCTCGAGATTACTTGGTAGCTCGAAGTCCAGCGCGTTTGAGGTATCTACTAACAGTTGTCAATTTCACGTGATAGTAGCTGTGGCTGGTCCGTCCAGCCTGTTTCGCCATGGAGGGTTACTGTGGCGTCCAGGCCGAGCCGTGTTGGGTTGATGCGCACAGGGGTGTGTCTGGGATAACACACTGTGCAGGTTGATACCCGCGCGAGGAATTGACCCAGCAAGAGTCGAGTCATCGAGATCGTCAACGGCCTGGGCTCTATATGGTACCTTTGTGCCGTTTCGAAATCACAGCGCAATCCCCAACTCAACTCGATCTTCCACTCCAATTTCTCTTTTATTCCATCGCTTGATATACCGACGACCTCAAGCAAGAAATGGCTTCCGCCGGCAATAGCTCTGCGGAGCTGACGTCCAGAATACTTCATGCGCTTTCCACCGCCGAACCCGTCCTCACCTCCGAGGCCTTTCCCGATGTCCCTTTCGCCGAAATCAAGGCTGCGGTCGATAGCCTGAGTTCCAAGTCTATGATCACGTATAAGCCGATAGAGAAAGAGCTGGCAATTTTGGAGAGTGAAGGTGAACTGATTGCCGCCCATGGCAGCCACGAGGCCAGGGTTTTCGAGGCCGTCCTCGCGGCAATGGAAGGCCTCACCATCCCCGAGATTGAGAAGGCTATTGGCGACAAGACCGTAACGAAACTGGGCCAAGGCAAGGCTTGCAAGGAGAAGTGGATTTCTAGGACCAAGGATGGCAAGTTTATCGCGACGGTATGCCACCCTTTTTCCTCCAACTCTAACCCCGCCATGCTTGTACCCCGCCATCTTTGCATACTTTTTTTTTTTTACCTTAAAAGATTTGAGCCCCTAGCCCGCCACGAGGCTCCCACCCACCATCTATATTGGTAGTCAAAGAAACCTAACTCATGACGGATACAGGCGAAATCGATTGAAGACGTGACGCAACGGCAGCTCCAAGAGATACAGAAGAAGCAGACTCACGATGCAAAGGTTATCGCCGATCTCAAGAAGCGCAAGCTTATCAAGGTCCAGAGGGTTATCAGTTTCACCGTCAGCAAGGGCCCCAAGTTCGCCCTTGAGGTCGTCAAGCAAGAAACCGATCTGACGGCCGACATGTTGGCGTCTGGCGCGTGGAAGACGGTAGATTTCAAGCCGTACAATTTCAATGCCCTCGGCGCGGATCAGAACGCTGGCGCTCTGCATCCGCTCAACAAAGTGCGGCACGAATTCCGACAAATTTTCTTCGAGATGGGATTCGAAGAGATGCCCACCAATCGCTACATCGAGTCCGGCTTCTGGAACTTTGACGCCCTCTACGTGCCCCAGCAGCACCCCGCGCGAGATCTCCAGGATACTTTCTACGTTGCCGAACCCAAGGTCGCTGATAGGCCCAAGTCTGAGGAGACGGGCGAGTTTGAGCAACAGTACTGGGACAACGTCAAGCAGGTCCACGAGGATGGCCTGTTCGGATCCATCGGCTACCGGTACCCCTGGTCCGCCGACGAGTCCCTCCGCCTGGTTCTGCGTACCCACACGACCGCCATCTCCGCGGCGATACTGCGGAAACTCGCTGCGCAAAAGGGCCCGGATGGCCGACCGCCCCCAGCCCGGTACTTCTCGATCGATCGTGTGTTCCGAAACGAATCAGTTGACGCTACCCATCTTGCGGAGTTCCATCAAGTGGAGGGTGTCATCGCGGACTACGGTTTGACCCTAGGTGGACTCATGGAGTTCATGGAAATCTTCTTCAATAAGATGGGCATTACGGATCTCAAGTTCAAGCCAGCCTATAACCCTTACACCGAGCCCAGCATGGAGATCTTCAGCTACCACAAGGGGCTGGGCAAGCTCGTGGAGATTGGAAACAGCGGCATGTTCAGGCCAGAGATGCTCGAGGCCATGGGCCTTCCCAAGGACATGAGGGTGTTCGGCTGGGGCCTCAGCTTAGAAAGGCCGACCATGATCAAGTACGGCATCTCGAATATTCGGGAGCTTCTGGGCCACAAGGTTGATCTTGGCTTTATCAAGAGGAACCCAGCTGTTAGATTGGACAAGAACTAGGTTACGGAGGTGTCATAGGATTGCAAAGGCAGCGACGGATCGGGATTTGGGACGGTTGTGATGGCGTAAAAGGACCCATACACATGTGTCATCCCTCTCGGGTGGGATGGCTCGTAAGGCCATATGATGACGACGGAGTAGGGGTTGGTGAGTAGTTGTGAAGATTCCATATAGAGACATCCACCATGAAATTCCACGAAGGGTTAGGTGGATACCAACAGTTCCTGCGTCCCCTGTAACCAACTAGAAGTGGGATTAGTGATTTGTGTTTTCCCTTCTACCTTCCGTTTCTCTCTACGATCTCTGATTCCATTCAACTTCAATCCAAGTACTCGGGTCGATCGGCTGCCCACTCAAATGACGGAACTGATATAACATTGCCACTGATAGGGATGGCGGTGACAAAAGGCATTAGATGAACTGATGATGGAAATAGGCCAGCCCGTTTCGAGAACCATCAGATCTTGGGCGCCCTATGCACAAATTAGATTCTAGGATGAATGATTCGAGTGCAGTTTTCAGCGTCGAATGTTCAAAGGTTGCCACTGAGCTACTGTAATAATACAATGGATCTAGATTGATCTAAAAGGTTCATCGATCCACAGGTGGATGAAGCAATAGGTACCTGAGGATGCTGCTGGCTGGACACCGCACGGCTCTTATTGTGTCCGATGACGCCCACTGTCGCAGCCTGGAAAGAGGTACCCTTTCTGTGACATCAGCTTCCATGGCAAGCCCCGCGCCCAAAAAGTACCAACCCGAAGCTTCCCAGGTACTCCCTTGCCGCACATGTACGGATTGAGAGCTCGAGTTTGTCAACCCATTCCACAACCTTCGACGAGTCACGGAAAAAGGCAACAAAAGTAGCTAAATCGCAGAGTTGTGCCTTTTCAACCTCCTTTCTCTCCAGTCAACTTCCTTTTTGTGCATTTCCATTTCTTCAGGGACCGAGTCGACCTGCTTCACTGCATGTGCCGTTGCCCAACCTTGCTTCCGACTCATTTGTCTCTCTCGCGATACATATACCTAGAAGCGAGATCCTCAGCATCAACCCCACCACGCCCACCACGCCCACCCACCACCTTCCCGAGACACTCAACACCAGAGCAAAGCGAGGTCTGAGCTAGGACAGAGGACATTACCAAAGGACAATACTCCTCCTCCGGCCTCCTTTTCTCCAAATTCTTAGACCTGTAGCCTGTTCGCGTGCCCAAAATGCTTCTTCGCGTTCGAGGGCCCGATGGCATGATCAGGGTGACCTTGAGAAGACGGACACCTTCGGCGACCTAGGCCGAGAGGTAGAATACCCTCATCCACCCAGTCCCAATCTTTTGCCTCTCTCTACGCGCCTTCTTGCTCGCCTCATCTTCTCTCCTCTCCGTGGTCCACTGCTAATTTAGAGCTTCCTCAGATCCTTCCCCACCTCCCCGATGCCATCGACCCCCGCACTCTCACCCTCTCCAACTCTCCGTCTGGCGGAGACGTCAAGTTTCTTAAAGACATAGCCAGCTTCAAGATCGGCCAGGTTGGCCTAAAGTCCGTGTCTCCCGCCTGCCTCCATTCCACTTGTACACGGCCATCTTATTTCCCAGCTTCCCATCGCTAACCTTGCGCAGGCACGGTGACCTCATCTTCATTACCTACAAGTGCCGAGCCGAGTCCGCCGACGGGCAGGAAGACGATGACACCTCAAAACCTACTTCCAATCGGTTAAACGGAAAGCCGATTCTCCCCAGCGAGGAGGTGCCGCTCCCGAACCCAGACATCTCTACCACCGCGGAAGGCCCGCGCCCTTGGGAAACCACGAAGCAATCAGCACTCGACGACCTGCTGGACAAGAAAGATGGCAAAATTCCGAGACAACGCTCTACAATGTGCCGACACGGCCCCAAGGGCATGTGTGATTACTGCACGCCCCTCGACCCGTTCAATAGCGAATACTTGGCGGATAATGGCATCAAGTACCTGTCTTTCCATGCCTACCTAAAGAAGATCAATTCCGCCACCAACAAACCTGAACATGGCAGCTCCTTCATACCGCCTCTCTCGGAGCCCTTCTACCGCGTTAAATCAGACTGTCCTTCAGGCCACCCTCAGTGGCCCGAGGGAATCTGCAGCAAATGCCAACCCAGCGCGATCACGCTCCAGCCTCAACCCTTCCGAATGGTGGATCACGTCGAGTTCTCTAGTCCCGAAATTGTGGACTCCTTCATCAACGCTTGAGGAAGTCTGGAAGCCAGAGGCTCGGCTTCCTGTACGGGCGATATGCCGAATATACCAAAGTACCTCTCGGTGTCAAGGCCATAGTGGAGGCCATCTACGAACCTCCCCAGCTAGACGAGGCCGACGGCTTGACGCTCGAGGCCTGGGATAGCGAGTCAGAAATCGACCAAATTGCAAAGATTTGTGGCCTCGAAAAGGTCGGCGTGATCTGGACCGATCTCCTAGATGCGGGAAACAAGGACGGATCGGTGATATGTAGGAGGCACATAGACTCGTACTTCCTATCCTCCCTCGAGATCTGCTTCTCTTCGAGGCTCCAGGCTCAGCACCCCAAGCCAACGAAGTGGAGCCACAGCGCCCGATTTGGATCCGGGTTTGTCACCTGTATCATATCCGGAAATGAGCGTGGCGAGATTGACGTATCCGCTTATCAGATGTCTAACTCGGCCGTGGAGATGGTCCGAGCCGACATCATAGAGCCGTCAGCCGAGCCTGGCGTAATGCTTGTTCAAGAGGAAGAGGAGGATCCCAACGTTGCGAGGACGAGGTACATCCCGGAGGTGTTCTATCGCAAGGTCAACGAATATGGGGCAAACGTGCAAGAGAATGCGAAGCCGTCCTTCCCCGTCGAGTATCTTTTTGTCACCCTGACACATGGTTTCCCAGACGAGCCGAATCCCATGTTTACCGAGCCGGGCTTCCCCATCGAGAACCGAGGATATGTTGGCGAGAGCCAAGAACATTCTGCGGTTGCGAGGATGCTGAAGGTGACAAGCGGGAGGCGATCGGAGAGCAAAGAGCTCCCCGTCTCCAATTTCCACCTTCTCTGCTTCCTTCACCAGATGGGCGTACTCTCCAAGGTAAGACATGACGAGTTGATGCGCGCCTATGTAGTTGGTTTGCTAACTTGAATCCTCTCCTTCCTTGTTCCTCTGCGCCTACAGGATGAGGAGGCTCTGTTATGCAGAGTAGCGTCTCAGCACGACGTGTCTGACGCGTACCAGCTGCGGTCAACCGAGGGCTGGCAGACCCTCACAGCCATCCTGCAATCGACCGGTGAGCGTTCTCCAACCCCACGTTCCAAGCGCTCACGGGGACACGACGGCAACTCGTCTCCGAGTGGAGCCTCCGTGGCCAAGCGACGCCGCGGAGATGAGTTGGGCCTCAAGGCCCACCAGCAGCCAGTTGTTGAAGCGCCACTTGCTAAACGTTTATCCGCCGTTAGGCTGAGCGACGACAAGTCTGCTCCTAGAAGGTCTTCCACCTCGAGTCGGAGTAGTTCAGAGGATGAACACAGCGAGTTATCATAACAATGGGTTGATTACGGCTGAGCTGAGCTCAAGGGGTAGGTTTGGGAGGGAGTAGGCCGCGTCCGGTGATCCTGGTTCCAGGCGATGATGCTACAGTAGACAGATGGGCTTTTTAGGGGTGTCCTTGACTTGGGGAATGTCGGAGATGGCGGGTGGCTTGACGGCGTTTTTTTAGCATCACAACAGAGGCTATCTAGGTTCAACAATGGAGTCCATGGACAATCTCTTGGTTTTTGTTCTTTTTTCTTTTCCGCCATCATGACTCCCTTTCTCTTTCCCCTCTCCTGTCTCTTCGTTTGCAAGAAACGTCCTCCTCCGCGCATTTTCTTTTGTATATTTTAGCAGACATCTCGCACTTCAGCATCCTTTGGGTTGGCGAGGACCCTAGAGAACCTTTTTGAACATATTCAAACAGCATACTACAGTGGTCCTCTTGCCAACCGTTCGCGCGGATCGCAGCTAAAGAACTGACTTCAACAGCATGGATGAAGGATTGCTGCCATGCCGACGCAAGGCTGATGCAAGAACCAACAGAATTCACATAGACAACTATTACATTCTAGAGAAGCGCTTCCTCCATCTTTACAATGAAAGTCGACCACCGATATGTTTATGGACGTGAATATGTTCCCTAGTCATGCACCCGCACTCCTAGACAAGTCGCATTGCACGAAGCAGCTCTAACGCCAGCCAAAAAGGAAGAGAAAAAGAACCCTAAAAAGTAACCCTATATAAAATAGAAACAATCTGCACCTTATTTCTCCTTTGGTAAACAAGAACGGACCCTAGACAACCTGGGGAAAATCATATGTGCGCTACGAGGCAGAGGCGAGGACGCAAACCCATGGATCTTGAAAAAAAAAAAAAAGGCGATTACAAACAGAGAAAGAAAAAAAAAAGGCCTAATGGTATTCTCCCATCGTTCCCATCGTTCCCATTCCATCCCCTTCTTTACCCCTCCCGAAAGAAACTTTTGCCCCACCAAATGCAGATGATTCAATTTACAAAGGCTTTCCGTTGATAAACTCCGACCAGCGGCGAACCTCGCTGGGGATACCCTCAGCCATGGGAAGCTTCTCCTTCATGCACTGCGCGAAGAGCATAGCAGTCTATAAGAGGAGAGCAAGGGGCGCCACAGTTAGTCATCGGCTATATAGGAAATGGAAACGCAGAGGAGGGCGTGTGCGGGGAAAAGGTAAAAGTACTTACGTTGGGCTCCATGAAGAGAGGGACACCGAAATCGACAGCGTTTCGGCGCATGACGTAGTCAACATCCGTGACAGTCTTACCGCGAGCCTGCGCGAGGTTGAAGACGCCGCGGATGTCGTACTTGGCGAAAACTTCACGGAGGGCTCGCTTATCCTCCGTGGGGAACTCGATGACCTGGACATCGACCTTGTCCTTGGCCGTGGTCTCGAGCAGTTCCTTGACCGAGTTGTCGGCAGCGTAGAGCTTGTAGCCGAGGGAGAGAGGTAGTCGACGATGGTGGTGAGCCAGGTCTTGCTAAGCTCGCCGCCAAAGAGAAGACCCTCGCCGGGCTGGGGTACCCTGAAGTTCATGGTTGACTGAAGCGAAGCCCAGTAGGCATCGACCAAGTTCTTTCCGAAGCAGGCAATCTCACCAGTGCTAGACATCTCGACACCCAAGAAGGGGTCAGCGCCGGCGAGACGAGTCCAGGAGAATTGAGGGACCTTGGTGGCCAAGTAGTCCCGCTTGACACTCATGAGGTCAGTGTAGTCGGGAATCTCTTGGCCAACGAGGGCCTTGGTGGCAACATCGATAAAGTTGACACCGAGGACTTTGCTGACGAAGGGGAAGGATCGGGAAGCACGGAGGTTGCACTCAATGACCTTGAGCGCGGGCTCTCCACCGTTGGGGTTGTCGGCCTTGATGATTTGCATGTTGAAAGGACCAGTGATGTTCCAAGCCTTGGCAACCCTTTCGGCGATGTCCTTGACCCTAGTCATGGTGGTCTCGTCGATGTTGGCGGGGAAGGATAAGGGTAGCATCACCAGAGTGGACACCAGCCTGCTCGACGTGCTCAGAAACGGCGTGGATGACCAGCTCGCCCTTGGACGCAACGGCATCAACGTCGATCTCCTGGGCATTCTCGATGAACTTGCTGATGACGACGGGATGATCGGGGAGACATCGCTGGCGGCTTCGAGCTTGACCTTGAGGTCCTCCTTGCTGCGGATAACAGTCATGGCGGCACCGGAAAGGACGTAGCTAGGGCGGACAAGGACGGGGTAGCCCACCTCATCAGCAAAGGTCTCGGCAGCTTCGACGGAGGTGAGCTCCTTCCAGGCAGGCTGATCAAGACCGATGCTGTCGAGGATCTCGGAGAACTTTTGACGATCCTCAGCCCTGTCAATGTCCTTGGGGTCGGTACCGAGGACGTTGGCATTTCCGGTCTCCTGAAGTCGGAGCGCAATGTTCTGGGGGAGCTGTCCACCAACGGACACGACAACGCCGGAGGCGCTCTCGAGCTCGTAGATATCCATGACACGCTCGTAGCTGAGTTCTTCGAAGTACAGCCTGTCCGCGGTGTCGAAATCGGTGGAGTAGGTTTCGGGGTTGTAGTTGATCATGACAGTCTTTTGGCCCATCTGCCTGAGCGCCTGGGTGGCGCTGACAGCGCACCAATCGAACTCGACGGAGCTACCGATACGGTAGACACCGCTTCCGAGGATGATGGTGCCCTTGTCCTCAAACTGGACGTCATGGGTGGAGGCATTGTAGGTGGTGTACAGATAGTTGGTGTCGGCAGGGAATTCGGCGGCGAGGGTGTCGATCTTCTTGACCCAAGGACGGATGCCCATGCCTAGACGGTACGCCCTAACCTTGTCTTCGGTGCTGTTGACGGCGAGGGCGATTTGCTTGTCGGAGAAGCCCATTTTCTTGGCGCCTAGGACTTGATCCTTGCGAAGGGCCTCGAGGCTGCCGGCTTGCTGGAGCTCCCTGTTGCAGTTGACCAAGTTCTCGAGCTTGTAAAGGAACCACTTGTCGATCTTGGTCAGGGCGTGAACCCTGTCGACCGAGTAGTTCTCGTGAAGCATGGCCTGACCGACGGCGAGCCACCTTCGGTCGGTGGGGTTCTGGAGCTCGGCATCCAAGTCCTCAAACTTGTCGCCCTGGAAACCAAGGAATTTGGGATCAACCTGACGGATAGCCTTCTGGAAAGACTCCTCGAAGGTACGGCCGATGGCCATGACCTCACCGACCGACTTCATGGCACTGCCAATATCGCGCTTGACATGCTGGAACTTGGAAAGATCCCAGCGGGGATCTTGGTAACGATGTAGTCGAGAGAAGGTTCGAAGTTGGCCGTTGTAGTCTTGGTGACGGCGTTGGGAAGCTCGGGGAGGGTGTGGCCGAGGCCAATCTTAGCAGCAGTGTAAGCGAGGGGGTATCCGGTCGCCTTGGAGGCCAGAGCAGACGAGCGAGAGAGACGGGCGTTGACCTCGATGACTCTGTAGTCGAGGCCATCGGGCTGGAGAGCATATTGCACATTGCACTCGCCAACGACGCCAAGATGGCGGACAATCTTGATCGCAGCAGTTCGGAGCATATGGTACTCCTCATCGCTCAGAGTCTGGCTAGGTGCAACGACAATCGAGTCACCAGTGTGGATACCAAGGGGGTCGAAGTTTTCCATATTGCAGACGGTGATGCAGTTGTTGTTGGCGTCACGAACGACTTCGTATTCGACTTCCTTCCAGCCCTTGAGGGACTTCTCGACGAGGATCTGGGGGAGAGGGTGAGGGAGCGGGCAGCCATGTTACGGAGCTCCTCTTCGTTGTTGGCGAAACCGGAGCCGAGACCACCAAGGGCATAGGCGGCACGGACGATGATGGGGTACCCGACCTTTTCGGCGGCGTCAATGGCCTCTTCAATGGTGCCAACAGCAATGGACTTGGCGATGGGGATGTTGATCTCCTCAAGGGCCTTGGCGAAGAGGTCACGATCCTCGGAGAGCTCGAGGGTTCGGACGCTGGTACCAAGGACCTTGACTCCGTACTTCTCAAAGAGACCTTGACGCTGCATCTCGACACCGAGGTTCAAAGCGGTCTGGCCACCGAAGGACAGGAAGATGCCATCGGGCTTTTCTCGCTCAATGACGTAGGAAACATACTCGGGAGTGACAGGGAGATAGTAGACCTCGTCGGCAAGGCTGTGGTTTGTCTGAATAGTAGCGATATTAGGGTTGATCAGCACCGAGGCCACGCCCGCCTCCTTGAGGGCCTTGAGAGCTTGAGATCCTATCACAGGGTAGAAAGCCAAGTGTTAGTCCACGCGCTACTAGCAAAAACCAAAGTGCTCGCGTGACTCAGAAGTAGTTGTAAAGCCAACGAAATACGGAGGATAGAGCGAGGTGGCACAAACCAGAGTAGTCAAACTCGCCGGCCTGGCCAATGGCCAAGCCGCCGCTTCCTACGACGAGGACCTTCTTGACATCGACCTGGGCCAAGGGCTTGACCGCGCCGCTGGCAAGGTAGGCCTTGGAATTTGGCGGGGGCTGAGAGTCAGCAACGGTCGAAGCTCGCAATAACGTGGTCGACAGGAATCGCTTCTGCGACAGGGTGGAGCGGCCAGTCTGGAGGCGGGTCAAGGGCGAAGAGGCGGCAGCGGGCGTGGTAAAGCTGCGAACAGTCAAGGGAGAAGGCGCGTGCAATCGTCGGCCTTGTCGGAGCAGAGCCGGAGCTCGACCGGCGAGCCTGCCAGACATGGCGACGTGCTGAATAGGAAGGATTGGGGCGAGTCGGAGGGGAAGAAGGGAATGAGAAAGTAAGGTCGCCTAGCTCTGTCGTTCCCAATTGAAACTTCCTAGACAGCGGTGCGAGCGAGAGGTTTGGGGAGGAAGGCGGGAGGAGGAGAGGGCAGTTTGGGGAGAAGAGGGAAAAAAAGAAAAAGGTGGTGATGTAGGGCGGTGGGAGATGTGACTCTTGTAGGAGGTGGGATGTCGGCGAGGAAAAAATGCAATGAACCAGTGGGAGGAGGTACCGATAAGATAAGCACTGTGTCAAGGTGGGTAGGTTTTTACGGAGCCAGACGGCCGTTTTAGTGATGGAGGTGAGCTACGATTGGTGACTCTGTTTTCCCCTTTGGCTCGGTGTACGACGGGCACAGTGGACGATACCGCTTCGAGAGCCAAGACGAGTGACTCGCGCGACGACTGTCAGATAAAGAAAAAAAGAAAAAAAGAAGACAAAAAAAAAGAAATCCCCTCTCCAGCCCGGCCAGTCAGGAGGGTTGCCGGCGGTAGCATCGGAGTGTACTTGTCCTCGCTAGCCTAGCGTACAAAGAGTGTACTCGGTATCAATGTGAGTCCAACCTTTGGCGGCTTGGGGGATCTCCATTGCACTTTCTCATCTGGAAAAAACCCGCCGGTCGTTGAGTAACACAGTATCCACAACACGCCAAGTGGACGGTACCGCTAAACCCTCTCCGTCATAACGCGGGCAAACAGTGTGTCATGGCTTCAGGAAAACAACTGGCAGTTGCCCACGAGCAGGGGCATCTCAACAAAATGGCCCATCTTTTTGCATCTCTGTCCGGGCCAGTTACTGGTGTTTAATCATTCCCGGAAGGCCATCCCTCGTTAGATTAGCACGCAAAGCAATGGCTATTATCATTAAGCTTCTAGACACAGGTAAAGGCGTCAATATCATCATCTTCTTTTCTCTTGTCTCCAACGCAAAGAGTTCGCTCAAGCCTCGGTCAAGGCTACGCCTTCCCCACTGCAGAATCTAATTTGGAGTAGTCCCCGGGCCCACCGCCGTTTGCAAGACCAAGCTCATGCGCGCGGTGGTGGGGGATTCGAAAGGCAGGGGAAAAAAAAAAAAAAAAAAAACGAACAAAAATTTTCTCGTCACGGATTTGGGAGCCAGCAGACGAGTCACCGACTGGCGTGGGTTGACGCAAAGCGGCATGCCCTTGGGGGATGTACCTACATTACCCTCCCCCATTTTCTTTTCTTTTTGTTGCTTCGCTTCTGCATGCTGGTGTCATCGATCCAATCTTCAACGGGCGAGGAATATACATCAATAAGGTATGACTGGTAGTAGGGTCCGTCATCAGCAGAGATCACGCATTGCGGCGCCGATTCTCAGAAACTACGAGTTTATTGAAGATTGAACTGAGACCCCAGAATCACCACTTTCAGGAACGAAAGATGGTTGATTGTGCTAGGAGGAAACCCTCTATCGGCATAAGGTGGGGGACAAGACGATCTCAAGTGGCACTTGGCGTTTTCCAGGAACATGAAGAGATCGAAAGTGTATAGTACCACTATAAAGCTGACCCATGTTTGATGCCTTGCCCCTCCCCAGATTTTCGGCGTGCAGGGTTCTGCCATTGACCAATTGCCATGTTGAGAAATATTTTGGAACGTGCTCAAAGCTGGTGGCATGGCTCCGATTCCGGCAGAAAGTTAATGCTGGCACTTCCTTGGCTTAGACACCGATGCAGCCACACACGCCTGTCCAACCCACTGCCCACCACGACAGGCATGAGCTCTCAGCCACATGGGACAGCCTTCGCTTGAATGTCGGCTCAATCAGAGCATGTGTGCTGCTTATCTTGCTTATCTAATATAAAACTTTTGGAACGTGGTAACGGAACATGCCGTCTCAGTCACGTCCCCCAAGTTCAGGCCAGCAAACCAGGGGATGCCAAAGTGTCAATTTGACTATTCGAGCTAGTGTAAATTCATCAAAGAGAACAGCTGGCCGCGACTCTCGATTTTCTGATGTAATCCATCAACTACCACAACGTGCACTCTTCAGAAACACTCCTAACCCCCCTTTCCTCTCCTTGCTGCCCCATCCAAGCAGCTGTCGTTCATTCCGTCTATTCTCTTGTCTTTTTTTTTTTTCTTTTTCCTTCTCTTTCCCTCCCCTCTCGACCTCCCGTCTTTTAATCCTACACATCTCCCCCAGAACAATGCTCGACATAGAAGTTGACTGGTTGGGCCTAGTGCTCCCCTTGGCCTACCTGACAGTCCTCAGCGGCTCTCTTCTGACCTTCGCGAGCATATACCGGAAGCGCAAAGCGAGTTAGTACCGTCCTTTTTCTAGTGGGAGAAGAAGAAAACAGACATGGATCACTGCGTAAACCGTGGAAATGAGCAAGCTAACTCAAATTTTTCGAGCGCAGCCCAGGCCGCCAACCTCGAGCCATGGTTCGGGCCCCATCTCCAACGGAACGTTTACCTTTCTCTCCTTCATATGGACCCCGAAAACGGTGACGAGTCAACCGGCAAGATCCCCGACAACGTGTTGAAAGCTTCCCTCTTACGCCGCGCGGTCGAAGATATCAACCGTCTTGTGCAGATCCGCACTGCGAAACAAGCCATCTCTTCCCTCCTCCAAAGGGAAGCGTTGGCGACGACCTCTGGCAGCGCTTCCAGCGCGCTGAGAAGGAGATGGAGAATGAGCTACGTGATGTAGTCATGGAGGTAAGATCCTTTTCTCGCGTTTGCCATGGCGTTTGCCGCGCCCGAAACGGCCGAGACGTGGGCGACGGGCTAACATGAGATCACTAGGCCAACGCCATCGCACCCAACTGGGGCCAGTTCATCTTCCAGTCCGCCAACGAGATCGCCGTAAACATGCAATTCCGCAAGCGCCTTGAGGAGATTCAGGGCAAGGTTGTGGGTGAGAGGGAATGGTGGGAGAAGCGCAGGGCCACCATCGAGACCGAGCTCGTCAATGACGAGGAAGCCGAAAAGGGCTCCACTGGGAAGCCCGCCAGCGAGGATGACGCAGTTCTCGTCGACCCCGGTACCCCCTCCGCCACTCCCGCCGCTACTCCTGCCAAGGCCTCTTCCAACACTCCCGCTGTCACCCCGGCCAAGACTCCTGGAGGCCTCGATGTTCCCGCGGAAGGAACCCCAGCAGACACCCCAAGCAAGAAGAAGAAGGGTGGCAAGAAATAGAGCGTCAGCCTCGGAGTACATCCCGGCTGGCCAGCTTTGCTTCTCCCCGCCCTTCCACGCTCTATACCCACCAAAGCCGGCCCGGGCTGTCCTCTGGAGACAAAAGAAGCCAGGGAAGTGTTTTGAGAGGCGGGGCTTTGAAGTTGAGGCAACTATACATGTAAAATACGTCGCCATCTTTTAAGGTTCTCTGCATTTTCAGATCCTCGGACCTTTTGATGCGGACGAGGAAGGAAGGCATTCACGGACATTATATTATGTAGGCGTTCCGGTGCATCTTTTTTCTTCTTCTCTTTTTCTTTTTCATTTCTTTTTAAAGAGAGTGTTGTCAGAGGCTTCTCTTACTAGCACATAAGTCTGGTTTCAAATCAGATACACAATACAAAAGACGTAGCGAGAATATCAAGATACAGTTTTTCCCCATCCGCTTCTTCACCCCCTCGCCTGACGAACGCTCACCAAGCCACCATGTTTCTCTGTCCCCCTTTTCAACGGTACCACTTGGCCTTGTTCAAGGCGTCCTCGCCCGGGATATCCATCCTGCTTCGATCCTCCCAGTCCGCAAGAGGGCTCTCGCAGCCTCTAAGACCAATGAAGCGCCCAAATCTCCTCCGTTTCGTTTCGAGGCTCGCGCCGTCTTCCCACGGCACGGGGACGGCGTACTCTGCCCTCCAGAACCAGGCGAGCAAGGCGTCGCGCTCGTCGCAGCCGGGGGCAGCGCTGGTGGTAAAGGTGGCCATGTCGTCGAGCTCGGCCTCGGTCAGGAGCCAGTAGTTGACAAACAGGCGGGGAAGCGGGGGTGGACCTGGCCCGTCGTGACCTGCACGAGGGAGAGAGCGGAATCGCCATCTCGGCCAGCTTGGCGCGGAAGTCGGGAGAGGTCGCGGCGCGGCGGGCGGTGAGGCTCGAGGCCTGGTCGATTGACGAGAAGGACATTGTCGCGTGGGCGCTCTTGGAAAGGGAGGAGGGGGCGACGGTAGAACCGCGATAACTGGCTACAGGGGCCTGGGGATATGGATATGACGGAGCAGCGGTTAGCCCGGAGAAGAGATCCACGACGAGAGGCGGTATGAGGCGAGGGCTGGGCCTACCTAAGGATAGCGATTTGGTCTATTCGATCCTTAGTCAAGTATCAAATATTCTCAGTTGATAGAGCCGCGGCTAGGCGGGTTTTTCGTTAGGTTACAGAGATCGATAAGATGCTAATAGGTCGAGAGAACTACCCAGTCAAAGCTAGGAGGCGTCGTTTGGAGAGAGTGGCATGCTGTGCTTGGAAAACAGGAGGGACAGGTTAGCTTGGAGAATAGGACGTGGCATGAATGGTAGCTTACCTAGGGGCGTCCTCTACAGATAGGCCGTGGGAGAGATAATGATTACGAAGGAAGGTGCCGCCAGTTATCCCAAGATATCGAAGATGGGGATGGTGATGACAAGATCGATGAGTGCATATCGAGCTGTTGCTGGCATTTAAGGATCCTTGGCGGCGCCTGGCTTCTTTGTCGATGGATGCCTGTCTATTCCAACATATTCAAAGACGAGTCTTGCCCCTTCTAAACTTTTAATAGTTTGAGTCCCTTGGGGCTTATTGGACTCGACGCGATGGGTAGATAGATATGTATACCGTTTTCCCTATGAATGAATAGGAATGAATCAACAGTAGTTTTCATCTCAGTGAATAGAAATATCTATGATGACCATCTTGTCAATGCCCAGCCTGAAGTTCTTTCCCTGCTACCAAAGGAGCTCTTTCCTTTGTACTACTCAGGTCTGGCTTGACATGGCCTCTAGCGCTTTCTTTATTGTTAAGGCTGGCCAGGCTTTGTGAGCCTCCACTTCTGTAACGCAACACGAAAGCATCAAAGAACCAACACTAGGCTGGAATGTAGGGAATTTGAGAGAGAAGTTGAATCGACTTGCCAGTCTATATTTATACTAACATTATGATATGGGCTTTTTTCCCACTATAAGAACACACTGCCGAGAATGAAATAAGAATAAAAAACGGGTTGTTGAAGCGCTCTAAAACAAAGCCCCCAAACCATGGCTTATCACAGCCACTTAAGTTTCGCTATGTGATCTGTCTTCTTCTTGCTTGGCTTCACAAAGCCGAGGCTCTTGAGTTCCGCGAGACCCTGGTAAAACAATGCCAAAGCGGCTTTCTCATCTGTATCGCTGCCCGAGTCGGCACCGACGATCCCATAGAATGCAGTCCAGAGATCTGCAACGTTGATGAGGCTGCCAGCCTCCTGGTAAAAGTGGTAGAGTATCGACGCCGGCGGGAGAGCGGCGAAATGGAATCACCCCCGCCTCTGCGCTCCCGCAACAGCTACAACCCAAGTAGTCGTGCGGGCGGGTGAGCGCGCGTTCGAAAACGACGCGGAGCCGAGGAATAAAGACCTCTTTGTGCGGAATCCTCGAGTCGTAGTACCAAATCTCGTTGAATAGGCACGTTGCGATCGGTGTGGTGTTTCCGCTGAGTTTGACTTGCGTCACAAGCTCATCGACGATTTTGGTAAACTCCTCATCGACTTCGGTGAGGGCCGCCGAGTCATGGCTGAGTTGCACCTTTTGCGCCACAACCGTAGTTCTCACAATTTTGGTCTGCCCGCTCCATTTGCTGCGCAGCGTGTGCCCGTCCGCCTTGGCCTCGGCGACTAGCTTTTCTGCTTGCTTGATCCACGTCGAGAGCGATTCGCCAATCTGTTGGTCAACCGCCATTTCGTCAGCGAGCTCATCCAAGATCCTTTCGTCTGCAGGACGAGGCGTCTCGCCGCCTTCGATCAAAGCCTCCCGCATTCCCCGCATCACGGCGACGATACGTTCAGGCTCCATCTTTCGCAATGTGGCGATGGCCTCATGGTCATCGGTAAGCCTGAGGCCCCCGCGGCTCAGGATATCTAGGGCTATACTTGTCCGGTTGCCATTCCGATATCCCACCGCCGCTAAGCATTTGACCGCCCGGAGAACCGAGGCGCCGTAACGCATCTTTTCAATCTTGATCTTGGAAAGTTCTTGGATCAGCAGCTTGTCGTTACTAAAAACTCTGTTGCTCTCTCGCGAGACTGTTGCGGGTTCGCTGCAGCTTCCGTAGCACTCATGATGCGCGCTCGGAACGAGGGTGGAACGGAGAGCGAGCAGCTGTTCAGGCTGGATTGGTTGCTCTTCAAACGATTCGAACCCGAGAAATACGCTGAGGGGATTCGCGTAAAAGTGCGTCATATAAGCGTACTGCATCAAGGCATGTGTGTCAACATCACCACGCTCTACTGTCATACGCTCATCGCAAGGAAGGGCCACCGGCCACAGGCCTGCGCGGAAGGGTTTCTTACTTTGAGTGCGCTGATAAAATCTTGCACTCCAGCGACTTTGTCGTGCTGCCGCTCAATCATGCTTTCCAGCAGGGGTCCGCCGATGAGCAGCGGAACGTCGGGCGAGGTTACTGAGACGTTGAGGATGATCTCCTCTAGAACGCTCGTACCCTGGGTGACATCAAATTCAGTTCCATGCAGATATTCGCAGACGGATTTGCGCAGACGGTTCTGAAGGAGCTCTACCGAGGTAGCGATGCCAAATAGGAGAGTGAAGGGGATTTGCGTCCAGTTGCTAAGCCATCCCTTCGTGTAAGCGGAATAAATCACAATAGGTCTACGAGAGCCTGCTTACCTGAAAACGAGGATCAGATCGGAAAGGAGAGAACTGTCAAACCCTTCGCTATCTTGGAATGCGATAAAGACGTGATCGCAACCGCCCTGGGCGGTCACAAGGGCATGGACGGCGGCGAGATCGTAGTTTAGGTACTTCCGGCTCTATGGGGTGAAAAACCTCGAGGTTAGCAGATCTCACAGTCACCGGGAGCTAAGCTGGCAGAGACACTCACTGATTTCCCCACCGTTAGCTGACCATCGTCATCGTCTGAAGCCTTGCATGTGATATCCTGGATGATCTTCCTCAGGACAGCCTTCATGTTTGAGGCGTCGGCCGATCTCAGCCTCACAAATTTGTTGTTTCCCTCCGAAGCCACGAGGGTCTCCTCGAGCTGCTCAAAGAGCAAATCCTGCGATGTGAGATTGGGTCCCGTCACAACAAAGGCACACGGTATCTTGTCACCACTGATTCTTCCTTGCATGTCAGCGAGAAGCGAGATGATGATGGCGTGTCGTCGAAAAGGACGAGAGAAGGACGCCCTACCGGTCATTCTTAGCTCTTGCAACAAAAGAGCCCACATCTTCAAGGGTGGCCCTGTTGGCATCTCTCAACATTTGCTTCCTCTAGAGTTAGCCTTGGTTCGGGAAGCAAACTCGGGGTGACCCTTCGCTCACCCTGATGCGGCCTTCGACATGAGTCCACGACTCACGGAAGGATCGTTCTCTCACCGCCACCATTTCAGGCTTCTCACAGCCATTCAATAGTGGTTTGAAGTACGACCTCTGAACGGCCGGATCCCGCACGGCGCCGCCTTTGGCCTTGCTCTTTGACGCAGCTGATTTCTTCGTCGTCCGGCGACGCTTAGGCGGCCTCTCCACGGCACCTGCATCTTCGCCGTATGGATCAAAGATATAGGCAGCCTAATTTTTGTGTGCATTGCTGTAAGTGGGCTGCAAAGAACTGGAGTGTTTCATTCGACGAGGAAGTTTCGCTTCTTACCTGGTGGTCCTGATCACCCGTGGTTGACTCGTTGTCTGACATGGTGCTGGAGAAACCCCCAAGACTGCAAAGAAAAGGAATGATAGGAAGATATGTTAGAACGGAGGGTGCGTACTAGTATAATTAGGAAAGATAAATGGCTAGACAAAGGGCGACTAAAACGGGAAAGCTTCTTGTTCACGCCAACCTGGAGCTCGAATAATAAGAAAAGATCCATCCATAGATGTTGAATTAAGAGGTCGAGTTGCCCTTCACCAGACAGACACTACACGCGCAAAGGGACACGTACAGTGCGTGTACCGATACATCGACGCACATTGGTAGCATACATGGGCGCTTCAACACACAGTGCGTAAACACTTCCCTCAAAGGACAGCCATCTGCTCATCACTACCTCTACACTACGTCTACAAGGCCATCTGTGGTGTTCATAGTCTCGTAGCCACGAGAACAACATGGTGGGCCGGAACAGGATCGCATTGACATCGCAGACCGACTAGATTTTGTGTACCCAGAGGTAACACTTCAACACTTCATCACTTTAGTGAACCTCACCGAATGGCAAGACAACGAAGGAACTGGTTATTTTCTCGTATAAAGTCGTCCCTCCTATCATTTACTAGCCCATCTCATTCTTAGGATGGGTCCTCAGCAGTGACACGCAAACGCGATGTGACAAGCATTCGCATGCAGACACCATTCTTCCCCATCTACCTTGACGACCCGCGCTCTCGCGAGGTGGGTGGGGTGATATCAACGGATTTGCTAGGCAAGGGGACACCTCAAGATCTCTGCAACTCCAACTGATAGCCGCCCTTTGCACCCTTCCTGTTCCCTCAATTGCGTATGTCGAGAACCATCAAACATTTTTGTAATTTACAGAAACCAAAGAGGAAAAAGGAGAAAAAGAAAACGAAGAGGAAGCTAAGAAAAAGAAAAGAGCCCCAGATAGAACGGGTGTGAATAGCAAAAGACCGTGGCAGAACTTGCATGAACTCGCGAAAAGCCGGAAAGAATGGCGAAAGAGCGTCAAACACCTCAAGATGGACGTGAACGAGACAGGAAAGTAGAAAAAGCAAGGTAGGAAAAAAACAAAAGGCACACACACACACAATTTGGGTTCCCCGAAACGCCGAAAGAGGGGCCACTTGAAAACAACAGAACTCGATGCTGCGCCCTGAATCAATATTGGTGACCACGACATCATTACTGGTCATTTCAATGCCCTATTGTGGTTTCGTGAGCTCGTTGCAACTGCGTCCGAACCAAGCGCTCCGATATGGCATGGCATGTACACTAAAGAAATCTCGGAGGGAGGATAAATGATCCTCGGGGGTTGGGTGTCCGCAACTCCTGTTCAGAGACGAGTGGAGAGGATAAATCGTTTACGCCGATGCTTCTACGGCAACGGGAGCCTTGGCCTGTGTGATGTTCCATGTTAGATGCAAAAGACGCGCCGAGGCAGCCAGCAAGGTGCAGGATTTAGGATTTAGCACGCACCTTATCTCCCGAAGCCTCCTCGCTTTTCTTGTCCGTGGCCTCGTCCTTGTCCGCCGCTTCACTTTCCGTCTTGTCACCTTCCGCGGCCTTGTCGCCGGCCTCTTCGGCTTCGGTGGGCTCGGCCTTGCTCTCCTTCTTTCCCTCGGCTCCATTGACACCATTGGAACCAGCATCGGCGGGGCTAGGGTCGGCGGCGAGGAGCTTGTTCCACTGATCGAGAAGTTTCTGTGACCGAGTCTTGAAGTTGAACTCATCCTCTTTGGGAATGGACTCCATGCGCAGAATGGCTTTGGGCACCTTATGAATCCTAGTCGCCTTAAGGATGCTTGCATCCATATCAGTGAATTTCTCCAGCCTGGTGAAAAATTCGCTCATTGACGCCATATCCTCCTCCTTCACTTCCGCCTCGCGAGGAAGAAACCCTTTTGAAGCTTGTGACGTAGGTACAAAACCTCCTTCTACAGACCAGGGCGTTAGCGGTTGCATTAGAGTTGGGTGAATATCGGCGCAAGGCCCATGTCTAGGTAATTACTTACCACCCTCCTTTCCTGGCGCTCCTCGGGAGTGAGCTCGGGCTTCTTGGGCTCCTCGGGGGTGGCCTTGCTAGCTTTAGCCTTGGCCTTGCTCGACTTGGTGGTAGCCTGTTCCTTGGCCGCCTTGGGAGTGGCCGAGCCATTCGACGACTTGGCGGCAGAGCTGAGAAGCTTAATCTTCGGCTTCTTCACCGAGTCGGATCGTTGAGGCGTCTGAAAACAAAATGGCCATCGTTAGCATATCCGACGCTCACTCGAGGTCTATACCATTGGGGCGGGGCGCTTACGGCGGTCTCATCTTCAGCCTTGCGCTTCTTTGATTTCTTCGCAGGGGTTGCGTCCTCTTCAACATCAAGATCCATGCTGTCGGCAGCTATCGCTTTGGATTTCTTCGTCTTCTTGGCCTCCTCCTTGGCGACCAGCTCCTCTTGGAACTGCTGGAGAAGATCCTTGTAGTAATCGAGGTCATGGCCCTCTGCAGCGAGCTCGTAAGCGGCTTGTAGGTCCTTTCGCATCTTGTCGTTGATGGCTTCGGAGGCCTGTTCGGGGATAGCTCCTGAAGAGAAGTGTTGGGAACCCAGCCACTGTAGCACGATTAGTAACCGCACGCTACCTACAAGCCCAGGGTCAGCCCGACAAGTCAACTCACAATTCGTTAGTATACAGGTACATAACGGGAAGGTGCGATCATTGACGCGCTTTCCACCTTCGGCAAAATCGTCACGGTAGGTACCATCAGCACGCTTAGCGGTAACCGGTCGAGTGGTAAGAAGAAGCTGAGGAAGCATGACCTCATCGCAAATAACGGCGGGCCAAGGGGAAGCCCTTGAGCTTGACGAGGTAAAGATCGCCGGGAGCAGCATTAAGGTTGGTGATGCGAGCTTTGGACTGCTTCTTATTCAACTTCTTGCCACCCTTCTCGGCAGCCCCTGTCGACTTGCGACGCGCCGCCTTGGCCTTGGTGTCCTCAACAGCGGTTTTCGAATTAGCGTCGGGTGCAGCACCATCATCAGCGGCATCCTTCATATCTACATCGGCCTTCTCCGCGTCCGAGTCAGCCTTGGCGGCGTCGGTCGACTTCTCTGGGGATGCGGCATCTAGTTAAATTGATGTTAGCTGGCGTGGCCTACCAATTGATCGAGAAAAGACGTGGCAAGGCTATGGCCTTCGGATAGAAATGCGAGCAGCAGGGGAGAAGCGAGAAATCGACAGGAAAAGGGGGTCGTTGATGAACAGGGGAGATCAAAGGACGTCGCTGAAGCTATATGCAAGGTAAGGTGCCTCGAATTGGCGCGAAGCGCGGCGCGGCGCGATTGAGTGTGTAATGGAAGACGAAATCTACTGGCATGAGGATGGTGGAAGAGGCATGGGAGAAAATACCTTTGTCGGAGCCCGTCGGTCCGTCGGCCTGAGCTTCCTTGGCCGTCTCGCCCTTGGAGGTGGCAGCTCCAGAGTCAACAGCAGCAGCAGTCGCGGTGGCAGAAGGAGCGTCCTTCTTGTCAGTGGATGGCTCTGCAGACGACATATTGTCGGTGTTGGCAATGCGATCGCCTTGAGCGCAGTCCGGAAGCTCTCGAGTTGTGGTGGCAAGTCCCGGCGGGAACGATAAATAAAAAAAGGTGGGTGCTACGCGTTAAGATTTCGCGTGAAGGGCAGGTAGAGTCAAATCAGTGGTGGCAGCAGGGAGACAAGAGGGGAGGGAAATTCGCGATGGATATGTTGCAATTGCGCCGACACCTCTTATGATGATGTTGTGGTGTTGTGGAGGTTGGCGAGCCAGAGCAAGGGGAGTGGCAGGGTGAAAAAGAGGCGACCAGGACAGTGAGGGATGTTGCGAGGATTTTCAAATAAAGAGAGGCTATAATAATAAGAGACAAGTTAATACCTTGGTACAACTGGCCCGCGTAGGTGAGCTGATGGGAAACCATGCACGTGATCAGTTGATGTGCTCACTTCAAGTTCCCTGGCCAGCACGACCATCATCAGTTCTTAGCAGGTGTGAGGGTGAGTGAATACAAAGCTAGTAAAGGGAACCTTGGATTCTCATGTACCTAGGACTTACCTTTCCTATAGATGCTTAAGAGGCTAGTGGAGAGAATGAGAACATTTGCAAGCACATAGATACCTAGCAACCTACATTTCATCTATACCTACCTAGCTAAAAGAGAGGAACACTATCACTTGCCCCTGATAAAGAGTATCTCAAACTCAAGGGCAGAGATGATTTGGGAGCTCGGCAAGAGCTGTCCAGGACAACAAGAGAGCTCTTGGTGCCTCCTTCCCTAGTATCATTGATGACAAAGAGAAATTTGATCAAAATATACCAGCACTTCACTCTAGGGGTTTAGGAGGATTTCTATTTTCAATTCTCTCATTTTCCTTTTCTCGGCGTCGTCAATTCCATCGTCAGAGAGGGGATTCTCTTTTTCTTTCGCCTTTTTGGCCTCTAGATAATAGCACGGGGCAAGAAGACGCGCTCCGTCACTCCCGCCTCCATCCCCACATTTTTTAGTCTTTCGCGCACCTTGGCCTCTCTCCACAGTAATAACACCCACCTCATTCTCATCCCTCGCGCTGCATACCATGAGAGAACGTTGAATTATTCGATGAAATGCACATTCTAGCAACCAAAGAGAGAAAAATTTTTTTGCCTTCTTCTTCTTTCTATGCAAAAGTGCAAGCTTATCCTGTGCCGGGCCAATGGCTGCGACTTTATTAGTTCCCCGTCTATGGTCGAGAAGCTGCAAGCTCTCCGAGGAGGAGGTAATTGATCAGTCTCAAGGCAGGCTCCACCAAAGTCCCCATCGAGCGTACAAGTACCAAAGTACTCGTCACCGGAGCAATTCACCAGCCACCCTCGTTCTTGCCTTGGACTTGTTCCCCTCAATCTCAATGCAACGCTCCGCCACACCCGACATGTCTCGATGCTTGCACTTGCCATTCATCCATGGAATGACCCAATGATAATTAGTACTTCTAGGCTTCATTTACACAAGAGCCTTTCCGACTTCTTGAGATGGGCACATCCACAAAAAAGGTAATCACAGCTACCTCGGTAGACATGGTCAAGATGGTATACTATATTTGAAACTCTAGGAATGGCGATTGGGTTCTCGTGATTGCATTTGTTCTTTTGTAATAAGAAAAAAACCGGACAATGAAATGATTGAAATCCATAAAAATCTATACAGTAGTAAGCTGGTGGCTTCAATGGCAGCCTTAGCATTTCTCCTTTTTTTTTCTTCTTGCCTCGTTCTCTCCCATATAACATTATCCGTGACCCTCTCCCCTCCATATCTTCCTCCCCTACTCGTCGTCCTCGTCGTCCTCGTCATCGTCATCGTCAACATCCATTCCTTCAGCTGCCGTGATGGCAAACTCCTGTTCTTGATCCACGCCCATGTAACTGTCGCTCATCAAGTAGAGCTTGAGGTCATGCTTGCCAGCCGTCGACACCGTAAACTCGAGCTTCACCTCGAGTTTCCTCAAGATCGTAACCCTCTTGATTGCAAGCAAGCTCTTGGTGTTTTCGTCGCCGACGACGAGCCACCAATTCTCCATCTTCTTCGCCGGATAGAATGGTGCGTGGACCGTCGGATCCACTTCATCATCCTCATCTACGTTGCGTTGGATTGTAATGTTCAGGTATGCCGGCTCGTTGGAGCGGATCTCATCTTCGTCTTCAATCGTGTGCTCCATCTCGATATCAGGATACTTGGTATTGGTAAAGTCGGCAACCTGGGATAGCTGGTTGTTGCTGAGGCCTAGAGCCTTGACTAGCGCATCGTAGTTGTCATTCTCCTCCGGGTTCATCCTCTCCATGAAATCGAAAACATCCTTGATACTGTGGGTTTCACGTTTCAGGTTAGTGTTTCTGTCTCCTCTCTATAAAACTGGCCGCCATGGCCCACAATTGATGGAACGTACCCGAATTTGTTAGCAGCCCTGATGGTATCGTCGGTGAAGTGGGGAATCTGCTTGAGCGGGCTATCGCGATCCCACATGGACTGGACCACCATCTGCGACATTTCCATTGCGTTCATGGCGTTGAGGTGGCCCTCGGACGAAAGGATATCCACGGCTGCGCTGAGGAGGCCAAGCACCTTTGATAGAATGACCTCTTGATCCTTGTTGAGGTCCACGGGGAGCTGAAGCCGCGAGAAATGCGCTTGCAAGAGGACGAAAGCCTTGAAGTGCGCCGAGTCGAAGTTGACCTCCCCAGACATTTTGACCGGGAGCTTTTCGTACACGCGTCGCAAGATGCCTCCTTCGTGTCTCCTGAGCTGGATGGCCTCGAACTCGGTAGCGGACGTCACGACTTCCATGATTCCCTTGAGTTTCGTGCGGCCGGTCAACGAAAGCAGGAACGTCTCCATGGTCACATACGAAATATTGTAATAAGCAGCAATCATGGCGGCGTTCAGCGGCACGACGGAGCCGTCTTCGTCGTCATACTCAATGATCTTGGCTTCGTTCAGCTGGCCAAACGTATCCTCCACTCGGTCCGAGATGAACCGGCCAAGGGCGTCATCCGTGAGTTCCGTGAGGCCGTAGTAGCTCGGGTTAGCGAGCAAGCGTCTGTAGAAGTACGTAAACGTGGTCCAGTTGACGGCATCGCCGGCTGACTGTATCATCTTCGTGCTGATCTCCGTGACAAAGGTATCGTGCAGGTTCTCCGCGACGTGCGATTCTACCGGGAGCGCCTCACGTAAAAATTTGCTGTAGAACTCTCGCTTCACGGCCGGTACCATGAGCACGCCTCGGCTTCTCTTGTCCGACGAGATCAGGGCCTTTCCGAACATGTGAAGCACCTCGCTCATCGAATAGTCCAAGTACCGGTGCTCCTGCCCGTCGAAATACTGGGTGCCCATGACGATCACGAGGTGAGCGGTGCAGTCCAGCTCCCAGCATACGTCACGGGACGCCACAAGGACTTGGATAGCCCCCGGTCATACAGGTGCTTCACGATACGCCTATCGCTTTGGCTCAGGGCTTCGTGGTAGTAGCCGATCCCGTGGGACAATGCTTCGCGGAGCGGTTCTTCGTCGATGTGGTCAAGAACGCGCTTGAGCTGGTCACCCTCGGCGTGAAGGAACCGGTCTTCGTCATCATCGATATAGCATGCGGCAAGAAGATCTCGCGCGGTAGCGCGAGTCTGCTTTCGGCTGTGGACAAAGACTAGCGCGGGTAAATTGGGTGACATCTGCGTGATGGCGAGATAGGTGGGCTTCGCCATGGCAAGCATGAGCGAAGGGAAGTGCGGGATCGAGAAGGACTGGAGGTGCAGCTCAAGGCGTAGCGGTCGGACGAGAGGGCTAAAGTTGTACACGTCGTGCTTCTTCGCCCCTATCCACGATCCGATATCCTTGGCGTTGGCGAGGGATACACCGAGCGCGACGGTACGCAGAGGACGCTCCGTTTGGCCGCTGATGTACTGCATACGGGATACGACTACTTCGTAAATATAGCCCAGGTTGTCGCCCAGAAGGTGCAGCTCGTCAGCGATGAGCAGTTCAATAAGCTGGACGTTCTTGCGGCGCCTCCACTGCCGTGATAAAACATCCCATTGAGATGGCGTGGCGATAATCAGATCACCCCTATTGAGGAGATCAAGGTCGGTTGCCGTCTCACCGCTAAGCTTGACAACCAGCTTACCACCGCGTAGGTGGCTTAGGCGCTTCTCCCAATCGCGTAACCGGATATCTACGAGCTCCTGGTTCGGGGCGATATACAGGGCTTTCCCGGCCGAGCTCTTGGCCCAGTGGCGAAGAAGAGCAAACTCCGCGCAGACCGTCTTGCCGGATCCGGTGGGTGCGGCAACGAGCACATTGTCATCGGTGCTGTACAACGAGTTGAAGGTCTGGGTCTGTATCGAGTTGAAGTGCTGCCAGTCAGGGTAGAGCTTCACATACTGTTCGACCTTGAGCGCCGATACGGGAAGAGGTTGGAGCTTGAGAAGTTCCGTGTGAGGGGAACTTCTCTGGCAGAATCAGGTTCATGAGAGAGAGTGCAATTCTCGTTTCCGAGGCCATCCACCGATCCGAAATCAAAGATACGAAGTAATGGGGCGGCAAGGGGTCCAATATCTCGACGGTGAAGTCGACGACGTGGCGGTTATCTTCGGCCTTGGCGTACTCCTTCCGCAAAATGAATTGGTCGTGGTAAAGCGTCTTTTCTCCGTCGCAGTCCTCTACCATGATCCAGAAGCTCTCGGCAGCGCCGTGCACTTCGTCGTCCCATTCAAAGTTGGGGGTTATTTCAAGTGTGACGTGCAGCATAGACCTCGTAAGGGGTTTAGCTAGGGCCTGCACATCTAGTCTAGGGAACTTGGCAACAAGCCCACACACGGTTCGGCCGTGTCGCGGCATGCCAAGGAGCTCTCCCATTCTCGGCGGGTCGAGATCGAAATACGCGCTCCAGGGTGCCTCGACTCGCTCCGCCTTTTGGACGATATCACGTGGGCAGTTGGGGAATTGGCGAAGGGGTGTCATTGTAGGCCACATCCGCTTCTCCGCCATTTTGCAGAGGTCAAGGGCAGTCTTTGCGACATCCGACCAGCCCTTCTTCAACGTAATCTCGAAGATGGCGCGCAAGATGCGGCCCGCTGATTGAGTGACGTAGACCATGTCGGCCATCAGGGCGAAGCCGTCTAATCGTAGTCGTGAAATATAGGCCTGAAGGAGGACATTGATCTTGGCGTGCGACTCTTCGATACTCTCCTTGACGGGAATCGGGACCCGGCTCAAAAGTTTCGCCAACTCAACCTTTTCGTCCTGTCGAACGGGGATGTACTTGAACTCTGCACTCAGAGAGAAGACTCGGAAGAGCTCGATGGTGGTGATGCCCGGGAGGATAAGGGTATTATAGGTATCCATCGATCCGTGCGTGATGTAGTAATGTGAAGCGATGCGGCCCAGCTCAGTTGCCTGCAGCTTGCCCGTCTTCTCGTCGTACTTGACGAGGCCTGACTTGCGCAAGACGGTGGCCGCAGAGTGTATAAGATCCACTCGTTTCTGCTCAAGGGCGGAATCATCCTCGTACTCTGCACCGACCTGGTAGAGACCAGGCGACCGAAGCATGCGGACGAAGAGGTACGTATAGCCGAGCCACTCTACGCCCTCGTCGCGTGTGCGAATATTGCCCAGGACAATCTCGGCATTCAGGTTATCCACCAAGCGACTCACAAACTGACTCTCGATTGGCAGCTGCTGGTTCAGGAGAGACAAATAGTAAGTCATCTCGCTTTGGGTGGTAATTATGATGCCCTCGCCATAGGTGTCGAACTGCGGGCGACCTGCACGACCAAGCATCTGCAGCACGTCCTGCGGGTTAAGCTCAACCCAGCTACCCTTCTCCGGGGAGTAGACTTGCGTTCCCTTGATGATGACGGTATGGGCAGGCAGATTCACACCCCACGCCAAGGTGGCGGTGCAGACAAGAACCTGGATCGACCCTTGGGCGAAAAGGTCTTCGACATCCGCGCGATCAGCTCGGTTCATGCCTGCATGGTGGATACCGAAACCGTACGGCAAAATGTCCTTGAGGTCCTTGTCGGTCGCCTGCTCGGAAGCTTCGTTCAGGATTGCGCGACTGCCAGCGTCGTGCCGCAGAATCTGGTTGATGGTGTCCATCTCAAGAGCCTTGTCACGGATGTAGCGCGCAGTTTTGGCAGTGTCCTTTCTCGAATGGACAAAGATGAGCATCTGGTTTCTATTCGTGCCGACATGCTCCAAGACCTTATTGTAGGTGACATCATTCATGGTCTTGAGCTGCTTGATCGCCTTGCGGTCCGTCACACCGATAAATTCCTGGCGGAGGGGGCAAGGGCGGAACGATCCATCAAAATGGAACAGGCCCGTCTTCATGTCAACCCGGAGGAAGCTGGCAACATCCCTGAAGTTGGGGAGGGTGGCCGAGAGACCGACAAGACGAACGGGGTCGCCCGTCTGCTCGGTTTTACGAATGGTACGGCTGACAATACTCTCCAAAACCGGCCCGCGATCATCGTGGAGGAGATGGATCTCGTCTATTATGATCAGGCGCACAAGATTGGTATAAGAAAGGTCCGTCGCTTTTCTGGTAATGACATCCCACTTTTCGGGGTGGTGACGATGATCTGAGTCTCGGCGATTTGTTGCTTCGTGAGCTGGCGGTCGCCGGTAAGCTCTGAAACGGTGATGCCATAGGGCTGCAGCCGCTTGCCAAAGTTGCCAACCTGCTCCTGGACGAGGGCCTTAAGGGGAGCAATGTAGACAATTTTGAAGCTGTCAAGATCAATGGTTCCGGTCTCGGGGTTACGGTGTTTGCCGACCTCTCGGAGGATCGTGAGCATGGCCACGTTGGTCTTTCCACTACCGGTGGGGGCACAAATCAACATGTTGCCGTCATCCTGGAACGCAGTCGGGTAACATTTGGACTGGATTCGGTTCAATGACTTGGCGGTGCTAAAGGGAACACGAGCCCACTCTGGCATTTCTGTGATGGGAATGAGGGGGTCGTTGGGGTCGGATCGCTTCTTGGGTGCGGGAACGTGGATCTCCTCGTAGCCCTTGAAAGTGCGCTTTGTCGAGCCCTCGGGCAACCTGACCTTTGGGTTTGTCATGAGATGGTTGCCCTGGTCGAAGACGAGGTTGTCGAGGTTGATTAGTTTGCGAGGTTGCAGCCCCCGACTAACTGGCCGTCCGGCTTCTCGGGCTTGCCCGCACCATTGGCAGATGAGCCGGGCGCATCGAGGTCCATCTTGATATCGACCTTTTTCTTCTTGTCGTCGTCGGGCTTTTTCCCGTACAGCTCGTTCAGAATCCACTGCAGTCCTTCGGAGGCCATCTCGCGCTCAACAGCTGCGCGATCATCGCTATTCTCCGCACGGGCGAGCTTCGTCAACCAGACAACCTTTTCCCGGTTCTCTATCAGAAGCTGAACGAGCTCGTGATGCTCATATTCAAAAAGCTCCATGAGATCATTCTCAATCTCGCGCAAGGGCTTCTCTTCGCCGCCTGGTTCATCAGGCTCTCCGGAGAGTATCCCGAGAGCATCCTGGGTCTTGTCGTGCTGCTCCTTGGGATCAGGATATATCTTGCCCACTTGCCTTTGGAGCCAGAACGCATCCACCTCTCGCGCTGGGACGGACATGCCGTCCTCCTTCGCATCTCTCGCGCCATCAGCAGAATCCAGGATCATCTCGTCTCCGACTTGTAACGCCTCCGCCTCCGCGCCGTCGGCTTCTTTAGTAGCATCATCTTCGTCGCTTTCTGCTTCATCATCTTCGGAGGAGTAGTCGCGGACTTCGGGAACGATGTCGTCTTCCTCATCCTCATCCTCGAAAGCAACAGCGACACCTTGGCGGTCATCCAAGGTGGCGCTTCCTTGGGACGCCTTGTCGTCCTCATCGTCGTCCTGCGCATCATAATCGGTAATTTTTTGCCCAGGTTGACGAGGTCGTTGAATTGCTTGGGATTCAGCGTTATCCCAAGAATCTCGTCGACCTCCTTTTTCTTGTCAAAGTCCTTCATGTCCTCATCTTTAAGGTATTCCAAAACGGCATCCGCTGCGCTTCGCACGACTTCGTAGGGCACATCGCCGAGACTGCTCGCAACGAGGGTTAGGATGAGATCAAACGTCGCGCGCGTCGCGGCGGTCCGAGGACGGTATTGGATGCCTTCAATGGCAAGATCGGCCGCGCCTAGAATTCCGGTGCCCCGCAGCTGGCTATCAGCCTTGCGTTTCCTCTGTTCCCTTAATAAAACATCTCGGCCTTCTTGTATACTACCCCTCTCGACGTCTGGTAGTGCGGTGGGTTTCTTAGGTTTTGGCGCAGAGTCGGGCGCGACGCGGGAACCCATATCCTTGATGGTCAAACGGCCGGCGATAGACTCAGGCTCGCCAGTCGCTTTGTCCGTGGGCCTGTTGATGAGCCTCCTGTCCACCTTGAGGACAAGGTTAGACATGGCCGAGTACTTGTACTGCGACACATCTCGTGGGTCCGCCATGGTGGGCGATTTCGCGACGATGAGTCGGTGGTGATTGATGGGTTATTGTATGGCGCACTCGAATCGGGGCTGTTTGGGTCAGCTCTCCCGTCGTTTCAAGTAGCAGTCCTCTTAACGAGGACGCAGACTAGAGTGCACGGCAAGATATCGCGAATTGATGGGTTGAGGTTGAAAAGTTCATCCACTGTCGCCTACACCAAGGTATCGTAGATTTTTTTGAGGTGGGCGGAATTCTTATTGATGGTCTTCTTTGCTGTGCTGCGGTAGCCGTTGCGGGACAACGTCAACAGGCGCACCATCCAGGCCGCCGTACACAGTGTGGCACGTGACCACGTGTTGCAACATACGGAGCCCCGCCAGAGCCCGGCCACTGGAGCTATTAGTGCTCTTAGAAGGTGGACCAGCAACAACGCCCCACACACCACTGTAAGTCCCGCATTGATGAGAGCTTCCACTTTGACAAGCTGCAAGTCGAAGCTCTTCTTCCTCTAGGATTGGCCGAATTGTTGGGCTTTCCCAAGCGGCTCACTCAACCCGTAAATGAAAATCCCCTAGGAAGAAGAAAAAGGCAGCAAGTCTCTTATCACCCTTTCTCGTCATTCCTAGAATCTGGAATCTAACACCGAGAACGCAAGCTCGATATAACCGGCGTTCCTCTCTAAATCATCTGCCCAAAGCTTTGGGACACGATGCCCTCACCAGAGGAAACCGTGAAGCTCGTGCAGCAGAGCATGGCTGTATATGTAAAGCCCAGAGAGCAGGCCGAGCATGTCCGACGTGTCATCGCATATCATTTGCAATCGACGGTTGAGGGTAGCCGCCCTGGCGGGCCTCTTTGCCTCATCGACGCCTCGGCAAATATTTCCGAGCCATATCAAGGAATTCGCGGCGCCACTCAAGAATTCTTCAAGGCTTCGGCAGCCAACTCCAAAGCCTTGGAAGAGTTTGAGACTGTTCGAAAAGCCCACACTCAGCTGAACCAACCTGCCGGGCCTGTTATCAAACCTAATCGGTACGAGATTCTCGACGACAAGCTCCACCTGATCAACCAGCAAGAAAAGTCGGCTCGGCTAGGTACCCTGGAGCGGCACATTGATATTCTCTCGGAGAAGCCTGCTACAAATCCAGACTTCCTGTCTCTGAAGCCCATCTTCAAGGACCTTAGACCGCTCGTGAAGGTCCCTCGCGAGATTGTCGACAGCCTGGCAATGGACGAGAACGCGGACCGGCGCGATCTAGCCAGCTTAGTCGAAAAGTTAGACAAGGTCCTACTCAAATCCAAGCTGCTCCTCACGCGGGAAGAGCAATATCTCCAAACTCTCAAGTCACAAATTTCGCTGGACCCCAGATCCGTTACCCCCTCTGCCAAGGCTCGGGCTCTCGACACCACGCGCAATGAGCTCATCAACTGGATTGAATCGGAGCTAAGCAAGGCCTCGACCAACGCTGATGATTCAGATGCAGGCCACGACTCGGATTCGAGTCATGGTCCCAGTACCAGCGGCGAAAAGCCTGGCGAAGAAGATGAGGTAGCGAAGAAGACACGCCAAACCATAATGACAAAGCTGGGAACTGTTAAGGAGAGTTACCAACTCTATGTCGCCGCCCGAAAGTCTCTCGTGGCTGCACTGAAAGAGCCCGTATCCATGTCTGCGAGGCCCGTCGCAGAGCCGCCTGTCAGGCAACCGCAGGAGTCACCGGCCACGACTGAAGGGTCTTCTGGCACGGCATCATACCTCCTACTACCTTATCTCTCTAAACTATCCGAATTAACCGCAGCTCAGAAGGCCGTCATAGCATATAAATCACATTTCAACGTGGCACTCGCGAAACAGCTCAAAGAGGCATGCCAAATCATCGACCACTTAGTGCCAGAGAGCCAACTTCTTCCCCAATTCCCTTGGCCAGCCTCGGAACGAGCCAAACACTTGAATCCAGGCTCATTAGATCACTTGACAGCTGCCGTCTCAGACCAGCCAGACCTCTCAAGCCAGATCAAACCCTGGGTCTTTGCCTCGGATTCTGCCAGAATCGCAACCATGGAAACCGTGGCCGAGAGCATAGAGGATGGTCAGGTGGGCATAGAAAGCATCAACAAGACCTTGACCGAGATTGCCAGTCTGTTTGGAGAAGTAAATGGAGATTCAGCCTCAATCTCACAAGGCGATCCTTGGGCAGATCTGGCCCTCGACCTCGGCCTTCTAGGCCCTAAACCTCGACCCTGAGAGAAGTAGGTTAATTGTAGCATGGAGTAGCCACGACAACAGAAATAAGGGAGGGGACAAGGTAGGGGAGGTAGGGGAGATAGGGGCGGGACCACGAAACAAATAGGAATCTGGGCAATCTCCATTTTCCACCCATAGACTTTTATAAGACCAGTCTAGATCAATAGCAGTACAACGTGACAGTTCAAGTCCTAGGCAACCAATCCCTTTGAAGAAAAAAACGCCAACCGTGGTGACTCCTTCTACCCCATTTTCGTGAATCTTATCCTATTGACCAGCCATTATAGCAGATATCCTCAAAGCCATATCTAAGATTGATAAGTGCTCGCTGGCCCCATCAACCAGCCGTTTGTCAATTTCCGAGAAAACCATGACAATTTTGTTCTTCTGCTTGTCAGGAATTGTCTCGTCATAGACAATGGTTTGGTACAGCTGAGGGTGGGTTGGTTAGCCAACAGAAACCACACATCAGATACAAAAGTTGGGAGGATGTTGGCATCATACGTACCTGATTCAGGACCTGGCCAGCGCTCCAACCATCGGCAACCATCGTTTCGACCACTTTGGCAACTGGTGTGTACGCTGCACCAGTGCCTCGGGGCCTAATGGCTTTGACCAGCGTGTCGATCGTCGCGTCCGGTATGACACCAGCGATATCCTCAATGATCTTGGCAGTGACCGCTTTCTTCTCAACTTCCATTTCTTCATCCCCATCTTTATCCACGCCACCAGCCAAAGACCCGACTAACCGGGCAGCGCTCTGAAGAAAGGTGATGGCTTTTCGCAAATCACCCTCGCTACACTTTATCAGAGCGTCCAAGGCTTCGTTTTCCACCGGAACGCCTTCCTTCTCGGCGATCTCCCGAAGTCGCGCCTTGGCATTGGACTGATCCAAACTCTTGAATCTGAATTTACTGCATCGACTAGCCAGAGGGTCAATGATTCGAGTAACGTAATTGCAAATGAGACAAAAACGGGTGATTTTGCTGTATGTTTCCATGGTACGGCGAAGGGCACTTTGGGCATCTTGCGTCATTGAGTCTGCTTCGTCGAGGATGATGATCTTGAACGGCGGGCAGGGGTATTTCGACTTGTATCCAGGCGGCGGGTTCGTGAGCTGCATGCGAGCGAAATCTTTGACTTTTCTCTGACGATAGAGATACCGCGCTCATCCGAGGCATTGAGCTCGAGGACACGGGACTTCATGAGCTCGGGCCCATAGAGTTCTTTGCGAGCGCAAGAACCGTCGAGGTCTTACCCGTCCCAGGGGGTCCGTAAAACAGCATATGGGGCAGCTACAAGGAGAGAGGGTGTCAGGATCTGCTTCTAAAGGGACATCGAGGGGACGCCGGGGATTTAAACGCACATTGAGGCCTGCAATGTCCTTTGAAGGACGGCTGTCGTGTGATCCTGGGCGGCCACATCGCTAAGGGTCTTTGGGCGACTGGACACGAAGACGTATCAGCTCAATTCCGTACAAGTTTCATGGTGTTGCAGAGGCAACTGACTATTTCTCAACCCAGGGCTGGGCTCTGGGTGGTTGCCCAGACTTGTCGGACTTGTCCTGCTTTTGACCGCTCACGCCGTTCTGCTTCCTGTTTTTGAGGTCAAAGAAGCTCGCCATGGTGATCCTGGGCCCAAGTCAAGAGCTGTCGATTTAATGAAAGTACTATTCAGAAAATCGAATTATTCTCTGGCTCGGTGATGGAATCGGATAGCTGGTGGTAATTGTGGTCGATTTAGAAAATTCGGGGGTTTGGGCAAGAAATTCGAAGCAATTAAAGTCGGTGCAGTTGAAGTGTGACGCGTTGAGCGCGACTCAGCGCCAGCTGAGGTGAATGTGCCAACGCGGGGCTGTGGCGTCAAGGCCCGTTCACTATGGGAAAACTGGCTGTGCTCGCCAACACATTGACGCAAGCACCCTGGCAGCTTTGTTATCCCCCACTATTGCTATAACATTCCTGCCCTCAGCACTGGCTTAATTCATTGGCTCAGGCTTCCAGGTGCAATTCAATGGAATTGATAGATTGATCCTGGATGGATGTCAAAGAGGTCGATGGATTGATTCACAATAACCCCACCTCTTCTCATTCAGCCATGGTTTACTTAGTTGGATGTTCCAAGATCTTTATTTAGGGTAGCTTTCTAAAAGCGTATACCAAGTTTATACCAAGTTCTTCTTACTACGATGCTGTGGGTGTGCCTAGAGATGACGACAGACACACCTTTAAAGAACTTCACTTCTGTTTTCGCCATCCCAAGTGCCGCCTTTGCTGCCTGTTTTGAGAACCCCAAGGCATCTTTTAAGTCAAATCTAAGCCACCAATCTACAAGGTAGGATAGGAACATCAGGTTGGAGAAGAAGAAATTTAGTCTGGAAAATGAAGGCAAACACTAATCCTTAGTTTGCTAGAGCAGCAGTCGCGCCGTCGACAAGGCAGACCGCAGGGCAGCTTGATGAGCTGAGCCGAGCTTACTATGGATACTTGGTCCATCACCATTCCCGGAAGAGGCAGTTTCGTAGCCTTAATATCGCAGGCACGGCTCGTCCATCCAGGCTAGAGCGAATAAGAGCCACTACCAGTGACGGCCTTGGTTGCTCCTCGCTGACTGGGCCCGACCGAATCGGTTTCACCAGATTGATTGATCCAGCTCTGGGGCCACTGGCGCTTGTCCGCGCCTATGCTAGCGGGCCAATTGCTGCGAATATGCCCAACCAGTACATTCTACAGTACAAATTTGTAAAGTGGTACCCACATGCACCTGTACACTTGCAGTGTTCAGATGGGGTCGGGCCATTGAATCCCAGCCTCCAAAGCCCTGCCAGGAGCCGTGACTGCCCTCATTGAGGATTCATTGAAAGTTGCCCCGCATCACCCCTCCTTCCCCGAACAACTGGAAGATTGAAGCTTTCCCAGCCTGCGGTTGCCTGGGCTTGTAGTTTCGGTCTTTCTTTCATGCCCTCGTGCTACAACGATACTTCACTCCTCACTGTCATCAATTTTGAGGCTAAGCCTGGGAGCAAAAGGTGCCCACCATTCCACTTCTCGTTTGGAGATATGAATAGCTCTCCCTCCCATCTACCATCTACCATCTACCATCCTTTAACTCTTCAATCGCGCAACCACTCCAACCCCACCACTTCAGCCTCTAACTGCACCAGCTTTTCTTCACTCAAGAACATCTCATCTTCCCATAACTTCGGCCTATCTCCCAAACCATCCGGCAATCTCAGCCGCACCCGCCGCCTCGAGCGAGGTCATCCGTCATGGCTGACCAGTCGATTATCCGAATCACCAAGGTCAGTGTGTCCGCGCTCAGGCCGAAGTGCAGCGGAGGAGCACCCCGCAGCCCACGCCCCACGGAGCCGAAGCGCTTCCCCAAAACCACAATTCTCTCCCCAGACTGCGCTTTTCGACCTCAAGACTGACGGTCTTGTTTTAAAATCCACAGGAGCTTTGTGACATACAAAAGGATTCGGATTTATGTGAGATTTGTCTTTGTTTCCCCACTAATGTCTTCTGACCTGTCGTCGGTTTGGTTTGCATCCGCTGACCCGAGCTCCCCTCCGAATTCGCAGCTCTCGCCGTCGCATGCCGAGATTCAGATGTCCGAAATGTAAAGGCCTTGATCATAGGACCCCATGAGACCCCTTATGAATTCGGCTTCTTTGAGGTACGCCTAAGCCGAGCTTTGGGTAGCTAGGGAGAGGAGAAAAAGTGCTAATGTCTCCCCTCGAGTAGTTCACGGCCAAATTTAACAAAGGTTCGTCATTTCGACTCGACTCTCGCCCTCCCATGACTTTGCCATGAATAGCCTCGTCTACAGAAATGAAAGCTGACTTTGGGCCTCAAAGAGTATCCTAGAAAGTCACCCAATGTTACGGCAATCACGACAAATGCGGGTCGGTGTCGGTTCAACCCTAACATATATTCCAGTGGCAAGGTTTGCCTGTGAGATACCCTTCTTATCTGCAAGTCCCTTAAGCGAATCTCAACTAACTCCGTATAGATCCATCTTAGGGTTCGTTTTTTTTTTTTTGGCTCTTCCTCGAGAGTCCCCCGTGCCCCAACTAATCACAGCCGCCGTCCCGTCTTTATCCGGAACTAACCACTAGATACTAGGACATGGCGTGGCGAGAGAGGCGAGGAATGGTCAGCAGCCCAAGGACTGGAGTCTATACTCCTCTCCATCCAAAGCCTCATGTCTTCGAATCCGTATGAGAACGAGCCCGGGTTTGAAGATGCGAATGAGCTTTCCGATAAAAAGAATCAGGCCGACTATGTACAAAAAGTATGTGGAGCGGAGCATGGATAGTTACTGTGTTCGATATGTGGGCGTATCGTGCTAACAATAGTCCTAGATTCGGCACGAAACGCTTAGGATATCGGTGATGCAAAGGATGGAGGAATACCTTGGGCTCGCCGCTGACGGAACAACATCTGCGGCATCCAAGTCTGCAGCTTCCCAGCAGGATATCGATATCGACATGCAAGATATCGATGAGGCTAGCGTGCCGTTTGAGCCATTCAAAGACTTATGCAAGCAGCGCTTTTTGTGGTATTATGAATCGTACCTCGCTGCTGCGAAAAAGGGTAAAAAAGAGGTCAAGGACGGGCAGCCCTTTGCAAGGATGCCCTTTGAAGGTCAAAGCAATACGATGGACGGAAAGTTCAACTACTCGGAGCTCGAACGCCGTATTCGCAATGTCAAGAAGGCCCTAGATGCCGAGCTCCTGGTGTGGGCTGTAGAAGGGGCCAAGGAGAGCGCCAGGGAGGGAACGATTGCGGTCAACTTGCACAACCAGTACCAACAGGTCATTGGCGCGTTCAAGGCAGACGACATCCCTCACCACGTGCAACTAGAGAATGACAACCCCTTTGTATGGGTGATCACGTATTTCGGACCACCAATGACCAACCTGGATGGCGGCTTGTTCAGAATCAAGATGCATTTCAGCCCTCGCTTCCCAGAAGAACAACCGCGCGTTCGTATGGAAACCAAGATATTTCATCATCGTATCGCCGCTGATGGCACGATCTGCTATTTCCCCAACCACACTAAGCGCGAGGATGTCCGATCGCACATCGCAGCCATATTTGCTACGTTGGAGGAGGAAGACCCAGCCTACGACCCGCGAACGATTGTGAACCCAGAGGCCCATGCCTTGTATTGGGGGAAGCCCGAGGATAGAAAGGCGTATAACCGCCGCCTAAGACGCTCGGTGCAGAAAAGCATGGAGTAAGTGTTGCTTTCCCCTCCATACCTTGAATATGGTAATGGGTGATGTGACGGGGGCTTCCCTTGCTCATTCGTTGGTCCATGTTAACATTCTTTTTCAAGGGACTTTCCTGAGGCCTAAATATCAGGGCATGTAACCGAGCGAGATACCTCCCCTGTGGAAGAAGGGGGAAATCAGTTTGAGCAAAGTCTTCTCTTATCCGACTTGAAATTATGATATCCGGACACCCTTCGAAAGAGTATTGTGTTGTCATCATCTCTTCCATCCTCTATCCACCAAAGGTACGATCCATGATATTATTTGAGCGCGTTCGTCATTTATACCGAACAGGCCGGGATGTTCTATCAGGCAGGTCGTTAGTTGCAGCGGGTGCCCAGGCGTTTACTCTATCTTGTCTCTTGTGTGGTTATGACATCGATATCCCCTTCTTTTTAGTATTTTCAGCTTTCCCTTCGCTTCCATCCAGCTTGTTGTTCTAGCTCTTTCTTAACATATCAGGTTTTAATCATCGTACACGATCCTATCACTGCCAAACGGAGGCATATCCGTGTGTCTGGCGGCTGGGTCGTGGTTGGTGTGAGAAGCGGCCATCGGCCTTAGAACTTGGCAATATGGATCTAGAGCGCGGCCCGCTCCGTCGACGTAACCTTACATACGTCGAAATAAAACAAAGCGATGAAGGAGGGGCATTGTTCGGGTTCGGACATGTCAGGAAAGGAAACCGGACTTCGCTTTTGCTTTTGCTTTCTCATCATTTTCTTGCTTGTTCTCATTCATACCTAGCGTAACTACTCTAGTTCAAGCCACCCACCTAAACGCCAACCCTCAATAAAATTGTAGAAAATAGGATATTCCAAGCCGATCCAGGTCGTTTATGGTCGTAACGTTACAAGTCGTGATTTAAATGAGCAGCGTCACCGTATGGCGGGAATGGCCAAAGCCCCGGCATTACCTCCTAGGAACCTTTGGCTTTTTCCCGACAAGCTTATCCCTACCAGGAGTGTATGGGGCGGCAACGCCAATGAACTGCGTCTTCTCCCCATCTCCCTTGAACTCATATGTCCCATCTGGCGCAAAGGTGGCGGGGGCACCCTGAATTGGGTTGGCCTTTTGATCCGCATGTAACTTGTCGAGGGACTCGCCCACAACGGCGTACTTTGCCCAGTTGATGGGCGGACACCTAACGACGTCCTGTCTCCCCGGCAACTTCCTCCACGTGGGGCCCTTGTCGGCCTTTGTATCGTTCTCATCACTATCTTCGTCGTCGTCGTCATCGTCGTCACCAATCGGCCCCGGCCCCAAAGCACCCGTAGTGCTCACCCTTCCGGAGATGAGATCTTTGACGAAGCCCTCGGTGTCCCTGAGGGCGTCGTTCTTGGCACGGCTCAGGGTGCGGATATCTTCCTCGGCGCGGCGCCTCTGCATCTGCAGGACCGCAATAGCGCTCTGCAGGGCGAGCGTGTCGGGGTTCTCGTCAAATGAGATGGGTTTCGGGGGCGGGAGCGGCACGCCGACCTGGTTGGGCTGCGCGTGGGCAAAGGTTTGCCGGGGAGGGAGGGAGGCCATGATCTCGCTCGCCGTGCGCGCCCCCGCGGAGCTGCCGCCGCCGCCGCCGCCGCTGCTGCTGTTAGTGGTCGCTGCGGAACCAGCGGGTGGCGCGCCCGGCAGCTTGGTAGCCGTCGGGGCCGTGGCGAGGCGGGCAGGCGCGAGCGTGGGTGTTATGGGGCTGACGGGTGGCCGGGGCGGAGAAGAGCTTCGGCGGGAGGCGGTGGGGGTGGCTCTGCTGTCGCGGGCGGTGCCGTGGCCGTCATCGCGACGGGCTCGGGGATCTGGGAGAAGGCGGCCGGGGCGGCGAGCGCGGTCGTCGTGGTCATGTGTGCTGTCGTCGTCGTAGTCGACGTGGCAGGGACGATGGCGGGGGCGATGGCGGGGGCGGGGGCGGGGCCGCGACCGGAGTCGGGGTGGGGATGTGCGAGAGGGACGAGGTGTCTATCGTGAGGTTGAGCGGGGCATGAGGTGGTGGTTTTGGTGCCGGCGGACGTTTTGATGCTTCATTTTGGAGAGGTGGTGGATTACTTGTCATTTCCTTGATCTCGGGAGGGAATGGAACAAGACTAGAAGGGAAGTGGAAGTAGAAGAGAGAGAGAGAAAGAAGAAGAAGAAAAAGCGCTAGTGAGTAGAGAAGAGAAGAGAAGAGAATCTGGTAGTTCACGCGGCTGCTGCTGGAGTGGGTTCGTTTCGTTTGCGCAAATGTAAAGTTTTGGCTCAGGATTTAGGCAGGTGGTTTGCGATGCAGAGACGTTCAAGTCGATTTACTCAGCTGGTGGAGTGGTGGCCTGGCCCGGCCGGTATGGTGGGGTTGGTAGGTGCGATGGAGGGGTAATACGTTCCTTGGCCAAATTGAAAATATGTGGTGTGGCGCACTACGACGGGTATATTGGCCTGACGAAATCTCATCAACAGACTACGTTACCGACGCCACCTCGAAATTCTAAGCTTGCACATAGGTTCTAATACTTTATTTATAAGATGTTTGCGCTAGATTGTTTTTCCTTTAACCCCATCTTTCTTCTTCTTTTTCTTGCTTGCTTCCTTCCTTGGTCTAAACGTCGGGTCTGTTTATACGCTGCCATTGTTTATAGAATAGACTTAGTTGGATTTTCCCATGCGTCATAGCCTTATATTTGATCATTGTAGCGCCGCCGCTTTTCCGATCTGGAAGATTTCTCCTGTATGGGCGTCGTCACTCCTCAAGACGGGCCATGAACTTCCGTCAGCCTTGAAAAGCGTAACTTCTAGTTTGGTGCCGAGAATCTTAAACGCCGTCTTCTCGGGATCAATGGTTGCGAAGAGGGGGATGGTGGCGGTATATCTCTTGGGCGTCGGATCCGAGGTTACGAGGTCAAGGTTAATGGCTTGGTCAACAAACTCCACCACGGACTTATCCTTGACAATCTTCTTGAGGAAAAAGGATGCGATGACTGTTGTCGCGGTCTGGTAGAAGTCGGTCCTATTTGTAATGAAGCAAACACAATCATTAGACAACCCTGCCTTGTTGGATTTGAGGGATGGATGTGAGCCATACCTGACAGTCTTAAGCACTTCCTCTCCTCCTGTAGTCTTGTTATCTTGCTTCTTGCTTCCGACAAAAGGTGGCGGTTTTTGGTCTCGCAACCCTCCATGTTCATAAACTGGTCGAATTCTAGCACCCGCCGCTTGCAGCACGAGTACCCCTTGCTGCCTTCGTGGAAGATGGGCACGCCGGGGTGGTGCACGCACGTCTCGCCGTCTCTCGAGCTTCCCGCCTCGTAAACCGCACTACACCCTTTCCTCTTGCAGGCGGCCCCGGCGGGAACATCGACACCCGGCTCGTCTTCTTCGGACTCGGGGACCAGGGGGAGGGGTGGGCACGTGCTGCGGGGCGGCGACTGGCCTCCTCGACGGTGCGTCGGCGGCGGCGGCAGCGTTCAGCTTGTCGATTTTGGAGGCGAGTTCGGCGTCTGTGGTCTGCTGCTTCTTTTCGAGCTCGGGCGGCTTGTCTGTGGTTGAGTGCTTACCCTCGGTGCAGGGGGATTGTCATGAACTCCTCAAAGGTGAGGACGCGGGGCTTGCAGCACTTCCAACCTAGTTCGATCATGTCCCCCTCGGGGCGGAATTAGCTACGAATCCCAACTCCCTTCTCTTCTCGCCATAGAGTCGACTTGTCGAATTGGAGGGTTACTGCTCGCCACCTTCCGTCTCGCGCCTACGAAGTATGTATGACAGGCACAACTCACCTTTTTGTCCTTCGTGGAAGATTGGGGGCCGGGATGATACCGGCAAACATCATCTGACCCTTCCTCGAACAATTTGCCGCATCCCTGGTGTACGCATTTGGAAGTCATGGTAGCGGCTCTTAGTGCAGCTCGAGAGGAGAGGGGGACCTCGGACTGGATTGACGCTCGGTGATGCCCCACTATACGAAGGGAGGGAGGCTAGACAAATGAGAATGATTCTCTGTCGAGCTGAATAGGACTTGTGAACCAGAATTCTAAACTTGGTTTGTAAGGGGGATTGGAGAGGGCGCGCGTATGTTAATGAGAAGACAGCTCGGGCGGGCAAGGTTGGTTCGAGAGATTCTGTCGAGTTCTAGAATTCATTCAGTCCAGTCGCAAGCCCAGTGAAAAGTTGCTGGTTCAATGTTCCGAACCAGGTAAGGTTTGGCGGGGCAGCACAGGGTTCAAATTCCGGATCTGCCCCAAGTGCCCGCGCGCATCAGATCAATCACCGTGCAGTTTGGCCAAGCTCCAAATTGCCTGGTGGGAGCTGAGAAGCCCGCTGCACTGGCTTGAGGGAGCTCTCTATTCTTCACCGCCTTCCCGATCTAGCCACGCACTGGCTTGTCTGGTGACGCAGATAGTAATGCTTCTGGACCGTGTTGATGGCGGCTTAACCGTTGACTTGGAGCGAGGGGGTTTTCCTTTCTTTTAGATCAATTTTTTTCTTTTTAGGAGGGATATGTCAATTGATCATTATGAGGTGTTTTCTAGCCATCTCCCTCATATAATGAACTAGGAAACCGATCTATTTTTGTTATACAGCGATCTTCAATCATCGGGGTTGAAGAGCAAAGGGGGCGTGGTGGTGTTGAAACTTGGCAAAGTAATGAGCTATATTGTACATGTGGGCGATGGCATTGGCAACCATGGCCGGACATCTGATGGGCATTGCCATCGCTCGTGTCTGATTCCGTGGGGGAGTTCATTTCTTAGTTCATGCCCTCCATAAAGTCGATCCTGTCCAACACCATTCCCTTTTGCCCAATATATTCCCTCAGACACGCCCACTCTACACCGCCCTCCTCTCCATGCCTCCAAGTCTCCTTGAAGCCCCAGGCCATCGCAATCTTATCGAGCGCCGCACGCTCCTCTTCTCGCATCCAGCGCTCCCGAAGAGGGATACCAGGCGCCCAAGTCACCCGCACCATCTGGTCCATGACCGTCGCCTTAGCGATGAGTCCTAGGGAGCTGGTGAAGACGACGTAGGCCATGCCAAGCGCGAACGTAACCTTGGTCATCGTGACCGGATCGATGTTGTAGTGGAGATGGGCAAACTGTGACGAGATGGCGTAGACCGCGAACGGAGTGGGGAGAACGACAAGCGCGGGCAACGACATGGTTCGCATCAGCTTCTGCTTGACGAAAGGGCTGCCAGTGTAACAGGTTTCGACGATGCCGATCGCCGCGTCGAGGTCTTTGGCGGCCACGGCGGCGTCGAGAGCCTTGGCCGCGAGGTCGGGCTCGATGGCGGCAGCCGATCGCTTGGGATTCTGCTTCTTGTAGACGACGGCGTCACCGGATTTGACTGGCAACGACTTTGAGCCAAAGAGCGAGAAGACGTCGGGAATGGTGCTGGGCCGTCCCAGGCTGGACTGGATGTCGACGTAGAGCTCGAGGATCTCGGGTGTGAGCACGACGTTGGCGCTCGTGACGATCTCGTAGGCTGCATTGGATATCCTGCTTGCCGTGTCTTGTATGCGCGTTGATTCCTTTTGCGGCGGCTTTGTCTTGGATCCGTTGTTGTCGAGGGCCAGGAGCGTCGAGCTCGCGCTCGGCGGGGGCTTCATGTCCTTTCTGTTGAGGTGAGGCTTGATGGCACTGGCGGCGGTCTGGCACGTCCTGAGCGCCACGAGCGTTAGCTGGCCCGCAGGGATACCCCCAGCCGAGAGAAACCGATTCCTTGTTTGCTCAACGACGGTAGAGAGCTTCGTAAGATCCGGCACGGCCTTGTTCTGCGTCGTCGCGGTGGCAGTTTCCGCACCAGTTCCGGATGGGGCGGATACCGTTGCTGTCGCATAGCACCTCGGCTGCGAGGGCTGCCATATCCTGCTTGCGAGGGCCTGTCTCTGCCCCAATTTCGAGAAACATTGAATTGCGGCTGGTCCGCGCCGGAAAGGCTGGCTGGGAATGTGGTGGTTGAGGGATTGTCGACAAAGCTGAAGTGAGCGGGTGCCCTGGACCGCGAGTCGCGACATCGTGGAGATCGGGCGACCCGCCGAGGAGTCCAGATGGGGATAGAAAAAGGGGAGGGAAATCCCCGAACGAGATACTCCTGCCTTGAGAGGTCGATTTCGGTGTGGTGTAGTTTGCACTACAGTTGTCGTACGTTGTCGGCGCACTATTCAAGGTTCCTTAATTAGAGAATGGTCGTCGAGGAGCAGCCAGAGAAAAATTCATGGCACCAATCCACGTCGGCCTGTGCGCGATTGAAAGGCACTATGTACTAGTCTTCCCCACGAACTCGCTCGAAAAGTATGTACCCACAGGTTTCCTCACTAATGTTTTTGGTCTGGAAGAGACTCGGTGGTACCTTCCCTGGAAGAGCCCGGCAACCTCAATTGAGGGATCATTGAGGAGGCAAAGCCAGGTCTGATATTGAATCAAGGTGCATTGGATCGGTGCCTACAAAGCATCAAAGACTGGATCAATCTTGAGCTCTCGCTTCATATTGCTGCATTGAAGGCGCGCATTGAATCCCCATTTGGTTCGCAAGCACCAAGATGAACCAAAGAAAAACGAACCCGATTAGTTGAACTGGTCACTTGCATCCTGTGCTGGCTATCAAATCAGCCCGTGAACTACCAAGTCAGCGGGCCCTGACCGAGGAGATGGTACGTTGGAATGCATGGATCATTGCAGTGAAGAATAATATATTGAGTGCCTCTCCTTTTCTCGTGCGACATTGACGTTGGCGGTTGAGGTGCTTGCTTAGGCTGCGGCGTTGATCAATGCACCCAGGGCCCCGTGCATACGCTCAGGAATAGCGCCCAACCCACTAGATGACGAAACCTCCCACGCAGCACTTGAGCACAGCCAATCTCATCAGGCTCCCTCCAACTCTCTTCTCACGTCAAACCTTGAGCCTTCCTCCTCGACCTGCGCCGACCTCGAATTGCCCACCTCCAAACCCCCTTTTCCCCCGACCATCACCATTTTGGAGAATTCCGCATAACAACACATCCTCTCTCTATATTTTTGGAAACTTTCAAGCCTGCGTCCTTGCACCTTTGAGCAAACCTACTTGGGTAACCCGCAGCCCTGACCCAAAACCTAGCCCAGAGCCGCGCCGATCGCTCCATTCCAGCTCCAGCTCCGGCCCCAGAGACCTCGAGATTCAAGACCGAGTATCGTCGCCCGAATTTGCACCCCCACCTCTTTTCGAGGGACGTCCTCGTAGATACCAAAGCCCACGATGCCTCCTCCACCTCCTCCACCTCCTCCACCTCCTCCACCTCCTCCCCTCCCCCATGTTAGGGGCCCTCCTCCCCCTCCACCACCGCCCGGAGGCTTGCCCTCCCGACCGCCGGCTGGCGGTTCTAACAGGGTATATCAACAGTCCTCCTCCAGTTACTCCTTTGCCGCCTTGAAAATCCAGCGTACTGACACTTCCTTTGACATCTAGAATGCCCTCCTCACCGATATTACGAAAGGAAGAGCCCTCAAGAAGGCCGTGACCAACGATCGCTCAGCTCCTCAAGTAGCGAAGGAATCTGGCGGAGCCGGTGGAGGCCCTCCGATAGGCGGGGCGCCCCCGATCCCGGGAATGGCGCCCAAGCCTCCGGGTGGACTCGCGCCCCCATTCCAGCCACGCGAGCCCGAAGCAACAGCGACCAGGGTGAACGAGGTCATAAGGCTAGTGGGAGCCTTGACGGCGCCCCTCAACTAGGTGGACTCTTTGCGGGAGGCATGCCAAAGCTCCGAAAGCGTGGTGGCGGTGTTGACACAGGCGGTAACACTCCCCCTCACTTCTTGTCCTTTTCCTCTTTCTCCTTTTCTTCCGACTTCTCGGCCTTGCCCCCTTGTGCTTGGACGATATCTCCAACCGGCGACTCCTTCTAACGCATTTCTTTTGCTAGCAACTTCGAGCGCATCATATCTCTCAGACTCCGAGACTATTGCTTCTGCTCCACGGCCCCCACATCTGGAGCCCCGAAGCCTCCGATAGGAAGCGCGCCATCGCTGCCAGGTCGACCTACACCTCCCGTCCCCTCGATTGCGGCCCTTCGAAAGAACGTCAGCGACGTAGCGAGGCCACATTCCACAGCGTCATTAAAGGGGCCGCCTCCCCCATCGGCAAGAAACCTCCACCTCTTCCTGTGTCTCGCAAGCCCTCTGCTCCACCCTCCCACGCCCCTCCTCTTCCTGGTGCCCCGGCACCGCCGCCACCGTCTTCATCGGCTCCCCCACTACCTCCCCGGCGCCATCAAGGCCGCCACAACCAGCTTCCCGCTCACCCGCCGCACCGCCGCCCCCACCACCACCTCCGGCACCCTCCTCATCATCTCCGGTCGGTGTACCTCCCCCGCCCCGCCCCCGCCGCCTTCATCATCCGCCCCTAGTATAGCGGTGCAGGCAGCGATCCGGGCGGCTGGCCAAGCCTCTCCCTCCTCGGCACCTCCGCCACCGCCGCCATCTTCTGCACCGTTGCCGCCTTTGGCGGCCCCCTTCCCGGTCCAATGTGCCGACCCCTCTACGCGCCTCCATGCTTGACCCCAGCTCTTTTACTCTTGGCCCTAACGGTGCCAAGAGCCCAAGCCCAACCAAGGGTATGGCGTCGCCATCTTCCGGAGGTCGGTTCGTGGTCGACGACAATCGTTGGAGATTCAAGGATGAGAAGTCCCTTCCACCCCCTCGTCCCTTTGTTGGGGGTCCAAGAAATACCGCGCCGGCCGTGGAAGCAGCGTCCCCCTCGACTTGAGCGCCCTTGGATAATCTTCTTATCCCTTGCTGGCCGTCGTCAACCTCCCCTCCGGCCACCTAAGCGTGTTCCCCACGTTAACTCTCCACCTACGCCATATATAAGTAAAGCAGGAGCCATGAAGGCCCCCCGCCTCCCCCACCTTTTTTCTTTCTTTTTTTTGGTAACGAGGGTAAAGTGGGCTAGGATAGGACTTCATATGTAGCATCTTTCTCTCTCGGTAAAGGTATAGATAGCCCGGAGTTGGCATAGATCCCAGAAGCACAAGGCTGAAATGACGGCAATCAAATGGTTTATGCGAGCCCGGGATAGCGGGGAAGGGGTATGCCTAGCAATACTGTGGGATATCTGGGCTACTTGGTTGGAGGTTTTGCAGTCCCTTTTCTTCTTCCCTTTTTCTTTTCCACGTGTCCGTCGTCTTTTGGTCAGTCATGTCACTGTTTCTAGTGGCCTTTCTTTCTCATTTCGGAGGTAGGGCGCTAAAAGTGAATATAGATATGTCTTTATTGTGTGTTCGTGGACCTATAGGAATCTCCCTCTTTTGGGAAGGCCATGGGTCTATGTGCAAGAGAATTTCAAGAGAGCATTGAAGAGAATAGTGCGTTCGTTGTGAACCATCATCGGCCATCTGCCTTCAACAATGTCCTGTTATATTTCACCCCATGGAGGGAAATGGTATCGAATACGGATGGCAGCCATCTGGCCGGCTTTGATCCGACTTGTACAAATGAGATCCCATATTTTTCATCGTGTGTAAATCCCCTCCTCCTCTTGCAAAGGACCAGAACAAACTAGCCCAAATTATTCCAAGCGTACAAATCTGGTCTCATCGAACTGAAAAGAGCCTCTTGTGACGTGTCGGTCGTTTCTCATCAGTGCTTGACATGTCCCATTAACGTCAGTCCGTCAGTCGTCTCCCCGCCTCGCCCTGGAATTGTTCCTACTACATCCTCTCACCTGGTGGTGATTTCATCCCAAACCCCTTCGCTACTGGTCCCCTAAAAGAACCAATATATATATATATATATAAACCTGCTCCTTGGAGACAGGGTTAAAAGTCCAAAAAATATAGAAGGAACAAGATGTAACGCCTTTTTGCGCCTCCCGGAATGCCCACGTCTCCCATTTCAATCGTTCAAATTATTTCCCGGTCTCTCGGTTGTTGCGTCAGAGGGGATGGGAATGATAGGGAAGTAGAAAAAGCTGGACGGAAAAAATGGGCGGATGAAGGAAAAAGAAATGGACAAAAAACTAAAAAGGAGCAGCTCCGGTGTGCTCGTGTGTACGGTTTGCCGATATCCTGGGTGCGTAGTGAGGTCGTTACGAGGCAGCCACCGTCTTCCCGACTGCCGCTCCCCACTTGAGGCGTCGTAGGCCGCCTCCAGAAGAATGCATAACCTCCCTCCCGCAGGACGTAGTGTCGGATGCGTTGAAGCTCGTGCTCGCGGAGGCGAGGACTTCCTGCTTCCCTGCCTCGCGGCCGATGACGTATCCCGCGCCAAAGCCTACAACGGAGACGAGGACCACCACGCCGGCACTGAAGACCCAAGTCATCAAAGTCGGGCTAAGAAGGGCGTCATCCGCAACGGCGGTTCTCTTCTTCTTGCTCGCCCTGGTGCCTCTGCTAATTGCAGAGGCACCCCGCTTCGACTTGTCTGGGGTAGACGCTCCCCTGCTCGACGATCTCGCGGGAGAAGAGGGTCCGGAGCGTGGGTGTCCTGGCTGGGTAGGCCTGCCAGGTTGAGCTGTTGACTGCCCCTCGTTCATAAGTTCCGACTCGGGGACGAGTCTCAACCCTAGGGGCTGGTTAGATGTGGCAGCGCCGGCACCAGTTCCAGCACTTCCCGGAGAGCCGCGGCTCTTATCCGCTTCATCCTTGTACTTGGGAAGACCACGGGCAGCCGCGGCGCAGGACAAGAGTGTTGTGAGCGAGGCACGGAGTGCGGCGTCGTTGTCTGCCTGGGACAGGAAATCGGGTTGATGGTGGCCCCGGTGCACGCGGGTCTGGGCCCGCTGGGCCAAGTGCGGGCGGTTTACGCTACTGTGCGGGTGGGAGGTTACCGTCGTTGTGGAAGAATGTCTTCTCCGGCCGAGGGTAGAAGGAGGGTTCGAAAACGCATTGGGCTGGGGCCGGAATACGTGATTATCGGGGCCTCGGGTGCCTATCGCGGTTGCGTGGTCGTCGTCCGAGTCATCCGATTCGGAATCTGAAATAACAGGCTGCTGTAGCTGGAATCGGGGCGGCGGGGGTAGTTCGGAAGGGGAGACCTGTTCGGTAGAGCTAGCAAGGTTTCGATCCTCTTCGCTCTCGCTCGCCTCGTACTCCTCTTGGCTGCTAGCGCCGCCGGCTTGAAAGTGAGGATTCGCATGAGGATAGGAGTAACGCGCGGGATAGCTGCGTCGACGGTTGCGGGGCGGGTAGGACCCGGCGACGTGCAAGCCAACGGTGACAATCTCATCGCCGCCGATAGAGGATAACGATGATGAAGAGGGCTGCGAGGCAAGCTCTACCCATGACTCTGCGCAAAGGGGTTCCATGTTAGCTCAGGCATATCAAATTTCCAGTCTTTGTGCTCAGGATGTGGTGGTGACGACAAACCATCATTTCGGCGGTGTGATGCTGATGAGGCTGGGGCAGTGGTTGACGTGACCAACCGACGGCCTTGGCCGTGGCCACTCGAGTGCGGATCCATGCTGCGCAGGGGCGGGTTGGCAAAGGAGTTTCGACACGTATCTGCGTTGCGGGGTGATTTGGCAAATTCTGTTTAATAAAAGAAGGGTTCGTTCTGCAAATTTGAGATACCGAGAGGATAAATTCAGGTCATGAAAGGAAGTTTCTGTCGATCTGAAGTTGACCGGTCTTTCGTCAGGAGGGCGATGGGCTCGGGGCCTTTGGGTCGTTCGCGGCCAGGCTGTATGTGTGGGATGATGCAAGCGAGGGGAGGGGAAGGCACGTTCGGCGCGCCCAGCGACTTATCGATTTCCCGGCCCACAGTGGGCTTCTAGCACTGGAATCCAGAAATGTTGGGGAGGCGTTTTCGAGCCAACGCCGATGGCGGAAACCCCGCCTTTCCTTTTAGTGGAGCGTTGAAACGCGCCACCGCTAGAGGGGCGGTAGAAGATGCTAAACGCCCACAGTGACAACCACAGGCAGGGGTGTTATCGATAACGCCCGAGAGCAGATAAGGGGGAAGTGAGGACGAGTATGAGGGGGATAGAATAACGGATATGGGGAGAGAAGGAAAAGGTTTAATGAACCAAAGCAAAGCGAAGGATGTTTGGAGAGAGAGCAAGTAAGGTTGAGGAGCAAGGTGGGCGGGTGGGATGGGATTGGATGGCTGCTTTGTAATGTTTCGGAAGATTGATGTGTGCTGAGCTGTAGGCCCGGAGAGGAGGGGATGGGAATGCACACGACGACAGAACAGGCTCAGTGATCACATTGGATAGGCCGGATGCGGTAAGTGTCGAGACCCTCGCCGTGGCCACGCTGACGTGCTGTGTGTTACGCGCACTGGACAGAACGGCGGTGGGCATGTGGGAGGAGGGGGACTGGCCAAGCACCAGCAAAGTCTCCATGTACGTCTGGGATCTAGGCGATTGATGCACCCATCCATCCATGGATGCCTCCACGCAGGTGGCAGGTCACGGATGAACCTGGTGGATGGCCGTAGCAAGCGTTTAGTTGGCCGCCCAAATGCAAGAGAAACGCACTACATAATCCGCAACGAAGAACCGCCACTCACACAACCATCTCAGCCCGCAAGTCGCCCCGGCCCAAGGAGAGACCGAGAGCCATCAATGTTTGCAATCAAGTCACATCCATGCCACATTGGCTTAGTCGAGAGATCGAGTCCATCTTTGATGGATCTATTATGAATGGATGGCTTCAGGCCTGCGCTGTCTACCTGGCTTTCACTGCCTTGCTGGGCCTCCGCACCATGAAGAACGCGAGACCATCTGATGAAATGGATCAATTTACGACTCAGTGCGGATGGCTTGCTCTCAGCTTGGCCAGGCCACACCCTGAATTCCCGTCCAAATCGAGAGCTCAATACCCAACCAGGCTTGCCAACAGGTCGTCCAACTAATCTATGATTCTATTTTTTTTTTCGTTTTCGGCCAGAGGGTGACATGCAGGGGCGCTAGTACTAGATACAGAGAAGTCGCGTGAGTTGCTGGCGCAGGGAGGTTCCGACCACCCTGGAGTAGAGAGGCGTGGACTGCTTCTGCTGCGGCCTTGAGGGCGAAAACAGGCGAGACTATGGATCTCCCTGGCAATCCGTTGATTTGTGTCTGGATTGAGTATCAGCGGTTCATCAATCAAATGACTAAACTGTGACGACAGCGTCTGGTTCTCACCCGCTCAGCGACGGCTTGCCAAAAGTCTCAAATCTATTGCCTTTTGAATCCATCCACAATCCACTATACACCCAGTACCCGACATGGGTCGATTATGACTTGCAAATGCCGGGCAGCCCTATCATGATAGCGGGCTCGCGCTCTTGACTGTACTTCTTCGCGTCAACACGAAGACACGAAACCACCGGTGTACCCACATTGATCATGATTGATACACAAACAAGCCCCCGGAGGTGGCGTCTACCGCCCAACCAGCGACTTGGCATGGCACAAGCATCTCAGCCTTACACCCGCTGGCTATCCATCCAGGATGTGCATTTCTTGATGCTGCCTCCTGAACCCCCAGCATGCGTCGACCGTCGCCAATCACCAACTTCCCGGAAGACTGCTCGCTCCTTTCTTTTTCGTGCTCCTTTTCGTTTTCTTTGTTTTCCTTTTTCCTTTTTCAAGAGGAAGCCATTTTCACGACTCATACGGGAAATAGAACAAAGACAAAAATACCACCACTTTTGCCCACAAAAAGGGGCATTAGTGGTGCGCAAGAAGACGATGAAATGGGACCATTTTTTGATCTGCCTGTCCATGCGACAAATGTTCACTCCACAAGTCTACCCGGTGGAGGGTCACGAAGCCCTCAGCGCTCGCTACACCCACGCGGTGCGCACACCACCAGAAAGACGCGGGCGTGACCCCGAGAAATGAGTGCGCTAGTTTGCACACGTCTTCGCAGATGACCGTCAATCACCTCCTCGGCCCCCCTTTCCCTATCCACGCAACGCAATACGTGTAGACACTCTTTTCTCGACCTAGGGTTTTTCTTTTCTTATTAAAAAAACTCCCTCTTTGTGTATTTCCTGAGCCTTCAAAGTTGGCTTCCTTCTTCAACACTAACCTGCAAGCCCAGCTGAAACCTCAGAGTTGCGATTTCGGCCTCACCTTTCCCGCCCCAGGTCGAGTCCAGTTTTCCCCTCCCCTCACTTGAAAGAATGACGTAGCTGAACCAAGCCTCACCCAGCCCCACGTGTCCCCCGCACGCACCATTGACCCGTGGCTGGCCCTTGTCCCGTCCCCCATCGCAGTGTGATTGATCTATCCATTCTATTGATAGCTTTCCTGATTTACGTGCGTGACTGACCCCAAAAGACGAGTATACAAAGTTGCACTCATTGATACCTGTACATTTAATAGAAAGGCGGGAGGTCCTTTTCTGGGGAACCTCAACCTTTCTTGGTCAACTCCCGAGTTCTGCATTGTTCAAAAGATTGATCCATTGACGATATTGGTTTCGTTCCAAAGCTACTTTAATCCTACACAACCAGACCGCTCCGAGAGAATACTGTAATAATCATGAGGCGCTTCAAAAACTGGTTCAAGGGGTATTGACCATGACCGACACCTCCTGTAAATTCCAACCACGACCAACCACGCTGTGCATAAACCATTAAACCCAATTCCAAACAGCTCCCAGCTAGGAAAATGCAAGAGCAGCCCCCAACAAGTACACAAGATGTTACCAAGGAAAGTAGCCATGTTCGGATGCGAACGTAAAGAGAGAAAGAGAGAATGATAAAAAGAAAGAAAACCAACCCACTAGGTCTCCATGCTGGATCGAATGCTGCGAGAAAAACATGATGGTGATGGCAAAAAGCCATAGGGCAACAAGCAAGTGCGATGGAAAAAGCAAATGAACAAGGCGACCTAAAACCTCTCGTCAAGGTCCCGGAGCCGGGCAGTTGGGGGAGGGGGAAATTAAAAAAAAAAAAATGGAATGAGGAACACCCAGCTTCAGCATCTGGCGAGGAAGCTGCCATTTCTCGGACGTGGTATGGCGGTACGACTAGGCCAGTCCTCGCAAGAGGAGAATCGGAAGTAAAAGATATTACCCAGGATCGAGGGCCCCTTCAAGAGGCTGCTATACAGGTAGTGGGGCGTTGCGTTGGTTTCGGTTAACGGTAAGTTGGCTTAACGAAAGAGTTCTTGCCGCTTTCTTCCGGTTTCCCTCGCCCTCATCATCCCGCAACTCTTCCCCAAACGCCCCGAACCCGAGAGCCTTGTCCTCCGCGGGAGTCTCGTATATTTCGGATTGCGTCTCCTCATCCGTGTCCCCGTGTCCCGCCACGATACCCGAGTCTTGCGGTCTAGCTGACCATCTCTTAGGCGACACCGTTCGACTCCTAGGACCGCTGACTTGCTCGCCATCATCTTCCTCACTCGAGTCATCGTCAAACGCTGACTGGCCACCAAGCGATCGAGACGTCATCGGTTCATCAAACTCGATATGGATACCCGACTGCGCTGCCATGATGTGGAGGGTTCGTGAGAGCTTCTTGACCCGAACCTCCAGAGCTTTGCGCGTGGAACGCTCCGACTCGACAATTGCCAGGAGTGTTGCATATTGGTCGGCCGTGGGGTTACCGTTGAGTTCCGCGCCGTGCGACCCGACGATATGGCTTCCCGGACCGTAGAGTTGGACGCCGATCTCGCCCCCGCCTGCTGCTGCACGCTGACAGGGGGTGGAGAGACCCGGAAAACCCCACCGGTTCATCCACGGACGAGCGGGAGTCGATAGATGAGGCCAGATTGTCGTACGATTCTTCATGCGATGTCGTTTGATATAAAGATGACGCAAATGGGGCCGTCGTCCCTGTGTAAGTGGCCGACACATCCGACGCATCCCGGGGCATCTCTCCAAGGTCGGAAACCGGTTCCGCGCCGTGGGGAGGCTGGTAGAGCTTCGCGACCGCCTTCTCCATTCTGTACATCCGTGTCTCTAGACCGCCGATACGACCCTCGAGGGTGGCGGCGTGGGTAATCTTCATGCCGGCCATCTCGTTCATCTTGTCCAGCGTCCCAAAATGAAAAGGCTCCACGGGAGGCCCAGCTGGTAAGTTGGCCTCGCCAGGAGATCCACCGAGACCACGCCCGTGTCATCTCCCTCGGGCGCATTGGACGAGAGGGGCGACATGAAGCCAGGGTCGTAGCTTTCCCTCCAGTACCGAATTTCGTCACTGCGCCGACGGCCCTCGGCCATTTGAGACACTTCGATGTCGTGAAGGCCAGACAAGCTCCTTGAGCGCCGGCGGAAGCCCACCATATCACTGGTAATGGCGCGACCAATCTCCTCGGGATCATCCACATCACCCGGAGCTCGTGTGCTGCGGCCGTGTGTGCTGGCAGGCCGAGGGGATAGACCAGCTAACTCGGTCTCCCGGCTTCGCTGCGGGGCGTACAGCTGGCTGTTTGTGGTGGCTGCCCTCCGTCTCGTAAAGTTGTAGTCAACGTGAAGAGAATTGCGCGCACTCTCAATAGCTGTGATGTCATCAATCCCAACGGAATGGGATCGCAAGGCCCGGTCGTATTCGGTAATCGGCAAAGAGGCCGAGCGCTTCGGTTCGTCATCTTTGGCTACACGGTTCAGCGCCGAGGGATCCTGTCGTTGAACATTAGTATCGCGGTATCCCCTTGCGCCATTATCAAGCACTTCACCAAGATGAGATCTTGTGCGCCTTGGCGCATCATTGGCAACGGGGAGGGTGTGTCTTACGCTTCTATGTTGCGTGGAGCTGATGCCGGCTCCATCCGCCTCGGCCGAGGCTTGGCTCCCGGTCTTCTTTTACGGCCAAACAGTTTGCTAAGCGCACCTCGTATTGTCGACTTCTTGCGCTGAGGCATGTCTTTGTTGCTCGTGTGCCCAGTCCTCTGCGACGAAGCACTAAAAGTGGAGTAGCGCATTTGCGCGGATTGGTTTGCGCTCCTCTGCGGCGAATTTCGGCGCACGTCGGCCCTGAACTCGGCTCCGCCGAGGTATCGCGTCTCGAAGATGACGGCGGGCTATTATTGGGGCCGGCAGCGTGCTCAGGTGCGGCGGGGAGTTTGGGGGCAGAAATTAGTGGGCCCTGGTGTAAGGAGGTGGTTGAGTCGCTGTGAGAATAGGCCTGTGGAGGGGTAGGCGGTGGAGGTAACTGCGCCGGGGGTTGGCAGTCTCCGGGACGGGGCACCGGCGGCGATAACGGGGCGGGAGGGCGAATTGGAAATTCGTCGTCGACGGGGTTCGGTATGGGAATCGGGCCGGATATCTTGCCACGGATGGACTGGCCTGTCTTTGGGCGGCCGGGCCCAGAGGCCGACTTCCACAGGCTGACTTTCATGGGCGTGGTGAGAATAGCCAAGCGACGATAAAGAGGTCTCAAAAATCGTCTCGCAAGTGTGTCGTTCTGTGAGCGAGGAAGGGCGCGCTACAAGGTCGCAAGACAGGACGCGAGAAAGGGGGACTAGTTATAAGATTAAAAGACGTTGAGTAGAAGCCATGGAAGCATGGTTTGCATAGACGGGACGAAGCCTCTGTGGCAAGCCGAGCCGATCCTCCACTTATAAACCCTGGTTTCCCGCTCCCCTTATTTCTCGGGATCTGCGTCGAGGCGAGAAAATAATAATTGGTGTGGCCTGCAAGGATAGAATCAAGATGTCGCCCGTCTCGCAGGTCGCGCAGGTCGTGCGAAGAGGAGGATTGGGTTCTAGGCGGCTTGTAGAGCACAACGTCCGGGTGGTGAGTGTCCGGGACCGTCAAGGGGGAAAGGTGGTGGAGAGGAGGGCGAGGTGGAGTTGTTGGCCTTTTGACGGCGATTCTACCTGCTGACCCGGCGGCGAGGCTGCTGGCACTGCTGGCAGGGAGGGGAAAAACGGCCAGTCGAGCGATCAGCCAAGTCGAACAAAAGGGAAGAACTCGAGTAACAGCCTGGAGTCAAGGGGAATGTATATATTAAGGAAATTGGCAGGAGGGAGGGAGTGGGTCAGGAGGAGGAAGAAGGAGACAAGAGTGGAGGCAGGCCCGGACGGTGGCGGATGCAAGAGGGACTCGGTCAAAAAGAGCGTCAGCGCATAGATGACAAGAGAGACAAAATAAAAGGGAGCTGATGGACAATTTCCCTCGAGATGGGTTGGCTATGCACCGGGAAGAAGTGCACGGTATCTGTACTAGAGGAGGGATTCACCAGCTCCCGGCCTTGCACAAAAAGCCCAGGAAAGGGAACTTGGAAGAGAATGACAAGGGAGCATGCACGGCGACAAAGGGCTTCGAGGACGAATCATGAAACATGCGAAAAGATAGATCGAGAACCGGCACCAATTGATAGAGGGGACGTATTTAATGTTTAGCGTCATGCGCTTCAGGGTCTAGTTGCGCCTGCCTCCGTCTTGTCTGTAGTGTATGCCCCAAGAAAGGAAGGGGGACAACGAAAGTGGGAAGTTCTGAGGGTATACCTGAGCAGACCTGAGCAGACCTGAGCGCAGCGAGTAGCGTAGCGTATACACCGGGCTACAAAGACGCTCAGTGCCAGGTACACTCGAACACTATTCCGGCTCCATCGGTATTATGGACGTACTCGGCACACCTCTCGGGGGTAAAGAATGCGAGAATGCGAGCTTTCGTCGTTGGACGATGGACAAGGGAACAAGGGGGTGGAAGAGAGAGGGGCGCGCGTCGTTTAGAACGACTCAGGATACTGAATAATAGATAGTACACGACGTTTCCTGTTACAGGTATTGGGCATGGTATTATTCCCCTCCACTTTGTAGAGTTGCATTCTGATCTATCTATTTAAAGGGATGCTGTCTATCATGAGAGAAAGGGACCATTTTCATCCATGTCGACAGGGCCATTGAAGACCTCGGACATGGATATCAATGGATGGGCTGGGCACGGAGCAAGGAGCAAGGGGGTGCGTGTGTGTGTGTGTGTGTGTGTGTGAGCGTGTGCGTGTGTGCGTCCCTCCTCAAAAGGTGTTGGGTTGATTCGGAAGGAGGGGAGGGGCGTGGGGAAGTGGCCAGCCAGCGGGACAGGGATTGATACCTTCCGCAGTTCTGGGGCGGGCACCGCCTCCATGTCGTGTCTCCTACCTCTAGCGAGTAGATTCCAAGACGCCGTCATTAACGATAACCAACTGCGTGTAAAGATGGCGACGAATCGAGGCCATGAGGAAAAGTGTAGTGTAGGAGAGTCGAAAGAAGTCGGTCTATTGACACTGAACCCAATTGGCGATCCACCGTCAGCCCCCGTGGGCTCCATAAAGATTAGCCAGGCCAGGGCCGAAAGACGTCAATGTGAGTTGCGTCAATAAAACTAGAGTGGCCCATTGCAAATAGTTTTGCAGAATACTTCGAGAAGCTGGGAAGGCTCCTCTCTGCAATCCCAAGTTGGGGCACTTTTATTATTCCTTGATCCCCACCTTCCCCCACCTCTTCTTTGCGACTCTGAAGGGGAAAAAGGGGGCGGGGGCGGTGGCATCCGCCGAACGGGAATCAAGCGGTATCAATCAAATTGATTGAGGGTTCTGTGACGCCAACCAACGACGGAAAGTCGACCAAGCAAAGTTGAGTTATCCATCACACGTTCTGATTGTCTTCGGTTCAATGCCTTGATCCCTATTGTCTATCAAAGTGGTCCGCACCTGCCTATTTTATTCCCGAGGCCCCAACAGCAGATCAGCCCGTTCGATCCCCCTTTTCCGACAAGGGCACGGAAATGGAGCAAGGACACAAGGCCAGGCACGAGAGCAGAAAAGCAAGTTCGCCCACCCCTTCTCCTCCACCGGGGTTCCTCTCGTCCGTGTTGTTTTAGTCCCCTTGCATATTGGGAGGTCCATCCGACAAGCGCTCAATCCATGTTCCGGACAAGTAGTAGCCTGACATGGGTTGTCATTGAAATGGATGTCTCTCGCTTTCTCACACTCTCTCTCGAAAAGAAAAAAGGGTCTGTGTGTTGTACGAGACTGGAAAGCTTGCTCGCTCGCACGTCCAAGAGACCGACACCTGGGTGACGGAAACACCTAACCCAGAACGGTGGTCTCCAAGTAATATTTAGTATGGGCTATTGCATGACCCATGCGAACGCCATGCGGTCGACCCACGGCCTTCCAAAGAGTCGAGGCGAGCTGGGGCCGTTATTTTCGAAAGGAGGACGAAGGAGGCAAGCCTTCGTTGCAGAGATAAACATTCATATAAAATGACCCCTTTGGATGGAGCTTGGTGGCGGAAGAATGATCGGTGGTGAGAGAGCCTTTTGAGACAACCGGTGATTTGTGGCTGATTTGGGGCGGTTGATAGCAGCAATGTGGGTATTATGGCACAATGGGGTTCAACGGGCTGGCCCAATGAGTCCACGGGAGTACAAGGTACAATTGATACCGGTCTTAAGCTAGGGAGCACTGGGCTTCGACATGAAGCTGGCCGTCTTGGAATTTGCTGCCTGACCCCAATTCAATCATTGAGATTGCAAATTAGCCTCGTAAGTCTCACGAATGGGTCATGCACTTCAACATTGAGGAGATATATATGTATAATGTGGGATGGGCGGGCACCCATCAAGAACTGTGATACTGCATATATCAGGGCAGGCAAAGGCTACAACGGTTGGCTGACTGGTGCCCTCAAGTCGTTTCGAGGGGAATGACTTGAGAGCGAGCGTTTGGAAAGCGGATTGCCTTGGATCCGGTACTCAATGGCAAAAAGCAAAACCCGTTGCCAAGACCGACGACAGAGAGAGTGAGGGTCAGTTGGCCAGGCTTGGGGAAGGTCGCAGAAGGGGGTATCTTGTGTATTAAGGGCTATATCCCTTTTAGATGAGAAACCACACAACCAAACCATCCATGGCTATAATCCATGGGTAGCTCGACACCATGTCTTCACCGGCGTCCTCAGCCATTGTTACTGAGCATTGGTTGGCTTCCCTACTCGGTCCGTTGTCCATCACATGAACGAGGTATGGGATAAAAATAAGAAGCCCCATGTCTGAGATGCCGCATCACAGAGGATTATAGCCTTGTACTATAGGTCCACGGTATGCGCGCAGCAGCAGGCTGAAGAAGGTACAAACCCATCCGTGATGCTTGAAAAAGAAAACCTGCAGAGTTTGGTCGACGCCCAGAGCCAAATAGAACGAGTGTTTGGTTGGAACCTTCCAGGAGCACATGCAACATGCAAGCAGCGAACAACCAGTCCGAAAAAACCCCACTTTCGTACCAGAATTCGTTGGCCAGTCGTCGAGCCAAAGAGGTTGAAGAGGCCTGTTCCATCTCTGGATCCCAATATATTAAAGCGAACCTCCAAAGTCCTGCTTGCCACGTCTCCGTCGTCTCCAGCCATTCTTTGCTTCTCATTCATTAATGCATCGGCACTGACTTTCCCGATACGGCAGGTTTCTTTTTCCAGGGCATCACACTTCAAGGGCGGCCAAATGTGTGGAGGCTGACTGAGTTTAGATCCTAACAAAACCCCACCCTCTCCACTTAGATGCGCCTCCAATTTATTTGGCTTCAACGTTGGTAGACAAGATGACATGAAAGGGGGGACAAAGGGAGGGAGGAATTGATGAATGGACAGGAAGCCGACAGAGGGCTTCGTCAATGCTTCTACAAGACCAAGCTTGCATGGCTTGTCTCCTGCTGAGGATAAGCACGGGGAGCATCGCATCAGCTCCAGGCAATACAAAACTCGGGGTTCCGAAACCTTGGTCAACCAACCGGTATTCGAAAAGGGTCGAAAAGGGAGAGGATGCGACAGCCACCGGCGAGGGCTAAGGAGGGTACATGGGCATTGAGGAAAAAAATAAGCCTGGCATGCCCACGAGGATCCCTGGTCCAATCTTGCCAATGAGTCTCGCCTGGAAGAAGACTAGAATGGAAAAAGGGTGCATTGGGTCACCGAAGTGGAGTGTGGAGGTCGTCTTGGAGTAACGG